TCCGCAACAATCTTTCGATGTGTCTTCTTGCTTTCCCCCAGTTCTCGCAGTTCGATGCGTCTAAGCACGATCTTGATGATTGGTATGATTGGTTCTGGGGTCCGGACATTGCGGGGCGAACTCCAGCCCCGTCGGAGAAAACTCTCCTTTACGCTGAACGAAACGCGTGGAGAGCCATCCACAATCTGGTCTACGAGGGCAAATCGCTCAAAGAGGCCATGATGGAAGTTCGTGCTGATGCCAGATTCTGGACAAGGGAAGTCTACGAGCGCGTGCCTCGACCTGGGGAGAAGGGTCCGAAGGGCACTCCGAAGGGTGAGAAAGGCACTCCCTTCGCCAAAGCCCCGGGCATGGGGTCCTGGAAAGGCAAGCAAACCTGGCCAGCGTACCAGCCCGTGTATCAGCCCTTTCTTAAGCAGTCCACTAAGGGCAAAGAAGGTAAGAAGGGCACTCCCAAGGGCAAGGGCAAAGACTCCTGGCCCCAGAATTGGTCCAGGAATAATCCTAAGGGCACCCCCTTCTGCCGAGATTACCACATCAAGAAGCAGTGCCCCGGTAACTGTGGACGCTCCCACAACTGCCCGGTCACTAAAGACGGTTGGGTGTGCAATGCCCCTCCGAATGAGCACAGTCCGGACAACTGTCCCTACAAGTGAGGACTTCCAGTCCCAGGTGCCCTTGGCCCTGAACGAAGAGAAGTGTCGGAAGTGGAGACACGAGCTGCCCTCTCCACACCAGGTGCCCTTGGCCCTGAAGGAGTACAGGCACGGGACAGATCGCGATCTCCCTGTGGGAAGACCGCCCCCGCGCCAGGGGGGAACACCATTCAAGTGGGCATGCAGCCCTCTGGTAGTGCTCCCTCGGATGACAAGCCCTTCTCTCTCGGGCCTTGGATTGAGGAACATTACCCGGGCTCTCTGCCTGCAAATTGTTCTCCTGAATGGCTTAATGGGCACTGCCAGCATTCCTCAGGGTGCCATAATCTTGCCATTCGCGGGCCGTGAGGATGCTTCATCCCTTGAAGCGATCCTCCATGCTCAAGCCCCAGACCTCTCCTCGAGAGTTCTGGCCTTAGATTCCTCTAGGATGCCCCCTGGTAAGGACCTCCTTAATAACACACTGTTTGGGTCTCTCTGTGCGTCGGCGCTGCAAGGAAGCATCTCCTTTGTGGGAGGATGCCCGGACCTCAACACCTGGGGGTTGGATAGATGGTTTCAGGACTCGGGTACTCTCCAGGCAGTTAGGTCCCGCTCGGCGGAGAACGCCTGGGGTATTGCCGCTCTCCCTGAGGCAACGCTCCACTCGGCAGATGAGGAGAGCACCCTGCTCCTTAGGTTCCTTCTGCTTACATGGCTTGCCTTCAAGGCGACTTCGTCTAATGCTCCTACTAAGGTCTTCTGTTTTCTGGAGATGGCTGAGGACCCTGCGCGAGGAGCCACTTCTCCGTCCAAACGACGCTCCTCATCGGCCTGGGCCACTTCGGCTCTGCGTGCTTGGACCTCAGATTTAGGTCTTCGTATTCTGCACTTTGATCTGTGTTCCTTTGGTTGGGTTTTTAGTCGTCCGTCTAGAGCCGTGACGAATCTTCCCCTCCAATCCTGGGAGGGTAAGACCTGCACACACACCCATCACCCTAAACCGGATCGTCCCGTGTGGGGGGACGCTCGACGACCTGAAGCCATGCTACAGTGTATCGCATCGGCACTAGCTGGTAAACTTCGCGACACAGGCTCTCCAGCAAAGGATTCACCGCCGGATCCTGTTTCCAAACTCCTTGCTGGTCCCTCGCTGGGACAGGAGCGTCCTCACTGGGCGGCTCAAGGGTCAGCACCCCCTGGGGCGGCTGTTCAACCCTCCCTACCCTCGCTGGGGGGGAAGCGTCAGATTGCTGGGTTTCCTGGTGCAGGTACCCAGGCAGGCGATCACTTGCTCGCTGCGACCCCGATGCTTGGGTGTGATCGGCCTTCGACGCTACCGCTCTCGGAGAAGCTTACCCTAGACGATGCCACCATGCGTGTGACCCATGGCTTCAAGGTTAGGCCCCTAAGGGATGGTGGAGGTAAGACCTCTCCTGGCCTCCACACCTTCGCAAAGGACCGACGGCTCCTGCTCTGGGCAAGTTCATTCGAGAAAAGGCGGGGCCGTGGGTCCCCTCTTTTCTAGCCTCCACGGCCGCGGGTGCCAAGCAGCACCCCTTCCCGGAATCTGTTCTCAACGAGATCCGTGATTTCATCTTGCCCCGGCGCACCCAACCGGATGCTGGACAGCCCTTTCACTTGGACGTGATCAGGAGGCTCCTGTGTGACATCCAAGATGTCGATGCTGAGTATCCGCAGATACTAAAAGAAGGAGTCCCTCTTGGAGTAGATACCCCTACTCTCCAATCTCCGGGCGTCTGGCCCTTGAAATCGGAACTCATTGGTGAAGAGTGGGCCCCACTGGCCATGCTAATTACTCCTCCGCGGACACATTTAGGGAGGAGATTCGGGCCACCTTTGTTGAGGAAACCCCCTTGGGCATGGTCATTGGACCGTGCACCCGCGCCGAGGCAGCGGCGCATTGCCAATGTGCAGAGGACGAGCTCTGCCCCTGCCCCATGGCAGGGATTGATGAGTCGGACAAGATCCGTTCCATCTTCGATGGGTCTAAGGGTGGTGCTAATCTCCGTATACAGCAGAATACCGTAGAGAAAACCACGGCCCCGACGGTCATGGACTGCGTCCAATGCCTGCACTGGCTTCGGGCATCTCGCTCTCGTGGGAAACCAGGTGCCCATGGCCCTGATCCTGAGGAGCATGCAACCCTGGCTACTGCCCCAGGGGCGACAAGCCGAGAACAGGACGGCCCTTCGGGCAACGCAGACTCCAGTGCCGGCTCCGGCCGACCCTGGAGCTTCCCGGGCTCTGACGAGGACTGGATCTTGCTCAAGGCTGATGTTACTAAGGCGCACAGGAGAATCAAGATTCTCCTACGAGAGTGGCGTTACCAAGTTGCCCAGCTTGGTGAGGAATGGTGGGTTAACACCGTAGGCACCTATGGAATGGCCAGTGCCCAGCTCTACTGGGGAAGGATGGCTGCCATCCTTCTTAGGATTGTGTATGCCGTGTTTCCCGAGGTCGACTGGGGTTTTGTCTTTGTCGACGACTTTGCCTGGCTACTCCGTAAATCGAATTCCCCTCTGCTGGCAACAGCGATTTGCTTGCTGTTGCTTGCTCTCGGCACTCCTCTGAGCTGGAAGAAAACCCTGCTTGCTGAGGTCAATACTTGGCTTGGCTTTGTCATTGACCCAAAAGGACCCTGTGTGCAGATGGCCCGAGACAAGCACCTGCTTGTCATCGGCATTCTTGAAGAGCTTAAAAGCGGTAAAGTCATGTCGGCTTCTCAGATCGCTAGCGCTTTGGGTAGGCTGCAGTGGGCGACAACGGCCTGCCCCCTCACCAAGCCTTTCCTCCAACCCTTCTGGGCTTGGAAGAAGGCCTGCCTGACCGCAGGACGTCCGGGTAAGCTTATCCGTGCACTCTCAGCTCTGCTCCTCTCTCTTTTTGACCAGAAGTTCAGACAAGCATCGCCGTATGCCCCGCTTGCCATTTGGTCGGGGGCAAGTGATGCTAGCGCCTCAGATGATGGCAGCGCCTATGTGGGCGGCTGGCTTTCTAACGCGGACTCCCCGTCCAAGTCGGAAGTGTTCTGGTTCCACTACCAGGTCACTGCAGAGCGGCATCCATGGGCCTTTGACAAGGGCTGCCCGAAAAAGCGCATTGCTGCCTTCGAGATGTTTGGCACACTGATCCTTTCTCACTTTCTCATGGAGAAGGCGCCTGCGTTCATACCGAACCTCAGGCTCCCCCTGGTCAGCGACAACCAAGGGAATGTGTACTCGCTCCTGAACGATAAGTCCAAGAGGATGCCAACGTCGGTCATCCTCATGGAGATACTGTACCAGCTGCACCGGCATGGTATGCAGCTCGCTCCCTCCCACGTCAAGCGTGACTTCAACACTTGGGCTGATGATCTGACTCATCCCAACTTTCAAGGTTTCACTCCATCTCTCTGCTTGCCGGTGGAACCCGTGCTCGAGCATTTTTCCCTCATCCGCTCTATCCTGGAAGATCGTATTTTCGACGATCCTTCTGACCTCACCCATGGGCCCGCGCAGGGCGCCCGGTGAGGATGTGGCTGCCTCCTGTACAGGCTTCTTTCTGGACGGCACAAAATTTTGGAACTCTTTTCTGTACAAGGAGGGTTCCCGATCCACAGGTGCCGTAGGCCCTGAAGGAGGGGACCCTCCTTTGTTTCGGAACGGCCTCATTCTTGTCTGAGGTCTTCGACCGAAGGAGCATCCCGGGAGTCGGCAGCCACACCAATCCACCATGCAAAAGAGAGCTTGCGAGCATGGTCTTTTGGTGTGCCATTTTCATGCGGATATCTGACATTGTGCTGTGTCTCTCCGCGGCCGAGGGCTTGCCAAGCTCAGCACGAATGGGTCAGGGTACGAGACTTAGCTATCGCCAAACAGCATTTCGACCTGGCTCCAGAGCTTTGGCGGCTGTTTTGTGCAGTGCTTCAATGTGAGGCTCTGGCCAGTGAGATCCAACTGCTCAAGCAAGTGGTTGCAGTGCAGACTGAGATGAGGTTGGGAGTCTTGGGAATGCGCTCACAGGTAGAGGTCCTGAGTCGTCAGATGCCTTGGCTGCAGGCCCCAAACTGATGAGGTGCAGCTGCCGGCTCCGACTGCAGAGCCGTGGTCCAAGATTTTGGCAGCTGGTCGGGCGGCACATGGGTGATTGTCAAAATTATGGTCCTTTTTTAGGTCCCTTTTATAATACGGCACCCATTATTTAAGGTACCCAAGAAGGGACCATAATTTTGACAACCACCCACGTGAATTCTGCTTGGCGAGGCAGTCGAGGATTGCGGCGGCTTTTGCCGGCTCCTAAGTGTCGAAGCATCCGTGTGTGGGAATCTGCTATCAGTTGCGTCTCTGAGCACAGGAGGATGGCATGGCGTACAAGAATGACAAGAGTTGGAAAGTTCCACCACGTCAGGCAGAGCAGTTGTTTGTATAGTAGCTTCGCTGAGGGAGGTCAGATTTAGCCGAGGCGTGCCGTGCTTTGCGAGGCGAACTCTGTGCAAACGCTTTCCACGAGCTTGCAGCTGCTGTCAAAAGAGGACTTTGAGCTGGGCCGGGGTCCTCTTCATCACTTTGCAGCCGCTGCGACGCCTACAGGATCCTGACAAGCTGATCATCGTGCGTCGAATCAACAAGCTCGGGTTCAAGGCCGTGCACCATAGCAGGCTCTTGTGCTTCTGTCTTCCCTACACCTTGCTCAACTCGGCTGAAAAGGCCTCTCGCAAGCTGAAGCAATACTTTGGTGAGTGCAAGCCTCAGTCGGCTGCGGGCTGCAATGACCTGTGATATATATGTATATATATATATATATATTATAAAAATATAGAGTATACATATCATGTATATATAACTATATTATGTAATATTTTATTCTGTTATATCATAAACCACAGCCTCGGGTTTGGCTGCATGATCGGCCCGGGCCGGGCAGCGGCAGGTTTGGTCATGTGGTGCGTGTTCTCATTGCGCCCGGGCCTCGGCAGAAGGTCCAAATGCAGTCCTTTAGATGCTTTAGGGTTGGGGCTTGTAGGGTGTAGGGCTTTAAGGCTTCACGGCTTTAGGGTTTAGGGTTGTGTTTAGGGTTTAGAGTCTTCTAGCTTTCTAGATTCCCGACCAAGCCACGACTCGTGCTGCCCGTTCAAAGGCACTCCACATGCCGTGATGTGAAGGATGAAGAGGGCAAGGTTGGCTTTTGGCACCGGCTTTCTGGAGCAAGCCCTGACAGGGTTCAGTTGGGGCGATGCTCTGTTCATTTCATGAGCTGGTAAGTTGAGAAGATTGGGTAAGTCGCAGGAGGTCGTGCAGGCCACTGAATTATGCTTTTGCAAGAGTGTCCCAGGCTCCTCCCACTTCCCGTGCTTATGCAGTGTCACCCCCGCCAGGTGCGCCAGCGGCCGAGTAGTTTGGGTTTTGTGCAGATGGCTTCCGCACAGGCAGTACGCCAGGAGCCGGCCTCAGGTGCACGGGGAAATTCTGAAAAGCCCGCTTCCGGTACTTGGCACTTTCCTTCGCCGCTATGCAGCTCCCTCCCCCCACCCCCCAGCACGCCACTACCCCAATTCATGCCACCACCCCTATCCCTGTGCCACCACCGCCACCATCATCGTCCCCCACCTCCTCCTTTTGTGTTTAATTTGGGTCAGAATTACCATCGAAGATCTGCCATTCTGCCAAGGCTTTGTCGCTCGGTACAGAGCAAGAGGCCGTCTGAAGCATGTTAGTTTTTTCCTTCACTACTTGTGCTTGAACAGACGACACTTCGCACCATTTGGCAGGTGGAAGGAGCCGCGATCTTGGTGCAGAAATTTGAGCGACAGCAGACGCACGCCTGGCTCTCGGCACTTGCAGCACTGTCAGCAGCATGTCAGCCCCCCACGTAGATGCGACTCGTGGCTGCAGCATGTCAGGCAAAGCATGGGATAGCCCATAAGAACCGGAGGTCCCCATATGCCGACACTGCCATGCTAACCGAGGCCGTACGTACTCCCACGGCGAAGGACGCGAAGTTATGCGAAGCTATAGATGGACGTTTGCCAATCCAGTCCTGCTGCTGTGGTTCTCACTTCCATAATGTTTGTATTGAGTGTCCCGAGCAGGGCACCAGAAGATGCGAGATGATTCCAACATTTCCGAAGGACAAGGTGCCCCTCAACTGTGACTTGCCCGATGTGCGGAAAAGCGATTTTTTGCCGTTGCCTCGGGTCGGCCATTCATTGGGTGATCCAACTCGACTGCATGGTAGTTAGCGGGACAGTTCCCTGCTAAGGCGCCAAGACACCTCCAAGTCGAACGCCTCGACTGCTGCGTCTTCGAGCTTCCAGATCGATCCGGCGACGCTCTCTGTGTGCTGCGCTGTGAAGGGGCTCTTGAGTATATGCTAGCCGCTGGCCTGCCCAGGATGCCGTTTCTTTTTGGCCGCAGAGGTGGGAATACGCAGCGCCATCGTAAAGAGTGTTTCAGTTCTTTCCAGGCTGTGTTGAGGGAATGCCCACACCGAAGCCTGGCTCAGGCTGCTGGTTTCGCAACCTGCATAGCAGGCTGTTCCCTGACGCTCTGGGTTTGGACCCCACCGATGCAGCCTGATGGCTGATGCATTGTCCCGCAGTTGCTAATGCGCGTTCAGAATTCATGATAGATGTTCTTATGTAAGGTTTGCAGTGCTGCTTCTGCTTGTGCTGTCACTCGACATTGTTTTTGATGTTTCTGCAGTGTGAGATTTTCGGGGCTCCGCTTGCCTTTGAACAGAAAGGCATCCGTTCAGCAAGCGACCATACCCAGTTTGTCGATTGCGAAGCCAGGAAACGGACAAAGAGCTGTTGCCCACGCGTCAAACTTCACTTGTTTCATTGCAAAACTTATCAGTCCCCATGTTGTGGGCGAAGATGCTGACTGATGAAGGCACAGCTCCTTGACCGTGGACAGATCAGAACGTAGTCTCCAAGCTCCAAGCCGTTTCTACAGAGTGGCATGGTTACTCTAAACCCTAAACCCTAAACCGGTTCCAAGGGCCTCAAAGGATGAATCATGCGGCTCTGGGCAACCAAGCCGCTGCAAAGATCTTGGCTTCTGGAGCTGTTGGATTCGGGGTCGATGAGCCCCTATACACATGCCTCGAACCCCTTAAGAGCTCAATGCTCCAAGGGGAGCGGATGTGCTGGCGAACAGTTGGGCTGGTTGTCCTCGTTGTTCCTTCACTTTTAAGCATGGCGGCAGTGCCAATACGGCCAATACGGAAGAAAGAAAGTTGGTTTAGAACCACCATAGAGTAAGAGGTGACTCAGACAGCCGCAATGTTTGCCTCAGCCATTGAGACTTTGACAGGACCACGTTGAGGCCCTTCAGCACTCGACAGTGTGTGGCGGGAAGGGGGAAGCTGTATCTATAACTCGGTCTGATTCCTTGATCAGTGAGACATTGGCAGATCATGATCAGACCTCTGCTCCCAGTCACAGTCCATGCGGACACCCGCCACATATTGAACTCTGATATTTGCCCTCGCTGGCATTGCAAGGCTGCACTTGCATGCGCATTTCAAGGACCTGCACCGCCCTTCAGACTGGGGATTGGGGCGAGTCTGGCCAAAAACAACCCCACAGTCGAGAGCCGAGTTCCTTTAGGAGTTGGGCAACGAGCAAAGGAGCGACCCGTCCTTGTTGAAGGAAGCCTCTTCCAACCTGACCGTGCCACAATACGTGGCAAGGTGAATGACTCTGTTCACGGAGTGGGGTCCAGCTGTTGAGACAGAGCACGGCAGAAGCAGCGAGGTGGCAGTTTTCATTCTCCAGCTTCCTGATCCTCATTCCGCACGGCATCGAATTCGGCTCCGGATGCTGTTATCTGACATTCATAGGTGTGGTATCGATCGTGCGTCCCAAGAAGGCATCCGACAAATCAGCCCGCTTGCACCTCCCGAGCTCACCCTAGCGGCTGCTCGGAAGTGACGCTGCCTTTTTTGCAAGGCAGCCTCCTGTTCCCTTCATCCAGCTGCGTCCAATGGAAAGAGCTGTGCTACTGCTCGCAGGGCTAGGATCTAGGCTGAACCCTGCAGTAGTGAGCAGCTCTCCTAAGGGTGAACACACCCTGAAGAGACGCAGCCGCATATCTTTGCTCGTCCCATTGCTCTTGGTGCGACTGGTCACCACAGCCTCGTCGTAAGCTAACGTAGGCTGAAAAGCAATGAGTTAGTGAGTGCTTGATCGCAAGAAGCAACGAGGGGGCATGTGAGATGGAGGACTTGGTCCTGTTTGTGATTCATTTGGGACCAAGACTTCCTTTCCAGAAGCACCCAGAGCCCTCACATGTCGATATCCCTCAGGTGGACCAGGTGGACTCACAAGCTTGTGGTCTTTTGTGGGGTCACCTTGAGTAACCCCGGAACGTCACAGTTTGGGTTGGGATACCAAAAGCGAAACGACATCATTCTCTTAAGGCATACGCTTACAGAAACTTGCAATATCTTGCAATGCCTCTTCAGAAGATGAACATAGCTTTAGTGTTTGTCCCACCACCTTTTGCTTGTCCACCAGAGGGTGAGGTCGATGTGGTCGGCGCAGCCCGTCTTTGCGCAGACTAATGAACTGCCGGGGGCCAAGCTGTTCGCCGAGACTTCCTCGTCGTGCTCTGTGCCCACGTCAAGATGCAAGTCACACCTCCTCTGAATTCCAGGAAGCGCAGGATGTCTGTCTGTTGCACCATACACTGAGAGTGGAAGACCTGCTTCTCAGGTGTCCGAAAGTTGTCGCATTGGGAGAGGATTGCCATTCAAACTGCAAGGTGCGCGGCGTGTTTGGAAGTGGGTAATTCTATCGCTACGCCGCCCGCCTCAGCTTGCCAGGCTTGCCGGAGACCGGCACGGTGACAGAATGTGAAACAGCTAGGGCAGCGCAGGGTGTAGGGGGGGCAGCGGGACAGGGGAAAGGGGGCAGGCAGGCAACACCGGGGGGGGGTCAGGAGGAAATGGGGGAGAAGTTAGGGGAGGGCAGAAAAAGCAGTCAAATCATGGGGGGCCGGGCGGGGCGGGGGGGGGGGTGGGAAATGAATGCAAACAACGGATGTCTCCAAACTTTGCGGCTGCAAGGAGTGGAGGGTCTGAGTTAACCCCCAGTACGCCTGGGCCTGCGGCCTCGGCGGATTCCGTAGAAATGTCGAGGGCGCAGCTGTGTGACCTGCGGGCTTGTTTTCCCATGCCAGCCCCGTACTTGTAGCCGACGAGATTTTACCACGGATCGCTGAACCTCGCTGGACATCTGCAGGTTGTAGGTTGCAGTACCATCTTTTAGTTGGTAAAACCCGTGGCCCAACATCATCTTCAAGAAAGCGATTAATTAAAACTGACACCTTTGAGAGAGGTTTGCTCCCTGACCAGGTTTCATAGTTCCAGACTCCACTGGCTCCGAACCAGCAGTCTCGTTAGAGGCACACCCCAGGCAGGGGCTGTGCTGTGTCCTTGTCGCTGATCCCTCGGGGGCGTTCTGCGCACCTTCATGCGACGTGGTGATTCGAGTGACAGGCTTCGGAGCTTTCTTAGGGATCTTTTTGGCAGATCCGAGTGCAAGTTGGATTGTAACTACAAAGCTCCGAGCAGCATCCTTCAATTGGCGGGATCCGACACCACTGTACCGCAACATCAAATACAGCTCATAGTAGTAATAGTAGCAACAGTACATAGTTATAGTCATAGTAGTAATAAGAGTAATACTAGTAAGAGTTGTAATAGCAGTAATACAGCTGCATACGTCTTACGGCCCGGCAGGTCCTCTTTCTGTCATCGGGGCCTTCCTCTGTGGGACGTGGAGTCAAACGCTGGGCAGGAAATGGTGAACTCCAAAAAGCCAGCGCTTGCTTCGCTTTGGTCTTCCGAAACTCTGCAGAGCAGCTGATTCGATGCGGCAATCTCTAGCAGGCGAAGTGACCTCAAGTCGGGCAGTTAAGCATTGATACTCGATGCAGCGATTTGATTGGCCGGCTACAACTTGCGGGCTGAGAGCGCGTGGTCAAGTGCAGGAACTGCATCGTTGAGAATAGAATCGGAGATGCCACGGACACTTCCGGTGAACGTGTTCCCTTCCCCAGCACCACTAGACTCTATAGCGGCAAAGCCAGCGCCGTTGCTCATAGGCCGACACGACAAGCTCTGTGTAGACATATCATGCACATGGCTGTCCCGACAGCGACAGCAAACACCGCCAGGCAAAGAAAGACGCATCTAAACAGGCCGTGACATGAGCGATGGTGGCACCTCGGAAGAAGACAGACGAAAACTTCACGAGGACAGCCGGACATCCATGAAGAAAAGCTCTCCAGGTGCCACTGTTGAAAAGGCTGCAAAGTTGCAGGTCGACTGTCTGACAGAGCTAAGTCAGTTATTGAAGTGCTTATGGCATCAGCAGCTACTTGCGATTGCAGGAGGGCTGCCTGGAGCTGTCTAGGCGCCCTGCATGGGAGGTGTGCTTACTGGTCGATCCCTGATCAAGTTGTGGAGTTTAGATCTACCGGTACTTTGCAGCGCAATAGGAGGGAGTCGAAACACCTCCTTGCTAAGGAGCAGTACTACTGGCAATTTCACTCGCGCGTGGCCTCCTTGCTCGAGGAGACCCGTGCGAGCTGGGTCGAGGATGGTGAGGAGCGTCCGGGAACGGCGGCTGCGTGGGAAGTCAGCGGGAAGTTGGAGGAGGAAGGCCTCTACGTCTCCGCTGTTCATCCCTCCGCGGATGAGGAAGATAATTGGACCGGACCACGGTTCTATATCTCCATCGTCCCCTCGGCCATCCAGGGCGGGCCTGCTCCGCGGCCACCCAAAGAGGTAGAGGAGCTGCTGTGGCCGAGACCACGCGATCGACTTCAACCTTGGATTACTGAGCTTGGCTGGACCATGGTACCCGAGGGATCCAACGAACAGACGCTACATGCGGACATTTTGTCTTGGGACGAGGAGCCATCACGCCCACGCAAGGACGGCCTGGGTCGCTTCCACCACTTCTTGTGGAAGCCGAGCCGGCGTGAATGTTGTACTACCAAGATTGTCCACACCGCCTTCACCGAAGGTTCGGTGGAGCATTGGCACTACGACAGCTTGTCCCAGGTCAAGAGCCCGAGCTTGGTTCTCGATAGCGAAGTGCTGCACTGTGGGAGTGCAACTCGAAAAGACGCTTGGCAAGCAATGACGGCGCCAATCTATAGCCTCGGTGCGTTTTTTGTTGCCCTGCGGTTTCGGATTAGATTTTGAAACCAAGAAGTCATCCTCAGAAGTCATCCTCTTCGAGCCCCAAAGATCTGAAGATCCCAAAGAAAAGAACTCCAGGGCCTGAGCGAAGCTTTCTGAGGGCTGTTGGTCCAGCACCTGCACCATCCAGCTCTGCTCTGCACGGGTCGAGCCCTCGGCCTGGAACGTGAAAGCCCGGGCTTGAAAGGGTTGGAACAGGCTTGTAAAGTCACGGTTCAAGCCAGCGTCTGAGTGTGTGCCCAGGGCTGGCGAGCTCTCCATGCTGATGGTCGCGCCTCACAGGCACAGCCGTGAGATTTGCGAGCTGCTCCTCCTCTTCGACCCTCCACAGGGAAGATAGCTTATCGTACATGGACTTTGGGCGACCACCCACGGCAGGACTTGCTGTGGTATGTGTGGCCGATCGAAGAGGCTCGTCAGCTCGCCTTATGAATCGATGTTGGCTGCTCAAGGGGAGAGGGACATCACAGTACTCGCAACATAGTCTGGTGTGAGCAGTCCCTGCAGGCAGCTGGCAGCACGATCGAGTTAAGGTTTGTCTCCATTGACGTAACAAGCATGCATCAATTGCGGCAGGTTGTGGGAGACAGTTTTTGCCTCCCGTGTGTCATTGGCGAGGGGTGTTTGGGGTTTGTGCTTTGGTACGGCTTCTCTCTCTCTCTCTCCCCCTCTGTCTCGTGACGACGTGAGATGACGCGGATCACGCAGTCTGCAGCCGCGGAGGTTCAACTCCGATTCTTACTTTGTTTAGAGTTTGCCCTGCTGTCACCAGTACGACTATGCGGGCCGCGAGAGCACTTGCTGCCGATGATATTCCTGCGATGGCAGTTCTGGCAGATGCCCGTCTTTTCATCGAGACGTGTGATAAGCAAGGCTGTGACAATTTCCGGGCCGCGAGCGCTGCAAGCCTGTCCACCATGGCCACGAGAACAGGAACTGCCGAAACTAGTAACAATTCTAGTAGGCTTAGCTGGTCCAGGTTCCGTCTACCGCCATTGCATCCCCAACTGCCAGAAGTTGAAGCAAGAAAGGAAGGCAAGGCCAGCAAAACTGTTCGCAGACACAAGCGGAGGCATCGGGACAAGGCCGCGGCGAAGACGGAGACCTCTCAGCAGCCCAGGACGGCTGAAAAGAGCGCAACGCTGTCTAGCAAGCCAGCGAACGTTTGCGGACTGGAACGCGATGAGATCGTGAAGGGTGCTACCTACACGTGGGTGCGGAGCGGTCTTCTGGGCCGTGGCTCCGTGGGCACGGTTTGGAAGGCGAGGATTGCCAGTACCGAGGAGATCGTGGCCGTGAAGGAGGTCGATTTGGACCGGGATTTGCAAGTGCCCAGTGAAATCGCAAACGAAGTGGCCACCCACCGCCAGCTCAATCACCCCAATATCGTCAAGCTGCTTGGCACTGACGCAGTGCTGGCTAGATACTACATCTACTTGGAGTTCATGCCCGGAGGGTCACTGCGACAGGTGTTGAAGCGGGATGGGCCCCTGAGAGAGTTCCAGATCTGTGAATATGCCTCGCAGCTCGTCGCTGCATTGAGCTACATGCATCGGCAGGCTGTACTACACAGAGACGTGAAGACTGGAAACATTCTCCTTACGGAGGATATGAAGTGCGTAAAGCTCGCAGACTTTGGGTGCTCAAAGAAGTCCAAAGTTAGCGCCAAACACACTTTTCGAGGATCTGTTCTATGGATGGCCCCTGAGATTATTAATGGTGAGAAGTACGGTTCCAGAGCAGATGTTTGGAGCTTTGGATGCACATTGATTGAAATGGTTACAGCCCAGCCCCCTTGGGGCAAGTTTTCCTCGCAAATGGCGGCCATGATGCATATTGCTTGCTGCGACAAGTCGCCACCACTCGAAGAAGAGGTCAGTCCCCACCTGCGGGACCTCGTGAGCATTTGCACGCGACGGGCTCCGAAGGAGCGCCCTCGAGCTTGCAAGCTTATGACACATGACTTCCTGAATTCGTTTGGCCGTGAGTTGCTGGTGGAACTTACCTGACACTGGGAGACCCGAAGACCGGGAATCTTCATGTCAGGCCAGTTATTATGCGCTCAACTCCGAAGTTCTTTGACAGCTTCTTTCGGGCATGTTGGAGAACTGCGCTGCCAGGCTTGTAGCAGCTCCGTTAGGGTCATGGTGCATGGGATATCATGGCGTGCATCAATGCAAAGCCATGGGCATACCATCGGTTGTGGCCTGCAAGCTGGCAGATGCTCCTCTGTGCTGTATCAGTATAAGGGGGCTTCCGAAATTAGGGGGTACCTTTTTTGTGGGTCCTTATAACAAGGATCCGACTATGTAGGGTACTATATTGGGGTCCCCTATTTTCGGAATCTCCCATAGGATGCGCAATTCAACGGCTCTTCGATTCAGACGTGGACGCGGAGCATTTAAAGGCTCTGACAGAGATGTGAAATGGAGTGCAGAAATGGCATGTGCAGGACCCAAGCTTCACGGGAAGGTTATTTCAAGTTATTTCCCAATCCTGATGCCCAAACTGACAGTGTGCAAGCTCACAGGGCACATGTGCTTAACAAATTACGCTGGCTGATCCCTTCAAACTCTGAAGGCCCCGGCGAAGCGTCCAGCTGCACCCAGCCAGTGGCACCAGGATGCGCAGGCCCTGCCAGATTGGGGTCTCAAAGGTCTGCTTCTGCACTTGCACCCTTTCTGATCAAGCTCTTGATAGTCGGGATGGGGAATTTACCAACCGCCATGGACGTCTTCATCGTCACATGTTTATCATCTTCATGATGTGGGTCGCCCTCGTCGTCCTCATCCTGCTCGACCTCTCCTGCCTGCCTCTGCAATCAGCGTGCAAGCATTGCTCGTTGCTGTCCTCATCATCTTGCATCGAGAGAGCAGAAGACTCGTTCCATCCGGTTGCACGGAACTTCGGAAAAAGCTCACGGCTCTTGTTTCGCTCGGGCATGTCTTCCTCGAGATCGTTTTCGCTGCTGGGGCCGGTTCCTTTGAGAACAGAGTCGTGAAAAGTACCCGGACCTAAACGAGCTCCAGAGAGATATGCGATTGTCACGAGCGACAGGTGGAAGCTCTGTGGGAGGCCTGCAGTGGGACACGCACACAACTTCGTGCCCGCGGGATCTTGCAAAAGCATGGAAACTGTATTTCGTACCCGATGGTTGGTCCTTCGACAGAGTGCTGCAAGACTCATGTCAGGATGGCTACTGGTATTCTGCCAGGCACGCGATTCCGAAGCTGGTTGTGCAGAGCGTTTCACGCAGTGACAGACGGGTCTCGGTGTGGCGGCTGGAGTTCAGTGTCTGCGCACTTGCATTTTTCCATGGGAGTTCGCCCTCGTAGGATCGTGAAGCGCCAGAAGGATGGCCGCTACAAGGTCAGATGGGAGGGCGAGGACTGCAAAGCTGCGAAGCCGACATGAGCTCAGGATTGGGGCTTGGGGGATGTCTCAAATCCCAAGTTCGTGGTTTGGCATTCAGACGAGTTGCAGAGTTAGTGAGCAACCAGCTGCCCACGCCTTTTTCAACGCTCCAACTCCAAGAGGACACGGTGGCATCCGGCTTTTATGCCGCCCATTTGCGCGTACTGCCGGCAAAGACTTGTTTCGGGTCAGCGACGGATGAAGGCTGAAGATGGCTGAAGGCTCCCCTGTTTTGGCTTTTCCGACCAGGCCCAGCTGGCGGCGACCGACTCGGCTGAGAGGCCTCGGCCCGGGAAGCGACGGCGCACGGAGCCGGCAGCCTGCATGGCATAGCCTCCAAAGCTGAGCCGGCTAAGCTCCGCGGCGGAAGTTCGGCCACGACCAAAGACTCGGAGCATCTCGGAGCCTCAAATCGGACGAAGCAGATCCTCCGTGCAGGGCTTGAGGCTTTCGACGTTCCGGTAAGTGGCAATACTTTGCTCACGCTTTTCTTCACATGCAGTGGGCTCTCTCGAAATGTCGCCTTTGCAGACTTTCCTTCTTTCGTCCAGCATCCTGCATCTCTCTTGCTCAAGAGCTTGTTGTCTGGTGCATTATGTCTTCTCCTGCCAAGATGAAAAGGATGAAGATGTGTTTCCCTTCACATGGCTGCGATGAGGACAATCCCCAAAGTCTCCTCCAAGTGCTGCAGAAAAGCCAACGAGGCTACATCTGAGCCTCGTTCCACTCAGAAAAAAAGGAAACCACTCAGAAGTAGCTTAAATTCTCACAGGCAAGAAGACTCTCGTGCCATGGGCCTACGTCGGCTTCGTCGGCCACCGCCGCTGCGACGGCACAGTCCCCAAAGCTTCGGGGTGTTGTCGTCGTCTTTTCTTCCGCCCCTCTCTCCTTATGCTTCGTCTCTGTCGAAGGTGTCTCGGGTGTCCACAGGGCCAGACAGTTCTCGAAGTTGAGAATCCCAAGAATCAACCCATATCAGATCTCCAACCTCAGGTTGCGCCTTCTGAAAAGGAAGCGGCGGCCAGCCACGAATCTTATCGCCACAGCCTTAAAGGAAAGATTTGTCCCTTAATCGAGTGCCACTTTCTAGGGCGGGTTACGCTTGACCTGAGTGTGACATCCGGCACATCAGCCTCTCGGCTTGCGCGTGCCGCTGCAAAGTGCCAGTCGAAAGCCACCGCAACGTTCGTATTACGAGAAACAAGCTCAAGCTACACAAACGATGTTCGGCTTCGCAGGAAAGGCTTTGTGTTTTGTTGTTGCAGGCAGCAGATTGTTGATTGGTCGATGTATCAAGCTCGCTTCGTTCTGAGTCTGTGCCCAAGTTCCGTATTGGTGGCCGGCGACAGTGTAGGACGTGCATGGTTTCTGCAAAATCCGAGGCAGCTTCTGCGACACAGGCTTCCTGTCGCTCAAGTCCTGATGATCTGCCTGAAACAATGCCTTTAGCCCGGATTCATCCTCGCGCACAGACCGCACAGCCATGCATCATGAATCATGACTCTCCATGATTCCATGTTGCCTTTGCTTCTTGTGTCATCTGCTTTTCGCTGCCAGGATGCCTTTAGCTTTCGAAGGGAATTGAGATTTTTGGGCAGCAGAAGATTGTGCGACCTGCTCAGGCAGCGGAACATTGCTTTGGAGGCCAGGCCCAGTGTCCGGGCAAAGTGAACGTGTGCTACTGTGTACCTGTGTTCGAGTCGTTCATTCGCCATTCCCAGCTACTTCAAGCCTCTACGCGGCAACAGGCAGTTCGTGTTGGAAACTTCTATGCTGAAGATCAGCAAGAAGTGCTCCGCTACATTGCGGAGGCCGCGCCAGCAAGATCAGTAAACTGTTTCGAATTTTCTGAGGAGGCACTTGGGAAGCCAGGTTCATGCTGACCTGTTGGCAGACACTCAGTGGCTTCGGAAGAACCGCGGCAAACTGAGAGCAGAGAACGGTCTGACAAGGCGCAGCGCCGAGAGCATCATTCAGATTTCTCAGAATTCAGAAAGATTTAGGGAGTAACATAGCTGCCAGAGTGCAAGGTGCAAATCGGTTCAGGAGAATTCCAAGCACAAGCTCCAAGCTTCAACACAGTTTCTCGTGCTGCGCAAGTTGCGCCTTTTAAAGGCAATTGATCGCTTGCTTGCTTGCTCGCTTGCTTGCTTGGTTGGTGAATGCTCCTGCTAAATCCTATCCAGGTCTTTGCACCCAGGGTCACGTGATTTTGCTTTTCGCGGTGCTTGAGGCGATATTCGGTGCCGGAGATTTTGTGCAAGAAGCATGAGGCCTGGGCTTTCGATGCGGCGGATGCAGCAGGGGCTTACAGAACATCAGAACATCACGCCCAGATGAGGTGGACGGCTTCGACATTTTCGCAGACCCAGATGAGGCAGTCCTATTGGCGGAGCGCGCTGCAAAGGCCCACTGGCAGTGAAGACGATAGATCATGAACAATTTTGTCTGCAGTGAGCTAGACTTAGCTACTAGAGTCCAGAGCTGATTTCACTTTGGCTTGAGATCCAGCCATTGCACTCTCCTCGCGGCTCTATAGGGCCCAAGGCAGGCTTCGACAAGGATGGGCAGGCAAGTAAGATCGAATCTAGTCCAGACGTTCTTCCCACCGTGGCCAGAAGGAACTGATAAGATGTAGGACTACGGGCAGATGCAATCTAGTGCTTTTTCTTGCAGATACCCCGTGTCTTTCGAAACAGCATTGGGCAGGACGGCGAGAAGACTTCGCGACCTGAGCTTGGACCCTGGCTTTGGTCCGGTCCGGGTTCGTCCACAAAGCGTGAACTGGTGGATTGCCTTTCCCTGCTGTCCCGATATCAGGTTGCCACACGAGGAGGCGCAGCAGATTCAGGAGGCGATCCACACGTATGCGTCTAGGCAGTCTATGATGACAGGTAGACAAGTACAGTAGGTCGTTAGCTGAAGAAATGGACAAGGAAGCATATAGACAGATAGTACGCGCGCTTGTGTCGGCCCGCCACATGGAGCTGCGCATCTTCAGGGCCTGGACGAGGTGGTCGCGTCGGCAGCTGGCACTGGCGGACCCGTCGGCTCCGACGAGGTGCAAAACTCCAGAAGAGTCAGGAAGTGGTTCAGTGCTTCCATGTGAGTGGGAAGCTTGTTGAATGAATTGCTGGGTAGTTTTCTGCTGCAAAGCATGGTCCCAGCATCCAAGGATCATGTGTTCAGGCAACTGAACGAACCCATTGCAATTGCATGTCCCAGGATGTGCACGAGCACAGGTCTTGACAAGCACAGGCATACGAAACATACCAACATACCTGCAGAATTTGCCTGGACACCTGGATCGCTGAACCTCGTATGCGAGAGTACATCATGTCAGCTGGCATTGTCCCAAGCATGATCAAAGCAGAGCAGAAAGATTAACAAATTGTTTCAGTGTTCTCGTCGTGTGGGCCAGATTCGTTGTAGACGGTGGTCTACAAGGAATCTGCAGACCTTGTTCGCCTGATTGCAAGAAACTTGAGCGGGTTTCTGAAGGATGCAGGGCAGGAGGACGAGTGAGGGGGGCCGTTGGCTCCAAGCATTCGTGAGTTTCGGATTCTTATTGAGAACAAGAAGCGCGCGTCCCATTTTGGCCCGACCCGCGGAAAAAAGCATTGGGAGACGGTTGCATCATACAACCCGGAGACAGATGGATTGGGGCGACATCTCAAGCATAAAGTCGAGCTTCGTAAAAGGAAACAGGCGCGTAAAGAACTTGGTAGTTTCCTGCTTGCCCAGGAGCATCCACGGGCAAACCATATAACGTCGACCCAGACCTCATCCGTTCCCCACAGCATCCATGAGCCAAAATCATGATAACGTCCACCCAGACCTCATCCGTTCCCCAGAGCATCCATGGGCCAACACCATGATTTCGTCCACCCAGACCTCATCCGTTGCGCCGTGTACCCATGGGCCGACATCATGATAATGTCCACCCACACCTCATCCGATAACCTGATGGCGGCAGACGTCCCAGCACTCCCTTCCCTCGTCGTCCCATGCGAGGCCAGTCCAGATCTCTGTAGATACCTCTTTGAGATCGGGTGGAGGTACCAACTGCCGCTTACGCAAGACTTCATTCAGGCCGTGGCTGACCACACACTGAAGCTACCATGGCATGGCTGACATTTCCTAGTTCGTCCTGCTGTTGTGATGTCCAGATTTTTAGCTCAAATATCATCGTAATCGTATGTGCACGAAACAGCGGGTTTTCTGAATGTGTAGACACTACCGTATGCTTTCCGAAGAGCCACCGAGTTCCGAACACGAAGTGCACGAAATCCGAACGAAAAGCACTTCGCACGCGTTTAGTCTCCAGGTTTTTTGTGCGCCTGTGACCTCCTTAAAGGGCTTATGGTTTGAGGTTTAGGTGTAGGGCTTTGCAAAGTGCCACAGATACGTGGAACTGTTGGAAAGTGGGAGGTGCTTGAGCTGCTGGGGCGCGCAGTGGCTGGTGGGGAGGCAGAGGATGTTCGTTTCAAAGAGTATGTTCAGCAGGCAGAGCGGACGGGCCTTGTAGAGTATCACCTCGCTGCGTGTCGTTTCTTCCAGCCATCCTTTGAATTGCTGCACGTGCCCAGGGAGAGGAACCTCTAGCATCATTCAGGAATCTCGGGGAATTTAACTTGAGTTCTGCTGGGTGATATGTCGCAGGATGTTCGTAGCATCGGCTTTGTGGAAGGATCAAACGAGCAACTGAGCTTAGTCCGTAATTAGATACTTAGTTGGGGTTGAAGACCTTCTCGGAGGTTGCTGCTGCCGTGTACTTGAGTGAGCGCATTGAGGCGAGATTCATTGTGGTGCTGAGAGCCAGATTTACTCAGTTCTCTTGGTTCGTGTGCAAGATCATGGACCATGATGGTGTTCGGTGCCTTGTTGAGACTTCTACACTGAACGGCTTAGGCGCGATATGGCGCGATGGAGCTGTAGACCATGACTGCCCATATAGTATCTGACCAATGAGTAGACGAAATCTGCGGCAGAAGGAGCATGAACATGGAGAAACTGCTTCAGTCTACAGTGACAGAATCGCGTTTGTCCTGTCAAAGCGAGCCTCTTGCCGTCATGTTGTGCTTCCGACACATCTGCGCGTATGTCATCATCGCCGCGACGACCTCAGATGCACAGAGTGTGGTGGGCGAGTTGGACGAGTTTGAAGATGCGTCGACGACTATGCCACAAAGTGAATGCGTTTCAGCCAAAGAGAGTACTTTTTTGTCGGTAGAGATTCCGTGCCAACTAAACCTCGGAGTTGCTAGTTATCAAGAAGCGGAAATCGCAGCGGAGGTCCTTACTGCATACAATTAGATGGCAAATGCTACTTTCCCGACCGGGGCGAGCCAACTTGGTGGGAGAACGATCATGAGAAAACCTGCAGCGACTGCTCGTTTTGTGCAAGCGAACATGCCAAAGGCTGGAAGAAAGTCGATCATGACGATTACCATCACGATTGGATATTTGCGATGAAAGGCACCGGCTGCACCGTGAAGAATTCCCTCGGAGAGGAGACACCAGACTGCTTAGAGTCCGTCCAAAATCTGCAATCGGGGAAATATGAACGAGGATCGTCTTGCAGCGTTCTGCTCAAGAAGAAGAAGTACCTGACCTTCGATTCCTTCCTCACAGAGCGGAGCTGGGACCAGCTCAAAGTACTCGACCTCAACGCATCCGATTTGCTTCACAGCTGGAGTGGGGAGGTGGGGTTTTAAAACTTAGGTGACACGAAGGCTCGACGGCGCCCCTTTCTGCACACCACCGCCGCTGTCGTTGTGTCAGTGACGCGGTGTCCACCGTGTCACCCCATCCCCAGTAAAGTTTGATTCCCCCGCCCCCCTCGCCTGCAAGGTGAAGCCATCTGCCCGACTCTTTAAGAACTCCTGGACTATCCAGTGGAAAGCAGACTTCTCCGTGGAGAAGATCCTCTGCTGCAGATACCGGGCTTGTAGCTTGCACCTTCGACCATGTCAACGTAGCTGTAGCATGCTGTAGCTATGTAGCTATCTTAGATACCGCGGCAGCTGTCAGCGAGAAGCGTGCTTTTTGATTGCAGCCACCAGCAACACGGTGACAAAAGCCGGTTCCAGTCCTAAACCTGAGGACTGGCTGGAAGCTTTGCAGTGGCTGTCCTATCGGCAGCCATGATGACTCGCACGGAGAGTGCAAATGTTTGTCTGGCTTCGTCTGCAAGAATCGGAGCCAAAGACAGTTGCCGATCCCTGGATGGGATATCAGCTGGATCCGAAACTGCTCAGACAACAACTCAAATGCGACTCGGCTGCACAGGACAGGCATGTCAAAACAAAGAAGATGGTCCTTGATTGGGAAGCAGCCTAGGCAACCTTCACGCCGGACGCGAAGAGTATCCAATGCATCAGCGAGAGAGAGGAGTTCACTGTTTATGTTGCTGTCATGCTGTCGGGCGCCTTTGAGGTGTCCGCGATGCTCGTGCTTTCAGCGACAGCTTACCTTTTGCCTTTCTGCCTTGGGCTGTACCTCCTTGCAATGGTGGTTTTCACAGTTGCAGCAAGCTGCAACGATTTGGAGCCTCAGCTCAAGCTTTCGTTTCCGGCCGTGCTTTCCCCTCATCTGTACAGTATGATGTTCAACTGTGGTAGGAGCAGTGGGATGTAAGGACACAAAGAGCTGGGAAGCAAAACTGCGCGGCTTCTTCGCTGACTTCTTTGTGGCAACAAACGAGTGTTGGTGCCGCCGGCGTGGCGCCATCGTCTATGCCTCGCTCCTGTCCGTGCTGATGGCCTATTGGACATTTTGTTTCCCGGGAAGCCCGGTTTTCTTGTGGCCATGGGGCATCTTCTATCTCACTTCCTTGGTGACCAGGCTGATACGATGTGCGTGCACCGGGTACGGGAGAGGTGAACACCCATTGTGCCGCTTTGGAGCATTTACAGAGTCCCGAGCCAAGGCAATCTTCTTCTATCACCGTCGTCTGGCGGTGGCTGCCGAGGAGGCTGGAGCATGTCCGTCCTGGTCTCCCAACATCTCCATGAAGCTCGTTTCCCTGCTCTGCTGAATCTGAAACGTTGATGCACCGAATCATCTCTTCATGCCCATGCCTTCGCATTGCTCTGCTCCCAAAGGGGTCCTTAAGAGCTGTGTATCGGTCCAAGAAGTCTCTGCAGGCCAAGCAGATGCTCTCGTGTTGGAGCTGGCAATGCTGCCTTTGCTGTCTATGCTGCTGGAATCCTTTGGGCTCCTGTCTGCCGCTGACAACCTCGGAGACCCTGGAGAAGGCCACTACTCGGACACACATGCAGCGGCAACAGGAGATGCAAGAGATCCAAGAGCCCTTGATGCCATCGGCTACCGGCGACGCGGACATCAGTTCCCCTTTGCACCGCCTACTTGCAAAGTCGAAGGAGGATGTTGACAAGGAGCGTTTGCAGATGCAGTTGTTCAAGCACCTGGTGGACAGGGCCCAGAAGTCCGAAGGCTTCGAAGAAGCGACTGCCAGTCGCCCCGGCACGACCATGCTCTGGTTGGCTAACTGGACGGTGCAACAGCCCGGAGCGAACATCGGCAGCTCCAAAAAATTGCACGCAGCCTGTGCTGAGCTTCTCCCCATTCTGTACTCCTTCCTGTGGTCGCTTGTCGTTGCAAGGATCTGTCTCGAGCACCAAGACGGCTTCCTCCAAATGCCGCTTCCGAGCGCGTTGGGGAATTTCGCCCCGATCCTCGCTGACTACGAGTTCGACCTTGGCATTCTCCCCACTTGCCTGGCTGTGCACTTTGCTTGCATTGCACTCAGCAGTCTCATTCAGAGCAGGGCGTCCGCACAGCGCCTGCGCGAGTGGCTCTACACCTACGGACCTGTTGAGCAGTGGAAGGAGATGTACCCGAAAGCGCATGAGATGTCCGATGTCACCTACGCCTTGCAGGGCCAAGGCGATGATCCAGCACAGGCTGATCCCAAGAGTGATGGCGCAGAAGACATCTGCGGCTTCAAAGTTTTCCGAGAAGATGCAGCCCTCCCGAGCTCCAGAGAGGTTACCCTGAAGGTCGCAGCAGCGGCGGGCACTTTGCTGAGTCTGGGTGGAACGTTGTTCTATTTCAGATACATCAGCTACGGCTTGCAGAAGGCCAGCGGGGACTGGCAGATGAAGAGCACCTTTGCGGTGACATACCCTGTCATCTTCTACTTCCTTCTTTGGTTGCCTCTAGTCTGGCATCGGCTTTTGAATGGGCTTCTCTTTGCGGGAGAATGTTCCCTACTGAAGCGTACTGCCAGTGTCTTCTTTGAGGATGTCTCTGCTGGAAAGGAGACGAGGGGAGATGTAAAGGCGCTGCTCGAGACACTGGGGTGGAAGGTTCAGGACATCTTGTCCGACTGGAGGCTGCTCGTGAAGGTGGGCTTCGTCCTGGATGGCTTCGCTCTTGTAACCGGCGGGATGGCGAGCTACCGGCTGGTGATCCACTACGAAGTGCACCAGTTTGTTCCTGTACTTGCTTGCAACTGCCTAACCATCCTTTCCATGGTTTGCCTGCAAGTGGTGCCCATGGTGAATTGGAATGCCTTCCTCGAGGAGGCTGCGGGGAACGAGCAGAATACCGACCCTGTGCTCTACATGTGGCTGTCGCAAGGCTACCTCAAGATGCAGGTCTTCGGCCTCACTCTGAGCCCGGCTTACTTCTTGGGCCTCGTCCTGTCGCTCGCTGCACTGGCAGAGCCCTACATCTCGGAGGTTGTCACTCCCCCCCTGACAGAGATGCTGACGCAGTGATCCGCAGTGCATCGCAGTGCATGCCAATTCGACATCGCCTTTCACCTGACACTCGTGGCACTGCTGCAATGATTTGCAGTGCCGTCCTGTGCCTTGCTTCTGTTTGCACACGCAGAATCTGACCCCGAACTTCTGTTCCACGCCCGGTCATCAGTTGACTCTGTTCGCACTTCCTAGGCTTTCCACGATGGCAAGCTCACCCAGGAGCTGGCTGACAAGCTGTTCCAGGCCGCCTGCAACTGCGGGCCGCAGACATCCGGACCTCGCCCGAAGCCTGCTGACGATGTCGATGCCGCCGGATTGCCGTTCCTGTTTCCACGCGTTTCCGCTTGAGAGATCCTGAAGCCGCTGCTGCGCCCCAGTGCTGCCGCCGTGAACCCTCGGCTGGCCCGGCCCTCAAAGTCCAGCTGCAGCCCTGGCCCTTGGGTGCTGTGGGATTGTGGCAAAACCAGGCCGGACCATGGTTGAAGTCCCCTTCAGGCAGGTTTGGTGCGTGCCGGTCTCAGCCTCGACGTTGTGGTATTGCCCATGGGATTTTGTCAGCCGATCCTGGCAGGGTCAACCCTCGCAAGGGCTTGGGCCGCTTGCTTGACCGCCTGGCGCTGGCGCGCAAGGATGCCGGGCCCCGGGACACCGAGCATTCGAGGGCTGGGTAGTTCAGTGATCGATCTATAATGTGGGAAAGGGGAAATTTGGCGATGCTCTTTGGGAGCTAAAGCTTGAGTCTTCCTCGGTTGTTGTACCCCAATGAAATCCCGCTTGACGCCATGCGCACGGTTTTTTCATGGGTTTCCTGCTGAGTAAAACGCAGGGCCTCTGTTGCGTGTTTCCTGGGGTTCCAAGGGGTGTCACAAAAGCCGCCTCTTGCAGGCGACAGCCCCATCCAACATCCTCTCGTCCTAATCTTTGTTACGAGTACTATTATTATCATGATATTACTTACAATCATCATCATTAATTAGATTATTCGTATCATTATATTTATTACTACTATCATCATCAGTCATTACACGTAGTATCATTATATGAATTATTAAAAAAGTATGACTATTCGTATTCTTATGAGTATTGTAATTAGTAGAGGAAGCTGAGCCAAAGCGGACCCAGGCAAAGACCGAGGCCAAAGTCGCCGAGGCAGCCGAGGCGACCCGGGTCTGTGAGGGCTTCCGGTGGAAGGGACTCGGACAGGGTGAGTATGAAAATAGTACTATTAATAACGGTATAATGCTACTATAATCCTTATAGTATAATGCTACTATAATCCTTATAGTATAATGCTACTATAATCCTTGTAGTATTATATTATGGTATAATGCTACGATAATACAATAAATCAATTGTACATGGGTGAAGGAGTCCGTCTGCTTCTTCGGAGTGCTTGCGGCCGTGCTCTGCTCCAAATTGCACCGGCTGCTTTTCGGCCTTTCTGCTCTTCTTCTTCGGTTCCTGCCTCTGCTGACCGGACGCGTGCCTGTGTCCTTTCAGTCTTCTTCTCCACACGCGGGTCCTGCCATCCCCCCTCAGGAGTGAGCCTCCGCAGTCCTCTAACCCAACCTGGCAGATGACTGTGTACCGCAGCTCAGAGACCTTCTGTCGATGCGTGGCTTGCACCGGCGAACAGATTGAACTCGCTGTTCTATAGGATCGAACATCTGCGGCCATACTACAGTCCAAATTCACGGCCGAAGACTGTCAACATCTATAAACTGTAAGGCTCTCGGTTGACCACTAAGATGAGCTTGAATCGCATGACCACACCTCCTGCTAGCTGCTGCATGCAAAAGGAGCATGACACCCGTCCGCATGCCCATTCACATACATGAAGGTCAGGACATCTGGCTCGTTGTCAGCCAGATTCAGCCAGTGATTCCGTGCGCGTCCGTCTGCCTGCTGAGCAGCTTCAGAATCATTCAGGATTCCTGAGCAGTCCATCCCGCGCAGGTCATGCAGCGGTTTTGTTCCACTTTGCTGCAGTGATCTCAGCTTTGCCTGTTGCAAGGGTTGCGCTCTGCAACGATGTTCGGTGTCTTTGCAGAGGCCCTTGCTTGCGGCATCCGAAGAAGTTGCCCGATGCCGCCGGCGTGGCCGGTTGGTTCGAAGCTCGGACTCCGAGTAGAAGTGCATGGATTAAGAGCGCCCCATCGAATTCCACGGCGATGTAAGAGTGAGGTGCTTGAACCATAAGACTTGTTTCGCTGGCAGGCATCGCTGGTAGCCGCGGTTTGCGAACAAAACGGGCTCCAGATCAGCCCCGCCTTATCGCAGGCCAAGACCTTGATCACGAATCGTGATGCAATGTTGCACATCGGAAAGTGGGCAATGATTCACATCGTGTGTTCATCATCTTTGCCAGCTTGCAGCCGCAGGCGGCTCTCCAACATTTTGAGGGTGCAGGTCTGCTGCAATCCCAAGGCCCGTACTCACTGGAACTTTCAAGTGCCTCCCCTCCTCCAGTGCCAGCGCGTCGCATCCAAAGGTCGCGATGTTAGCCTGCAAGCCGCCGATGGCAATGGCGAGGACCAAGATCCCTGAGAATCCTGCCAAGTTCGGTTTGTATCATGAGATGAGAGTGGAGCTGTGAGCAAGGGCAACGTCCCTTTGAAGAGCCTCTACACAGACGTTCCGTTGCTGGAGGCGGAATCTGCCAGAAGCAGTCACGTACTTCGCCCTACCCCAGAAGCTCAGAAGCTGACAGGTCTTAGCAAAGAAGCGGATGGATCGCCGAAGGCAGCGGCAGCAGGCCAGATTTCAGGGCACGGTCTGAGTTTGCATGCCTTTTTTTCATGTGCGTGAGATCTTGATGCTACACAGAGTTCGATGGTGGCCTCAGGCAAGAGAAGCTTCGAAGCGCCGCAAACGGCAGCGGACAGAGTAAAAGATCTTGGCACGGGATTTCTGAAGCGGGGCTCATGCGCCCAGTATCTTTAGGTCATGCGGCGATAGAGTGTCCGGCCACTATTGCCAGCAATGCTCAATAGTTTCCTTTTTCCGGTCAATGGCAAGCATACGTCTCAAGATGGCAGACGCCGATACATCATGATATATCTGGGTATCAGTGCAAATGTGATCAAATGTGTGCCCCTGCTCCTGCTCAGTACCCTGTCCTCGATCAATGTTCGAAGTAGCTGTCATGCAAAGCGTAGTTGTTTTGATGCTGCGTCTCTGGTCCAGAGCCCTCTCTGGCAGCCAAGCCGAAAAACCAGTGAGCCTGCATTAGCCTGTACTCCACAGTACAGTATGCCCATCGTTTATACCAGAGTGATGTGCTCGGCTTCGCGGAAAGAGAAGACCCACATCTACCCGAAGCTTGAGGCACTGTTCATAACTGGCATAGCTCTCATCGGGCATGGTCTGCTGATGTTAGGGACCGACGTTTTCGTCTCGGCCGCTGCTCAGGTTTCAGGTTTCGTAGCACGCAGGTCGCGTTGCAAGACAGCTCCAGAACACACTTGCAGTCATGTCCTACATCGCGACAGTGGCAAGCGGAAAGCCAGCTCTGGTACGTACGGCCTGAAAGCTTGGGAAATGGCTCCGAACTCCAGCCAGTCCAGCCAGAGTGGAAGCCTGGAAGCCCTTCTAGCACAGCACTGGCAAGTCTAAGCCATCAGCAGTAGCCTTGCGCACCACTCCCAACATAGTTTCCGCGTGTCTTCAGCCTGGTCCCGAGGTGTCGCGGGATGCGAAGTGCAGGAGAGAACTTCTTCTTGCATCCCCCTAAGCACCCGAGGTTTTCGCAGAATTTTCTGCCCAGATGAGAACTTGGGCACCTCGACCGGCTTCTTCCTTGCTGCTTGCTTGAACTATGAACATATGCAGTGTTATGAATGGATCATTTCGGGCTCTGCCTGGGTTTGGATCTCAAGGATGATCGGAAGATGTTGGACAACGAATAACAGGCTGAAGCAAACGTGAATGGATGCTCTGAACAGGTGAACAACATTGCAACCATCTCGCCTTCTACAACAGAAAAACATGACAAACGACACCCGATTAACGTGTCTTCGGCGCGCCTTTTCACGAGTGTTTTTGACGTCCATGAAAACCAGAGCTCCGTTCTCGGTCCATACCCTAAACCCCTCAACCCGTAAACCCTCAACACCTAAACCCTAAACCGCCTAAACCCCTAAACCCCTGAACCCCTAAACCCCTGAACCCGTGCCAGTTGGGTGCAGGCTCAAGCTTGGAGCGGGGCTCAGAGTGGCATTTCCGGAGCGCTGCGAGCTGCCTTGCAGAGTGGTGTGCCTGAGCCTCGAGTCTAAGGTCTTCTGTTATTCGGAGCGCTCTGCATACTTCCAGAGGTGCAAGAAATGGGAACTTTTAGCAACATTGTTCATTATTGATCTTAATACTATATAGTCCTGATATTGCATATTGAGCATCATCTCATCCGAAAAACCTCCTGCCTCCTGCCTGAAGTGACCTGAAGGCATTCAGCACGCCCGGTCCGCGGCGCAGCAACCTGGCCCAGCCAAGGAAGGCATCGCCCTCCGAGCCTGCGGCAAGGCCCGGCGGAATGCCCGTGTGGTGGGAAAGCCGAGTAGACTTAGAAATAATTAGAATGCACGGGTTTTGGGGTACATAGTAGTAGAACTACAATAAGCAACCCCCTAAATAGTATAGGTAAAAATGGGGTGAAAGAAGCCTGCACAAGCCTGCAGTCCATCGCAGGATCGGAGACAGCTCTGGGCTCACTACTCCCATCTCGGCGGGCGCGGTGGTACCCAGCCACGAATGAGCGTTGGGAGAAGCTCTCTGCATTCTCCCTCTCTTTCACACTTGCTGGACTTCTCTCTGTAGTGAACCAGGATGACAAGCGAATTCAGAGCCGCCTTGCAGCTAAGGCTTGCTTGTTGCTGCTGGCATCCGCCCTCCCCAATGCTGCAGTGGCGCAAGACTTCTTCGGGGGTGGTGGACCTGACGACGGAGTGGATCCAGTCTTAGACGAATCAGCAGCGTCTGCATTTGCAGTGAACCTGTGCAGCACCCAAACCTCGAGCCCAGGACCGTCGCTCCTTGATCGAGAGGCCTTCACAGAAGCTCCGCAGGGACAGGCCCAGGTGATGTTTGCCAGACAGGAGTCCACCACAGCCACCGCCGGCCGACGATAAGGCGCCGGACATCGCCCCGGAGGCGCAAAGTGGTTTTCGAACCGGCAACGCACTTTACAGAGAGACATGCGCAGGAACGCCAGCGGAGAAGGACGACACCATCCACGGATATTGCAAGCGAGGCAAGGTCGTGGGCTATTGGGGAAACGGATCCCGATTTCGACTTCGGCAGGAGTGGTATAAGTACGGCAAGGAGGTCTTTGTTGCCAAATGCGCCGGGCACCGTGCCCAGCTTCACCTCTTTCGATTCAGTACGATTAAACAGGTTCGAGCCTGCTGTCAGCCGTTCGAACCAGATATTCGTCTATTCGTATCGACCTGGTTCCGTGGAGCGCTTAGGTGCCACCCTGGTGGCATGAATCAGATCCGCATTTCAAAGGGTTGCTCGGTTGCAGGAAGTCCCTAACGGCATCCACAACTTCACAGCATCCAGTTCCGAGGTTTGAACGTGGAGGATTTGGAACGATGGGGGCTCTTGCAGGAGGGCTCAAGCCTGTCCCAAATATGCGCTGAGCCGTGACTCTTCCCATCTCTGCCCCCCCGGTGCCGCAATTCCTGCAGGAGCCTCAGAAGATTACAGAGATCATTCGCTATGGGAAAGGCACCATGCCAGGTGCGGCAGCCGGCTTCGCGCATGTTTAAAATGCCGGCAGTTTGCATCGATAAACATGGCAGCTCCAAATCTGCACTGGCGCACACGGGGTACAGACGTTTTTGACGCTGCGCTGCCGACAGGCTTTGCTGCAGACTGTCCCGAGAAGAGCGGTGTTGAGCCGCTTTTTTGCAAATGCAAGCAACTGAAGTGTGGTCCAAGCGGTGTTTGGACCGGCATCTTGACCAGTGCTCTGAGAGTCAGGCAATGTGGCGTCGTCGTTCCGCTCGATGAGGCCCAGTACAGTGAGTAGCTGCCACCGTGGCATACCGTGGCATTTGATGTCTTTCGTGAGAGGCAACGCTCATTGATGTGGAGGACTCCGGTGGCCAGGGTAGCTCAGTATCTAGACATTTGCGTGTCTTAACTTCAACATCCCTGCTTCGTGACTTGAGCAGGATTTCATGATGAACCGTGCGAATTCGGGCTGGAGGGGGCGCGGTTGATCCAGCATTGAGGAGAGGAGTCGACGCAAGTGCGGAAAGAAAGTCTCGAAGACGGTTTTGAGAGTGATATCGCAAGCCGATCCCATGAGCAGCGCAGACACTGTTCCTAAGCAAATGCATGTCATTACATGTCGCCAAAGCCGTTAGCAGGCTTGACGAAACCACCTCCTCACAGCAACAGTATCTGCAGCCAGAAGAAACTGCGCAAGGCTTGTAGAGCACGATGCAAAGAAACTAAGATGCGTGCTTCCCATGCGCAAGCTCAAGTCCGCTCGCAACTACATCATATTACATCATAGTTGCTTCCGTTCTCGCGGGATGGCTCCATGTCCCACGTCTTCTGCTGCCCCCAGCTCAGTTTCACAAGCTTCTCTGAGCACAGCCTGATTTGCTGTGGTTTGCCTGAAGTCCAACTTGAAAGACGGAAGTGCCCTGATTGCACAACTCAGGTGGCCCTACCCGGGGGCCCCTCAGGCCGGCCCGCTATGAGTAAGCGGTTTTCTGCATCTGCAAGGGGCTTCTGAGTGAAGATGCAGCAGGATAAAGTCGAACCCCAACATCATCGTGAAATGACAATAAATGACAAGCCCAACCATGGCGAAACAGACGTCAATCAGTCAGCACTTCATCCATGTGTATCGAAACTGTTCGAAGCTCGAGGATCATCCAAGCCTAAATAAATAAATAGATAAATGCATATATAGAGTCCCCAGGGTGCATTTAGCTGAAGCGTGACCCCGCAGGCAGTACTGCCGGAGGATCCCGCGAGGGCAACCGCTCGCCTTCCGCAGCTTCGCCCCGAACCCAGACTAGAGCTGTTCACTCATAGTTGTCAATACTATTTTGGGGCTTCCTTATTATAATAATATAGTATTATGGGCCCCAGAACCCTATTCTAACTATTAGGGCCTTTATTCGCAGGTAGGCTTTTCAGGCAAAGCCGTCAAAACGACACTTATAGCAAGACCTGTCACACTGAGGCATCGCGGCTACTCCCAGCAGCGCGGAGCCTGGCACATCCTGTCATGGAGGGCCTAGACAGCCTCGGGCGGGACTCAGCGAGACCCAGAGGCATCAGCAGCGCGTGGCTGTCAACGCAGAGGGCCGCTTCCTGGCTCACTGGGACACTAAGCTGCACTTGTAGACGAGGAACACGTGGAGTGTCGAGATCAAGCTTTCGAATGACATTCGGTTTGGCTGAGGATGAGTTTGTGGAGCACAGGCGTGAGGCAAGATGCAACCCCGCACAAGTCACTGATGGTTCTTCCCCTTCTTTCTGCATGCCATGTGTGTCTGTTTTCCTCAAAAAGTGACTTCCCATTTCTTTGGTTATCGATGGTTGCGGCGACGGACACTATTTTCGCCTTGAGCCCTGACTCGTACTGGTACAAGCAGCCGCTCCGAGCATGTCCAGGTGCAAACGAAACTCGAGGAGGCCTTTGAGATGGCCAGCGAGCGCCGAGAGGCTGGGCAGCGACCTCAGGTAACCGATGGCTATTGGGATTTGGGAGGAAGGGCCTGGCAGTCGCAGCTTGAAACACCGGTGCTGCTGTACAGTAATTTAAAAATTAAGTTCGGAAGACGACATATCAGCAGCATGGCTTGTCGCAAGGTTGTGTGGGGGACGTTACTTTCAGATCATGTATATTTGCCTAGTACAGCAGGCCAGGAAAATGCTGCACTAGAACTACGCATTTACAACAGCGACGCGGAGTCTATGCTCCCTGAATCCAAAGCCCGAAAGAAAGACTGAACTCTAAATCTAAGACCTAAGCCCTGGATGTTGCACGCGTCTTCACCCCTCCAGCTCGTCTACTCACGAAGCGCCTTGGAGTTGATTGATAAAACAAGCAGAGGCGATGGTGTAGGTATAATAAACAGCCTGAAGAAGCAAAGGGATTTAATCTAAGTTGCCATCAAGAGGAAAGTATCTTGTCTACTATAGATCCCTTTTAAACTTTTATGGTAACTTGCAGTAAGTTCCTTAACAAGAACCCAGGATAGGTATGCTTAAACGGGAGTTTCCGAAATAGGGGACTCTAATATAGCACCCTAAACAGTAGGATCCTTATTATAAGGACCCCAAAATAAGGGTACTCCTAATTTTCGGAAACTCCAAACTTTTATAGAGCCCCTTAAAGGAACCCTTATAGTACCCTTATAGTGGACCTTTAAAGGATCCCTGTAAAGGTACCCCTAATTTTCGGAAACCGCAAAGAGAGGGGGCGGCAGAAAAAATGCTCCGAGGCTCCGAGTCGCTCGGCTCTGCCAGAGCTTGGAGACGAAGGCCCTTGGATGCTCTGTATCTGTATCTAATATGCAGTATTCGCTAGGTAATTAAAAAAAATATATATAGATATGATACATGGTATGGAATATCTGGGTATCTAAAGCTGTGGCATTACAGAGACGGAGGGCCCAAGTTGGACTGAAACTCCCGCGTCTGCAAAACGATGGCGATTTCAGGTGGAGCGGCTCTCGAGGCAGGCGAAAGAGCAGGCCTCCAAAGGTGAGGTCTTGGAGGACACTTCGCAACAAGCGAAGTGTGAGAGATGAGCAAGTAACATCCAACTGCATCCTTTGGCTACTGTCTATTGCCAGGACAGGCTGAGCTCCCAGGCGAAGGGCATGGAAGCCTGCAGAGAGGCTCGGCTCCTCTTTGCGTCGGACGCGCAGCATGCTGCAAGTCGGGTGTATGCAAGATGTGGCTGCAGGCCGTGGAAGGCTTGAGGGATAAGTTCCAGCGCAACGTGCAGGACCTGACCGAATGAAAGCGGCTTTAGCTAGGGACTCTTTTAGTAGACTAGAAAGCCAGCAGACGGGTCTTCGTGGCATTCACTGAAGGGGCGCTGAGGCGTCGCTTGCCAGGACATCGGGGGCTCCCTTGTCTCAGCACGCGCGGAGCTCACGGAGGATTCGGAGCGAAGGCACCAGAGCCTGCAGGAGGCTGGGAGGGGCTTGGCCACGTTTGCTTCCTGTCCTTCTCACCGTGATCTTTCCGGGGCTTGCGCTATTCTGCTTCGTGAAAGCGCTATTTGCCCTCTTCAATTGAAGCTTGAGATCTCCTCGCATGGGTTTTGGGGTGCAACCCCCGTTGAGACAAACTTGGTCTTTGGATCTGCCACGTAGTGAGCGTATGGCATCAACAACATCCTCCATCGTTTTCAAGACACAGAACCGCCGACCAGAAGCATGAACATCAAAGAGAGCAGTGTTGGGCACCGTGCCCAAACACTGTCCCGTGCTAAACTTATATCTGTGTATCTCCAGCGCCAATTCCTGTCCATATGCTCGACGTTGCCGAGTGACGGAATGCAAACACTTAAATATGATATTATATAACAAAGCGGCCCGTGTAGAGATTCGGACCTCAGGCCATGCGCAGGGGCGACCGCTGCCTGGCCGAAGAGTTCTTCCGGAAGCTACAGGAGTCCGGTGAGAAGCCGGGGCCTCGAGGGCTCGGTGAGTCGATGCTCTGAGTCGGAAGCCTCTATGCGGGGTCCCGCGAGGCTCTCCGGCAATTTGCAAGTCCTGGAGGCCTGCTGAAATTAAACAGCACTCGTTGTCCGCCTCTGTGTAAGCTGTATTGGGTCAGGATGCCTTGGCCACCTTCGTGCGGCAGACCCGCGTGCAGATCGCCGACTTGAGCGAGCAGCTGGAGGCGGCGAGCTTTGGGATGCGTTGCGGAAGCTCCAGACTCGGACTAGCATATGGCACCCTGCCGGCGAAAGCTCAAGGGAGTCAAGTCGCGAGAAGTTTCTCACTTAGTGCAGCAGCGACACGCATCGACCCTGCTCTGGGAGGCCCGCGCTAAGGATCACGTCGCGCTGCGAGGGCAGGCATCTGAGCGTGGGCCACAGTCGGTTTTACATTTGACTTGAGGCTCACACGTATTGGATTTGTAGTGCATGTCTGCAACGTGGGCCTCAGACAGATACAGGCGGAGGCTGCTGTTACCAGGAGCTGGGCTCTGTGGTATGTGCTACGTGCTACAGTAGATGATCAGTCGAAGCGAAAGCACGGATCCTTCGTCGCAGTAGGTGGCCCGGTTATCGGTGAGACGAGAGCTGGACTGGAAGCGCTCCCATGCCAAATCTCAGCCAACGGAAAACATCGATGTCCTGAGGCTCTGCAAGTTCGAGGCTCACGGGTTCGCTGTCCGATGTGTTTCTGGCTATAACTATCTCTTGAACAGTTTTGGACTTCTTTCTGGCTTGATGTGCAGCGAGAGGCATATGTATTGGCAGAGACGCAACCCCCATTGATAATAATAAGTGTCCCGAACAGGCTCGGTACCGTTCGGTCACTGAGCGGCGTATGTTCTGGGCAGACCGTCCCTCATGCCTTGTCCTGCTTGCTCACGCAGTCTGTCCGTGGGGCATCTGGCAAGGCGCACATTGCTGCTTTGCAGGAGGTGAGGCATTGCAATATCTGGCAGAGCTGAAGTGGACAGTAAGCCAAGCTATTCTTCTTCAGAGGTGCCGTGAAAATGCTTAGGCTCGCAGTGCACGAAGCCAACCCTTTCCAGGAAGCTGCTGCGCTAGCTGCGCGTGCGGACGCCTCGGAGACCTCGAGCGGCGAGCAGGCCATGGCTGCAGCTCGTGCTTATAGTATAGTAAATACGTTTATTTAAGTTCATAATATTATTCTTATTATTCGCACTACTATTATTACTATCAATACTATTACTACTACTTTTATTGTTATTATTACAAATACTATTAGTATTATGCTTATTATTTGTTTAATAATTGGTTATTGGCAGGGAAGCTACATGTGATTGCCTTGTGAGGCAACTTGGATTCTTGTCGAAGTTGTCATGACATAAAGTCGTGGAGACTGAAGCCACGCTTCCCATCGGAGCTTGACAGGCACGGCTGCTGACAACTCTCGAAACGAAGCTGACGAAGCTGCAGGCATGCTTCGCACATGCCGTGCACGTGCCACATATGCAAGCTGCGTGTATCAGAATTTGACATACCATGAAGCACCTGTCAGAACGAGGAGCATGCTCGGGCAAGCAGTCAAGCAGTGAGGCAATGGCCACGAGAGGAAAGAGACAAGTCCCAAAACTGTTACCTCGGAAAGATCGCAGCGCTAGTCCTGCAATTCTTATAGCAAATCGCAGTGGCCCGAAGTTCCAAAACGACACCAAGTAGACTTTGGGAAGCCTTCGAGACGCAGCGAGGACGCTTGTGCCCGTTTTGATGGCCGAGCCTCTGCCGCCGAGGCACCACAGCAGAAAGAGCGGCAGGGGCGTCCTAGGAAGTGTACAACATGCAGCCTAGCCAGAATGTTGAAAACATCTGTAAGATCCGGGCTGGGGATGTTGGGTAGCGTCAGGTTCCCAGGTCCAAGCCGTTTCCTTAACCCCAAGCCCTCAACTTCTGCGAGAAGGAGGGCTCAACAAAAAGCAACTTCTGCGAAATAGTTCCACAAATCTAGTCTAAACCCTGAACCCCAAAACCCTAAGCCAAAAGCCCCTATACCCTAGACCCCTATTCCCTGAACCCTAACACGAAAGCCCTGAACTATAACTTAGGGGTACTTAGAAATAACTTTTCATCTTTGGTTATTCTAATCCCTAAGAAACAGCAAAAAACTCTAGTTTTGCTCGGGGTCTAAGTCCAGCAAAGGCAAGGGATCTTTAAGGGTTCCTTTAGAAAGGGACCTAGAGGGGATCGTCCTCTCTGTCTCCAGCTTTTGCCGAGGAGGCTCTCGAGAGCCGCTCGCAGCAGGTGGCCGACCAGTTCCGCGAGGCCCATGGAAAAGTATGTAACCCCAAACCCTAAAAAGGGATTTTGTATATCGAAAAACACTAAAAGGGGATTTTGCATATTGAAAAACCCTGAAAGGGGATTCTGTGTATTGTAAGAGGTGTATGAATGTATATTAGCCATACAGAAGCTCTCATAGCTTCACTTTGGAGTCACCCTTGTAGGAGCTTTTGCAACCCTTATAGTTACCCTTGTACATGCGCCCCCCCCAAGCATGACGCTCCGATAAGAGGCCTCAGAGCAGACCGCCTCAGCCATCGTCCGCGCGAGGGCGGACCTGGCGGACTCCATCAACTCTGCCCGGCTCTTGCGGTTAAGGCTTCAGGGCTTTAGGGTTTGGTTTAGGATTTTGGATTTCGTGTTAGAGTTTAGGGTGTGAGGGTCAGGCAAGGAGTCTTGCTTATGTTTGGGTACTAGAGTGAGAGGTTAGGTTGCTCTCGCTTGGTGCTTTTGTTCCGGCTGCTGGCATGATTCTTGTTCTGCTACGGATATGGCTTCTCAGAGAGCCAGTGTTTGAAGCACTGATCGTGTTGACTCCTGGGGGACCGTCTTGAAGATCTCTCCTGTGGTTTTACGGGTTCAAGCGAGATGTGGTCTCCTGCTTTGGGATCTTGTAATGCTGATGTCTGTGCGTTCGCCAACATCGAGGCTGTGGCTTCGGTCCGGGAAGACAGCAAAGAGGCTATGACCGGTAACGACAATTAAGCTCTAGATTCAGACTTTCCCTGCCGAATGAGCTGTTGCTCTTCTGCATGTTGTCGCTTCGCACAGGGCAGGGAGAGCATGCTGCCGGCTGGTTGAAACACCAGGAGCCATCAATAATCCGCTGACAGAGGCTCAAGCAAAGGTCCGGAAGTACAATCACGTAGACTTGCCTCAGCCAAGGTCTATGTCAACGCCAACAACTAGGAACGCACCCCATGGCATCACATTGGCAGGTGTTGCAATGGGAAGACCATCCCACCGAAATCGCATAAGAATCTCCTAGACCTGAATAATTGTGGTGATATAGTCGTATCAATAAAGGCAATGAAAAGATGAAAAGATTGCTACGAACGATAACGATAGTAGCAATAATACTAGTAATTGGGCGAGAGCTGGGGGGTACTCAGTTTCGGCCAGGCGCTCCGAAACCTCGAGAGTGGAATGTCTGCAGACTTGCAGGCCAACCCCTCGGAGGGCTGATCCCAGCTGTCTGCCGTCTTGATCCAGGGTTGATGCGCGTGCCATCGTCCTCACTGACAGTGCTTGCTGGTTGCCGTGCAGACTGGTTCTAGATGGTTGCTTCGATGAGCATCTCGTCCGATTCCTGGGACTTTACTTTTCCATCCACCCTAAGCCAACTGACCTGGGCCTCAGGTTCTGCGGGACGAGCTCCGCTCCGGCGTGGCCCTGGGCCAAGACCGGCTCCAGGATGTCGCCGTGGAACTTCGTGCGGGTCTGAGCAGCGGATTTTCTTTCAGGCTCAGAAGTCGGAGAGTCCGGTTGGACTGCAGGGTTTACGCAAAGACATGGCTAGTGAAGTGCTGCCTTGCCAGGCAAGCGGTTGTTACTGTTGTTTTGCGACCAGCAGCTTGCGGTAACTCTCGAAACACGGGAAGCAGTGCAACCCTAAAGCCCTAAACCCCAAAACCCCAAAACCCTAAACCCCTCAACCCCTAAACCCCTAAACCCTAAACCCCTAAGTACCCTAACCTGCATACCCAGGTCGCGATGTGGCCGAAGCCTCGGAGGCCTCGCGCTTGAACGGCCGCGAGCTGCTGGCGCTCATCGAGGCCACGATGCAGTCTGAACTGTAGGGCTTAGGGGGTTTAGGGTTTTAGGGTTTAGGGTTTAGGGTTTCCGGTTTAGAGTTTAGGGTTTTAGGGGTTTTAGGGTTTAGGGTTTCGGGTTTAAAGTTTAGAGTTTAGGGTTTTAGGGGTTTTAAGGTTTAGGGTTTCGGGTTATGGCTACTCTGCTGCAGCTGGTGTTCTTTAAGCGGGCTGCATAGATGATCCTTAGTGCTGTCATCTATGACACTCCGCAAGAGGCTCGGGCAACCTCGAGTCAGGACACGCCGCAGCACTAAGCTTTGTCGGAACTCGAGCGGATGCCCGCCTAAAGCCCGCCAAAACTATACAGAGTATATGATACAAAATATATAGTACATAATATATAGTATGTAACACATCCCTGTCTATCCCTGTTCGCTATCAAGCCGGGCCACTTCCCATGCTGCCCCATCCGCTTCCACGTCTCCGAAAACGTCCCCAAGTCAGGAGCTTCAGGGTCAGTTCCTGGAGTCCCGGAGTGAAGCGCGGAGGGGCCTGGAGGACGGGCCGAGTCCAATCTTGGCCCTGAAGGGTTCTACTAAATTCAGAAGATCAGACTGATTTGCAAAATTGACTAGGTTAGAGATTTGCCAAGTTTCGGCTGTGACAAACAGAGGCTCCATCGATAAGTAGTGTTCGTTGGAGTCATTGCGCGAGCTGTGTTGAATCTGCACTGATGTGGGCTTAGGTCCTAGGTTTGCTATCTCAATACGCATATGAGGGGTACTTAAGGTTCTCCTTGTAAGGCAGCAGAACTTTCCGGAAAAGCTGCTCAAGACACGGCATCAAGACGTTTTTCGATGCATCGCCTCATCCTAGAGCGTTCTGTTTTGTTTTGCCTGCCCTGTTTCCTTCTAGAGCTGTTAGGGCTGGTCCGTGCAAGCTCGTGCAGGACGTGGCCTCGTCCACGCGCTCCGAAGCACAGGCCGATCGCCATCGCGGGGTGATGCGGAAGTGTCGAAGCCTGCAACCTCTAAAGACCACGTCTCGGAGCAGGCCGGCATGGATGACTTGAAGACGCAATTGAGCGTGCTGCGCTCTGACTTCATGGAGGCGCCGGTGATACAGCCTTTCCTTCGACTCATTGGGACTCCTCGTTCGTGGAGTTCGCCAGGTCCGCATGCAAGTGAAAGCGTTGACGGACGCCATGCCGGTCGTGGACGAAAGCTGTGTCAACTTGCCGTCTCCTGAGACACAGGAGCTGTCAAGTTTTTGTCTTCGGCACCTATCAGGCCGTGTCGTTAGACAGCAGTGTCTGTCGTGGCAGTGCATCCACAAAACAGAACACACCTGGTCGGTATGCCGGTGGCCACAAGGCGACGTGGTCTCCACGATTCAGCAACCGCCGCCGGCAAAGCGCAAAGCACGGCCGGGGGCCCCAAGCTGCTTTTGACTGTTCGGGTATTGGTTGAACTGGGTTACATGTCGACAGGGTGCCTCATGCTGCGGGTTTGGCTCCTGCCAGGCTTTGGGAGTTTCCTCCCACCGGTCGTGAATCGATGGCGGGGGTTTACCTGTCTACATGCTCGACTCAGAGCAAATACGCCTGTCCGCCAAGGCGGATGATGCAGCTGCCGAAACAGCACGTCTGCAGTCCTTCGTGGAGGCTGGCAGAGCAGGACAACAGACAACATATGTAGTTTCTCCAGGAGTCTGATTCTCTACCACAGAGAGAGAGAGAGAGAGAGAGATAGAGAAACATGGCATGTTCGGAGTGCGGGGGCAAGCCAAGCCAGCACGCGTGTCAACAGTCTCACACCCAACACCACCACGGCGTAGCGCTCGCGCGCAGGGGTGGTAGGGTTCGCCCTTACCCCCCCACACGCCCTGCAAGCAAGCAAGCAAGAGATAGAGAGAACGAAATATTGTGTATAAGCTGTAGAAGAGAAAGATAGTAGATATCACATACTTTGTAATCCACAGCCCCTTCTGCATAGCATGTTCCGATGTGAAACAGGCCCAAATAGTCGGTCGGACAGGAGCGAAATGCTGTTATACATGATTGTTACTAGCGTCATGAATGTTTTCAATGTGTCAATTCTTCAATCAATGTTATGACGATTGCAGTTGTTGTCTTTTTCTTATTGTTGTTATTATTAGTATTATTACTACTCTTATTGTTATTGTTATTGTTATTATTATTATTATTATTGTTATTATTATTATTATTATTTTCTTGATAGTGTTGTTAAAGCCTTCATCGGATTGGTCATCCCCAGGGCTTCCTCCGCGGCTGCTCGGCTCACAAGCGGACCCCGAGTCCCTGAACGAAACCCTTTTTCTGCTTTCTCCCTCAAAAAGAGAAGCGCCATGGAGGGGCTTGAAGAAGCTCGGCGGAAAGCTGTTGCGAGTCCATGTTGTTTTTATTTCAGTTGCATGGTTGCATGGTTATATCTGGTAATGCTTCTGAGGCGCTCAAAATCTCTGAAGACAAAAAGAAGCGGCTTGGTTGAGATGCAGAGGTTGGCCACAAAGGCGGTTGCGAACTGATACGATTTGGAACAGAAGCGAAGATAGAACCGGCCAGCGACGAGATGCCGGCTCAGACCGGAAGACAGAAGTAGGTGAACAATGGTAGCAGTCCAGGTACATCATGGACTTGTTGAATCCTGTGCTCGAAGAGATGGTGGCAGAGTGCATCCACAAGATGCCCAAGGACCAGACTTCAAACTGCTTGGGACTGTCTGTGACTCCTGAGTGGGGGCATCGGTTTCTCTGCCAGGATCCCGTGCCTTTCATGTTGGACTGGCCCCTCGGCCCTTCAAGAGCGAGGTTTTCCAACTTGGGTCTAGCGGGTTGTTCTATTCCTTTAAGCGGGAGCCCCAAACAAGCAAGCTGGACACCAGCATTAGCTTCGAGTACTACGCAAGGCCTCCATCTCTTGAAACCCCGTGATTCAGCGCCCAGGCTCGAGAGCAAGCGGGCCTCGGAGGAGGCCAGTGCCAGTACTTCGTGGAAGCCGCAACCGATCTTTCCGATCTTTGCGCTGCAATGCTGCGAGGACAAGAAGCTGAGTCCGGAAGAGAAGGAGAAGCTGGTCAAGGAGAATGAGGAGCTGACGGGAAAGGCCCGAATCCCAAGCTGCAAACCCTGTCCGTCTGCCTGAGACCACTCCTCCCAAGGTCAGCAAGCTGAAGGGCCAGGCCGCCTCTTGCGTGTCGGTGGGTCTCCTAACTAGACCCTTGAGGCCGTTGAGAATGGTTTGGGTGTAGTTTTGGGTGGCTCGGGTTTGATCTGCCGCGAGGCGAGCGTGGTTGTAGTGCAAATGAGGAGTAATTAGAGCTTGTTATGCGATCAAGTTTCAATCGGTCATGGGCAGTCTATGTTCGATGCGGCCACCCCACCTACTGCAAGCCCCCGAAACCCTGAAAGCCACGTGAGGGTTTCGCCTGACTCCAGCGCGTCAGCACTGCTCATGCAGCAGCAAAGCATACCCTGAAGTCTGTGAGATTCGGTGTTCAGTCCTGCACGATTCCTAAACCCTAAACCCTAAATCCCAGCTCGTAGCTTGCGCCAGGTGCAGGAGGCGGCCAAGATGGCGACAGAGAGCGCTGCAGCGGCAGATGAGGAGGAGGAAGAAGAGGAGGACGAGGAGAACCCAAGTGACGAGCATTCACTTCAAGGGAGCTGCTTGTAGCTGAATGGCAGGGTCAGGGACCTGAGAATTCAGAAGCTGCAACTCCGGATCCTGTCGGAGGATGATGAGCCGCCTCCGGGCTGGGAGAAGGACATGGACAACCGTGCGTCCTCTCCTGAGCTCAGAGCCATCTTGGAGGTGATCGGGGCTGCTTGCTTTGTGCACTTCCCCCGACCTGAGTCGAACAAGCGTCTCTGCGGAAGCTTACGGCGAGTGGCTTCTGGGCAGCACACGACGTATACGACTCCGATCTTCGCAGATAGTCAGGTGAGTTGCTGGCCGCATCTTTAGCAAGCAGGTCAGAAGCACGTCCTCACCAATTGGAGGTTGCGGGTTAAGGTTCGAAGGTGCTCATGGATCTGCAGGCTTCACGTTCCTGTATGTCCCCCTGCTGCAGTAAACTTCCAGCATTGTGCTCCAACCTTGCCGAGGAACGCAAAGAAGGCTTTCGTGCCGCCTGTGCACATCAAGTCCGACGAACAGAAGGAACGTCTCAAGGCAGGCGTCGGTCTATCCCCCAGCCGGCAGGTGAGTTTGGCCTTCTCCATGACACGCCCCTTGTTAGAATCCGAAGTTTCCGCTGCCGTGACAACAGTAGCATTGAACTGGCTATGCAGGGGCATATCTCGTCAAAGGTAGTTTGTTGGTTCGCATGGCTCAATGACTGCAGGGCTGCTTGGTGAAGTCCTTCCTCTTTTCCAACCTGGACACGATGCTCGGACGAACACTGCTTGAGGGCATGTGGAAGGTACCGGTGTGGCTACAGATGCAAAGGGTCATGCTGCCAACAACTTGTTGCGCATGGCTCGACTCGATCATTCTCCGACTGTAGTGCTGACGGAACCAGGAACGATCTCAACATCGTGATTGGCGCCATGACAGAAGTGCAAGAGAAGACCGGTACTCGGGTCATCAACCAAGGCAGTCAGAAGTTTTTTGTGAAAGCGGTAGCTTCGAATGGAACCAGCTCTACAGACCGGCAGGTGACAACGGCGACTTCCTGTTCGTCATCGAGTCGGGCGTTCTTGAGCAACTCAGCTTGCCGTCGGTCAGTTGTCAGTCTCTTTATCAGCTGATGGCACAGATGCTTCTGATTGCTGAACCGGGGCTTGCCACGACATGGAAATGCTGGAAAGTCTGCGAGCCGAAATCACTGAATTGTGATTCAATTGAGCCCCGTACCGAGTTGTTCGATCAAGAAGGGTGAGGACGGCGAGGAGACTGTGGTGAAGAAGTGCGAGCCGGGTGACGTGTTTGGTTGGCCACCTAGCCGTTTCTGTTGCGCTCAATTCTGGCAACTTGCGTACGAATGCGTGCGAAGACGTGGGAAGGGAAGCTATGTCTTCAGGTGAGCTTGCTCTGCTGTACAACTGTCCCCGTGCCGCCTCAGTGGACGCAAAGGCACGCAAGGTTTGTGCAGTGCTGACGGAGTACTCAGAGGCACCCTTTCAATGACCGGTTCACTGCTTTCCAGGAAGACTGCGTGCTTTGGAAGCTCGACCGTGACACCTTCAACCACATCGTCCCTCAGCGGAATTGCTTCCGCGACAGCACTTACCAACTTCGCGGCGTAATTCGTATCACAGTAAGGCTCGAACGACCATCGTCTGACCACTCACCTCGCGATAAGCACTTCTAGCGGCTGTCCTTGAGAGCTCGCGATTGCTGCTGTTTCCCCTGCTGTTGTTGCTGCTGCCGCGGCCATAGAGCAGTGATAGCAGGCCGGCGGACAGCACAAAGCAGCTGCTTACTGCTGGCTTCTTTGTTCGTGAGACCTAGGTGAAGGAGGCAGCCGAGAAGAAGCGTCAGCGGTATGATGCCTTCCTCAGCAAGGCATGAGGGCGTTAGGGAACCCGCCGAACGGTGCTGCTGTGTAGAAACCCAGCCCTCCACCCCACGTCCGCAAGAGCGTTTATAAGTCCTGCACTCCCAGACCCTTGTGCCGCACTACATGGCAGCGCTTACCCGGACATACCCTGACAAGCAGAATCGAAGTCGCTCTTTGAGGTGCCGCTGCTCTCGTCCATGGATGCCTACGAACGCTCCCAGCTTGCTGATGCTCTCAAGGCCCTTCCACGTTGGCGTGCTGGATAATTCTCGGATTCGGGTGGTGTTTGGAGTTTCAGTGCCGGTGTTTGCGGCTAGTGGTAGCAGCTTTGCCGTAATTCAAGGCCACCGCCTAGCACAGTACTTGGCCTGGCACTTGTACAGAGGTGGAGACCTTCGAGCAGGGTCAGAAGGTCATCACCGAGGGTGAGGAAGGAAACAAGTTCTACATCATCGAGGCACCCATTGCACCTCACCGCCTGAGCCATCCTGAACCCAACAGTTCTCCGTGCCAAGTTTTACGGAGTGTTCGAATCGCCAGGACGGCCTGTGCGTGGCCACCAAGGGCGAAGTGGAAGTCATGAGCTATGCGGCTGGTGACTACTTCGGCGAGTTGGTGGCTTGCTCGGAGCAGCCAGTTTCCCTTTGTGTGCAAGACCAGCTTTGGAAGAGCTGCAGTTGTCAGAGCGAGCAGAAACCAGGCGCTGATCAACAACAAGCCGCGTGCTGCTACCGTGGTGGCCAAGGGGGATGTCCGGGGCTGAGACGTGATCTCGCATCTTCTCTCATCCGATGAGGTCATTCACAGCTTCTCCGAAGTTGAACCCTTGCCCTGATATTAGTAAGAAAGAGCGGGGTACGACTTGCGGGACAGGGTCCCTGGATCATGGGGACGTGACCGGAACATGTTCGTCTGCAGTTGAGTCTAGCATGACAGGGATCGCTATCAACCAGCGGAAACTTAGTAAACCTTGGGCCCCGAAAGCAGTGCGAAGCCCTGGAGTTGTGCCTTGTGCAGATATATAATTGAAAGTGTACAAGGCGACTAGGAGCTGCCCGTTTAGACCTCACGCCCGCTGGATCCTTCCTACGCAAGACAGCACGGCCCTAGAATGCCCCACTCTTTCAGATCTCTGCAGGCCAAGCTGCTGAGCATCGACAGCCGCAGCTTCAAGCGTCTCCGGGGCCTGCATTGAGTTGCATCGATGCATGGAAAGCACATGTGCTTCTCGATGCTGTTCGCATTGTCTCGGTGTGTATCGCCTGCGCTGGTGTCACCGGTGGCACTTTTGGCTCCATGAGATGGGTCTGCGCGGCTCAGTTCTTGTCAAGGTGGAAGGCCTGCAAGCATGGTAGAATTATGTTGAATTCGAAGGCTCTGGCATTTGTCCATCGCACATTCTGAACTCGGACGCGGGCCATTGCTTTTGCCAGGTCTCATCAACGTTGCCGACCTTATGTCAAAGTCCTCCAAGTGCCCATGCGCAGAAGTCCAGACTTCGGGCCTGCATTTGGACTTGTACTTAGCTGGGTACAACAGCTGTTTTCCTGGTCCCAGGCCATCGCGTTTTTCGGGACCCCTCTTAGCTCGGCTGTTGTGAATTATTCGGAATCACACAGACACACATGAGACACGTCAGGGTCTGACGGTTGTGCCAAACGAGTTTGTTTAGGTTGCGACTGTCGGACAGTCGATAGTCTACTGTAATGAAATCGAATATAACCTAGTGTGCTATGCTAGACTAAATACTGTCCTGTTCTATACTTACGAATACTGTACTATACGATACTGTAGTATGTACATGTGTGTACAGGTATGTGTATACATATACATCTATATATGTATGTGTATATATATATATATATATATATGTATTTCAACTGGTTCTACAATGCAAGCCATTCGAGCATGTGTCGCTGAGTTCTGTGTGCCAGGTACACGTGATTCCGCTGAGGCCTTGCGAGCCCATCGCCCCTACGGGGCCCCTGTAGAAGTCCACTGCAAGCAAAGATGAGCACGGTCTTCAACCGTTCTGATGCGAACTGTGAGTGTAGGTTTTGCTGCATAAGCGGCACCACGGACCCGGGAAGAACGCAAGCACTTGACCGCCTTTGGGCTTATTGATTTATGGTTTTGCTGTACTAAAACACCGAAGAAAAGGCCCTCGTCTAATTATTAAGGACCGTTTTGGCAGAGATCACTGTGACTTCGAGTACTGGAGCCGGGCCGGTAACTTTTCTCATAAAATGCCAGCTGTGTTTCTGTTGCAGGATCCTTTCTGGAACAGAGAGATTTTCACCCTTTCCCTCATGCCCAAGTCTGGGGCACTGAGAGTTGCTGTCAAGATAGCAGAGCTCATTGCATTCCATCCATGCTTGGGTCTCCAGAGGCAGCGGTTCTGTAAAGGCTGAGTGTGGCAACTGATGGCATGCTCACAGTGGCAGCGATTGCGTTGGCGATTGTGACATGTTGAAGGCTCCTTGGGTCTCATGCGGATTGGGCTCACTGCTCACAGAGTTTGGTTTTAAAAGAACCGATAAATTTCATCGATCCTCAAATTGCCCCGAAGCAGAATCTGTCCCCAAGTCGCGAAGACTTTAGGTGTTCTGGGTGAGCCATCTCGGCTTTCTCTGTTGGAGGTGCAAGGTAGATCTATGAGACGTAGAAGGATCCCGAAGCAAGCTACCCCTTCTAAGAAGCTCCACCACGCGACCCCCGGACTTAGCTTCGGGATCTCGTGGTAAAACTATTGTTACTGTTGTTACTGTTGTTACTGTAATTATTACTGTAATTATTATTGTTACTATTATTGTTACTATTATTGTTACTATTATTGTTACTATTACTACTCTGAGCTCGTCTGCCTGGGAGCCCTGGAGCCTGAAAGGCCCCAGGGGAGAGACTCCGAAACATGCCGGGGCCACAAGCGCAGGATGCGACAGCTATAAGGGTAGTATAAGGGTACTATGGGGCTGCTATAAGGTTACTATAAGGTCACTACAAAGGGACTGTTGAGTAGTGGAACTCTTAGAGTCGCGCGATTCGGGACACCCCGCCCACGAAAATCCTAAACTTGCGAAGGTAGTCACACAGCCCTGGCGTGTTTTATGTGGTTGGATTGACAAGGAGCGTCTGGACGATTTGTGCACAGCCATGTTGAAGTCATACTCGAGATGCTCGTAACTTTTCTTGTGGTCTCGATACAAGATCCCAAGCCGATCCCAGCAGCAGCAGTCGCGCACTTAGTCACCTCAACCTCAGCCCATGAACCGCGAAAACCGAAGCATGAGTCGGAGTCGCCGATTTCCTCTGAACGACTCGACATGAAGGTACCGTACCTTCCGTACCTTGATGCAGTAGCATGGGCTGTTCCAGCCCACGCAGTGCCAAAAACGAAACTCCGACTCAAAGGGCGGGTTTCTCAAGCCAGACTCTGCGGCCGGTTGGCTATCTTTGCAGTACGCAGCAGACACTGATCACGAGCATCATGGGCATCATCGTCATCAGCTTCTTCTTCATCGTCACCAGCAGCATAGTCAGCATTATCAACGGCACAATCGTCAACATGATGCACAGTGTCACCCTTACAGCTCCCTCTTTGCAATCAAGCTCATTAACACTTGCAGCCTTTGTTCTCCTTTGCAGCCGCCGCACGAGTCTTGCTTGGCGACTAGTTGATGCAGTGCTTTTTCTGTTGCGAGAGCGGATCATTAGGTAGGAGCACTCCTGGAAAGCAGTTACAGTATTTTACAGCGGTGATCGGAAGTCATCATGTTGGCCTTCGAGAGGCTCTGAGGGTCCGAGAGATGCAGGGCAGACTGACGTCGCTGTTTGTTTCGCGCCCGAGCGAAGCACTCTTCCGAAGGTTTGTCACGCTTTGCCCAATTCATATTGCGGCTCTCACATGCTGGCAAGACGTCAACATGTTTTGGCTGAATCGCATGTATGGTGTCATGAATCGGAGCTATCACAGCCCCCCACCCAAACACCAGTAGTTGCAACAAACCATCTTCCCTGCAGTTCCAGGATCCCTTCATCTTATCCTCTATATTCTGAGCTGTAACCGCGCCTGTAACGCCGGACAGAATGCTTGTCATAGCGTCGCGATCTATTCCTTTGCGGACCCAGCTTGAGAGCCAGCAGTCGGCTGAGTGTCAAACGTGTCTGTTCATGAGGACATGTCGGGGTTGCACGCGGCGACTTGCACGTGAGACCCCATGGTAGAACAGCTGTGCACCTCCATTGTCGTTACATCGCCAAGCCGGGTTGCCAGCCCCTTTGTCCGACGTTTGGGGCCTGGTGAGCTGTGAACAACATACTGACCATGCCCAGCTGGAGAGAGTGCAGCAAAAGTGTCTCTGCAAAGCCTGGAGCCTGCAAGCCCGCACACGATACCAGAGCCAAGCCCTGAAAGCGATGACGAACTAGCAGATAAAGCCAAAGGGGGCCTTCTTAAAAGCACTGCATGCTTTGACTTGTATTACGTTGCATCGACCCAGCTTCCGAAAGGTGAGACGCCGCAGTGACCTGACCTACTGTCAATAAAATGCTTGGACGCTCACTAGAAGGACCTGAACAGCCCGTCCCCAGACCCCACCCCAGCCGCTCAGCTTCAGCCCTTCTTCCTATATAAACCTTGAAGAAGCCTTGAAGCTTCCCATGATGATGCTCATGATGATGATGATGCCGACTATGATGGTGGTGTATTGCTGCGATACATTCTTCTTCTTCGTGCACCGTCAGGCTGCCCTGGCAGAGCTACGCAAAGACCTTAGAGCCAGCGGCCACCAGGACAGCCCCAGCAGTCTCGGGTTTTAGGATGTTTAGGGGCTTAGGGTATCAGGTTTGCAAGGTTAAGGGTGCTTGTGTAGCAGTGTAGCATCTGGATGTTCATGAGCGCGACAGCGATCACTCGTGAGCGGACGACGCGGATGGTGTTTGCACCCTTAGTGAAGGCTACATCTCTGGAACGTCTCGTCACGGAGTGCCGGGAGGAGCTCGTCTGTGTGCTGGACCAAAGCCACATGCTGCGGTAACAGTTACAACAACAGCAAGGACAAAAGTGACGATAATCGCCATGACAGTTATGCCATTTCATAATATGTTGTAATATATCATAAGTACTATATGGTATCAGAATATATGATACTACAAGCCGACTATAATTACAACTGAAGCAGTTGTATAGCTTGGCAAGGAGTTGTCTCGGCAGTGCGAGGCAGCCAGAGCCGAGGAGCGGTCCCGGAAGCAGCCGGGTGTCGTTTTGGTTGCTTATTGCACGGTACAATAGATGGTATTAATTACATGCTCCTTTGATTGTAACTGTAAAGAATCATCAATGTGTTGTGCTCTGTGGTTTTATGTTAAGATTCTACTACATTATGTCAGATCACATTATGTCGCATGAGTCATATTGTATCTATGTTTTGTGATATCTTAACATCGGTATTGTAAGATATTGCATCATATTGTGTTATGTTTCATTATACAACCGTCTATGATATCATGTTGTCTGGTTTTATGTTCGTTGATATATTACCAGACTATAGTGTATTGCAAGATATTATGCTGCATTTTGCTGTTCTATGTGATGCTATACTATATTATGTTGTGCTATGTTAAACCATATTATACTCATTCTGTGATCTTTTCCTGGATTGTATATGATCTTAACTGAACCCCGCTTTTGGACTCCCTGGCCTGTCCCCAAGCATGAGAGCCAAGGGTGCCGGGTAATTTCTTTCCTGAGTTCTGTCCATTTCTTGAGCGTGAGGTTTAGCCGGTCGGTGGCCGGTACTGTCTAGGGCCTGCAACTTCATGGAAACAGAGCAACTTCACCCAAGAGGCAGCTTGCCGGAACCTCCGAAGCCGAGGCCCCAACAAATTCTTCCTACAACGAGCCGACACTGGGGTCCTTATAATAAGGATCCTACTATTTAGGGTACTATGTTAGGGTCCCCTATTTTCGGAAACCCCCACACATACCTGAAAATGCAGAAGAGAAACGAACGTCTTTCTCCTTCCAGTCCCTTCGGAGCGGCGCCGCGTTTCAGAAGGAAACTTCTGAGTGGACCTGGCTGTTTTTGAGGAAGCAAGGTCTTGGGGTACATGAACAGGCGATTTGCACGTCTCAGCTTTTCAGTCTTTGTCCATTTGTCTTTATCACCATCATTGTAAATATTGTTGTGCTGAAGGCTTCATCTTGGACGGCCCTGCAATGCTGTGTCCTAGGTAGACTTAGATGCATTGCCCAGGGTAGATTTCAGCCGACCCCCAGAAATATGAGAGCTAAGAAAAGCTCCACGCAAGACTGTAGATTAAAGCATAGTTATGATCATAGCCATCTTGATGCGAAGAAGTGGCAAAAAGCAGGAAGATGAGCATGACAACAATCATCATAAACACGTCCATATTTAGTCATCAGTACAATGATGGCAGGTTAGGCAGACGCATGGATGTCTTGGAGCACTCCAATGAAGATCTGGCTGGGCACTTGTAGATCCTCTGATATTCAAGGAAATGTGTCACATGCGACCCTTCTCTTTAGAGCGTTTTGGCGAATCTGGCTTTTGTAGAAGCGCTCTCGGGGAAGATGTAATTGCTCCGCATGTGAAGATATGCGAGGAACCGCCGCCACATGGTTGTGTTGGCAGGTGTGACAGCCCAAATTCTTGTACTGAAATGTGTCCGTGCTGTGTTCCGGTTGACCCTATTCAAACTCAGTCAAGCAAGCCATGCAAGCAGTATGACATCGCAGACCCTGACATGCCATGACATCAGGCATTCGATGATGCCAGGTCGTGCTGAGGGAGAACAGCACACCAGGTCGATATGTGTTTTCAAGACCGAACCGCAATATGAAGATCCGTGCCGCAAAACTGGCTCGCGGTCCTAAACCCGGCATGTCCAATGAGGCTTCCAAAAGCCGTGAGCAACTGAGAGAAGCTTCTCGCGCTTTGAACGAGCAGCTCGCAGTCGTGGAGGCTCGAAGGGGAACAAGCTGAAGCACAGTGTCAGTGCAAGCTTTTGTCGACAACTCTTTGGTCATGGGCTGTGCAGCTTCATGGTTGGTGCCATCGCTGTCTCAACTTGAAAAGCACTTCGCCTGCCAAAAATGAGCGTCAAGCCTGGTGCAGAATTGCAGATTCTCGATGTCAGTGCGAGTCTGCCATCAGGAAACGCTTCTAAGCAATCCCCACTCTGACGCCAACTGCTATAACCATGATGTTGAAGTAGGGAGGGTTAAAGCCCATGTTCTTGCCTTCATTGCTTCGATCAGCCTTGTCTTTACTCTGAGCCTTTTGGCTGCACCTTTTCAGGAGAAAGTTCAGCGGATGTCAGAGCAAAGTGATCTGGCACTGCTGAGTGTGCGTCACCCGGTCCGATGTGCGGTTGATGGGGCTTTCAGCTTTAGGAGGGGCCTGCCAGCTCAGAATTTGACGAAGAGACAACGGTTCTGGTCACGTACCTCTTTCCGACAGCTTGTTTGCCAGACTTTTGATATGGGTCGGGCCTTAGCTGAGGTGCGGAATGAGGTTGCCCGCGTGGCCGGGGCTGCGCAGGACCTGGCACCCGAGGTGGAGCAGGCAGTGAGGGGATCGACCGAGCCTGGTGTAGTGGCAGGTGGCAGTGAATCTCGATCGATTCTGCAGTTGCGCTGCATGTTGATGCAAGTTGCAATGCTCGTTTCTGAGGAGCGAGTTCATGGGCGACCGAAAGAGAAAGAGCGTGGGGGCTTTGTGCAGGCCTGTCGCCGATTAGTCGGTGAGGAGGCGCAGATGCAGGCTGACAAGTGCCTTGGACAACTAGTCGGGGTCGCTATCGGGGCATCATGTTCACAAATTGGCCGGATGCTGCCGCATGCATGGACCAGTTCGGAAAATGAGAGAAGCAGGGGGGTTCATCACGGCTGTCGTGCTGTTCGAGCAATCGATGACGTTCGCTTAGCATCGAGACTGACCTGCAGCTCAAGATTCAAAAATGCAAGTGCCTGTTCCGACCACCCTGTCCTACCAAGGTGGGCCCAAGCTTTCCACTATCACAAGCAGGCGGGCACCAGAGAAGCTCTATGCATCAATCTTGCAGAAGAGCCACCGAGGTTATGACCTGAATTGAGTGAGCCCTAAACCCATAAAAACCCATAAACCCGTACAAACCCATAAACCCGTAAAAACCCATAAACACCTAAACTCCTAAACCCCTAAACCCACAAACCCAAAACCGCCGCCGCGCCCCAGAGCCTTCTTTGAGGTACCCAAAAAGCACATAAGCATAAGCATTCTATGGGGATATCCCTATCCTTATGCGGGCTTCATTATAAGGGGGTCTATATGGGATATCCTTATGACCTTATTTTTGCTTATGTGTTTTTTGGGGCCCTTAGTCTTTTTCGTCGAGGTCGCCAGCGAGGCGCTGACGACTGCGATCGCAGAGCCGCGGTCCGAGGTGAAGGCGCTCCGCCAGGAGCTCAAGAATTAGAACTGCAAATGATTATTATTATCATCATGATTATGATTATTTTTAATATACTAAGAATACTAATTGTTATTATGAGTTGATAGGAATTAAACTACGAGTAGTATAGTCCTCGTTCTTCTTCTTCTTTATTTTATTCATTTATACATGATTCGTCTTGTATTACTCTGGCTGTGATTATTACTAGTTTTACTATTACCATCGTAGCTATGGACTTTTTCCTCCTCTCCCGCTCCAAAGCCTCGGGCTCGAGCTCGTGCGGGCCTCGCTCTGTCTGTTTCAGGTGTGGGAAACGTGGCTGTGTCGTTCGAAACGGGTTGAGTTTTGAGTCATAAGAGTAGTATATATATGTATACATTACATTTATATATAAATATATACTTATATATTTATATAATTTATGTAGATTGATAATAACTGTCCACGCTGCACAATCGTGCCTTGCTGAGGCCTCGCCCTGTCCGAACAGGAAGCCGGAGCCGCAACGGTCGTGCTGTATTAATGCGGGAGTAGTACAGCTAGCAGCAGATTCGTGGCCGAGCGAAGACGCTGAATAGTTTCGTGCTTAAGGCTTAGGCGAGTTCCTTGCTTCCGCGTTGCTCTGCTGTATGCCAATCTGTACACAATCGAGTCGGACTCGCTGCAGGCTGCAATGGCTGCCCGGTTTGAGCGCCTTGCAGGTGATGTTCAGCGACAGGCTGGGTGGGCGCTTTGCCCCAGCCGAATAAGAGTTGGTATGGTCATTCGTAGATCCCTCGAGCTCAGCTCACGGAAGCTGTTGTGAGTTGTGGGCCTGAGTGGCTGGCAAAGAAATCATGACAGCACTGCTTAGGGCCCGGGCAGCCTCCTTGCAAGCCAGGATCGGGCAATCAGCAGCCGCTTGTGCTGCTGACATGTCTTGAGTTGCCGAGTTGCCGGGCTTTTATTCGGTTCATCGGCAAGCTGTCGGGTTGGATGCCAGGAAGCATGAGATCGAAGAGTTGACGGTGGTGCCCTCGGTAGCTTGTGTGCGTGGCGTGTGTGTGTGTGTGTGTGTGTGTGTGTCTGGAAGACAGCTCACGATGGCGTCCATGGTTTCCAAGAATCGCCCACATACCCCAAACTTCTGCAACTGGACTTGCAACGCAATGAGGCTTCATTTCTTTTTCAGGGCACGTGCTGAAGGAACACCCACAAGATGAGGTTCGACTTGCATAGTAGCATGCACAAAGCACGGATGGCTCTGAACAATTTGGGGTCTTTGAGCAGGCAGGAGCATGCTCCTGCCGAGAGCGAAGACAGGGTTCAAGTTGGACCTCGCAGGTATGCCACGGTGAGCGCCTTTGCACGTCCGCCGAGGTCGGCGTGGAAGAGCGGATGGCTGCCGCTTCCGCGACGGCGCGGCAGGCCTTGCAATCTTCCGTAGTTTTTGTGGGCACCGATGTGATTGCGACTCGAAATGTCAAGTTACTAGCAGGCTTCACACGGCTGTAGAACCTGCCACTCGAACGGATGCTGTGTGCTAACAAAGCTGCCGATCATGAAAGAAAGCTCGATCGCTGAACGAATCAAGCTTGAGTCGGTGTCCAGACTCATCCGCCAGGCAGTGCAAGAGCAGCGGCAAGAGGCGACTGCCCACTGTGCTCAGCTTTGATGATGCTTTTCATGTTTCTGCTTCGATGTTGGTTGCAGGCCTAGGCAGGCATTTTCTGAGATGAGACACCATGGCCGCGTCTGAGACCTTGTTTACCGTCTAGTTGTGCCTCACTTGGTTAGCAGTGCAAACTGCGCTGCATCACACCAGCACCCGAACGGAGCTTTCAGATTGACTGAACGAGCAGTTCAAAAGTCACAGGTTCTCAAGCAGCTGGACCCGGTGATGGAGAGGCTGACAGAGGCCGCTGGCTGGGCATTTCAAGCAGCCGCAGCTCGATGCCCCCTGAATGTGGAAACCCCTCCGGTCTGTCGCACTTGCGGCTGCAGAAGGTCTCAGCAAACATGCAAGCCAGTCGGCGAGCAGAGGCCAGAATGGTTGCATGTAGGTGGGCAGTAGCCGCATGGTTCTGCAGAGGTAGTGACGTAGTGTGCCCTTCTTTTTTGTTGCCTGACGGACACGGCATTTGCTGGAAGATGAGCAATGTCTTGACCTTCTGCGAGAAGTGATCGATCCGGTGTGTGTTGCATGAGAAGCACGGCTACTGTTCCAGAGCGGAAGTGATTAAGTAGGTCAAGCCGTATATCAGCCTGAGCCATGACAGAAAGAGATTCTTTCAAGAATGAGAGTTGGAGATGTTTTCCATACGCATGAAGCCAGCTAGTGTTTGAGGGTCCTGGGCGAAGCAGTGTCGGAGTATGATGCCGCTGTCTTCCAGAAACGTCAGAGTCCATCTTCAGACAATTACACCCGCACAGCCCTCTTCTTCAAGCTGCTTGCTTCCGGAGGCCCTTCATGGTGGAATCTGCCTTATATCAATTATATCACATATCTTCAGACCGCTTGAATGTGTTGGGTTCTAGTCCTGCGGATTCATGCGGAGGCAGAGCTTGGGAGTCATTTCGAGCGGCTCTTGGTGACCACAGAGGAGTTGTGCGCCGGGCACGGGGGCCAAGAGGCCCAGGCTTAGGAGCGACTTGATCAGCGGGGACCGATGAAGCAGCACCCACAGCGTTAGAGGTGGCAAGACGGCTGCGATTGTCTAGTTGCTTGCGCTCCTAGCCCGTGATGCTACTTGTAGTCTTGATTCGCCCCGAGGCAGGAAGCGCTGTCAGTACAAGGCGCGGATACTGCACAGAGCCTCAACGATCTCCGCGCGGACCTTCGGCAGCAAGACGGATTAGGTCGGGAACAACGTTCCCTTGTACTCTCAGCCTGCACTTGCTTGGAGTGTTGAACCGCCTCAGCACGTCGATGGTTTGCATTTCCAGCTGCTGCCCAGGAGATTCGGACTGTGGGCAACACTCGTGACGTCGATGTGTCAGCAACTCAGCTGTTCGACGTCTGCGTCGGTGTTCCTGCCAAGAGTCGTCAGTCCTAGAGGTTTGCCGATTGGCTTCAGAATTCAGAGATGGTATAGCAGCAGAAAGAGGAACCACAAAGCTGTGAGAGTTGCCGAAGCCTACGGCAGAAAGCGTGGAGTAACTCTTTACCCTACAGGCGAAAGCAACGATGCCACTCCTGTGTGTCGGCCCACACAAGCACCCCGAGCAAGGATTTGGGAGTTTCCGAAACTGCGGGACCCGAATATAGTACCCTAAAAAGACGGATCCTTCTTATAAGGTACCCCCTAATGATAGGAAGCTCCCATATGTGTCCGGTAAACAAAGATCCGTGCACGATTTGTCAGGAAGCAGGTGGTATCGCCCAGGAGACGGAGGATCCGAGCAAACTCGTTGCCCCTTTGCCCCTGAACCTTTCAGGTCTCTGCGGTGAAACATCGGACATCTTGCGATCTTTCTGGAAAACACTCACTTGGGAGACCGTCTGTGCCCGTGTGAAGTGGGTAGAGCCTGTGGATTTTCCCAACGTGAGCATGCACCAGGATGCAAGACGGCAGCCCTCCACCCTTTGGTCTGCGGTCGCATGCTCTTGCCGATTCTGGGACCGAGATTGGATTCCATTTCTTTGGTCAGACTGCTTCGTGCTTCCTACCGAAAACTGGCCAAACCCTAAACCGTGAACTTTCCACCGTTGCACTCTGGAGCAGCAGACACGACCATCTGCACAAATCGACAGCAATGGGCCACTGCCTCCAAAGGTGCTTATATATGTAGATATACTATTATGCGGTCTTTTCGGGTTTTTAGGTCTATTGCACATATCGCATTTACCATATCATACATATATATCTGTGTACGCAGATGTTTTCATTTTTCGAAACTACCTTGACCAAGGACAGGCCTGGAGGTCCGGCCGAAGAGTTTCCGAGGATTCCATCTAGGTTCTTCGGGTTTGGCATATGGGAGATTCCGAAAAATGTTCAGAGGCTTGAGGTCAAGATCCTTGATGACCGGGCTCTACTACCATCATTCCCATCTTTGGATCCACTTTGTTCATGTATGTGGGGGTGATCAAAATTATGGGCCCTTTTGGGATCTGAATTCTAGTCTATTCATTTTCGTCTCGGGGACCAAAAGGGGTCCATAATTTTGATGAACCCTCATGTGCGTATGTATGCATGTTGTATTCTCCCCTGACTTCTGGGATGGAGGCTCCCTGCCCTTCTCCATGGAGCCGGTGGCGAGCAGGACCGGGAAGCGCTGGGTTCAATAGGCTTCCTAAACCACGTAGGGCTTCAGGAGCGGGTTGAGGGTTCGGGTGTTTTTGGACTTTCGGGATAGTGCGGCGTAGGGTGTTTGGGGTTGAAGGTATTTGTACCCTCTGCACTGGAATCCCAGGGCACCCAAACGACCGAAGCATTCATCAAAGATACATTTGGCATATCCCTAGGCGCCTGGCGTTGGCTCCTGCCGTGGTCGTCCGCAATTTCAGAAACTTCTGCAGATTCTCCAACGACAGTGTGCTGTCATTATTTGTTAGTTATTCCACGTTTTCTTAGCGTTTCCTTGCTTCATCGTTCGGAAAGGACACCGGAGGAGCCCGTGTCGCACGAAGCCGCACAAGCTGCAAGGCTTGCGGGGCAATTCGTGGCAGCTGAGAGAGGGCGACCGTGAAGTTAGACAGTTGCTGCTTGGATCGCTTAGATTCAGGCTTGTCGTGGAGCTGGTTCTTTTGTGGAGGTTTGCTTGCCCGCTGTCCAGCCAGGTCTTTGCAGTCATCGCCTGCCGGGATCTCAGAGATGGTCACGCCATAGAGAACGAGGGGACCTGCAAGGGATCAGCTTCCAAGCACATGTCCAAGAAAGGACCGCCATGGAACTCTCTCCGCCGACCTTCCTAGCGCCTTCAGCACGGGTCTCAAGAATCTGCTGAAACTAGCCTCGGTTGTTACACTCGTTTTTGCCGGATGCTCCGGATATTTTTATGTGCTGCTTGTGCCGGTTGTCGTCCGCGTTGCATCATCGTGTCGTGGCACTCCCGGAGGCGGTCGCACGTAAAAAGCATCATAAATAGCAGCAAGGAACGTCGTGGCATTGGCACGAGCACAAGCTTGTCATAGCACCCTCGCAACACTGGAAACTGTGGGAACGAAACATCCGATGCACTGGCAGATGGGAGCTTTCGACCTGCAAGGGTCTCTTGGCGTTGCAGCTCTCAGAGCTCCAGCAGCCGATCCCGGAAGTCAAATTACTACTGCGTTGGCCCCAGAAGGTCGCCTTGGCGAGCTGCGCCGGCGCTTAGGATCTCCTGCGTTGGCTGCGGAGTCCTGGCTGCATCTGCAACATTTGAGGGCTTTGCGTGCAGAGTGGTCCCTATGAAAATCCAACATGTAAGAGGTCTCCCAAGGTCACATGGCAGTGGAATTCCTTGCGGCGTAAGACATCCAAGGCCCAGGCACAGGAGATCCTTGAGCCGATTGGAGGCTTCGACCTTTGGGGCAGGGAAGAGTTGTCGAAAACGTTTCAGCGGACTGCGGGCCAGTCTATGTACAGAATATAAGACTTTTGCACTTTAACCCTTGAGGCAGCAACACGGCTTTGAGGCCGCATGCTGAGACTGGGCTGTCGCTTGTCGGTACCATGCGGGGCCCGATCCCATCGGCTCAGGTCGCTGGCAACGACCACCACGGGTTACGGCAGGTAAGGCCGCAGACGTCACCACTCGCGCTTTGATGCGCCGCTCGGGGCTCGTGCTTGCTGCGATCTATTGGCATGTCCTTGGACATATGTAAAGCCCTGTTATGTTGAAACTTCCAGCTGTCTTTGCGTCGAGGCACAACACGACCCCGAATATGTTTTCCATACTCAACACTAGATGTTTCAAACTGAATCGCCTAGAAGGTGCTGCAGAAGGTGTTCTGTTGTCCGACCCGAGCCCACTTGGGAAACGGCCCGTAGCCTGGCACAGAAGCCCCAACGACATGATGTGCTAGCTTACAAAACGGCTGCAAGAGTAGGCTTGAGGGTTTAGGGTTTATTTATATATATATATATATATTTATACAAGAACACACCACAGGTACGAACACACACACACACATATATATATATATATATATATATACGTTTATATTATGTATGTATGTATGTATGTATGTATTTATGTATGTATGTGTGTAAGTAGGTATGTATGTATGTATATATATATATGTACATACATCATCTTATACTTTATAGTATGAGGTCTCCGAGGTCAAGGGTACGTGCCATCGGCTCTGGGCAGGGTCACCGGGCATCAATGCACGAATCTGATTAGGATAATGCTTTGCCAGTCTGCTCAGCAGACGCCACAGGATTTGCCAGCGATTTCGAAAAGATGCGGTTATACAGGAGGCTCTCACTGAAGTGTGCACTGCATTCTTCAGAATGCCGCTCGGGCCTCGGCTGAGCCGAACGTCTTCAGCAACTTCGGCTACTCAGAGGTACTGTTCAAGATTTCTTTGCCTGATCCGCGCGTCAAATATCGGTTCAAGCTCCGTTGCATCATGAGCTGAGCTTGTTGCGGTTCTAAGATGTTCTAAGTGACCATCTACCATCTACAGGGAAGCCCGTCGGTCCTCACCCACCAAATGCCAGTTGCAAATGTCTGTACAGAGCACCTGAAAATGGTGGGCTTTTGCCGCAAATGTAGCAAAGTTCAGACTTAAGCGATGAACAACAAGTGTGCTGACAACGCAGGCCGGGAGTGCAAATGCCGAAACAAACGTAGTGCAATTCTTTCTGTGCATAGAAAATAGCCAACATGCGCATCTCTCTGCTCGGCTGGATGGGAACCGGATACGGTAGACTGTAGATCTTGGTAAACTGAAGACAGCATTGAGGTTGCCACGTGTGTTCCAGAATAGTTTCAATTACACTTCGGGGGCCGCAGTCTTGACCAGTGTCGAAGCCTTTGCTGCCAGTATGTATGTGGTTTTCGATTGTCTTACCATATGTTGAATCAGATACATAATTCGTCAGAGCTAATCTGGTTCCCAGCCGCGGGAAGCGGCTGGCAAACGAGTTTCCAGAGTTTCGACAGCCTTGTGGGGAGTTGTTGGTGAGTTGGTGTTCTCTCCAGGAGGTCGAAGCGACACCCATGGCGAAGCCCGACTGGCGTTTCTAATTCACAGTTTCGATCCTGTGATGGTGGGCGAGAATGTCACAACGGTGGTCCTTGGCAAACCCGATCCACATGGTCAGAAACAGAGCTTGAAGCATCCGGCTGACCGCTTTGTTGCGGGTCCAGAACCCGGAATGATATGTACATGCATGACGCCCGTGTAATGGAAGTCGTTGACAAGTGGGTACTCTCATTCTGGGTCCCTGAGGCCAGTGACCGATGATCCATCCAGCAAATTGCGCAGGCTACAGATCGAGCCTGGCGGATGTAGAAAGTCGAGCCTCCAAAATCTTCGGTTCAACAGCCAGGCGTCAAGGATGCTGAGGGCCGGATTGAGTCGGAAGCTCCAGGATTTAGCAAAGGCTTTAGATGGTCTTTCGGACTTTCGGATCCTGGTGAAGTCTTCTGGGTTCAGACCCTGGACCGCTGCAGATCGCTTGTTTTGTCTCATAGGTTGGCAGCTTAGCCCCGTGCTTCACAACCAGTACATGGGGGAAAGCCTGTTGGTTGCATCTCGGAATCTCGCCAGCACATGGGGGGATGCGGAAGCAATTTGGCCTGGGTTCTGAATTTCGCCACGTTGTGGGGGCAATAAGATGTTGGTCACACCTGTGAATCATGCCACGACTCAGCCACGCAGTCGGCGGGTAGTCCTGCTTGTTTGGTCTCCGGGTGGTCCCTTCAGGTGGTGTTCTCGTGGTAATCTCGTCCTAGCTGCTTGCAATGGCGTGTGTGCACGCGGAGGTCGAGGGGGGCATGTGGGGTGCGTGTGGGGCTTTCAAGGTGTATGGTTACTGTACTACACTGGCTCCGGTGTGGTTTGCTCGAAGGCATCCTTCTTTTCTTACATCAGGCCCGTTCATTGTGTCGCGGCCGCTTTTTTGAGGAAGTTGAGTGCAATTCAGATCGTTTCTTGAAGGTGCTTGCTTTCTTCGTTTCAACACTGCAGTTGCAAAGCATCGAGGAGGACGGACACAGCGTGAAGTCACATGCATTGTACTGCAAGATACTGCAATCGTAGCAGAAATCCTTCAAACTCTTGATTGTGTTCTCATCCTGATACCCGTAGTAGGCATGGGCAGGACTACACCCTGCAGGAGAGGCGTCCTTGAGCCCCGGCCTTGGCCTGCGTAGTCTTACACGTGTCTGCAAGGTGCCCCGCGAGACTATCGGTAGGTTTCAGGTATTTCAGTTCTGAGCAACGTGCCTCGCCGCTCTTTCGGCTCACAGCACATGCGCTGATAGAACTGGGCAGCCAGGCCCTGCGTCCTGCACTGTTTGTGCGAAGGGCCGCGCTAGGCTCGAATGTCGTCAATCGGCCAGAGAAGTGGCACTGACCCGCGACTTCTTGGCCGCGAAGCCTTTGATGTCCGGCAGCTGCATGAGGAGCCCGCCACCGTCCCTGCACCTAGCACACCCGCAACTTGCAGTGAACCCACAGCTGCCCTGCTCCTGCCACAGGACTTGAAAACAACGGAGAAGGGGCCAGCCGAACAGAAGGCGCGAAGTGAAGCAATCCGAAGCAGACTCGCTGTGGAGAGTCAATCATTTAGGGCTGTGCCTGTTTTTGGAGCCCTTTGGTGAGGTGGATGAGGTCGTGCAGACAGCTCCCGCAAGATTCCGCAGTGTGGTGGGCGGCGCCTGGCAGAGGGTGCGGGGCATTTTCCGCCGCAGCAGCAGCAGCAGCAGCAGTGGCACAGCACAAGCAGAAGAAGAAGCAAAGAGCGGCAGCGGCATAGCAGATGCAGCAGAAGAAGAGCCCGAAGCGGAATCTATCGGAGATTACACGGCTTCGGCCGTGAATCCGGAGAGCTACCCGGCCTCCCTTCCGGGTGATTTCAGGATCCTGCCTGCCAGTGCGTGGCAGAGTCTCCACGCTCGCTTCGAGCAGGAGACAAGGGAGTCCAGCACCGAAGTTGCAGCCACAGCTCCTGCCAACGCACCCCCGAGCCCCACGAGTCATCATGCGGAGGGTGCAGATGCAGCAGACCTCGAGAAATTCGCGCAAACGGAAATCGCTACGACCCCCCAGCCAAGCACGCGCAGAAGATTCCATTCCCGCAAAGCCCCGACCGCCGGACGCTAGGCTAGACTATACAAGCCTCATCAAACTGCAGTATTGCTCGTTTGGCTCCCACTCGTGCCGAATTGTCACCCTGCGGCCCAGGCATTGACCGAAGCATCACCGTCGCCGGAGAGCGACTGGTGGCTAACCTTGTGCATGGCCGTGCAGCAAAACATTTGTTGCGGCCGTGTGCGCTGACGGTGCGCTGACTCCATCGCTTCGACCACAAAAACGTCTGGAGCGCGCTGATGCTTCTGGTGCTTCGGTTGAAGTCTTCGGGCCACTCAGAGGCTGTCTGAATGAAACTTCTTAGCACTGCCTGCACAGCATCGTTTCCTGAAGAGCGCCCTAGGCCTCGAAGCTTCCGTCGACCCAGAAACTTCACGCAACCCGAGGCCGATGAGCTTCTGCTCATCTTGGGGTACCTTGTCCGAGGCCTTGAGACGTGACATGCCGAAGTGTTTGGTTTTCCCGAGGGATTTTCTCAAAGGTTCGGAGACTCAAACACTCAAACTTGTCTGGGCTGCCAGGTCCAGGGATGGAGTTTCCGATCCGGCTCTGGCTCTTGGGTGCTTGCTTGAGGCCTACCGGTAGCTGGTCGGGTAGGGCTTGGACTGCACGCGGATCATGCAGCCTCATCGAGTTCTGAAGCATCACCATGAAAACGTAGGATGCAAAGATTGGCCTTAGCCTCGCTACTGAGCCGTGAACCCCGAAATGCTGTGCCAGGCTGCCACTTTGCATTCGCCATGAACTCGAGGACCGTTCTGGTCTCTAGGAAGGGTTGCACCTCCAAACAGCTCCCAAATGTCTCTTCCCCCGGAACGGCACTTGTTTTCCTCGTGCCCGGCACGCGCTTCTAGCATTTAGGACTCTCAAAAGTAGGTAAGTTCAGGGGTTGCAGAAACTGGGTTTGTCGGTTTTGGGGACAATCACTTGCGAAGCCCACTTTCCGCGGTCAGAATCGTGGGTCTGGTGCTTGCCAGTTGAGTGCGAGTTGTTGCCAGAACTGGCCGTGTCGGTTCAAGCGCCAGCGTTTGCAGCACCGATCCGCTCGTAGTGTGGATTCGGAGGAGGCACATAAGCCTCTAGTTCACACTTGTGCCGCAACTCCGTCTTTCCAAAATTGATCGGCCTGTTCATTGCGTGCTGACCACTGTCTTATTGAAGCTGGCTGAACCTTAGACTGCTTCTTGAAGTTGCAGGCCCTCTGCGTCTCAGGTGGGCAGGTTCGAGTTTCCTTCTCAAGCCGAAGCGCCAAGCCACCGCTTGTTTAAAGCTCGTCTGTGCCTGATACCCATAGTTGGCACCGGCAGGATTTCAAATGCCATGCACGCCTGCCTGGACATTCTAAGGCCACGGCCGATCTTCAGAGATGTTCTTTAAAGTTCTTTCCGGTGGAGCCTTCAGGCAGATCTTTGAAGACTTGTAAAGTCCTGCTACGACCAGGCTAGCCAGGATCAGTGAATGCCGAACCCTAGCCCCTGAGGGCAGACATAGAAGAGCGCCTGGGAGGCAATATCACTTATGGACGCAGGTGGCCCAGTGAAATTAACCCGGTCGGGGAACATCTGCGGCATTCCAGTAGACTGCAACTCTGACCGTTTCTGGAAGTTGCTTTCCTTCTCAGACTCGACCGGGCAGCCGTCATTTCATAGCATGGTAGCATGATGTAGGACTAGAGAGAGCACTTTGAGTTTGGGGGTGTCATTCGCAAGGTGAAGCGCCATGTGCTTCGTTCTGCACCGAAGAATAACATGTGTGGCACCCGTGCTTCGGGAGAGGCGTCTGTGAGCCCTGGCCTTGGCCTGCGTAGTCTGACACGTGTCTGCAAGATGCCATGCGAGAGTGTCGGTAGGTTTCAGTTCTGAGCAACGTGCCTCGCCGCTCTTTCAGCTCGCAGCACATGCGCTGATAGAACTGGGCAGCCAGGCCCTGCGTCCTGCACTGTTTGTGCGAAGGGCCGCGCTAGGCTCGAATGTCGTCAATCGGCCAGAGTGGTGGCGCTGACCCGCGACTTCTCGGCCGCGAAGCCTTTGATGTCCGCCAATTGCATGAGGAGCCCGCCACCGTCCCTGTAGCACACCCGCAACCTGCAATGAACGCACAGCTGCCCTGCTCCTGCCACAGGACTTGAAAACAACGGAGGAGGGGCCAGCCGAACAGAAGGCGCGAAGTGAAGCAATCCGAAGCAGACTCGCTGTGGAGAGTCAATCATTTAGGGCTGTGCCTGTTTTTGGAGCCCTTTGGTGAGGTGGATGAGGTCGTGCAGACAGCTCCCGCAAGATTCCGCAGTGTGGTGGGCGGCGCCTGGCAGAGGGTGCGGGGCATTTTCCGCCGTAGCAGCAGCAGCAGTGGCACAGCACAAGCAGAAGAAGAAGCAAAGAGCGGCAGCGGCATAGCAGATGCAGCAGAAGAAGAGCCCGAAGCGGAATCTATCGGAGATTACACGGCTTCGGCCGTGAATCCGGAGAGCTACCCGGCCTCCCTTCCGGGTGATTTCAGGATCCTGCCTGCCAGTGCGTGGCAGAGTCTCCATGCTCGCTTCGAGCAGGAGACAAGGGAGTCCAGCACCGAAGTTGCAGCCACAGCTCCTGCCGACGCACCCCCGAGCCCCACGAGTCATCATGCGGAGGGTGCAGATGCAGCAGACCTCGAGAAATTCGCGCAAACGGACATCCCTACGACCCCCAGCCAAGCACGCGCAGAAGATTTCATTCCCGCAAAGCCCCGACCGCCGGACGCTAGGCTGGACTATACAAGCCTCATCAAACTGCAGTATTGCTCGTTTGGCTCACACTCGTGCCGAATTGTCACCCTGCGGCCCAGGCATTGACCGAAGCATCACCGTCGCCGGAGAGCGACTGGTGGCTAACCTTGTGCATGGCCGTGCAGCAAAACATTTGTTGCGGCCGGGTGCGCTGACTCCATCGCTTCGACCACAAAAACATCTGGAGCGCGCTGATCGTTTTGGTGCTTCGGTTGAAGTCTTCGGGCCACTCAGAGGCTGTCTGAATGAAACTTCTTAGCACTGCCTGCACAGCATCGTTTCCTGAAGAGCGCCCTAGGCCTCGAAGCTTCCGTCGACCCAGAAACTTCACGCAACCCGAGGCCGATGAGCTTCTGCTCCTCTTGGGGTACCTTGTCCGAGGCCTTGAGACGTGACATGCCGAAGTGTTTGGTTTTCCCGAGGGATTTTCTCAAAGGTTCGGAGACTCAAACACTCAAACTTGTTTGGGCTGCCAGGTCCAGGGATGGAGTTTCCGATCCGGCTCTGGCTCTTGGGTGCTTGCTTGAGGCCTACGGTAGCTGGTCGGGTAGGGCTTGGACTGCACGCGGATCATGCAGCCTCATCGAGTTCTGAAGCATCACCATGAAAACGTAGGATGCAAAGATTGGCCTTAGCCTCGCTACTGAGCCGTGAACCCCGAAATGCTGTGCCAGGCTGCCACTTTGCATTCGCCATGAACTCGAGGACCGTTCTGGTCTCTAGGAAGGGTTGCACCTCCAAACAGCTCCCAAATGTCTCTTCCCCCGGAACGGCACTTGTTTTCCTCGTGCCCGGCACGCGCTTCTAGCATTTAGGACTCTCAAAAGTAGGTAAGTTCAGGGGTTGCAGAAACTGGGTTTGTCGGTTTTGGGGACAATCACTTGCGAAGCCCACTTTCCGCGGTCAGAATCGTGGGTCTGGTGCTTGCCAGTTGAGTGCGAGTCGTTGCCAGAACTGGCCGTGTCGTTTCAAGCGCCAGCGTTTGCAGCACCGATCCGCTCGTAGTGTGGATTCGGAGGAGGCACATAAGCCTCTAGTTCACACTTGTGCCGCAACTCCGTCTTTCCAAAATTGATCGGCCTGTTCATTGCGTGCTGACCACTGTCTTATTGAAGCTGGCTGAATCTTAGACTGCTTCTTGAAGTTGCAGGCCCTCTGCGTCTCAGGTGGGCAGGTTCGAGTTTCCTTCTCAAGCCGAAGCGCCAAGCCACCGCTTGTTTAAAGCTCGTCTGTGCCTGATACCCATAGTTGGCACCGGCAGGATTTCAAATGCCATGCACGCCTGCCTGGACATTCTAAGGCCACGGCCGATCTTCAGAGATGTTCTTTAAAGTTCTTTCCGGTGGAGCCTTGAGGCAGATCTTTGAAGACTTGTAAAGTCCTGCTACGACCAGGCTAGCCAGGATCAGTGAATGCCGAACCCTAGCCCCTGAGGGCAGACATAGAAGAGTGCCTGGGAGGCAATATCACTTATGGACGCAGGAGGCCCAGTGAAATTAACCCGGTCGGGGAACATCTGCGGCATTCCAGTAGACTGCAACTCTGACCGTTTCTGGAAGTTGCTTTCCTTCTCAGACTCGACCGGGCAGCCGTCATTTCATAGCATGGTAGCATGACTAGAGAGAGCACTTTGAGTTTGGGGGTGTCATTCGCAAGGTGAAGCGCCATGTGCTTCGTTCTGCACCGAAGGATGACATGTGTGGCACCCGTGCTTCGGGAGAGGCGTCTGTGAGCCCTGGCCTTGGCCTGCGTAGTCTGACACGTGTCTGCAAGATGCCATGCGAGAGTGTCGGTAGGTTTCAGTTCTGAGCAACGTGCCTCGCCGCTCTTTCAGCTCGCAGCACATGCACTGATAGAACTGGGCAGCCAGGCCCTGCTTCCTGCACTGTTTGTGCGAAGGGCCGCGCTAGGTTCGAATGTCGTCAATCGGCCAGAGTGGTGGCGCTGACCCGCGACTTCTCGGCCGCGAAGCCTTTGATGTCCGCCAATTGCATGAGGAGCCCGCCACCGTCCCTGTAGCACACCCGCAACCTGCAATGAACGCACAGCTGCCCTGCTCCTGCCACAGGACTTGAAAACAACGGAGGAGGGGCCAGCCGAACAGAAGGCGCGAAGTGAAGCAATCCGAAGCAGACTCGCTGTGGAGAGTCAATCATTTAGGGCTGTGCCTGTTTTTGGAGCCCTTTGGTGAGGTGGATGAGGTCGTGCAGACAGCTCCCGCAAGAATCCGCAGTGTGGTGGGCGGCGCCTGGCAGAGGGTGCGGGGCATTTTCCGCCGCAGCAGCAGCAGCAGTGGCACAGCACAAGCAGAAGAAGAAGCAAAGAGCGGCAGCGGCAGAGCAGATGCAGCAGAAGAAGAGCCCGAAGCGCAATCTATCGGAGATTACACGGCTTCGGCCGTGAATCCGGAGAGCTACCCGGCCTCCCTTCCGGGTGATTTCAGGATCCTGCCTGCCAGTGCGTGGCAGAGTCTCCATGCTCGCTTCGAGCAGGAGACAAGGGAGTCCAGCACCGAAGTTGCAGCCACAGCTCCTGCCGACGCACCCCCGAGCCCCACGAGTCATCATGCGGAGGGTGCAGATGCAGCAGACCTCGAGAAATTCGCGCAAACGGACATCCCTACGACCCCCAGCCAAGCACGCGCAGAAGATTTCATTCCCGCAAAGCCCCGACCGCCGGACGCTAGGCTAGACTATACAAGCCTCATCAAACTGCAGTATTGCTCGTTTGGCTCCCACTCGTGCCGAATTGTCACCCTGCGGCCCAGGCATTGACCGAAGCATCACCGTCGCCGGAGAGCGACTGGTGGCTAACCTTGTGCATGGCCGTGCAGCAAAACATTTGTTGCGGCCGGGTGCGCTGACTCCATCGCTTCGACCACAAAAACATCTGGAGCGCGCTGATCGTTTTGGTGCTTCGGTTGAAGTCTTCGGGCCACTCAGAGGCTGTCTGAATGAAACTTCTTAGCACTGCCTGCACAGCATCGTTTCCTGAAGAGCGCCCTAGGCCTCGAAGCTTCCGTCGACCCAGAAACTTCACGCAACCCGAGGCCGATGAGCTTCTGCTCCTCTTGGGGTACCTTGTCCGAGGCCTTGAGACGTGACATGCCGAAGTGTTTGGTTTTCCCGCGGGATTTTCTCAAAGGTTCGGAGACTCAAACACTCAAACTTGTTTAGGCTGCCAGGTCCAGGGATGGAGTTTCCGATCCGGCTCTGGCTCTTGGATGCTTGCTTGAGGCCTACCGGTAGCTGGTCGGGTAGGGCTTGGACTGCACGCGGATCATCAGCCTCATCGAGTTCTGAAGCATCACCATGAAACGTAGGATGCAAAGATTGGCCTTAGCCTCGCTACTGAGCCGTGAACCCCGAAATGCTGTGCCAGGCTGCCACTTTGCATTCGCCATGAACTCGAGGACCGTTCTGGTCTCTAGGAAGGGTTGCACCTCCAAACAGCTCCCAAATGTCTCTTCCCCCGGAACGGCACTTGTTTTCCTCGTGCCCGGCACGCGCTTCTAGCATTTAGGACTCTCAAAAGTAGGTAAGTTCAGGGGTTGCAGAAACTGGGTTTGTCGGTTTTGGGGACAATCACTTGCGAAGCCCACTTTCCGCGGTCAGAATCGTGGGTCTGGTGCTTGCCAGTTGAGTGCGAGTCGTTGCCAGAACTGGCCCTGTCGTTTCAAGCGCCAGCGTTTGCAGCACCGATCCGCTCGTAGTGTGGATTTGGAGGAGGCACATAAGCCTCTAGTTCACACTTGTGCCGCAACTCCGTCTTTCCAAAATTGATCGGCCTGTTCATTGCGTGCTGACCACTGTCTTATTGAAGCCTGCTGAATCTTAGACTGCTTCTTGAAGTTGCAGGCCCTCTGCGTCTCAGGTGGGCAGGTTCGAGTTTCCTTCTCAAGCCGAAGCGCCATGTGCTTTGTAGCCACCGCTTGTTTAAAGCTCGTCTGTGCCTGACACCCATACTTACATACTTGTCATCGGCAGGATGACATCTGCCACGCACGTCTGCCTGGACATTCCAAGACCAAGGCCGATCTTCAGAGATGTTCTTTAAAGTTCTTTCCGGTGGTGGAGCCTTCAGGCAGATCTTTGAAGACTTGTAAAGTCCTGCTGCAACCAGGCTAGCCAGGATCAGTGAATGCCGAACCCTAGCCCCTGAGGGCATTTTGGCTCAAGAGGTTATCCTCAACACAAGGCCAAATGGCATGGATAGGAGGCCCGAAGCGGCGTGGGCCGCTGCAGCCGGCATGGAGCACCAGCAACAGAACCAAGAAGAAGGACGCAGCAGATCGTTTTTTTGACGACTTGGTATCAGGCACGTGGCTCCCGCCTAAACCTGGCGTTGAACAGCTCACACCAGAGAAGGCAGACAAGGCTGTTCTAACAGTCAAGGAGAAGGTTTGGGCCTTGAAGAAGACTTCCAAATGGAAGAAAAAAGGATGGAATGAGGTTTTCCAAGCATGCTGCAAACTTGATCCAGCAGAGAAGTTTGGCCGAGATCTGGTGCGGAAGGCATTCACCATCGTCATCGGGTCCCAGTTTGCTCGAGAGGCCGTAGAGGATTTGGTCAGCATGGCGGTCCCGAACGAGGCGCGCGGTCTCAGCTATCAGGAATTCAAGAAATGGTTCGGCCCGACAAAACTGGACATGGAAGAAGAATGGACAAAACCCAAGAAGAATGAGGGCCAGGAGAAGCCTCGGGAAGCACAGGAGAAAGTCTCGGGGTGGTGGCAAAGCGAAGGCTGGTACGACTCTGGATCCTGGAGCTGGAGGCAGGGGAGGGGCGGCTGGGACAATGACTGGAAAGATTGGGATTGGGGGCAGAGCACAAGCAACAGAGCGAAGAACAAGGCCGAGGGAGATGGCTTTGTTGAGGATTGGGGAGGAGGATGGGCTGCGGCTTCCGGGGAAAGCACTACACCAGCGAATGAGAGGTGGTGCGACCAGGTCACCGAGGCACCCCTGGGCCCCCAGCCTGACGGCGCACGTAAGGTGGAAAAAAGAGACGAGGTTGCAATCTTTCAAGAACTGGTGAAGGCCGTGCAAGAGCAGCGCCGACAGGAGCAGTTGAAACGACACAACGAAGCTGTGGAGGCAGCCGAGTCCAAGGTCAGAAACGTGCAACGCCGTCGCGAAGAAGTGCTGGGGCAGCAACAACAGGAGCAATTGAACTGCCAGACGGAGCTGAAGCGTTTGGACGACGAGTTAGCAGCACTTCAAGCCACAAAGGCTTGGTTGGCTCGCGAACCGGTATTACCGAAGTGCATAGCATGCTGCGACAGTCCTGCGGACCAGATCTTTATTCCGTGTGGACATGTCCAGTTTTGCAAGCGCTGTGCTATCACGCACATGAAGACACGAAACGAGACGCGTGAGAATGCATCGAGGGTACATTGCCCATCATGCCGAGAGGTGATTTCCCACCACCGGACCGTGAGGCTAGGCCATTTTTAAATACCTGGCACGGAGCCAGTGTCGTTGAAATTCTGGGCTTTTATGCGGTTGCCTGCCTGAACAGGGCTGGGTCTTACAGGAAACCTTGGTTAGGCACAGCAACGCCTTGGCCCAGTCTGATTCAAGGCAGCTGGAGAAGAGACTTGGGCAAGGCTACGGGATGGTGTGCTGCACCCCACGTCCTCCTTCACTGATTACTTAGAGCTTTCCGCTGTGGGGTGCCGTAGACCTTTTCCAAACCCTGATCGTCTTGAGTGATAGAATTCACACGCTGGTGAAAGTAATCAGCTGAGTGTGGTAAATGTCTGTGGCTGCTTTATTGAGCTAGTTTATGTTTGTGTGGCGACTGTATTGTTGGTAAGTTTGTGCTATTTCCTAGCCACTGTGTGCATGTTGAGCTAATCAGAGCTTGGGCAGGGCGACAGTGTACTACCTTCCTCCATCTAGTAGGGTTTCGTGTTTCCAGTGTTATGCTGCTGCTTTGTATGTTGCTGCATCTTTCCGCCGCCCAGTAATTCACATGCTGGTGACTAGACCAGATGCTGTGCGATCAGTGGTCCCGGGATGATAGTAGATAGTGTAGTGCTACTTTTCCTGTGGTTGATACACCAACGGGACCACTGGGTGTGTTGAGTGATCTCCGCACCACACTAATTACTTGGGCAGGTCAATGGGAGTTTGTATTGAGTGTAGTTTCATAGTGCGAGGGCTTGACTGTTCTGATTGAATAGAGGTCATGTGAATTGGCCTCCCTGCTGCAGATGCACAGAAACTGGTTCAACTTTCTTTTGGGCTGTGTTGAGTGCGCTCCATGGCCTTAGGCAGTGCCGCTGAACATGGTGATAGTTTTGTTCATGATGATATTTGTTTGAATCTTTTGTTGCTGTAAAGGGGCCTCTGGGAGTATGTCAGTGTGGGGTATGCATTAGTGGTTTTGGTGGTGAATCCCCTCTGCAAGTTGGCCTCCCCGCCCAATCCCTCCACCAACCTGGTTTTCTTGCTAACCTTCGGGACAGGGAGAAAAGAGGGTATAAAAAAAAAGAGGGCAGACATAGAAGAGCGCCTGGGAGGCAATATCACTTCTGGACGCAGGAGGCCCAGTGAAGTAACCCGGTCGGTGAACATCTGCGACATCCCAGTAGACTGCAACTCTGACCGTTTTTCTGGAAGTTGCTTTCCTTCTCAAACTCGACTGGGCAGCCGTCATTTCACAGCATGGTAGCATGATGGAGGACTAGAGAGAGCACTTTGGGTTTACGGGTTTCATTCGCAAGGTGAAGCGCCATGTGCTTCGTTCTGCAGCGACGGATGACATCTGCAGCACCCGTGCTTCGGGAAAGGCGTCTGTGAGCCCTGGCCTTGGCCTGCGTAGTCTGACACGTGTCTGCAAGATGCCCCGCGAGAGTGTCGGTAGGTTTCAGTTCTGAGCAACGTGCTTCGCCGCTCTTTCAGCTCGCAGCAACAACGCTGATCACGAGAACCAGGCCCAACGTGCTGTTTGTTCGAAGGGCCGCGGCAGGCTCCCATGTCGTCAATCGGCCAGAGTGGTGGCGCTGACCCGCGACTTCTTGGTCGCGAAGCCTTTGATGTCCGCCAATTGCATGAGGAGCCCGCCACTGTCCCTGTAGCATTCCCGCAACCTGCAGTGAACGCACAGCTGCCCTGCTCCTGCCACAGGACTTGAAAACAACGGAGAATGGGCCAGCCGAACAGAAGGCGCGAAGTGAAGCAATCCAAAGCAGACTCGCTGTGGGAAGTCAATCATTTAGGGCTGTGCCTGTTTTTTGGAGCTTGTTGGTGAGGTGGATGAGGTCGTGCAGACAGCTCCCGCAAGATTCCGCGGGCTGGTGGGCAGCGCCTGGCAGAGGATGTGGGGCATTTTCCGCCGCAGCAACAGCAGCAGCAGTGGCACAGCACAAGCAGAAGAAGAAGCAAAGAGCGGCAGCGGCATAGCAGATGCAGCAGAAGAAGAGCCCGAAGCGGAATCTATCGGAGATTACACGGCTTCGGCCGTGAATCCGGAGAGCTACCCGGCCTCCCTTCCGGGTGATTTCAGGATCCTGCCTGCCAGTGCGTGGCAGAGTCTCCATGCTCGCTTCGAGCAGGAGACAAGGGAGTCCAGCACCGAAGTTGCAGCCACAGCTCCTGCCGACGCACCCCCGAGCCCCACGAGTCATCATGCGGAGGGTGCAGATGCAGCAGACCTTGAGAAATTCGCGCAAACGGACATCCCTACGACCCCCAGCCAAGCACGCGCAGAAGATTTCATTCCCGCAAAGCCCCGACCGCCGGACGCTAGGCTAGACTATACAAGCCTCATCAAACTGCAGTATTGCTCGTTTGGCTCCCACTCGTGCCGAATTGTCACCCTGCGGCCCAGGCATTGACCGAAGCATCACCGTCGCCGGAGAGCGACTGGTAGCTAACCTTGTGCATGGCCGTGCAGCAAAACATTTGTTGCGGCCGGGTGCGCTGACTCCATCGCTTCGACCACAAAAGCATCTGGAGCGCGCTGATCGTTTTGGTGCTTCGGTTGAAGTCTTCGGGCCACTCAGAGGCTGTTTGAATGAAACTTCTTAGCACTGCCTGCACAGCATCGTTTCCTGAAGAGCGCCCTAGGCCTCGAAGCTTCCGTCGACCCAGAAACTTCACGCAACCCGAGGCCGATGAGCTTCTGCTCCTCTTGGGGTACCTTGTCCGAGGCCTTGAGACGTGACATGCCGAGTGTCTGGTTTTCCCGAGGGATTTTCTCAAAGGTTCGGAGACTCAAACACTCAAACTTGTTTAGGCTGCCAGGTCCAGGGATGGAGTTTCCGATCCGGCTCTGGCTCTTGGGTGCTTGCTTGAGGCCTACCGGTAGCTGGTCGGGTAGGGCTTGGACTGCACGCGGATCATGCAGCCTCATCGAGTTCTGAAGCATCACCATGAAAACGTAGGATGCAAAGATTGGCCTTAGCCTCGCTACTGAGCCGTGAACCCCGAAATGCTGTGCCAGGCTGCCACTTTGCATTCGCCATGAACTCGAGGACCGTTCTGGTCTCTAGGAAGGGTTGCACCTCCAAAAAGCTCCCAAATGTCTCTTCCCCCGGAACGGCACTTGTTTTCCTCGTGCCCGGCACGCGCTTCTAGCAGCATTTAGGACTCTCAAAAGTAGGTAAGTTCAGGGGTTGCAGAAACTGGGTTTGTCGGTTTTGGGGACAATCACTTGCGAAGCCCACTTTCCGCGGTCAGAATCGTGGGTCTGGTGCTTGCCAGTTGAGTGCGAGTCGTTGCCAGAACTGGCCGTGTCGTTTCAAGCGCCAGCGTTTGCAGCACCGATCCGCTGGTAGTGTGGATTCGGAGGAGGCACATAACATAAGCCTCTAGTTCACAGTTGTGCCGCAACCTCCGTCTTTCCAAAATTTATAGGCCTGATCATTGCGTGCTGACCACGGTCTTATTGAAGCTGGCCGCATCTTAGACTGCTTCTTGAAGTTGCAGGCCCTCTGCGTCTCAGGTGGGCAGGTTCGAGTTTCCTTCTCAAGCCGAAGCGCCATGTGCTTTGTAGCCACCGCTTGTTTAAAGCTCGTCTGTGCCTGACACCCATACTTACATACTTGTCATCGGCAGGATGACATCTGCCACGCACGTCTGCCTGGACATTCCAAGACCAAGGCCGATCTTCAGAGATGTTCTTTAAAATTATTTCCGGTGGTGGAGCCTTCAGGCAGATCTTTGAAGACTTGTATAGTCCTGCTACAACCCGGCTAGCCAGGATCAGTGAATCCCGAACCCTAGCCCCTGAGGGCAGACGTAGAAGAGCGCCTGGGAGGCAATATCACTTATGGACTCATGGACGTAGCAGGCCCAGTGAAATAACCCGGTCGCTGAACAGCTGCGGAATTCCAGTCGGAGGTATCCAGCCTTCTACCGATTCTTAATGTATGCAACCTCGTGCCACGTCATTTGGGCAACTGCAGCCAAAAATGCTAACATGTTTTGGCTCTCAGAGGGCTTTTAATCGCCGGCCACGACATCTGTTTTCGTCGAGGCTGGGACTCTGCAGTCCATAGCACCAAGTCTTCCTGGAACCCTTCTTCCTTCAATCCTACACGTACAATAGACTTTCGTGCGCCAGGCTTTTTGAAAAGGGAAGCTTGGAGTATTCGGAAGGGAGGGATGGAGTGAGCCGTAGCGTCGCACACACACGACATCTACTTACGATAAGCGTTGAATGAGCATCCTGCCAGCTGTAAACCGAGAAAGCGCAGTCCTGTAGCCCTAGAATAGCGATGGGGATCATCGCGGTGGCAGAGGAAGGGCGAGTCTTCGGCCAGATGAGGCTTGAAGCCTTGCTGAGAGTTTCCTGGGAAGCTGAATACTTGGGTGCCGGCATGATGGAGGAGTTGGCCGAGATGTACCCTCAGCATGCCGAGATACTTACAGCGTGTGCAAACATGGAATGGTTCAATATCGGCTACTGTAAGAGATTCTGCGAGGATGCTAACATGAAGATCAGTGATGATCATGCAGAGAAGGTATTTCAGACGGGAGCAATGATGGCACGCAGGACCCTCGGCACGTTTGAGGCAGCGGCAAAGCTCTTGATCTTCGAGACCCCCGCTGCAATATTGCTGTACAGTCGACTCAAGACAATCGCCGGGAATCCTGAGCTGAAGGCCCTTGCCGATGACTTGATTGAGCATGAGAGCGTTATGCGAGACTGGTTCAAGTCTGAGTTGGAGGGAGAGTCTGATGGAGGCAGAGGAATCTTTGCATACCTCGAGCGCCACGGCATCGGCCGCACGGAAGCAGTGACTCGTCGCCCTCGCAAGGGCATCACCAACGGTGGCATCAAGACCGATAGACAGTTTCGATCTGCCGACTGCTGCTTCCACGGTTGCTTCAAGTATCTTGTCCAGAGGGGCGTCTAGCACTGGCCAATTGCGTGCAGACAGACAGTGGCACTGAGCAAGCAAAGATACTACGCTGGAAGGGTTTCGGCCTCTCAAGACTGCAAACAACATGTGTGAGCATCGGAAGGGCAGGGGTGGGACAGCGGGACCTTGTGCTTTCCCGAACCCCGCAGCACCCGGTTGAAGCACTCGATTAATAGCCGTGAAGTCAAGCTCACAGTGTTCCATTAGAGCAGTATCCGCAAGAACTACGCACCAAGTTTCATGTGAGCAAGGCACAAAAGGTGCTCAGAACAAGCAAATCCACAGGAACATTCCATCGCAACCTCCAGATAGAATTGGCTTCACTGGATCCACCATGATAGAAGGACTATTTCTGAATCGCCGTGTTTGCAAGGAAGAAGCATGAAGTGTCGTAAAGTATCGACTGGTGGGGCAGGTGCGAGCCTTGAAGCGGCACGGAAGCAGGCGAGATGCTACGTCTTGGTAGACTATGGTAGACCTCACATTCTGTATGCTCTGAAGCAAGTACATATATCAGTTTTTCACGAACACCCGACACGGAGTCTGTCAATCTTTCTCCACGGCGCACTGACGGAACACTTCAGTTCCAAATGCCGTTGACCTTCCACCTGGCAAGGCGGAGAACGCATCCAACGATTCCGAGTTGCGCGGCCCTCAAGTTGAGAGGAGAACATCTGACTGCTGTTGCTTCACTGGTACTATGGATGTCCCGGTACAACAGGAGATCTTATACACAGGGATCAGTGCATCTAAGAAAAGCACGCATGCATGAACGAGCGAATGAATGAGCGACTATGTAGTTTTCGGAAAGCGGAGATACCGTCTTGCATTGATGTTTACTCGTTCTATGAAGACGCGTGTTATCGTTAAGGTGCGATTCGAACACCCACGAAGAGCACGCGCGTTTCAAGCACCCGCGATTCACCGGCTTCAGGCTTAGGAGTTTGGGGGTCTAAGGTCTGGCCTTCAAGACTTTGGGGGGGTGTTCTGGATTTTAGGGTTAGGGGCATCAAGGAGAGCCCAAGGATTTTAGGACGTACTCCAGGGTTTAGGGAAATAGTTTTAGATTTACGTCAGTCGACTCTTCGACTTGGGGCTTCGGGGTCTTAGGATTTTACGATGTACAGCTGCAGGTTTTCAGTTTTGAGGTTCAGACCTTTGGGTTTGGGGATGTTTGGGGTGTTGCCGCGCGAATCCGCGGCGGTTGGTGCGTGGATCCATGTCGGTAACAATCCGGCGAAGTGACTTGACTGCGCGAATCCTGCACGCTAGTGCTGAACCCTCCGTGCGCAAGTCGGCCTCCGCAGCGCGCGAAGCCTTCGGCTAGCAAACACTGCGCTGCTTCCAGGGCGTGAATCGTTCTTTCCGGTGCTCAAGTCGGCCTCCCACCGCTTGTACTTCCACACACTCTGTGTCCACCTATTTTACAGGTGTCTACAAAGAAAGTAGGTGTTCTCACTATACAAGAAAGGGTGTTGGGACACGCATTTTGCTCGGTCGTCTTCGTAAGCATGGTGTTCGGTCACGGGTTTCTCTGAGTCTTCTTCGTAAGCATGGTGTTGGGTCAAGGTTTTCACTGGGTCGTCGAAGAAAGGCTACGGATGTTTAGTTGGGTCGGGACGACTAGCACCCAGCCCATCCTTCCAGTCCTCCTCAGCCTCACGTCCTCGACCAAACAAGCCCGCTGGACTCCCAGTTCCCCACTCCCAACCCACTCCCCACCCACTCCCAGACCACTCCCAACCCACCCATCTTGATCCGGGTGGGCTCCGCTTACCACGTCTTCTGCAGTTCAACTCCCAGCGTCTGCATGTGCTTGCCTTTCCCGAGGTTGAATTCCAGACTCGAGCAGAAGCAGACTCCCGACGGTCCTGAACGCTTTCTCTCCCCTGTCCTGCAGCCCCTGGGCGAGAAGAAGCGGAAGAATGGCGGCGAGGCAGCGGCCGCAAAAGCCGATGTTGCCGGCAAGTTAAGTGGAGTGATATCAGCTACGACAAACCTACATCTGCATAAGACCGGAGCGCCAATGGTCGCTGTTATATCATTCCAAGAATCCCCTACATAGCACTGCATACCGTAATATCGTTGACAAAAATGCGAAAGTCCAATCGGGTCGGCAGCGTTTACTGCGTTCGGTTCGGATCAGGCCTCTCCAGTCGCCGATGATGCATCTCCCAAGGAGAAGGCAGGTGAGGGAAATCCACAGGTTGAGTTCGAGACGTAGCGTGATTGAACACATACTGTGCAAAATGCTGTAGCTGCTTTGCATGCCAATACCCGGATGTGTTCAATTTTTCTGCCATCGTGAGGTTGCGAATACAAAAAATCCTTGAGAAAGGCATCTCGTCAAACTGAGACAACACCGCCGATGTCCATCCCCAAGGTGACTTACTATTGGGGGCCTTAGGGGCCTTAATAAGTATCAATACTCTTCTTGGTGTTCCTACCCCTTGTTAAGGCCCCTATGGTAGAAGCCAAGTGGTGCTTCGGACTGCGGGGGCTTTGTGTTCCACTTTTCGGAGTCTTCCGATGTCTGGTCACGCGCCGTCTTATCATGTCATGTCCTTGTTGGTTTAACCTTTGCCGCTCTGTGGCACGGTTGGATCCCATCACTCGTCTAAAAGCTGCTTCGTCCTCTAGTCTGAGCATTGCTGATGACGGGGAGCGGAGCCTCAATCATGACTCACAATTCTATTCCTCTGTACCCTCTGAGTAGCAAGTACAGCCTTCGAGTCCATCACGGTTCTTAGCCCCTTACGCATATGAGAGGCGCTTCGCACTGCAGAGCCAGCGGAGGTCGACACAGCGCAAGGGGGCTAAGACCTCCTTAGACCACCATACCCGAATTTTCTGAAGCAGCAGGAAGACATGGCCGTCTTTGCTGCCTCTCCATGTTCGGAAGCTTGTTTCCTGATCATCTGTTCAGCCATGCAAGCTTGTACAGTCTTCCAAGTGTCTTCCACATGTTGCGAAGAACTGCTCACCTCTGTTCCTGTGTGCTCGAGCCTGGGTGGTAGCCCATCAGTATTTCGAAGTCCGACGCTCAAGACGTCATGTATGGCTCCCGTGTCAGCAAGTATTCAGTGTGGGTCCAGCCAGCAATCATCGTCGTTCAAGCTTCTACTTGTGCAGCCTTCGTCGAACGGTATTCGGCATGACGCCTTTGCTGCGAAGTCGCCGTCAGCTCCGAGTGGCAGAGGCCTCAGCTGCTGGCTGAAGGGAAGGCCTGTGACGCCTGCCCACCACGCTACGACCGCTGGATACTGCGATGAAGCCTTTCGAAGACTCAAGGTTGGAGCCAAGGAAGTAGTAAAACAGAGTGTGAGAGAGACATTGTGTGTGTGTGTCCGTGGCTTCAGTAGTGAGTTTAGCTAGTCAGTCTTGTTTCAAGCAGCTGGAGGGTCGAGGAGAATGCCAACGGAGGCAGCGCAAAAGACTGTTGAAGGTATATCCGAATCCTCACCACAGACTGGCCGCATGCCGAACCCTGAGCCCTCAACCAAGAAAGTTTAGCAAACCCTTAAAGCTTCAAGCCGGTAGCTATGAAGCCCTGAACGGTTTTGGCGTCCCGATCTCATCATTCAACCAACCCCAGGTGCTTGCAGTGTCCTTGGCGCTGTTGGCAATCGCCCTTGGAGCTTCAGGCTTGTGTTGTGGTGTGAAGAGATTGAGATGGCATTTGAAGGCTCCATGAGGCATCAGTGCATTCAGCGCTGCTGTTTCGAAGGGGTCTTCTTGCAGATCGTTGAAAGTGCAAGCTGTGCATAGTTCTGTCGTGTGCCATGTCATTCCAGCGCCGCGTGGCACACTTGCCTTCGGAGCCACGAGCCGTAGCTGCGATGACCGACATTCTCACGATACACGTGGAGGTGGTGTTGAAACCTCACTACCTAAACTTCTTCCCAGAGCTTACCTCGCCATGCCCACAACAACCGCCACGCTCAAAGCTTGAAGGTTCAGGAATCCACAGGCCGCAGGCTATAGAACCGCAGGGCGATGGCTTGAGCAGCTTGGGCCTGCGCATTTCCTCTCTTGCCTCCCTCTGTGTGAGGATCCCCTCAATTGTGAAAGTGAAAGACATCCGCAGTTGGAGGTTCGAATAACATGAAGGTCACCTTCCTCGCCGGTCAGGCCTGGGCCTGAGGCCCAACGACTCCATCCCGCCTCGATTCTCGACGCTCGACAGGCCAAGGCGTTGCAAAGGGCGCATGGGCAGCTGGAGGCCGCAGCGGCGATGCTGGGCCCGCCACGAAAGGCGGGCCTCGCTTTTCGCTTGGGGCCGTGGCCTTCAATCGTACTGTACTTCAGGTGACGCTGAAGGAGTTCCTTTTGGACCCAACCTTCGAGCCTCCCGTGGTGGAATACGCGGTGGCAGAGAATGACGGTGTCCACCGCGCAAGAGTGGCTTTCGCAGGAGTGTCCCACGCAGGTGCGGCAGACCCACTGCGCCGTTCTTGTCAGGCTCCTGTTCTGATTTGTCGTTCATGCCAGGTGCACCCGCATCCTCCCAGGAGGAGGCAAAGCTGAGCGCTGCACTGGTGGCTTTGCGCTCGCTTCGAGCAAAGCAGCGCGTCAACGAGAAGAAGCACGCACGCCAGGACGCCGGACTTTCATTGTGGCGATCATGTTGTTTAGTTTGCAACAGAGAAAATCGTTTTGATTGTTTCCTTGTTAATTATGTGCAATGGGTGTTTCAAGTTTCACTATCATCTGAATCTGGAGTTGATATTGACTGCCTATCTTACCTTTGGCAACGTGGGGAAGAGACAGTGGAAGGTGCAGCGCCCGGTTGCAGGGGGCTATCCACAGCCTCGAGTCGGGGGTGGATGCTGAGGATGAGGGGGATCATGCGCATGAGCACGAGGACGATGATGAGGACTCGGATGGCGAACTAAGTCTTGGATCTCTTTAACGAACGCGTGCTCAAACGCGAATCGGAGGCAGGTGGGCGGGGTGCGGTGCGAACCACACGATGCTGTGCGATGAAGCATAATCCGTCGTCAGCTTCAACACCTGGTACGGTGCACTATCTAAATGCTGTGCCAGCAGCAGCTAAAGGGCATTTTCGCTGGCTGCTCGCATTTTGAGAGCTAGAACATGCTGTAACGCTGTTGTTCGAGAGTGAACGTGGCGCCGTCCAAGCCGAGGAGACCATCTTCCGCGTGCCGCGTGGGCGCAACCTCCGTGCGACTACAAAGGGAGTCGCCGGGGGGAAGCATGAGTCGAACTTGAAATGGATTGAGCACAACAGCTGCTTGGATGCATGTTCAGGTTTACAGATGGAACGCAGTTCGGCAGGATCATTCATAATCTGGTGTTGGGTTCTTGCGATTGACTTTCAGTGCATCAGCCAAGGCGGAGCACAGGTTTCGCTCCTGGGTGGGCCAGGCACTGGCAAGCCGCTCTCAGTGAAAGTTTCGGGAGATGCCCGGCTGCGTCTGGCCATCCCCCTTACTTGCGCCACAAACAGCTTGAAGCATGTCGGCGCCTCATGTTTCTCAGGAAACAGGAAGCTGCGAGATGGCTGGCGCAATGGTCCGCGACCTGCTGGAGATGCTGTGCTTGGCTCGGAAGCATCAGAGTGAGCCAGTCGTGGAATGTCACGCTCTCGGCTGGAACGGACATCTCGTTACATGGGACTGAGGCCTGCCAATGCGCAGACAGGCCGCCAGCCGAGACGCAAGTCGCCTCGAGGATTTGCCCCGCAGTGAAGCGATCGAAAGGGCATCTCCATGTGACGATCCTTCCGACTGGGTTCAGGGATACACGGAATACGGAGTTCAAGCCGGCCATCTGTTTCGAGCTTCACAGGAATGTGATATCAAAGATTTTGGGTTTGCGTCTGACGGGTTTTCGATGATGACAGCAGAGCAGGATTGCAAGCATGCTTAGCTGAACTGCGAGGATAGATGCTGTCGCTAAAACCTTGTGCATGATGCACGAAGCCTAGGGCTTAGGGCACAGAAGGAGACCTTGCAGAACGCAGCATGTCTATTACTCCATTACACACGCATGTCTTTTTCTCTATATACCTCATCCCTCTTTCTCCATTATATAGATATATATATATATATGCATATGTATAGGTATATTTATCTACTACGTATTATGTCAAGAGCTTTGTATATATCAACGTCCGTATATCTGTTCCTGTATATCAGTAATTCCGAGCTCGGCAAAGCAAAGTCGTAAAGCCTTCTACAGATATGAGCATGTTGCGAAGAACTGCTCACCTCTGTTCCTGCGTGCTCGAGCCTGGGTGGTAGCCCATCAGTATTTCGAAGTCCGATGCTCAAGACGTCATGTATGGCTCCCGTGTCAGCAAGTATTCAGTGTGGGTCCAGCCAGCAATCATCGTCGTTCAAGCTTCTACTTGTGCAGCCTTCGTCGAACGGTATTCGGCATGACGCCTTTGCTGCGAAGTCGCCGTCAGCTCCGAGTGGCAGAGGCCTCAGCTGCTGGCTGAAGGGAAGGCCTGTGACGCCTGCCCACCACGCTACGACCGCTGGATACTGCGATGAAGCCTTTCGAAGACTCAAGGTTGGAGCCAAGGAAGTAGTAAAACAGAGTGTGAGAGAGACATTGTGTGTGTGTGTCCGTGGCTTCAGTAGTGAGTTTAGCTAGTCAGTCTTGTTTCAAGCAGCTGGGGGGTCGAGGAGAATGCCAACGGAGGCAGCGCAAAAGACTGTTGAAGGTATATCCGAATCCTCACCATAGACTGGCCGCATGCCGAACCCTGAGCCCTCAACCAAGAAAGTTTAGCAAACCCTTAAAGCTTCAAGCCGGTAGCTATGAAGCCCTGAACGGTTTTGGCGTCCCGATCTCATCATTCAACCAACCCCAGGTGCTTGCAGTGTCCTTGGCGCTGTTGGCAATCGCCCTTGGAGCTTCAGGCTTGTGTTGTGGTGTGAAGAGATTGAGATGGCATTTGAAGGCTCCATGAGGCATCAGTGCATTCAGCGCTGCTGTTTCGAAGGGGTCTTCTTGCAGATCGTTGAAAGTGCAAGCTGTGCATAGTTCTGTCGTTTGCCATGTCATTCCAGCGCCGCGTGGCACACTTGCCTTCGGAGCCACGAGCCGTAGCTGCGATGACCGACATTCTCACGATACACGTGGAGGTGGTGTTGAAACCTCACTACCTAAACTTCTTCCCAGAGCTTACCTCGCCATGCCCACAACAACCGCCACGCTCAAAGCTTGAAGGTTCAGGAATCCACAGGCCGCAGGCTATAGAACCGCAGGGCGATGGCTTGAGCAGCTTGGGCCTGCGCATTTCCTCTCGCCTCCCTCTGTGTGAGGATCCCCTCATATCCCCTCAATTGTGAAAGTGAAAGACATCCGCAGTCGGAGGTTCGAATAACATGAAGGTCACCTTCCTCGCCGGTCAGGCCTGGGCCTGAGGCCCAACGACTCCATCCCGCCTCGATTCTCGACGCTCGACAGGCCAAGGCGTTGCAAAGGGCGCATGGGCAGCTGGAGGCCGCAGCGGCGATGCTGGGCCCGCCACGAAAGGCGGGCCTCGCTTTTCGCTTGGGGCCGTGGCCTTCAATCGTACTGTACTTCAGGTGACGCTGAAGGAGTTCCTTTTGGACCCAACCTTCGAGCCTCCCACGGTGGAATACGCGGTGGCAGAGAATGACGGTGTCCACCGCGCAAGAGTGGCTTTCGCAGGAGTGTCCCACACAGGTGCGGCAGACCCACTGCGCCGTTCTTGTCAGGCTCCGGTTCTGATTTGTCGTTCATGCCAGGTGCACCCGCCTCCTCCCAGGAGGAGGCAAAGCTGAGCGCTACACTGGTGGCTTTGCGCTCGCTTCGAGCAAAGCAGCGCGTCAACGAGAAGAAGCACGCACACCAGGACGCCGGACTTTCATTGTGGCGATCATGTTGTTTAGTTTGCAACAGAGAAAATCGTTTTGATTGTTTCCTTGTTAATTATGTGCAATGGGTGTTTCAAGTTTCACTATCATCTGAATCTAGAGTTGATGTTGACTGCCTATCTTACCTTGAGCAACGCGGGGAAAAGACATCAGAAGGTGCAGCGCCCGGTTTCAGGGGGCGTCTTAGCTGCTGTTTTTGGAGCTTGGGCCGGAACCACGGAAGGGGCAGCTGGCAGAATATCCACCACGCCTCACACTGGAGACAGTTGTCGCTTGTTGGAGCCTCGAGTCGGGGGTGGATGCTGAGGATGAGGGGGATCATGCGCATGAGCACGAGGACGATGATGAGGACTAGGATGGCGAACTAAGTCTTGGATCTCTTTAACGAACTCTCGGAGTCGAAACGTTTTCGGACGTGCTCAAACGCGAATCGGAGGCTGGTGGGCGGGGGGCGGTGCGAACCACACGATGCTGTGCGATGAATAAAATCCGTCGTCAGCTTCAACATCTGGTACAGTGCACTGTCTAAATGCTGTGCCAGCAGCAGCTAAAGGGCATTTCCGCTGGCTGCTCGCTTTGTTAGAGCTAGAACATGCTGGAACGCTGTTGTTCGAGAGTGAACGTGGCGCCGTCCAAGCCGAGGAGACCATCTTCCGCGTGCCGCGTGGGCGCAACCTCCGTGCGACTACAAAGGGAGTCGCCGGGGGGAAGCATGAGTCGAACTTGAAATGGATTGAGCACAACAGCTGCTTGGATGCATGTTCAGGTTTACAGATGGAACGCAGTTCGGCAGGATCATTCATAATCTGGTGTTGGGTTCTTGCGATTGACTTTCAGTGCATCAGCCAAGGCGGAGCACAGGTTTCGCTCCTGGGTGGGCCAGGCACTGGCAAGCCGCTCTCAGTGAAAGTTTCGGGAGATGCCCGGCTGTGTCTGGCCATCCCCCCTACTTGCGCCTCCGACAAGCTTGAAGCATGTCGGCGCCTCATGTTTCTCAGGAAACAGGAAGCTGCGAGATGGCTGGCGCAATGGTCCGCGACCTGCTGGAGATGCTGTGCTTGGCTCGGAAGCATCAGAGTGAGCCAGTCGTGGAATGTCACGCTCTCGGCTGGAACGGACATCTCGTTACATGGGACTGAGGCCTGCCAATGCGCAGACGGGCCGCCAGCCGAGACGCAAGTCGCCTCGAGGATTTGCTCCGCAGTGAAGCGATCGAAAGGGCATCTCCATGTGACGATCCTTCCGACTGGGTTCAGGGATACACGGAATACGGAGTTCAAGCCGGCCAGCTGTTTCGAGCTTCACAGGAATGTGATATCAAAGATTTTGGGTTTGCGTCTGACGGGTTTTCGATGATGACAGCAGAGCAGGATTGCAAGCATGCTTAGCTGAACTGCGAGGATAGATGCTGTCGCTAAAACCTTGTGCATGATGCACGAAGCCTAGGGCTTAGGGCACAGAAGGAGACCTTGCAGAACGCAGCATGTCTATTACTCCATTACACACGCATGTCTTTTTCTCTATATACCTCATCCCTCTTTCTCCATTATATAGATATATATATATATATGCATATGTATAGGTATATTTATCTACTACGTATTATGTCAAGAGCTTTGTATATATCAACGTCCGTATATCTGTTCCTGTATATCAGTAATTCCGAGCTCGGCAAAGCAAAGTCGTAAAGCCTTCTACAGATATGAGCATGTTGCGAAGAACTGCTCACCTCTGTTCCTGTGTGCTCGAGCCTGGGTGGTAGCCCATCAGTATTTCGAAGTCCGATGCTCAAGACGTCATGTATGGCTCCCGTGTCAGCAAGTATTCAGTGTGGGTCCAGCCAGCAATCATCGTCGTTCAAGCTTCTACTTGTGCAGCCTTCGTCGAACGGTATTCGGCATGACGCCTTTGCTGCGAAGTCGCCGTCAGCTCCGAGTGGCAGAGGCCTCAGCTGCTGGCTGAAGGGAAGGCCTGTGACGCCTGCCCACCACGCTACGACCGCTGGATACTGCGATGAAGCCTTTCGAAGACTCAAGGTTGGAGCCAAGGAAGTAGTAAAACAGAGTGTGAGAGAGACATTGTGTGTGTGTGTGTCCGTGGCTTCAGTAGTGAGTTTAGCTAGTCAGTCTTGTTTCAAGCAGCTGGGGTTCGAGGAGAATGCCAACGGAGGCAGCGCAAAAGACTGTTGAAGGTATATCCGAATCCTCACCATAGACTGGCCGCATGCCGAACCCTGAGCCCTCAACCAAGAAAGTTTAGCAAACCCTTAAAGCTTCAAGCCGGTAGCTATGAAGCCCTGAACGGTTTTGGCGTCCCGATCTCATCATTCAACCAACCCCAGGTGCTTGCAGTGTCCTTGGCGCTGTTGGCAATCGCCCTTGGAGCTTCAGGCTTGTGTTGTGGTGTGAAGAGATTGAGATGGCATTTGAAGGCTCCACGAGGCATCAGTGCATTCAGCGCTGCTGTTTCGAAGGGGTCTTCTTGCAGATCGTTGAAAGTGCAAGCTGTGCATAGTTCTTTCGTGTGCCATGTCATTCCAGCGCCGCGTGGCACGCTTGCCTTCGGAGCCACGAGCTGTAGCTGCGATGACCGACATTCTCACGACACACCTGGAGGTGGTGTTGAACCTCACTACCTAAACTTCTTCCCAGAGCTTACCTCGCCATGCCCACAACAACCGCCACGCTCAAAGCTTGAAGGTTCAGGAATCCACAGGCCGCAGGCTATAGAACCGCAGGGCGATGGCTTGAGCAGCTTGGGCCTGCGCATTTCCTCTCGCCTCCCTCTGTGTGAGGATCCCCTCAATTGTGAAAGTGAAAGACATCCGCAGTCGGAGGTTCGAATAACATGAAGGTCACCTTCCTCGCCGGTCAGGCCTGGGCCTGAGGCCCAACGACTCCATCCCGCCTCGATTCTCGACGCTCGACAGGCCAAGGCGTTGCAAAGGGCGCATGGGCAGCTGGAGGCCGCAGCGGCGATGCTGGGCCCGCCACGAAAGGCGGGCCTCGCTTTTCGCTTGGGGCCGTGGCCTTCAATCGTACTGTACTTCAGGTGACGCTGAAGGAGTTCCTTTTGGACCCAACCTTCGAGCCTCCCGTGGTGGAATACGCGGTGGCAGAGAATGACGGTGTCCACCGCGCAAGAGTGGCTTTCGCAGGAGTGTCCCACACAGGTGCGGCAGACCCACTGCGCCGTTCTTGTCAGGCTCCGGTTCTGATTTGTCGTTCATGCCAGGTGCACCCGCCTCCTCCCAGGAGGAGGCAAAGCTGAGCGCTACACTGGTGGCTTTGCGCTCGCTTCGAGCAAAGCAGCGCGTCAACGAGAAGAAGCACGCACACCAGGACGCCAGACTTTCATTGTGGCGATCATGTTGTTTAGTTTGCAACAGAGAAAATCGTTTTGATTGTTTCCTTGCTAATTATGTGCAATGGGTGTTTCAAGTTTCACTATCATCTGAATCTAGAGTTGATGTTGACTGCCTATCTTACCTTGAGCAACGCGGGGAAAAGACATCAGAAGGTGCAGCGCCCGGTTTCAGGGGGCGTCTTAGCTGCTGCTTTTGGAGCTTGGGCCGGAACCACGGAAGGGGCAGCTGGCAGAATATCCACCACGCCTCACACTGGAGACAGTTGTCGCTTGTTGGAGCCTCGAGTCGGGGGTGGATGCTGAGGATGAGGGGGATCATGCGCATGAGCACGAGGACGATGATGAGGACTAGGATGGCGAACTAAGTCTTGGATCTCTTTAACGAACTCTCGGAGTCGAAAACGTTTTCGGACGTGCTCAAACGCGAATCGGAGGCTGGTGGGCGGGGGGCGGTGCGAACCACACGATGCTGTGCGATGAATAAAATCCGTCGTCAGCTTCAACATCTGGTACAGTGCACTATCTAAATGCTGTGCCAGCAGCAGCTAAAGGGCATTTCCGCTGGCTGCTCGCTTTGTTAGAGCTAGAACATGCTGTAACGCTGTTGTTCGAGAGTGAACGTGGCGCCGTCCAAGCCGAGGAGACCATCTTCCGCGTGCCGCGTGGGCGCAACCTCCGTGCGACTACAAAGGGAGTCGCCGGGGGGAAGCATGAGTCGAACTTGAAATGGATTGAGCACAACAGCTGCTTGGATGCATGTTCAGGTTTACAGATGGAACGCAGTTCGGCAGGATCATTCATAATCTTGTGTTGGGTTCTTGCGATTGACTTTCAGTGCATCAGCCAAGGCGGAGCACAGGTTTCGCTCCTGGGCGGGCCAGGCACTGGCAAGCCGCTCTCAGTGAAAGTTTCGGGAGATGCCCGGCTGTGTCTGGCCATCCCCCCTACTTGCGCCTCCGACAAGCTTGAAGCATGTCGGCGCCTCATGTTTCTCAGGAAACAGGAAGCTGCGAGATGGCTGGCGCAATGGTCCGCGACCTGCTGGAGATGCTGTGCTTGGCTCGGAAGCATCAGAGTGAGCCAGTCGTGGAATGTCACGCTCTCGGCTGGAACGGACATCTCGTTACATGGGACTGAGGCCTGCCAATGCGCAGACGGGCCGCCAGCCGAGACGCAAGTCGCCTCGAGGATTTGCTCCGCAGTGAAGCGATCGAAAGGGCATCTCCATGTGACGATCCTTCCGACTGGGTTCAGGGATACACGGAATACGGAGTTCAAGCCGGCCAGCTGTTTCGAGCTTCACAGGAATGTGATATCAAAGATTTTGGGTTTGCGTCTGACGGGTTTTCGATGATGACAGCAGAGCAGGATTGCAAGCATGCTTAGCTGAACTGCGAGGATAGATGCTGTCGCTAAAACCTTGTGCATGATGCACGAAGCCTAGGGCTTAGGGCACAGAAGGAGACCTTGCAGAACGCAGCATGTCTATTACTCCATTACACACGCATGTCTTTTTCTCTATATACCTCATCCCTCTTTCTCCATTATATAGATATATATATATATATGCATATGTATAGGTATATTTATCTACTACGTATTATGTCAAGAGCTTTGTATATATCAACGTCCGTATATCTGTTCCTGTATATCAGTAATTCCGAGCTCGGCAAAGCAAAGTCGTAAAGCCTTCTACAGATATGAGCATGTTGCGAAGAACTGCTCACCTCTGTTCCTGTGTGCTCGAGCCTGGGTGGTAGCCCATCAGTATTTCGAAGTCCGATGCTCAAGACGTCATGTATGGCTCCCGTGTCAGCAAGTATTCAGTGTGGGTCCAGCCAGCAATCATCGTCGTTCAAGCTTCTACTTGTGCAGCCTTCGTCGAACGGTATTCGGCATGACGCCTTTGCTGCGAAGTCGCCGTCAGCTCCGAGTGGCAGAGGCCTCAGCTGCTGGCTGAAGGGAAGGCCTGTGACGCCTGCCCACCACGCTACGACCGCTGGATACTGCGATGAAGCCTTTCGAAGACTCAAGGTTGGAGCCAAGGAAGTAGTAAAACAGAGTGTGAGAGAGACATTGTGTGTGTGTGTCCGTGGCTTCAGTAGTGAGTTTAGCTAGTCAGTCTTGTTTCAAGCAGCTGGGGGGTCGAGGAGAATGCCAACGGAGGCAGCGCAAAAGACTGTTGAAGGTATATCCGAATCCTCACCATAGACTGGCCGCATGCCGAACCCTGAGCCCTCAACCAAGAAAGTTTAGCAAACCCTTAAAGCTTCAAGCCGGTAGCTATGAAGCCCTGAACGGTTTTGGCGTCCCGATCTCATCATTCAACCAACCCCAGGTGCTTGCAGTGTCCTTGGCGCTGTTGGCAATCGCCCTTGGAGCTTCAGGCTTGTGTTGTGGTGTGAAGAGATTGAGATGGCATTTGAAGGCTCCATGAGGCATCAGTGCATTCAGCGCTGCTGTTTCGAAGGGGTCTTCTTGCAGATCGTTGAAAGTGCAAGCTGTGCATAGTTCTGTCGTGTGCCATGTCATTCCAGCGCCGCGTGGCACACTTGCCTTCGGAGCCACGAGCCGTAGCTGCGATGACCGACATTCTCACGATACACCTGGAGGTGGTGTTGAAACCTCACTACCTAAACTTCTTCCCAGAGCTTACCTCGCCATGCCCACAACAACCGCCACGCTCAAAGCTTGAAGGTTCAGGAATCCACAGGCCGCAGGCTATAGAACCGCAGGGCGATGGCTTGAGCAGCTTGGGCCTGCGCATTTCCTCTCTTGCCTCCCTCTGTGTGAGGATCCCCTCAATTGTGAAAGTGAAAGACATCCGCAGTCGGAGGTTCGAATAACATGAAGGTCACCTTCCTCGCCGGTCAGGCCTGGGCCTGAGGCCCAACGACTCCATCCCGCCTCGATTCTCGACGCTCGACAGGCCAAGGCGTTGCAAAGGGCGCATGGGCAGCTGGAGGCCGCAGCGGCGATGCTGGGCCCGCCACGAAAGGCGGGCCTCGCTTTTCGCTTGGGGCCGTGGCCTTCAATCGTACTGTACTTCAGGTGACGCTGAAGGAGTTCCTTTTGGACCCAACCTTCGAGCCTCCCACGGTGGAATACGCGGTGGCAGAGAATGACGGTGTCCACCGCGCAAGAGTGGCTTTCGCAGGAGTGTCCCACACAGGTGCGGCAGACCCACTGCGCCGTTCTTGTCAGGCTCCGGTTCTGATTTGTCGTTCATGCCAGGTGCACCCGCCTCCTCCCAGGAGGAGGCAAAGCTTTGCGCTCGCTTCGAGCAAAGCAGCGCGTCAACGAGAAGAAGCACGCACACCAGGACGCCGGACTTTCATTGTGGCGATCATGTTGTTTAGTTTGCAACAGAGAAAATCGTTTTGATTGTTTCCTTGTTAATTATGTGCAATGGGTGTTTCAAGTTTCACTATCATCTGAATCTAGAGTTGATGTTGACTGCCTATCTTACCTTGAGCAACGCGGGGAAAAGACATCAGAAGGTGCAGCGCCCGGTTTCAGGGGGCGTCTTAGCTGCTGCTTTTGGAGCTTGGGCCGGAACCACGGAAGGGGCAGCTGGCAGAATATCCACCACGCCTCACACTGGAGACAGTTGTCGCTTGTTGGAGCCTCGAGTCGGGGGTGGATGCTGAGGATGAGGGGGATCATGCGCATGAGCACGAGGACGATGATGAGGACTAGGATGGCGAACTAAGTCTTGGATCTCTTTAACGAACTCTCGGAGTCGAAAACGTTTTCGGACGTGCTCAAACGCGAATCGGAGGCTGGTGGGCGGGGTGCGGTGCGAACCACACGAGGCTGTGCGATGAAGCATAATCCGTCGTCAGCTTCAACACCTGGTACAGTGCACTATCTAAATGCTGTGCCAGCAGCAGCTAAAGGGCATTCTCGCTGGCTGCTCGCATTTTGAGAGCTAGAATATGCTGCAACGCTGTTGTTCGAGTGCCGTCCAAGCCGAGGAGACCATCTTCCGCGTGCCGCGTGGGCGCAACCTCCGTGCGACTACAAAGGGAGTCGCCGGGGGGAAGCATGAGTCGAACTTGAAATGGATTGAGCACAACAGCTGCTTGGAAGCATGTTCAGGTTTACAGATGGAACGCAGTTCGGCAGGATCATTCATAATCTTGTGTTGGGTTCTTGCGATTGACTTTCAGTCCATCAGCCAAGGCGGAGCACAGGTTTCGCTCCTGGGTGGGCCAGGCACTGGCAAGCCGCTCTCAGTGAAAGTTTCGGGAGATGCCCGGCTGTGTCTGGCCATCCCCCCTACTTGCGCCTCCGACAAGCTTGAAGCATGTCGGCGCCTCATGTTTCTCAGGAAACAGGAAGCTGCGAGATGGCTGGCGCAATGGTCCGCGACCTGCTGGAGATGCTGTGCTTGGCTCGGAAGATCTCGGAAGCATCAGAGTGAGCCAGTCGTGGAATGTCACGCTCTCGGCTGGAACGGACATCTCGTTACATGGGACTGAGGCCTGCCAATGTGCAGACGGGCCGCCAGCCGAGACGCAAGTCGCCTCGAGGATTTGCGCCGATGTGAAGCGATCGAAAGGGCATATCCATGTGACGATCCTTCCGACTGGGTTCAGGGATACACGAAATACGGAGTTCAAGCCGGCCAGCTGTTTCGAGCTTCACAGGAATGTGATATCAAAGATTTTGGGTTTGCGTCTGACGGGTTTTCGATGATGACAGTAGAGCAGGATTGCAAGCATGCTTAGCTGAACTGCGAGGATAGATGCTGTCGCTACAAAATTGTGCATGATACACGAAGCCTAGAGCCTAGGGCACAGAAGGCGACCTTGCAGAACGCAGCATGTCTATTGCTCTATTACACACACACACACACACACACTCTCTCTCTCTCTCTACATAACATACATTATATATATATATATATATATACACAATACATGTGTATAGATAAATGAGTAGATCGAACGTAGTATGTCTTTTTCTCTGTATATCTCCGCCCCCTGTCTACATTACACATGAGCTTTGCATATATTAATGTCCGTATATCTGCTCCTGTATATCAGTAATTCCGAGCTCGGCAAAGCAAAGTCGTAAAGCCTTCCACAGATATGAGCATGTTGCGAAGAACTGCTCACCTCTGTTCCTGTGTGCTCGAGCCTGGGTGGTAGCCCATCAGCATTTCGAAGCCTGCAATCACGGGATATGCGAAGCTTCGTCGTTCAAGCTTCTACTTGTGCAGCCTTCTTCGAACGGTATTCGGCATGACGCCTTTGCTGCGAAGTCGCCGTCAGCTCCGAGTGGCAGAGGCCTCAGCTGCTGGCTGAAGGCTGAAGGGAAGGCCTCTGACGCCTGCCCACCACGCTACGACCGCTGGATACTGCGATGAAGCCTTTGGAAGAATCAAGGTTGGAGCCAAGGAAGTAGTAAAAAAGAGTGTGCGTGTGTGCGTGCGCGTGCGTGTGTCTGTGGCTTCAGTAGTAGTGAGTTTAGATAGTCAGTCTTGTTTCAAGGCCAACGGAGGCAGCGCAAAAGACTGTTGAAGGTACATCCGAATCCAAACCATAGACTGGCCGCATGCCGAACCCTTGAGCCCTCAACCAAGAAAGTTTAGCAAACCCTTAAAGCTTCAAGCCGGTAGCTATGAAGCCCTGAACGGTTTTGGCGTCCCGATCTCATCGCTCAACCAGCCCCAGGTGCTTGCAGTGTCCTTGGCGCTGTTGGCAATCGCCCTTGAAGCTTCAGGCTTGTGCCGCGGTGTGAAGAGATTGAGGTGGCAGTTGAAGGTTCCATGAGGCATCAGTGCATTCAGCACTGCTGTTTCGAAGGGGTCTTCTTGCAGATCGTTGAGAGTGCAAGCTGTGCATAGCCATGTCATTCCAGCGCTGCGTGGCACACTTGCCTTCGGAGCCACGAGCTGTAGCTGCGATGACCGACATTCTCACGACACACCTGGAGGTGGTGTTGAAACCTCACTACCTAAACTTCTTCCCAGAGCTCACCTTGCCATGCCCACAACAACCGCCACGCTCAAAGCTTGAAGGTTCAGGAATCCACAGGCCGCAGGCTATAGAACCACAGGGCGATGGCTTGAGCAGCTTGGGCCTGCGCATTTCCTCTCTTGCCTCTCTCTGTGTGAGGATCCCCTCAATTATGTGAAAGAAATCCGCAGTCGGAGGTTCGAATAACATGAAGGTCACCTTCCTCGCCGGTCAGGCCTGGCCCTGAGGCCCAACGACTCCCGCCTCGATTCTCGATGCTCCCGAGCCCGACAGGCCAAGGCGTTGCAAAGGGCGCATGGGCAGCTGGAGGCCGCAGCGGCGATGCTGGGCCCGCCACGAAAGGCGGCCTTCGCAGTGATTCAAACTTTCGCTTGGGGCCGTGGCCTTCAATCGTACTGTACTTCAGGTGACGCTGAAGGAGTTCCTTTTGGACCCAACCTTTGAGCCTCCCGTGGTGGAATACGCGGTGGCAGAGAATGACGGTGTCCACCGCGCAAGAGTGGCTTTCGCAGGAGTGTCCCACGCAGGTGCGGCAGACCCACTGCGCCGTTCTTGTCAGGCTCCTGTTCTGATTTGTCGTTCATGCCAGGTGCACCCGCATCCTCCCAGGAGGAGGCAAAGCTGAGCGCTGCACTGGTGGCTTTGCGCTCGCTTCGAGCAAAGCAGCGCGTCAACGAGAAGAACCACGCACACCAGGACGCCGGACTTTCATTGTGGCGATCATGCTGTTTAGTTTGCAACAGAGAAAATCAGTTTGTTTCCTTGTTAGTTATGTGCAATGGGTGTTTCAAGCTTCACTATCATCTGAATCTAGAGTTGATTTTGACTGCCTATCTTACTGTACCTCTAGCAACGCGGGGAAAAGACATCAGAAGGTGCAGCGCCCCGTTGCACGGGGCATCTTAGCTGCTGCTTTTGGAGCTTGGCCCGGAACCACGGAAGGGGCAACTGGCAGAATATCCACCACGCCACACTGGAGACAGTTGTCGTTTGTTGGAGCCTCGTGTCGGGGGTGGGTGCTGAGGATGAGGGGGATCATGCGCATGAGCACCAGGACGATGATGAGGACTAGGATGGCGAACTAAGTCTTGGATCTCTTTAACGAACTCTCGGAGTCGAAAACGTTTTCGGACGTGCTCAAACGCGAGTCGGAGGCTGCTGGGCGGGGTGCGGTGCGAACCACACGAGGCTGTGCGATGAATAAAATCCGTCGTCAGCTTCAACACCTGGTACAGTGCACTATCTAAATGCTGTGCCAGCAGCAGCTAAAGGGCATTCTCGCTGGCTGCTCGCATTTTGAGAGCTAGAACATGCTGTAACGCTGTTGTTCGAGAGTGAACGTGGCGCCATCCAAGCCGAGGAGATCCTGGTGTCCGTGCTTCTTCTTGTTGACGCGCTGCTTTGCTCGAAGCGAGCGCAAAGCCACCAGGGGGGGAAGCATGAGTCGAACTTGAAATGGATTGAGCACAACAGCTGCTTGGAAGCATGTTCAGGTTTACAGATGGAACGCAGTTCGGCAGGATCATTCATAATCTTGTGTTGGGTTCTTGCGATTGACTTTCAGTGCATCAGCCAAGGCGGAGCACAGGTTTCGCTCCTGGGTGGGCCAGGCACTGGCAAGCCGCTCTCAGTGAAGTTTCGGGAGATGCCCGGCTGCGTCTGGCCATCCCCCCTACTTGCGCCTCCGACAAGCTTGAAGCATGTCGGCGCCTCATGAGTGCCTCATGTTTCTCAGGAAACAAGAAGCTGCGAGATGGCTGGCGCAATGGTCCGCGACCTGCTGGAGATGCTGTGCTTGGCTCGGAAGATCTCGGAAGCATCAGAGTGAGCCAGTCGTGGAATGTCACGCTCTCGGCTGGAACGGACATCTCGTTACATGGGACTGAGGCCTGCCAATGCGCAGACGGGCCACCAGCCGAGACGCAAGTCGCCTCGAGGATTTGCGCCGATGTGAAGCGATCGAAAGGGCATATCCATGTGACGATCTTTCCGACTGGGTTCAGGGACACACGGAATACGGAGTTCAAGCCGGCCAGCTGTTTCGAGCTTCACAGGAATGTGAATGTAAAATTAAAGGTTTTGGGTTTGCGTGTGACGGGTTTTCGATGATGACAGTAGAGCAGGATTGCAAGCATGCTTAGCTGAACTGCGAGGATAGATGCTGTCGCTACAAAATTGTGCATGATGCACGAAGCCTAGGGCCTAGGGCACAGAAGGCGACCTTGCCGAACGCAGCATGTCTATTACTCTATTACACACGCATGTCTTTTTCTCTATATATCTCCTCCCTCTTTCTACATTATATATGTATATACAGATATATTTATTTACGTATAATGTCAAGAGCTTTGCATATATCAACGTCCGTATATCTGTTCCTGTATATCCGTAATTCCGAGCTCGGCAAAGCAAAGTCGTAAAGCCTTCACAGATATGAGCATGTTGCGAAGAACTGCTCACCTCTGTTCCTGTGTGCTCGAGCCTGGGTGGTAGCCCATCAGTATTTCGAAGTCCGACGCTCAAGACGTCATGTATGGCTCCCGTGTCAGCAAGTATTCAGTGTGGGTCCAGCCTGCAATCACGGGATATGCGAAGCTTCGTCGTTCAAGCTTCTACTTGTGCAGCCTTCTTCGAACGGTATTCGGCATGACGCCTTTGCTGCGAAGTCGCCGTCAGCTCCGAGTGGCAGAGGCCTCAGCTGCTGGCTGAAGGCTGAAGGGAAGGCCTCTGACGCCTGCCCACCACGCTACGACCGCTGGATACTGCGATGAAGCTTTTGGAAGAATCAAGGTTGGAGCCAAGGAAGTAGTAAAAAAGAGTGTGCGTGTGTGCGTGCGCGTGCGTGTGTCTGTGGCTTCAGTAGTAGTGAGTTTAGATAGTCAGTCTTGTTTCAAGGCCAACGGAGGCAGCGCAAAAGACTGTTGAAGGTACATCCGAATCCAAACCATAGACTGGCCGCATGCCGAACCCTTGAGCCCTCAACCAAGAAAGTTTAGCAAACCCTTAAAGCTTCAAGCCGGTAGCTATGAAGCCCTGAACGGTTTTGGCGTCCCGATCTCATCGCTCAACCAGCCCCAGGTGCTTGCAGTAGTGTCCTTGGCGCTGTTGGCAATCGCCCTTGAAGCTTCAGGCTTGTGCCGCGGTGTGAAGAGATTGAGGTGGCAGTTGAAGGCTCCATGAGGCATCAGTGCATTCAGCACTGCTGTTTCGAAGGGGTCTTCTTGCAGATCGTTGAGAGTGCAAGCTGTGCATAGCCATGTCATTCCAGCGCTGCGTGGCACACTTGCCTTCGGAGCCACGAGCTGTAGCTGCGATGACCGACATTCTCACGACACACCTGGAGGTGGTGTTGAAACCTCACTACCTAAACTTCTTCCCAGAGCTCACCTTGCCATGCCCACAACAACCGCCACGCTCAAAGCTTGAAGGTTCAGGAATCCACAGGCCGCAGGCTATAGAACCACAGGGCGATGGCTTGAGCAGCTTGGGCCTGCGCATTTCCTCTCTTGCCTCTCTCTGTGTGAGGATCCCCTCAATTATGTGAAAGAAATCCGCAGTCGGAGGTTCGAATAACATGAAGGTCACCTTCCTCGCCGGTCAGGCCTGGCCCTGAGGCCCAACGACTCCCGCCTCGATTCTCGATGCTCCCGAGCCCGACAGGCCAAGGCGTTGCAAAGGGCGCATGGGCAGCTGGAGGCCGCAGCGGCGATGCTGGGCCCGCCACGAAAGGCGGCCTTCGCAGTGATTCAAACTTTCGCTTGGGGCCGTGGCCTTCAATCGTACTGTACTTCAGGTGACGCTGAAAGAGTTCCTTTTGGACCCAACCTTCGAGCCTCCCGTGGTGGAATACGCGGTGGCAGAGAATGACGGTGTCCACCGCGCAAGAGTGGCTTTCGCAGGAGTGTCCCTCTCAGGTGCGGCAGACCCACTGCGCCGTTCTTGTCAGGCTCCTGTTCTGATTTGTCGTTCATGCCAGGTGCACCCGCATCCTCCCAGGAGGATGCAAAGCTGAGCGCTGCACTGGTGGCTTTGCGCTCGCTTCGAGCAAAGCAGCGCGTCAACGAGAAGAACCACGCACACCAGGACGCCGGACTTTCATTGTGGCGATCATGCTGTTTAGTTTGCAACAGAGAAAATCGTTTTGATTGTTTCCTTGTTCATAGGGCCTGTGCAGCGGGTGTTTGTGCAATGGGTGTTTCAAGTTTCACTATCATCTGAATCTGGGGTTGATATTGACTGCCTATCTTACCTTTGGCAACGCGGGGAAGAGACAGCGGAAGGTGCAGCGCCCGGTTGCGGGGGGCTATCCGCAGCCTCGTGTCGGGGGTGGATGCTGAGGATGAGGGGGATCATGCGCATGAGCACGAGGACGATGATGAGGACTCGGATGGCGAACTAAGTCTTGGATCTCTTTAACGAACACGTGCTCAAACGCGAATCGGAGGCAGGTGGGCGGGGTGCGATGCGAACCACACGATGCTGTGCGATGAAGCATAATCCGTCGTCAGCTTCAACACCTGGTGCAGTGCACTATCTAAATGCTGCTGGCGTTTCGCTGGCTGCTCGCATTTTGAGAGCTAGAACATGCTGCAACGCTGTTGTTCGAGAGTGAACGTGGCGCCGTCCAAGCCGAGGAGACCATCTTCCGCGTGCCGCGTGGGCGCAACCTCCGTGCGACTACAATGGGAGTCGCCGGGGGGAAGCATGAGTCGAACTTGAAATGGATTGAGCACAACAGCTGCTTGGAAGCATGTTCAGGTTTACAGATGGAACGCAGTTCGGCAGGATCATTCATAATCTTGTGTTGGGTTCTTGCGATTGACTTTCAGTGCATCAGCCAAGGCGGAGCACAGGTTTCGCTCCTGGGTGGGCCAGGCACTGGCAAGCCGCTCTCAGTGAAAGTTTCGGGAGATGCCCGGCTGTGTCTGGCCATCCCCCCTACTTGCGCCTCCGACAAGCTTGAAGCATGTCGGCGCCTCATGAGTGCCTCATGTTTCTCAGGAAACAGGAAGCTGCGAGATGGCTGGCGCAATGGTCCGCGACCTGCTGGAGATGCTGTGCTTGGCTCGGAAGATCTCGGAAGCATCAGAGTGAGCCAGTCGTGGAATGTCACGCTCTCGGCTGGAACGGACATCTCGTTACATGGGACTGAGGCCTGCCAATGCGCAGACGGGCCACCAGCCGAGACGCAAGTCGCCTCGAGGATTTGCCCCGCAGTGAAGCGATCGAAAGGGCATATCCATGTGACGATCTTTCTGACTGGGTTCAGGGATACACCTACATCATAGTTCATAGACATCAAGCTTATGCAAGGCTGGCTCATTTTGGTTTTTCTAGCCGCTCAGCATTCGCGGATCCTTGCCTTCCATTGGTGTTGGGAAAGTGTAGGAAAGCATGGAGCTACGATCACAGCCGAGACATGTCACCCTGGTTTTCCTGGGGACCATCAGCAGCGGAATGATTTCAACAGGGAACATTTTGTACGGCGGCAGCTCCGGTCAGGGTCCTTTTGAGGCCGGTAACAGCTATGATCCCATCACGAGGTGTCTCAAGCCTGCAATCTTCGAGGTGGATGCTGGCAGCTTTCATGTGATTGACAAGCCTGGGCTGAAACCTGCCCAATTGCAGATGCATGCTACCCTTCGCGCAGTTCTGGCAAACGCCCCGACGTTCTTCGAAGGGCAATGTGCTCTTTTTGTTTTGCATGACAGGTGGCCGAGAACAAGATAACCCCGATCAAATTTTACGCCACCTGCAAACCATTCCAGAAGTTCACCAAAGATTGATGCATTTGATGCTGATACTTGCACGTGGCAAAGCTGAGCACCAACGGCAGGAAGCGCGTGGCAAGCGAAAGTGCAGCAAAAACTCATGGTGAAAGTTCAGAACACTTTGCAACGCAGCAGCAGCTTGGAAACACAGGCCAGGCTGGACCTTTGCAAGGAGCGACTTCGCAGGCTAACCGACTGCCTTGAAGACCGGAGCCATTGAAGTGCTTTGCCGCACTGGCGGTTCTGCAGAGTGCCCGAACAAGACCACACTCCTTGGGAGGATTTGCGCGACATTGAAAAGCCTCCCAGTCCCAGCCTCCAAAGGTTTACGAGCAGTCTCAGCGATGCCAGCACCGCCGTCCTTAACATGATTCCTGCCAGCGACACGCGAGAGAGGAGCACTGGCAATTGCGTCTGGAGGGTTGGTGCCTGCACTCTAGTGACTCTAGTGGGGGCGACATTCCGTGCCCTTCTCTACCGGGCTTCATCGGTGCTAATTTTATGTTGGTGCTGGGCACTTTATTTGGAGTGTTGTTGGGCTCGTACGATGTCCGACAGTATGTGTGTTCACCAGCTTGCGTTTGTAGCAGCTTGTCCTGCTGCAGTGGTGCCGTTTTCACTGCCATCATTTGTAGATAGATCAATGCGGCAGCTGTGATACATCTTCAATTTCCCAAGCCTTGTTCCAGAGAGTGGATCGCAGTGTTCCGTATGACTCGGCGTTGGCGTATGACACAGCACAACTCGAGCGGTTCAAATGAGGTGTTTTCACACACGTATGAGATTGGCAGATCAATCAGCCCACCAACCCGAGCATGACCTCTAGTGGAACTGCGCCCCTCCTAAGATTTTGCAAGAACTCTGCAATCATGGTAAGACAATGTCTTTGTAGTGCAACCAACCATCAACGGCCGCAATTTAATAGTTGACCATGGAGAGTGCAAGCTCGAAAGAGAGGTTTTGCACCTCTCATGGTACATGGCACTACCCGTCAACTAGCTGTAGTGCAAGGGCTGCAACATCTCGTCCGAAAGCCGTGTCTCGCTGATAACTAAGTCCTTAAAGGCACTTCACTTTCGTGTTGCCGTAACAAAATCACAAACCTCTGCCTGTGAAAGCGCCATGGTCCCTCTACATGACGACTGCAAGACAAGGCTTGTCCATGCGTGTACTGTCTGAGGCCAGGGCGGTACCCGTCTGACTGTAGCCCCATCGTACTCGTGCCGAGTGCCGTTCCCGGATGCCGTGCCACAGCACTTCTGACAAGATTGTTCCTGGCGGATGCAGCAAGTCGAGCCTCCAAGACCTGCATCGGCTCAACAGGCAAGCATCAAGGCTGCTGAGGGCTGGATTGCATTGGAAGCTCCAGGAGTAAAGGCCTTAGATGGTCAGTACATTCGGATCCTGGTGAAGTCTTCTGTGTTAGACCCTGGACCACTGCCGATCGCTTGTTTTGTCTCATAGGTTGGCAGCTTAGCCCCATGCTTCACAACCAGTACACAGGGGAAAGCTTGTTGGTCGCATCTCGGAATCTCGCCAGCACAAGGGGGGAAGAGGAAGCAATTTGGCCTGGGTTCTCAATTTCGCCACGGGGGGGCAATAAGATGTTGGTCACTGCTGTGAATCCTGCCACTACTCAGCTACGCAGTCTGCTGGTAGTCCTGGTTGTTTTGTCTGGTCTCCGGGTAGTCCCTCAGGTGGTCCTAGTGGTCTTGTGGTGTTCTCGTGGCAATCTCCTGGTTTGCTCGAAAGCATCCTTCTTTTCTTACGTCAGGCCCGTTCATTGTGTCGTGGCCACTTGTTTGGGGAAGTTGAGTGGAATTCCGATCGTTTCTTGAAGGTGCTTTCCTTCTTCGTCTCGACTGCCATTGCAAAATATCGCGGAGGAAGGACGCAACGTGAAGTCACATGCATTGTACTGCAAGGTACTGCCATCGTAGCAGAAATCCTTCAAGCTCTTGAGTGAGCTCTCATCCTCGTACCGCTAGTAGGCATGGGCAGGATTATAGGCCAGCTTCATCAAGCCACAGCATGTTGTCCGCACTTCTGCAGCAAGGTCCCTCTTTTCCTCACAGCTCAGTTGAAGTTGATTCCTTTTCGGTCTAGACTGGGCAGCCGTCATTTCATAGCATGGTAGCATGGTGGAGGACTAGACAGAGCACTTTGGGTTTGGGGTTTCGTTTGCCAGGTGATTCGTCATGTGCTTCGTTCTGCACCGAAGGATGACATGTGTGGCACCCGTGCTTCGGGAGAGGCGTCTGTGAGCCCTGGCCTTGGCCTGCGCAGTCTGACAGAACCCTGCGAGAGTGTCGGTAGGTTTCAGTTCTGAGCAACGTGCCTCGCCGCTCTTTCAGCTCGCAGCACATGCACTGATCACGAGAACTTGGCAGCCAGGCCCTTTGTCCTGTTTCTGCGAAGGGCCGCGGTAGGACCAAATGTCGTCAATCGGCCAGAGCGGTGGCACTGACCCGCGACTTCTTGGCCGCGAAGCCTTAGATTTCCGCCAGCTGCATGAGGAGCCCGCCACCGTCCCTGCACGTGGCAGGCCCAGTGAAACCACAGCTGCTATGCTCCTGCCACAGGAGTTGAAACCAACAGAAAAGGCGCCAGCTGAGTACAAGGCTTGTACTCAGCTGGCGCCTTTTATGTTGGTTTCAACTCCTGTGGCAGGACAAGGCGCGAAGCAATCCGAAGCAGACTCGCTGTGGGATGTCAATCATTTAGGGCTGTGAGGTCGTGCGGACAGCTCCCACAAGATTCCACGGTCTGGTGGGCGGTGCCTGGCAGAGGGTGCGGGGTATCTTCCGCCGCAGCAGCAGCAGCAGCAGTGGCGCAGCAGAAGCTGCTGCAGAAGAGGAAGAAGCAAAATGCTTCCTTCCGGCAGATTTCCGGATGCTGCCTCCCAGCGCGTGGGAGGCGCTGCACGCTCGCTTCCAGCCGGAGACTGTTGCAGCCACAGCCCCTTTGTCAGACGGCGCGAAGAAGATGGACTCCGAACCTTTGGACGCCAGGCTGAACTATGCAAACTGCAGAAGTGCAGGGCATGAGTGACATCGTATGGTTATATAAGTTGCTTAAGTTTGCTTAGGTACCGAATCGTAGCCGAGGTCTTAACCGAAGCATCACCGTCGCCGGAGAGCGACTGGTGGCTGGACATGCAAGGCCGTACAGCTGAACCTTTGCTGCGGCCGGGTCCGCTGATGCCATTCCTTTCAAGCCAAAATGGTCCGGAGCGTGTTGATTCTCTCAGTGCGTGGTCGCAGGCTCTGAGCCACTCGGAGGCCGTCTGATTGGAACCTCTTGGACTCTTAGATTCTAGCCGTCTGATTGAAGCCTCTTAGACTCTAGACTCTAGACATCTCTAGACACTGCATGTGCTGCATCGTTTTGGAGAGTGCCCAAGCCGTAGCTTCCCTCAACTCGCGTCGTGAAGCTTGCCTCAAGCTTCGAAGCTTCCATCGACCCTGAGACTGCACAGAACCGAGGTCGAAGTTCTTCTGCTCTTCTGGCGGTACTTACGGCACGGTGCCAGGCGGCCTTCAGCATTGTGGACGCGTGGTGCGCACACGTCTAAGTGGTCTTGATTTTTTTCCGACAGAATGCTAACAGGTTCTGAGAATGAAGCTTTCAAACCCCTTAAACTGCCAGGTCCCGGATGGAGATCGCGGGAGATCCGACTCAGGCTCTGGTTCTCGCGTGATTATTTGGGGTCAGTTTGGAGTGCAAGCGGGTCATAGTAATGTTTGCAGCTGTGGAGCTACCCACCGATTCAGGAAGGCACATGTCGCAGCGTGACAGCACGAGAATCAGAAAAACCTTCACGAGGGAGCGCTGAACGTCGAAGGGGGGGGGGGTGTTGAGTGTTGAGGCGCAGGGTGGGATCTGGCTCTGGATTTACCCAGCCCTGAGCCTTGAACCCTGAGATGCTGACATGCTGTGCCAGTGCCAGGCTGATGGAGGACCACTCGGGCTGAAGCTCCATGAGGGTCAGGCACGTGTTCCTAGCACTGTCGTATGTCCCTCTTTGAGTTTGCTTTAGCATCCCTGTCACATTCCTCCTAGACTCTAGACAAGACAAAGTTACCATCGTGTTTGAAGCGCCAGCATTGGCGGCGGCATTTTCGTAGCGTGGAGAGACCGGGGGGACAGATTAGTACTTCGTCTTGATCGCCAGATTGAGGCGGAACTCGTCCCGCAAGTTCACAGCCTTCGGAGGATCGTGCAAGGAGCATTATTCCCAGGAGCACACGTGTGCTTTAGGGGTGTGTAGAGTCCGTATAGGCCAGCTTCATCCAGCCGCAGCATGTTGTCCACACTTGTGCAGCAAGGTCCCGCTTTTTCCTCACCGCAGCTCCGACTGGGCAGCGATCATTTCATAGCATGGTAGCATGGTGGAGGACTAGACAGAGCACTTTGGGTTTGGGGGTTTCGTTCGCAAGGTGAAGCGTCATGTGCTTCGTTCTGCACCGAAGGATGACATGTGTGGCACCCGTGCTTCGGGAGAGGCGTCTGCAAGCCCTGGCCTTGGCCTGCGCAGTCTGACATGTCTCTGCAAGAACCCGACCCTGCGAGAGTGTCGGTAGGTTTCAGTTCTGAGCAACGTGCCCCGCCGCCCTTTCAGCTCGCAGCACATGCACTGATCGAGAACTGGGCAGCCAGGCCCTGCGTCCTGCACTGTTTGTGCAAAGGGCCGCGGTAGGCCCAAATGTCAATCGGCCAGAGCGGTGGCGCTGACCCGCGACTTCTCGGCCGCGAAGCCTTTGATGTCCGCGAACTGCATGAGGAGCCCGCCACCGTCCCTGCACGTAGCAGGCCCGCAACCTGCAGTGAACGCACAGCTGACCTGTTCCTGCCACAGGAGTTGAAACCAACAGAAAAGGCGCCAGCCGAACACAAGGCGCGAAGTGAAGCAATCCGAAGCAGACTCGTTGTGGGAAGTCAATCATTTTAGGGCTGTGCTTCTCTCTGGAGTGCTTTGGTGAGGTGGATGAGGTCGTGCAGACGGCTCCCACAAGATTGGGCGTTCTGATGGGCGGCGCATGGCAGAGGGTGCGGGGTATCTTCCGCCGCAGCAACAGCAGCAGTGACAGAGCAGAAGCTGCTGCAGAAGAGGAAGAAGAAGCAAAATGCTTCCTTCCGGCTGATTTCCGCATGCTGCCTCCCAGTTCTGCGACGGCCCGCTGTGCAGAAGCGCCCTTTTCTCCGGAAGCGACCCGCAGCCCAGAAGCGGAGTCTGGCAATTCGGCTCACCGCAGATGTTCCGCATTTGTGCAAATACGATGACTTCAAAGATGGGAGGCTTTGCACGCACGCTTCTCCAGCACAACAGACGAATCCGAGGATGCAGCCGACCAGGCATCCTTCCATCCCGGTGATTTCCGCATGCTGCCTCCTAGTCCTAGTGCGTGGGAGGCTTTGCACGCTCGCTTCCAGCCGGAGACTGTTGCAGCCACAGCCGAGACTTCTGCCTTCGCCTCAGTGCTCCTGGCCCCGTGGTCACACGGCCCGAAGAAGATGGACTCCGAACCTTTGGACGCCCGGCTGAATTATGCAAACTGCTGAAGTGCACGGCATGAGTGAAATCGTATGCTTATATAAGTTGCTTAAGTCTGCTTAAGTGCCCAATCGTAGCCGAGGTCCTAATGAAGCATCACCGTCGCCGGAGAGCGACTGGTGGCTGGACTTGTGCAAGGCCGTGCAGCTGAACCTTTGCTGCGGCCGGGTGTGCTGACTCCATCGCTTCGACCACAAAATCGTCTGGAGCGCGCTGATGGTTTTGGTGCTTTTGTTGAAGCCTTCGGGCCGCTCAGAGACTGTCTGAATGAAACTTCTTAGCACTGCCTGCACAGCATCGCTTCCTGGAGAGCGTTCTAGGCCTCGAAGCTTCCGTCGACGCAGAAACTTCACGCAACCCGAGGTCGATGAGCTTCTGCTTTGTCCGAGGCCTTGAGACGTGACATGCCGAAGTCTTTGGTTTTCCCGAGGGATTTTTCTCAAAGGTTCTGAGACTCAAATGCCAGGTCCAGGGATGGAGTTTCCGATCCGGCTCTGGCTCTTGGGTGCTTGCTTGAGGCCTACCGGTAGCTGGTCGGGTAGGGCTTGGACTGCACACGGATCATGCAGCCTCATCGAGTATTGAAGCATCACCATGAAACGTAGGCTGCAAAGATTGGCCTTAGCCTCGCTACTGAGCCGTGAGCCCCGAAATGCTGTGCCAGGCTGCCACCGCCAGGAACTCGAGGACCGTTCTGGTCTCTAGGAAAGCTTCCATATGTCTCTCTCCCTCTACGGAACGGCACGTCTTTCCGTGCCCGGCACGCGCTTCTAGCATTGTTTTAGGAGTCTTGCATAGGCTGGGTGGGTGGGTGGGTTTTGGGGCAAATCATTTGGGGTTGCACCGCGACAAGCCCACTTTCCGCGTTCAGAATCGTGGGTCTGGTGCTTGCCAGATGCGTGCGAGTCGTTGCCGAAACTGGCATCCCGTGAAGGTGGATTTGGGGGAGGCGCGTAAGCCTCTAGCTCACACTTTTGCAGCAACCTCCGGCTTTCCATGATTTATAAGCTTGATCATTGCGTGCTGACCACTGTCTTATGGTCGTATCTCAGACTGCCTCTTGAAGCTGCAATCCCTCTGCATCTCAGGTGTGCAGGTTCGAGTTTCCTTCTCAAGCCGAAGCGCCATGTGCTTTGTAGCTATCACGTTTAAGACTCGTCCGTGCCTGATACCGCTAGTTGGCATCGGCAGGATGACATCTGCCACGCCCGGTCTTCTGGAGAGGTGTCTCTGAGCCCTGGCCTTTGCCCGTGCAGTCTGGTTGCACATGCTCATGTTCTGTCACGTCTGCAAGATGCTCTCTGAGCAACGAGCCTCGCCGCTCTTTTGGCTCTCAGCAGCACCACCAGACACTGATTGGGCCACCGGCTCCTTAGGCCCGTCTGTGCGAAGGCCCCGCTAGGCCCATGTCATGGACGTCCGGCACTTGCAGCCAAAGTCACAGCGTCAGGAGCGCCCCACTTTCCTTTAGACCCGCAGTTTGTAGTGAGCCCGCAGCTGCCTTGCTCCCGCCACAGGAGCTGGAAGCATCGGAAAAGGTGGACGTGGATGCGAAGCAGACTGGCTGTAGCTCCATCTTTACCTCTGCGTGCTGCCTCTCGAGCTCTCCAGCACAGGCGGTGGATGAGATCCTTACGTCGGCGCTCATGAGGTTCAGCAGTTTGCTGGGCGACGCCTGGCAGAAGGTGCGGGACAACGTTTCGCCGCAGCAGCGGCACGGCAGATGCAGCAGAAGAAGAGCCCGAAGCGGCATCTATCGGAGATTACAAGGCTTCAGCCGTGAATCCGGAGAGCTACCCGGCCTCCCTTCCGGGCGAGTTTCGGATCCTGGCAGGATCCGGAAATCGCCCGGAAGGACGAAGCAATCGGGCGAGCTGTGGCTGCAGCTCCTGCCAACGCACCCCCGAGCGCCACGAGTCATCATGCGGAGGGTGCAGATGCAGCAGACCTCGAGAAATCCGAGGAAACGCACATCCCTTCGACCCCCAGCCAAGCAATGCCAAACACGCGCAGAAGATTCCATCAAGTTTCCCGGCGGGAAACTTGATGGAATCTTCTTCGCGTGGCCGCAAAGCCCCGACCGCCGGACGCTTGGCTAGACTATAACTATACAAGCCTCATCAAACTGCAGTATTGCTCGTTTGGCTCGCACTCGTGCCGAATTGTCGGGCCCAGTCACCCTGCTGCCCAGGCATTGGCCGAAGCATCACCGTCGCCGGAGAGCGACTGGTGGCTAACCTTGTGCATGGCCGTGCAGCAAAACATTTGCTGCGGCCATGTGCGCTGACTCCATCGCTTCGACCACAAAATCGTCTGGAGTGCGCTGACGGTTTTGGTGCTTTTGTTGAAGCCTTCGGGCCGCTCAGAGACTGTCTGAATGAAACTTCTTAGCACTGCCTGCACAGCATCGCTTCCTGGAGAGCGTTCTAGGCCTCGAAGCTTCCGTCGACGCAGAAACTTCACGCAACCCGAGGTCGATGAGCTTCTGCTTTGTCCGAGGCCTTGAGACGTGACATGCCGAAGTCTTTGGTTTTCCCGAGGGATTTTTCTCAAAGGTTCTGAGACTCAAATGCCAGGTCCAGGGATGGAGTTTCCGATCCGGCTCTGGCTCTTGGGTGCTTGCTTGAGGCCTACCGGTAGCTGGTCGGGTAGGGCTTGGACTGCACACGGATCATGCAGCCTCATCGAGTATTGAAGCATCACCATGAAACGTAGGCTGCAAAGATTGGCCTTAGCCTCGCTACTGAGCCATGAACCCCGAAAGGCTGTGCCAGGCTGCCACTTTGCATTCGCCAGGAACTCGAGGACCGCTCTGGTCTCTAGGAAAGGCTTCACCTCCAACAAGCTCCCAAATGTCTCTTCCCCCGGAACGGCACCTGTTTTCCTCGTGCCCGGCACGCGCTTCTAGCATTGCTTTAGGACTCTCAAAAGTAGGTAAGTTCAGGGGTTGCAGAAACTGGGTTTGTCGGTTTTGGGGACAATCACTTGCGAAAACCACTTTCCGCGATCAGAATCGTGGGTCTGGCGCTTGCCAGTTGAGTGCGAGTCGTTGCCAAAACTGGCCGTGTCGTTTCAAGCGCCTGCGTTTGCAGCACCGATCCGCTCGTAGTGTGGATTTGGAGGAGGCACATAAGCCTCTAGTTCACACTTGTGCCGCAACTCCGTCTTTCCAAAATTGATCGGCCTGTTCATTGCGTGCTGACCACTGTCTTATTGAAGCTGCCTGAATCTTAGACTGCTTCTTGAAGTTGCAGGCCCTCTGCGTCTCAGGTGGGCAGGTTCGAGTTTCCTTCTCAAGCCGAAGCGCCATGTGCTTTGTAGCCACTGCTTGTTTAAAGCTCGTTTGTGCCTGATACCCATAGTTGGCACCGGCAGGATTTCAAATGCCATGCCGCCTGCCTGGACATTCTACATAAGGCCACGGCCGATCTTCAGAGATGTTCTTTAAAGTTCTTTCCGGTGGAGCCTTCAGGCAGATCTTTGAAGACTTGTAAAGGCCTGCTACGACCAGGCTAGCCAGGATCAGTGAATGCCGAACCCTAGCCCCTGAGGGCAGACATAGAAGAGCGCCTGGGAGGCAATATCACTTATGGACGCAGGAGGCCCAGTGAAATTAACCCGGTCGGGGAACATCTGCGGCATTCCAGTAGACTGCAACTCTGACCGTTTCTGGAAGTTGCTTTCCTTCTCAGACTCGACTGGGCAGCCGTCATTTCATAGCATGGTAGCATGATGGAGGACTAGAGAGAGCACTTTGAGTTTGGGGGTGTCATTCGCAAGGTGAAGTGTCATGTGCTTCGTTCTGCAGCGACGGATGACATCTGCAGCACCCGTGCTTCGGGAAAGGCGTCTGTGAGCCCTGGCCTTGGCCTGCGTAGTCTGACACGTGTCTGCGAGATGCCCTGCGAGAGTGTCGGTAGGTTTCAGTTCTGAGCAACGTGCCTCGCCGCTCTTTCAGCTCGCAGCACATGCGCTGATAGAACTGGGCAGCCAGGCCCTGCGTCCTGCACTGTTTGTGCGAAGGACCGCGCTAGGCTCGAATGTCGTCCATCGGCCAGAGTGGTGGCGCTGACCCGCGACTTCTCGGCCGCGAAGCCTTTGATGTCCGCCAAATGCATGAGGAGCCCGCCACCGTCCCTGTAGCAGGCCCGCGACCTGCAGTGAACGCACAGCTGCCCTGCTCCTGCCACAGGACTTGAAAACAACGGAGAAGGGGCCAGCCGAACAGAAGGCGCAAAGTGAAGCAATCCGAAGCAGACTCGCTGTGGAGAGTCAATCATTTAGGGCTGTGCCTGTTTTTGGAGCCCTTTGGTGAGGTGGATGAAGTCGTGCAGACAGCTCCCGCAAGATTCCGCAGTGTGGTGGGCGGCGCCTGGCAGAGGGTGCGGGGCATTTTCCGCCGCAGCAGCAGCAGCAGTGGCACAGCACAAGCAGAAAAAGAAGCAAAGAGCGGCAGCGGCAGAGCAGATGCAGCAGAAGAAGAGCCCGAAGCGGAATCTATCGGAGATTACACGGCTTCGGCCGTGAATCCGGAGAGCTACCCGGCCTCCCTTCCGGGTGATTTCAGGATCCTGCCTGCCAGTGCGTGGCAGAGTCTCCATGCTCGCTTCGAGCAGGAGGCAAGGGAGTCCAGCACCGAAGTTGCAGCCACAGCTCCTGCCAACGCACCCCCGAGCCCCACGAGTCATCACGCGGAGGGTGCAGATGCAGCAGACCTCGAGAAATCGGCGGAAACGGACATCCCTACGACCCCCAGCCAAACACGCGCAGAAGATTCCATTCCCGCAAAGCCCCGACCGCCGGACGCTAGGCTAGACTATACAAGCCTCATCAAACTGCAGTATTGCTCGTTTGGCTCACACTCGTGCCGAATTGTCACCCTGCGGCCCAGGCATTGGCCGAAGCATCACCGTCGCCGGAGAGCGACTGGTGGCTAACCTTGTGCATGGCCGTGCAGCAAAACATTTGCTGCGGCCATGTGCGCTGACGGGTGCGCTGACTCCATCGCTTCGACCACAAAATCGTCTGGAGTGCGCTGACGGTTTTGGTGCTTCTGTTGAAGGCTTCGGGCCGCTCAGAGACTGTTTGAATGAAACTTCTTAGCACTGCCTGCACAGCATCGTTTCCTGGAGAGCGCCCTAGGCCTCGAAGCTTCCGTCGACCCAGAAACTTCACGCAACCCGAGGCCGATGAGCTTCTGCTTTGTCCGAGGCCTTGAGACGTGACATGCCGAAGTCTTTGGTTTTCCCGAGGGATTTTTCTCAAAGGTTCTGAGACTCAAATGCCAGGTCCAGGGATGGAGTTTCCGATCCGGCTCTGGCTCTTGGGTGCTTGCTTGAGGCCTACCGGTAGCTGGTCGGGTAGGGCTTGGACTGCACGCGGATCATGCAGCCTCATCGAGTTCTGAAGCATCACCATGAAACGTAGGATGCAAAGATTGGCCTTAGCTTCGCTACTGAGCCGTGAACCCCGAAAGGCTGTGCCAGGCTGCCACCGCCAGGAACTCGAGGACCGCTCTGGTCTCTAGGAAAGCTTCCATATGTCTCTCTCCCTCTACGGAACGGCACGTCTTTCCGTGCCCGGCACGCGCTTCTAGCATTGTTTTAGGAGCCTTGCATAGGCTGGGTGGGTGGGTGGGTTTTGGGGCAAATCATTTGGGGTTGCACCGCGACAAGCCCACTTTCCGCGTTCAGAATCGTGGGTTTGGTGCTTGCCAGATGCGTGCGAGTCGTTGCCGAAACTGGCATCCCGTGAAGGTGGATTTGGGGGAGGCGCGTAAGCCTCTAGCTCACACTTTTGCAGCAACCTCCGGCTTTCCATGATTTATAGGCTTGATCATTGCGTGCTGACCACTGTCTTATGGTCGTATCTCAGACTGCCTCTTGAAGCTGCAATCCCTCTGCATCTCAGGTGGGCAGGTTCGAGTTTCCTTCTCAAGCCGAAGCGCCATGTGCTTTGTAGCTATCACGTTTAAGACTCGTCTGTGCCTGATACCGCTAGTTGGCATCGACAGGATGACATCTGCCACGCCCGGTCTTCTGGAGAGGTGTCTCTGAGCCCTGGCCTTTGCCCGTGCAGTCTGGTTGCACATGCTCATGTTCTGTCACGTCTGCAAGATGCTCTCTGAGCAACGAGCCTCGCCGCTCTTTTGGCTCTCAGCAGCACCACCAGACACTGATTGGGCCACCGGCTCCTTAGGCCCGTTTGTGCGAAGGCCCCGCTAGGCCCATGTCATGGACGTCCGGCACTTGCAGGCAAAGTCACAGCGTCAGGAGCGCCCCACTTTCCTTTAGACCCGCAATTTGTAGTGAGCCCGCAGCTGCCTTGCTCCCGCCATAGGAGCTGGAAGCATCGGAAAAGGTGGACGTGGATGCGAAGCAGACTGGCTGTAGCTCCATCTTTACCTTTGCGTGCTGCCTCTCGAGCTCTCCAGCACAGGCGGTGGATGAGGTCCTTACGTCGGCGCTCATGAGGTTCAACAGTTTGCTGGGCGACGCCTGGCAGAAGGTGCGGGACAACGTTTCGCCGCAGCAGCGGCACGGCAGATGCAGCAGAAGAAGAGCCCGAAGCGGAATCTATCGGAGATTACAAGGCTTCAGCCGTGAATCCGGTGAGCTACCCGGCCTCCCTTCCGGGCGATTTTCGGATCCTGGCAGGATCCGGAAATCGCCCGGAAGGACGAAGCAATCGGGCGAGCTGTGGCTGCAGCTCCTGCCAACGCACCCCCGAGCGCCACGAGTCATCATGCGGAGGGTGCAGATGCAGCAGACCTCGAGAAATCCGAGGAAACGCACATCCCTTCGACCCCCAGCCAAACACGCGCAGAAGATTCCATCAAGTTGATGGAATCTTCTGCGCGTGTTTGGCTGGGGGTCGAAGGGATGTGCGTTTCCTCGGATTTCTCGAGGTCTGCTGCATCCCCAGCCAAACACGCGCAGAAGATTCCATCAAGTTTCCCGGCGGGAAACTTGATGGAATCTTCTTCGCGTGGCCGCAAAGCCCCGACCGCCAGACGGTTGGCTAGTCTATACAAGCCTCATCAAACTGCAGTATTGCTCGTTTGGCTCGCACTCGTGCCGAATTGTCGGGCCCAGTCACCCTGCTGCCCAGGCATTGGCCGAAGCATCACCGTCGCCGGAGAGCGACTGGTGGCTAACCTTGTGCATGGCCGTGCAGCAAAACATTTGCTGCGGCCATGTGCGCTGACGGTGCGCTGACTCCATCGCTTCGACCACAAAATCGTCTGGAGTGCGCTGACGGTTTTGGTGCTTTTGTTGAAGTCTTCGGGCCGCTCAGAGACTGTCTGAATGAAACTGCTTAGCACTGCCTGCACAGCATCGTTTCCTGGAGAGCGCCCTAGGCCTCGAAGCTTCCGTCGACCCAGAAACTTCACGCAACCCGAGGCCGATGAGCTTCTGCTTTGTCCGAGGCCTTGAGACGTGACATGCCGAAGTCTTTGGTTTTCCCGAGGGATTTTTCTCAAAGGTTCTGAGACTCAAATGCCAGGTCCAGGGATATAGTTTCCTATCCGGCTCTGGCTCTTGGGTGCTTGCTTGAGGCCTACCGGTAGCTGGTCGGGTAGGGCTTGGACTGCACGCGGATCATGCAGCCTCATCGAGTTCTGAAGCATCACCATGAAACGTAGGATGCAAAGATTGGCCTTAGCCTCGCTACTGAGCCGTGAACCCCGAAAGGCTGTGCCAGGCTGCCACTTTGCATTCGCCAAGAACTCGAGGACCGCTCTGGTCTCTAGGAAAGGCTTCACCTCCAACAAGCTCCCAAATGTCCCTGAATCTTGAACTCTCCAGTGCCCCCCCGCCCCGGAACGGCGCTTGCTTGCCTCGTGCAGGCACGTGCTTCTGGCATTGTTGCAGGGGGTAAGACCAGGTGTGCAGAAGCTGGGGTTCCCCGCAACAAGCCCACTTGCCGCGATCAGAATCTCTGGTCGTGGGGGCTTGGAGTATTGTTGGATGGTTTGTCTGTCTGGTGCTCACGTAGCTAGTTTGAGGGTCGCAGGCGGAGCCAGTTGTGTGCGAGTCCTTGCCGAAACTCAACAAGGTGCCGCATCGTTTCAAGCACCAGCGTTTGCAGCACCGGTGTGCGGTGTGGATTTGGGGGAGGCGCATAAGCCTCTAGTTCACACTTTTGCAGCAACCCCCGTCTTTCCACGGTTTATAGGCCTGATCATTGCGTGCTGACCACTGTCTTATCGAAACTGGCTGCATCACAGACTGCTTCCCTGCCCTCTGCGTCTCAGGTGGGCAGGTTCGAGTTTCCTTCTCAAGCCGAAGCGCCATGTGCTTTGTAGCCACCGCTTGTTCAAAACTCGTCTGTGCTGATACCCGTCGTCGAAAACAGAATGGGGTTTTGCGGCCCATTATACTATACTTATATAATAAAGAACCCCCAAAAATAGTATTGGTAAATCATACTTGTCATCGGCAGGATGACATCTGCCACGCACGTCTGCCTGGACATTCCAAGACCAAGGCCGATCTTCAGAGATGTTCTTTAAAGTTCTTTCCGGTGGTGGAGCTTTCAGGCAGATCTTTGAAGACTTGTATAGTCCTGCTACAACGCGGCTAGCCGCTAGCCACGATCAGTGAATCCCGAACCCTAGCCCCTGAGGGCAGACATAGAAGAGCGCCTGGGAGGCAATATCACTTATGGACTTATGGACGTAGAAGGCCCAGTGAAATAACCCGGTCGCTGAACAGCTGCGTCATTCCAGTCGGAGGTATCCAGCCTTCTACCTATTCTTCGTGTATGCAACCTCGTGTCACGTCATTTGGGCAACTGCAGCCGAAATGATGGTATATGTTCTGGCTCTCGGAGGGCTTTTAATCATCTGCTTTCGTCGAGGCTGGGCAGTCCAAAGCACCAAGTCTTCCTGGAACCCTCCCTTCTTCAATCCTACAGTAGACTTTCGTGCGCCAGGCTTCTTGAAAAGGCAGGGATGGAGTGAGCCGTAGCGTCGCACACACACACACACACACACACACACACGACATCTACTTGCGATAGGCGTTGAATGAGCATCCTGCCAGCTGTAAACCGAGAAAGCGCAGTCCTGTAGCCCTAGAATAACGATGGGGATCATCGCGGTGGCAGAGGAAGGGCGAGTCTTCGGCCAGATGAGGCTTGAAGCCTTGCTGAGAGTTTCCTGGGAGGCTGAATACTTGGGTGCCGGCATGATGGAGGAGTTGGCCGAGATGTACCCTCAGCATGCCGAGATACTTACAGCGTGTGCACACATGGAATGGTTCAATATCGGCTACTGTAAGAAATTCTGCGAGGATGCGAACATGAAGATCACTGATGATCATGCAGAGAAGGTATTTCAGACGGGAGCAATGATGGCACGTAGGACCCTTGGCACGTTCGAGGCAGCGGCAAAGCTCTTGATCTTCGAGACCGAGACTCAAACACTGAAACCCCAGAAGGTGCCAGGCTCAGGGATGGAGTTGGGTGCTTTCTTGGGGCCTACTGGTAGCTGGTCGGGTAGGGTTTGGGGGCGCTGGCCGATCATGTGCAGCCTGCAGTTTTGGAGCTGCGAAAGACTGTGTAGAAGCACGAATGAGCGAGAATCAGCAAAACATCGCGCGGGTGCTCGAGTTGTGAGGCATCACGACGAAACGTAGGGTGGATCGGCCGCAATGATGCCGCCACTTCTGCCTGCAAAGACTGATGTTTTGATGTTGGCCTCGCTGCCTCTAGACTTGGGCCCTGAACCCTGAGACAGGCTGCCACTTTTGGTCTCCAAGAACGTGCCGTGCGATCTCGGGCTTTGGAGGACGGCCCTGATCTTTAGGAAGGGTTGCATCTGAAAGTCAAAGAATCCTGATCCGTCTCTGCTTGATTTTGTCTGCCTCCCCAGAGAACGGCGCTTGTTTTTCGCGTGCCCGGCAGGTGTTTCTAGCATTGCTGGATGGTACCCTGTCGTGTGTCGACACTCAAGTAGCTAGTTGAGGGTTGCAGGAGCCATTTGCACACGAATGGTTGCCACAACTGGCATCATTAGCATCCCCATCACGTTCGTTTAGCACAAAACAAGGTGCCTATTCGGTTCATGCTCTTTTCGGTTACAAGTGCCGGCGATTGCAGCACCGGTGCTTGCGCAGCACGCTGTAGCATCGAGCCCTTGTTAGCCGTTGGAAGGTCCGCTTATGCAGCTGCGGTGTGAGGCGGGACTCTGCGAAAAGAGCATGTTTAGGCACACTTGCAGTGACCCAGAGTCTTAGACCACAGAAGGTCTGTAATGCTATCTCCATCGAGCCGCAGGGTGGTGTCCATGCATGTGCAGCAACATGCTTCTGGCCATTGTCCGGTGACCGTCGGCTTGTTGAATTTGACCGCAACTCGGACTGTTTCGAACGGCAGCTCTACTTCATGTATCATAGCGTCACACAGTGGAGGACTGGATGCAGCAGTGAGCGATGACTTCTACCACGCCCGTGCTGGCCTTGGCCTTGGCCTACGCAGTCTGGCTGCACATGCTCATGTAGTGTCACGATGTGTCATGTTTGCAAGAGCCCTGCGAGACTGTCGGTAGCCTGAACAGCGTGCCTCGCAGCTCTTTGAGCTCTCAACGGTACGTGTGCTTCTTGCACTGATTACGAAAACTGGGCAACCGGGTGCTGAGGCCCGTTTGCTCGTAGGCCCCGGTCAGCCCATGTCGTCAATCGGCCAGAGCGGTGGGGCTGACCCGCGTCTTCTCGGCCGGGAATCGTTAGACGTCCGGCAGTTGCCAGAGACGAAATGCGGGCGCAAGGAGTGCCCATAGCAGACCATACAATGTAGCAGACCAACAACTTGCCGTGAACCCACAGCTGCCTTTCTCCTGCCACAGGAGCTGGAAGCATTGGAACAGGAGCCAACGGAGAACAAGGCTGGTGGATCCGAAGCAGATGGGCTGTAGCAAAAAGAAGGATTAGGCAATAATCAGGGCTGTCTTTGCTTCAGACTTGCATGCCTCCCCCCTCTGTCCGTGTGGGGCACTCTGGTGAGGTCGATGAGGTCCAGCCGAAACCCACGAGGTTCCGCGGTTTCGTGGGCGCCGCCTGGCAGAGAGTGCAGGGGATCTTCCGCCGCAGCCGCGGCAGCAACTGCGGCACGGCAGAGGACGAAGAAGAGCCTGAATTGGAAGCAATCGGGCATTGCGAGCATGCAGCCGAGAATCCGGAGAGCATCGCAGCCTCCCTTGAGGGCGATTTCCGGACCCTACCGGCCTGCGCTTGGGAGAAGTTGCATGCGCGGTTCTGCGAGACAAAGATCGAGCAGGAGACGTCGGAATTCAGCACAGCTCCTACCGATGCCGCCCCTGAGAGTCCTCACACGGAGGATGCAGATGCGCCTGGCCCGGAGATAGACATGCCTGTGGATTCAGAAGGCATGCGCACTGATGCTTGGCCGGTGGACCCCCGACCTCCCGACGCTAGGCTGAACAAGACAAACCTCGTCCAATTGCAGTATTGATCGTTTGGCTCGCATTCTGTGATTCAGTATCTGGTATGAAATTGTAGGGTGTAGGGCCTAGTCACCCGATGCCCAGGCTTCACCCGAAGCTTCACCGTCGCCGTCGCCGGAGAGCGACTGGTGGCTTGCTTTCTGCGCCGCCGTGCAGCAGAACCTTTGCTGCGCCCGCGTGCGCTGATTGCTTCGAAGGCAAAAACGTCTGGAGCGCACCGATGCTTTTGAAGGCTTCGAGCTCGAGCCACTCGTAAGCCTGTCTGAGTGAAGCCTGTTCGCACTGCCTGCGCAGCATCGTTTTGGAGAGCGCCGAAGCCGTAGCTTTCCTCAGCTGGCGAAGCTAAGCCTCAAGCCTCGAAGCCTCTCCACAGAACCGAGGTCTTCTGGGGGCACATGCTGCGAATGAGGCCTTGGAGATGTTGCAGCTTTGGGGTGAGAATTCGGGATTGCCGGCTTCGCGGTATAGGATTTGGCTCTTTCCTGTGCAGTAGGCTTGGATGTTGGGGGTGTGAAGGTCGTGAAGACTGGTAACATATACAGCCTCCCACGCTTGCACGACATCCTTCCGTTCAGAGGTCAAAAGAGCAAAATCGAACTCGAAGTAAACTGTGCTACTGCAGATCGAACGGCAGCTCTACTTCATGTATCATAGCGTCACACAGTGGAGGACTGCATGCAGCAGTGAGCGATGACTTCTACCACGCCCGTGCTGGCCTTGGCCTTGGCCTACGCAGTCTGGCTGCACATGCTCATGTAGTGTCACGATGTGTCATGTTTGCAAGAGCCCTGCGAGACTGTCGGTAGCCTGAACAGCGTGCCTCGCAGCTCTTTGAGCTCTCAACGGTACGTGTGCTTCTTGCACTGATTACGAAAACTGGGCAACCGGGTGCTGAGGCCCGTTTGCTCGTAGGCCCCGGTCAGCCCATGTCGTCAATCGGCCAGAGCGGTGGGGCTGACCCGCGTCTTCTCGGCCGGGAATCGTTAGACGTCCGGCAGTTGCCAGAGACGAAATGCGGGCGCAAGGAGCGCCCATAGCAGACCATACAATGTAGCAGACCAACAACTTGCCGTGAACCCACAGCTGCCTTTCTCCTGCCACAGGAGCTGGAAGCATTGGAACAGGAGCCAACGGAGAACAAGGCTGGTGGATCCGAAGCAGATGGGCTGTAGCAAAAAGAAGGATTAGGCAATAATCAGGGCTGTCTTTGCTTCAGACTTGCATGCCTCCCCCCTCTGTCCGTGTGGGGCACTCTGGTGAGGTCGATGAGGTCCAGCCGAAACCCACGAGGTTCCGCGGTTTCGTGGGCGCCGCCTGGCAGAGAGTGCAGGGGATCTTCCGCCGCAGCCGCGGCAGCAACTGCGGCACGGCAGAGGACGAAGAAGAGCCTGAATTGGAAGCAATCGGGCATTGCGAGCATGCAGCCGAGAATCCGGAGAGCATCGCAGCCTCCCTTGAGGGCGATTTCCGGACCCTACCGGCCTGCGCTTGGGAGAAGTTGCATGCGCGGTTCTGCGAGACAAAGATCGAGCAGGAGACGTCGGAATTCAGCACAGCTCCTACCGATGCCGCCCCTGAGAGTCCTCACACGGAGGATGCAGATGCGCCTGGCCCGGAGATAGACATGCCTGTGGATTCAGAAGGCATGCGCACTGATGCTTGGCCGGTGGACCCCCGACCTCCCGACGCTAGGCTGAACAAGAGAAACCTCGTCCAATTGCAGTATTGATCGTTTGGCTCGCATTCTGTGATTCAGTATCTGGTATGAAATTGTAGGGTGTAGGGCCTAGTCACCCGATGCCCAGGCTTCACCCGAAGCTTCACCGTCGCCGTCGCCGGAGAGCGACTGGTGGCTTGCTTTCTGCGCCGCCGTGCAGCAGAACCTTTGCTGCGCCCGCGTGCGCTGATTGCTTCGAAGGCAAAAACGTCTGGAGCGCACCGATGCTTTTGAAGGCTTCGAGCTCGAGCCACTCGTAAGCCTGTCTGAGTGAAGCCTGTTCGCACTGCCTGCGCAGCATCGTTTTGGAGAGCGCCGAAGCCGTAGCTTTCCTCAGCTGGCGAAGCTAAGCCTCAAGCCTCGAAGCCTCTCCACAGAACCGAGGTCTTCTGGGGGCACATGCTGCGAATGAGGCCTTGGAGATGTTGCAGCTTTGGGGTGAGAATTCGGGATTGCCGGCTTCGCGGTATAGGATTTGGCTCTTTCCTGTGCAGTAGGCTTGGATGTTGGGGGTGTGAAGGTCGTGAAGACTGGTAACATATACAGCCTCCCACGCTTGCACGACATCCTTCCGTTCAGAGGTCAAAAGAGCAAAATCGAACTCGAAGTAAACTGTGCTACTGCAGATCGAACGGCAGCTCTACTTCATGTATCATAGCGTCACACAGTGGAGGACTGCATGCAGCAGTGAGCGATGACTTCTACCACGCCCGTGCTGGCCTTGGCCTTGGCCTACGCAGTCTGGCTGCACATGCTCATGTAGTGTCACGATGTGTCATGTTTGCAAGAGCCCTGCGAGACTGTCGGTAGCCTGAACAGCGTGCCTCGCAGCTCTTTGAGCTCTCAACGGTACGTGTGCTTCTTGCACTGATTACGAAAACTGGGCAACCGGGTGCTGAGGCCCGTTTGCTCGTAGGCCCCGGTCAGCCCATGTCGTCAATCGGCCAGAGCGGTGGGGCTGACCCGCGTCTTCTCGGCCGGGAATCGTTAGACGTCCGGCAGTTGCCAGAGACGAAATGCGGGCGCAAGGAGTGCCCATAGCAGACCATACAATGTAGCAGACCAACAACTTGCCGTGAACCCACAGCTGCCTTTCTCCTGCCACAGGAGCTGGAAGCATTGGAACAGGAGCCAACGGAGAACAAGGCTGGTGGATCCGAAGCAGATGGGCTGTAGCAAAAAGAAGGATTAGGCAATAATCAGGGCTGTCTTTGCTTCAGACTTGCATGCCTCCCCCCTCTGTCCGTGTGGGGCACTCTGGTGAGGTCGATGAGGTCCAGCCGAAACCCACGAGGTTCCGCGGTTTCGTGGGCGCCGCCTGGCAGAGAGTGCAGGGGATCTTCCGCCGCAGCCGCGGCAGCAACTGCGGCACGGCAGAGGACGAAGAAGAGCCTGAATTGGAAGCAATCGGGCATTGCGAGCATGCAGCCGAGAATCCGGAGAGCATCGCAGCCTCCCTTGAGGGCGATTTCCGGACCCTACCGGCCTGCGCTTGGGAGAAGTTGCATGCGCGGTTCTGCGAGACAAAGATCGAGCAGGAGACGTCGGAATTCAGCACAGCTCCTACCGATGCCGCCCCTGAGAGTCCTCACACGGAGGATGCAGATGCGCCTGGCCCGGAGATAGACATGCCTGTGGATTCAGAAGGCATGCGCACTGATGCTTGGCCGGTGGACCCCCGACCTCCCGACGCTAGGCTGAACAAGAGAAACCTCGTCCAATTGCAGTATTGATCGTTTGGCTCGCATTCTGTGATTCAGTATCTGGTATGAAATTGTAGGGTGTAGGGCCTAGTCACCCGATGCCCAGGCTTCACCCGAAGCTTCACCGTCGCCGTCGCCGGAGAGCGACTGGTGGCTTGCTTTCTGCGCCGCCGTGCAGCAGAACCTTTGCTGCGCCCGCGTGCGCTGATTGCTTCGAAGGCAAAAACGTCTGGAGCGCACCGATGCTTTTGAAGGCTTCGAGCTCGAGCCACTCGTAAGCCTGTCTGAGTGAAGCCTGTTCGCACTGCCTGCGCAGCATCGTTTTGGAGAGCGCCGAAGCCGTAGCTTTCCTCAGCTGGCGAAGCTAAGCCTCAAGCCTCGAAGCCTCTCCACAGAACCGAGGTCTTCTGGGGGCACATGCTGCGAATGAGGCCTTGGAGATGTTGCAGCTTTGGGGTGAGAATTCGGGATTGCCGGCTTCGCGGTATAGGATTTGGCTCTTTCCTGTGCAGTAGGCTTGGATGTTGGGGGTGTGAAGGTCGTGAAGACTGGTAACATATACAGCCTCCCACGCTTGCACGACATCCTTCCGTTCAGAGGTCAAAAGAGCAAAATCGAACTCGAAGTAAACTGTGCTACTGCAGATCGAACGGCAGCTCTACTTCATGTATCATAGCGTCACACAGTGGAGGACTGCATGCAGCAGTGAGCGATGACTTCTACCACGCCCGTGCTGGCCTTGGCCTTGGCCTACGCAGTCTGGCTGCACATGCTCATGTAGTGTCACGATGTGTCATGTTTGCAAGAGCCCTGCGAGACTGTCGGTAGCCTGAACAGCGTGCCTCGCAGCTCTTTGAGCTCTCAACGGTACGTGTGCTTCTTGCACTGATTACGAAAACTGGGCAACCGGGTGCTGAGGCCCGTTTGCTCGTAGGCCCCGGTCAGCCCATGTCGTCAATCGGCCAGAGCGGTGGGGCTGACCCGCGTCTTCTCGGCCGGGAATCGTTAGACGTCCGGCAGTTGCCAGAGACGAAATGCGGGCGCAAGGAGCGCCCATAGCAGACCATACAATGTAGCAGACCAACAACTTGCCGTGAACCCACAGCTGCCTTTCTCCTGCCACAGGAGCTGGAAGCATTGGAACAGGAGCCAACGGAGAACAAGGCTGGTGGATCCGAAGCAGATGGGCTGTAGCAAAAAGAAGGATTAGGCAATAATCAGGGCTGTCTTTGCTTCAGACTTGCATGCCTCCCCCCTCTGTCCGTGTGGGGCACTCTGGTGAGGTCGATGAGGTCCAGCCGAAACCCACGAGGTTCCGCGGTTTCGTGGGCGCCGCCTGGCAGAGAGTGCAGGGGATCTTCCGCCGCAGCCGCGGCAGCAACTGCGGCACGGCAGAGGACGAAGAAGAGCCTGAATTGGAAGCAATCGGGCATTGCGAGCATGCAGCCGAGAATCCGGAGAGCATCGCAGCCTCCCTTGAGGGCGATTTCCGGACCCTACCGGCCTGCGCTTGGGAGAAGTTGCATGCGCGGTTCTGCGAGACAAAGATCGAGCAGGAGACGTCGGAATTCAGCACAGCTCCTACCGATGCCGCCCCTGAGAGTCCTCACACGGAGGATGCAGATGCGCCTGGCCCGGAGATAGACATGCCTGTGGATTCAGAAGGCATGCGCACTGATGCTTGGCCGGCGGACCCCCGACCTCCCGACGCTAGGCTGAACAAGAGAAACCTCGTCCAATTGCAGTATTGATCGTTTGGCTCGCATTCTGTGATTCAGTATCGGGTATGAAATTGTAGGGTGTAGGGCCTAGTCACCCGATGCCCAGGCTTCACCCGAAGCTTCACCGTCGCCGTCGCCGGAGAGCGACTGGTGGCTTGCTTTCTGCGCCGCCGTGCAGCAGAACCTTTGCTGCGCCCGCGTGCGCTGATTGCTTCGAAGGCAAAAACGTCTGGAGCGCACCGATGCTTTTGAAGGCTTCGAGCTCGAGCCACTCGTAAGCCTGTCTGAGTGAAGCCTGTTCGCACTGCCTGCGCAGCATCGTTTTGGAGAGCGCCGAAGCCGTAGCTTTCCTCAGCTGGCGAAGCTAAGCCTCAAGCCTCGAAGCCTCTCCACAGAACCGAGGTCTTCTGGGGGCACATGCTGCGAATGAGGCCTTGGAGATGTTGCAGCTTTGGGGTGAGAATTCGGGATTGCCGGCTTCGCGGTATAGGATTTGGCTCTTTCCTGTGCAGTAGGCTTGGATGTTGGGGGTGTGAAGGTCGTGAAGACTGGTAACATATACAGCCTCCCACGCTTGCACGACATCCTTCCGTTCAGAGGTCAAAAGAGCAAAATCGAACTCGAAGTAAACTGTGCTACTGCAGACGAGCGGAATCGATATCGATGATGCTCCGAAGCTGCTCAAAATCTGCTTTTTGCGCCCCAGCAGGCACTATCCATCAGAACTGAGACATGGAAGGCCTGCAAAGACCGCATCATGGCAGCTAAAAAGGGAATGTGAAGCTCAGAGAGAATTGTTCGGAAGATCAGGGATGTGAACAGCTCCTCACGGGTACCTGCAACTTGGCAAACGGCTGAGCGGCGTCCAGACCAGCATTTGAGGTATGGTTTGCGGGCCTCGACTTGCGGGTTTGGTGGGATGTGCTGGTCTGCTGCTGCTAATGCTGCTGTCAGGGTAAGGAGTCGTGAGTGGCATCGGCTCGATCACGTGCGTATTGTGGATCGATGAGACCTGTGATGATCTCCTCATGACCTTGTGCAGGGTATGTTGATGGCCTCTACACGACATTTGGCTCAGCGGAAGCCAGTTGTCCACGTGTCCCTGCCAGCTTCCGTTTGTGCCCCGTTGCATTTTGGGCTCAGTCGAATTTTTCTCAATTTGGCGCCATACTCGGAGACGAGCCTGAATCCAAGAGAAGCTCAGCAGAGCGCAGCAGCCCATCGGTTAAGTTAGAAGCATCCACGCATGTCCCCGCCGCCCTCTCCCCTCTCAAGCGGCTGCGACTGCCTGAGGCAAAGTGTCAGTCTTCGAGAGATGGCCAGTGAAGCGAAAGAAGAGCGGGACACCTGGTCACGCAGAGTTCCTGATGCGGGCTAGTCACGGCTGTGATGGCGTTTGCAGAAGAGAATTCGGGGTTTCCGAACATAGGGGATCCCAATATAGTACTCTGAATAGTAGGATCCTGATTATAAGGACGCAGAATGCGGTACCCCGAAGGGTATTACATTAGAGTCCCCTAAAACTCCCAATTGGGGCATGAAGCGATCGAGGTCCGAGATGGAGTCGCTACAGAGGTCCATGTCAGAGATTGACGAAGAGCGCAGGACGGAACCCGAGGGCTTTGGGCGTTTGGGGGGTTTCGAAAGTTTTCGGGTGGGGCGGGGGTTGGGGCTTAGGGATTAGAAGTTTAGGAGTTTAGAGTTTGGACTTTTGGTGCCTTAGGGTTGACGGTTTTCGAGATCGGAGTTTGGGGCCGAGCTGCAGTTTACAAACAAACTCTGGTGATCCTGGCAGTTGTTTTGGAGCTCAGGCTGAAGCACTCACTCTCGTAACAAGCCGGGACAGCAAGCTCACAGTGGTTTGATTTGAGCAGGCTCCACCAGAACCACGCACCAAGTTTCATGCGAGCTGAGCACGACAGGGGCTAGGCCGGTAGGCGCAAGCAACTCGCATGCCGATTCTAGCCTCCGCTGCAGGATCCAGGGAGTCGGGACAAACTTCAGTCCATGTGCGTAGAGCTACCAAGGCTGTCGCAATCTTTGGGCATTGCCGCCATGCTCTTTTCGAACTTAAGATGGATAATCATCAGCGCGCCTCAGGACGTGGCATATTCGAGCGCTGCAGGCAGAGGCGGAGGCCAGGTGGTAGCACACTGTCGCAGATGCTCAGAAGGACGATGTCTGAATCAGCGTGTTTGCAGGGACACTGCGGAAGCATGAAGTGTGATGACAATGTATTGTATCTACTGAGTACGGCAGGTGCGAGCCTTGAAGCGACAGCGCCATGGAAGCAGGCGATTGGATGTCTCGCTGGCTTGGCCCACATGCCACGTCATTGTAGACTGCCTTGTTGTTGAATCTGAAGCAAGTAACTAACATTACACACGCAGGACTGACAGCACGCTTTAGTCCCAAGAGTCGTTACCCTCCCACCTGCCAAGGGCAGAGAGTGCGTCCAACGACGCCGAGTTGCTGGACACTCAAGTTGAGAAGCTGGATGTGGTAGTCATTTGTCATTGTTTGCGTATCTTTGTCACAATACGTATGCATGAAAGAACGAAGCAATGAGCGACTGTTTACGTAGATTTGGGATATCAGAGATCTTATCTTGCATTTTTGTGTGTACTCTGTCAACAAGTAAACGTTTTATCGTGCAGGTGCGATTCGAGCACTGGCCCCAAACCGAGCACTATGCAAGCACCCGACGAGATTCGAGCAACCACCACGGGCTTCAAGCACCAGAGACTCAAGCACGCTCGCCGATTCAAGCACTGAATTTAGCTCGGGGGTTTAAGGCTTCAGGCTTGCAGGTATCCGGGTCCAAAGTCTCGCGTTCAAGACTTTACGGTTTGGACAGGCAAGGAGAGCCCAAGAGCGAGGGAGGGAGAGACATCACGCCTTGTCTGCCCCGATGCTTCGGTTGTGGCGATGAAGAGACGGAAAGATAGGTTCTGGCATCGATATCGATGAAGGCAGTACATTGTCGTATTATGAATTTGAATTTGAAGGTAGGTAGATCGATAGGAAAGCGGAGAGAGGGAGAGACAGAGAGAGATATGGACATGCATTCACCCTCTGTTCGGTAGTTACCTTTCTTGAAAAACCTGTAATTTTTTCTACAGACATGCACAGGTACTTTTGGTTTTCATATTGCAGATACACGGCCTCGGACCCATGAAGCTCAAGCCTTGGTCCGAGGCCTTCTCCCGGCTCCGTGGAGGCACCTGAGGCACGAGTCATGCGAGATTGAGAGTGTACCCCGGGGGCTGGTGGTGGCAGAGGCCTAGAAGACTTTCTTTCGGTTTTGCAAGCAGATGTTTGATGCACCTGGTTTCCGATCTCCATGCCCAAGGGCCACTGCCACACCTGGCATGTCCGACCTCACGCCTGCAAGCAAAGCACAGCAAGACTGCCAGCCACACGCTTCCAAACACCGCAGAGCCCTTGACTCTTTCGCGCTGCGACTCCCAAAATACTTCTTGCATCCCTCTGCTCATAACTACCACCGCTGATGCTGGAAGCCTACCCTGAAGATACCTCCAATTGTACCGCCAAAAGATTCACCAATTTCGCCTAGGGCTTACATCTTGGGTGTGCATGTACCGGAAAAGCGAATGCTGAAATTGCCTTGAAACACGCCAGCTCATGCGCCATCAGTCCTGGCTGTGCCAGCTGCTACGACCAACTTCACAATCATCAGAAATGTTCGCCAAGTTAAGACTCCAGCTTGGAGCTCTCAGCCCATGCCCTGTGCCCCGATTCTCAGAGGCATCGCGAGCAGCCGCCGCCGGAGCTGGTGGGCCGGAGTCACGGACATTGATGCGAAGCCACGGTGCGTTCGACGTAGACAGTCTTGGTGTACTGAGGACTGCGGTGCCAGTGGCTTGCATGCATCGGCTGCGGTTGTTCACAAGGAAACTGTAATAATCAAAGTTCGTGTTGATAGTTTTGTCATTAGTGGTATGCCGTTCAGAACAATTCTTTTCTCGAGCTGTGGTCATTACCATAGCCTGAGCATGATTCAGCAACTCTGCAGCCTGTCATTGCTGATGCCAGTGATTCCTCTTCCTAGTGTGAGAGCGTGTTGCTACTGTAGTTCTCGCTGGCATCACTGCTTCGATTGCTGGGAGCATTGCTATTCCCGCCGCAACTGCTGCACTCCAAACACCAAGTGACCACGTTCTTTCCAATCATTTCGGTGCAACATCTGCACCGGGCACCGCACCAGAACGAGAGACGCAGACCCCGTTGGGTGTGTCACGAGACTCTAGCGGTGGCACGACGCTGGCCCGAAACGCACGATCCCAGGCTCAGTGCGGCAGTGTTGATCGGCTGTGGACGGGCACTGGTGATGTTGTTGATTGGGATGGCGATGACGGTTTCTTTAGAAGTAGATGTCAGCGTCATACCAACCTTAAAATGGAGGGTAGGGTAATGCTGGTATGCAAAGTAATGAAGAGGAAGAGCAGCATGTGCAAGCGAATCGACGGTGTTATGCATTACATACAACGAGACTTATCTCAAGCTGCCAACGGCAGCTTGGTGCAGACATCCATGGGCTCAAACTAAGGAGATGCAAGAGCCCAGCACTCGGGCGGACGAAGCTGCAGTGTTCAGTAGCCTTGGAGCCAGCAGAAAGCAGAAAGCAGAGAGTCTGAGGCTGCGCGAGCAGCTGGAGAAGAAGGATCGTGCCATCCTCCAGCTGCAGGCTTCTTGCACTTCCGGGATCCGGGCCGCAATACGAAACTTGGAATCCAGGTCGCGAATGTTTGTTTGACACTGCAGGGTTGAATGCAAATGCAAGACCCCGCCATCCACAAGGTCTTCTAGCAAGTCAAACCTTGCAGTGTACTGTTGGTCGGCTCCCTTGCGACATCGGTGTCGGATGCCCTTCCGCAAGGGGGTAGCTTGCTGCAACACCGTCTGCAGCGTCTCCCAATTCTGAAAATGTAGCATGCACCCTTTTGCAGGCGGACAACCACCGCGAGCAGCAAACCCGCGACAAGCAGTCTGCCGAGAAGCAGATGCGCCCCGGAAAGTAATTCTTGCTTTGGCCTTCTCAAGGTGTGTGATTTTTTGGAATGGTTGCAGTGCGCTCGAATAATCAGGATGCTGAGCGAGGAGTTGCGCGAGATGACGCAGCGCAACTTGGATATTCTTGGAACCCTAAACCCTAAACCGTATGGAGGTAATGGAGGTTCAAATCTCCTTGAGACGAGGTGCAGAGCACTTGTCGGAACAAGTGCGCAAGAGCAAGAAGAGGGGCACGGAGCTGCAGGACATGGGTTTCGGCTTTTGGCTTAAGGCTTGGAAGAGCCATTGTGTGTAGGAACTTGGGGGAGTCCTGTTCCGCTGGCTGGTTCAACTCTTGCACGTCTCCAAACCTCTTTCAACCAGCATAATACCAATACCTCGAGATGCCCAAGAAGCAACGTGCGCCTCAAGAGCCACAAGGAGGCCAAGGACTCCGTCCGCTCCGAGCTTCGGGAGTGCCAGGTAGCGAAGGGCTTCGAATTTCTGGGAGACACGTCAACACGATCTTGTTCTGTTCGTCCATATTGCAGGAGGCTGTGTGATGTCTCATGACTCACCTGCAGCTGTGGTAATGACGTCCCAGGCATGTAGCCAAACAGGATGCTCGTGGGATTTGCTTAGTTCGCCAGGAAAAGCTTTATGCTGCTAACCGTCCGGATATATTCAGGAGAGCAGTCGAAGCCGTCTAGAACTGGGTATAATTATCACAACATCTGCACAACATTATTGCATTCTGAAATACTCGACCCAGCAAGGATGCGACTTGGCCATTGCGGCTGGCCTAATTAGACTTCCGATTGTTTTCTGCAGAGTATCAAGCGCATGAACACCGGCGACAAAGAGTGACACCTGGAAGCGATCATCTGAAATCTTTGGCCAAGTGGAATCGCTGTGCTAGAATCTTCGACTGGTTTGCATGGTTTGGCTCGGTTTCTGCTTCAGTTTTGGGCGTGTTGGGTGCCTGATGCTGTTGCCTCTTTGCTCCGCTTGGACCGTGAGGAACTGAACCCGCATGACACAAGCAAGTTTACCTGGATCTTCAGTTACAATCATTGACTCACTCACCTCCGTTCTTTGTTTAGCTATCGGGGCTATCAGGGTGTTATCACAGGTGCTTTTGCGGTGATCCGGGCCACATCTGCCCCTGACAGGCGCAGCTCAGGAAAGAGATTTCGGCGACGAGCTTGGTTGTAGAGTTCAGTAGTTGCTGCAGAAAGTGCCCTAGCATGTCACCCCCCGTCACTGCTTCCTGCAGATATGGAGTAACCGATTGGTCTGTGGTGTAAAAACTGGTTTCTGTGACGGTTGTTCGTTTCAGGTTCGTTCTGAAATCCAAACGGAGGCCATGGAGGAAAGCGCATGTCTATCTCAGCTGTCTTGTGCAGTGCTTTGTGGGAGTCCATAGACGTAACACCGACTGACTCAAGCAGAGCTTCAAGAGTGCTGGCACTGCTGTGCTGAGTTCAGACAGTGCAGGCGGAGATGTTTTTTAGCCTCAGCGAGAAGCAGGCCTGGCAAACGTCTTTTTGGGGGGAGGGCTTTGCGGCAAGAGGATGTATGGGAAACCTTCACCACAAGCTTGGCTTTCTTTTTGCCGATGCACCGAAGACCAGAGTACCTCAGCTGCCCAGCCTCGCGGAGTAACCGAAGCTCCGCTGTGCTTCGGAGTTGAGATGGAGGCAGCAGGTGTTCTCCCTGAAGCCTTGTCATGTGCGTTGTGTCGCAAGGAGGCGGATGCCACCGACGCCATCTCCTTGGGTCTGCCTGCTCCTGTTGCTATGGGTTTGGTGCCGCCTCAGAGTCCGTGTCCAGATCAGCTGTCCGGCAGCCGGCAATGTACATTGATATAACTCGGTGATGATGCACACGCGCGAAGTGGAAGCCAGACAGGGAGAACATGGGCATCCCGCAACCCTATCCAACCCGAATGCCTGTTCCTTTTCGTCGCTCCGACTTTGTTGCTTCTGCCGCTTGGCTTTTGTTTGTCTTGTCTTCTTCTCCTTGCTCTGGCATCTGCTGGGCCTCTGTCCCTACCCATCTCTCCCTCCCTGACGAAAGTCGAGCTGTTCCTGAGAGGATCTAGACGATGTAGAGGAACTGTCAGCAGTAAAAGCTGCATCGTGTCTTGTTTCTTCCTCAACGGGACGTTGGCACAGGGCCTGGGTGTATGAGTCGTAGGCGGTGGCTCGAATATATTTCATCCATCAGGCACACCAGATCGTCAAATGGTGCCGAGCTCTGCAAAACCAAGTCATCTTAAAAGCGCGAGTGGTTTGCATACGCACCGGCGTAAAACTCCGCTGATCTCAACGCGTTGAACTTCAGATTTGATGAGACAAACTCTGCACGAAGGCCGACCATTTCCAGCATTTTCCCGCCACTGCGCCTGCATGCTTGTATCCCATGCTGCCTCCCGAAGTTTGCGTTTGCATGTCTCTGCCACGGTCCCCGCGATGACAACAGAGATAACATACGGTGTGCAACAAAGACAGCGTGATGCCGAGACCATCCGAGACCCTAGGAGGCTGGAACCTGTAGACCTAGACGTCGGCATGGAAATTTAAATGTCCCGCATTCGGCTGGAATAATGTGCTTGGGCTTGAGGGCACCCATACCTGGCGGTTCGGTAGTAACGAGTCCCAGGTGCGAGATCTGCATGTCCCGGCCAGGTGATGATGCATCTGGTGCAGGCACGAAGAAGCTGCCAGGTGCGCCCTAGCTAGTTTTGGGTCTTGAGTGCAAGACCTTGACACCAACAAATTGGACTCCGCGAGACGCACATCTGCCTATCCTTGAGATGCGTCTGGTGTTCACGGCAGGCGATGAGGCACCTAGCGCAGGTGCAAAGAAGCTTTCAGGCACAGCGACACGGCCTTCTCGATGTGTTCGGGATGCTGGTACTATACCTGCCTTTGGAAGCTGCAACCATGGCATCCGACTTGTAGGCTACCAGGGCAAGCTTGCTCAATGCCTTGCGGTGCTGCGGAGGCTGAGGGGCTTCAGAGTGTGTAGGTTGGATCCCGGCTTGATAGTTGTTCGAGGTTTCACAGCTTTGTATGGAATGCTGGATGCTGGCCTGTGCAGGTGATGACAGGTGAATGCACCAGCCAGTCAACTCGGAAAGTCGTCTCCTTTCTTCGGCCATGTGCCCCGCTCCCCCTTTCATTCGAGAGGTGCAGTTTTGCTGTCTGTCGCCCATTCGAAGAAGCTTTCGACTGGCGATCACGCAGCTTCCAATCCACGGGCGTACCAGTGTAGGGACTGCCGCAGATCAGCACGATAATGCCTGATGTTCAGGCAATTCGAGCATCCTCGCAGCATGAGAAGATCTAGTGCCCTTGCAGTTCGTCTTGCATCAACCTCAGTGGCGTTCTAACGAAACCCGGATCTGAAACATCCCGAAGAGTCACACCCCAAGCCGTGAACTGCCTCCCGAAAGTTTGGAGAATGCCATAATTATCTATGCTGTGCTACTATACAACATTATATTCTACTGGACTATATTCTCTAATATCTTACTATCAGATGAACCCACGGTTCCGGCAGGCTCCATGGGGAGCTTTCCTCCGAGCTCCGCGCCCGCACACCAGGCTTCCCTCCTGGTCGGTTTCAATTCATTGCAATACCATAGGATATCATCTGAATTTTATATGACATTACATTGCAGTATACTATATGGTGTTCATATTAACACTAAACTCAAGTTAGTATGAACATCACATAATATGTACTAGCATATACTATACATACATCATTGATTGAATGGTCGTCTTCATCCTCATTACCTTTGAGGCATGACTCTTAGCCTCTGCTGGGAAGTCGGACAAGCATCACATATCACCATAAAAAACTGAGAGAAGAACTATTTCAGTGCAGAAAGCACAGCATCACAAGCTCAAGGAGAGCAAGCAGGAATAATTACAAAATCAGGATACCAAGAAAACTAAAATCAACAAGAGGAAGAAGAATGAGAACGACGACCACCACGACCGACACGACAACCACAACAACAAAAGTGACTGACAAACAGAAGCCACACCTCGAGTCGTCTGCCATGAATGCCGACATAACATCGGCATTTCCACTGTTCCCACGGCGCGACACAGACTGGACGCAAACCCCAGAAATATGGGGCCGATGATTTCGAAGGCAACCGATGGCGGTGATGGTGATAATGGTTTTTGTTGAATATGATATTGACGACTGATGACACTACTGGACACCGTGGCCTTGGCTGTTGCACTGGTACACACGGCAATCCTGGTAACGATGGTAGGTAGCAGTGCTGGCACGAATCCACGATAATGCCTGCGGTTTTTGGTGATCAGAATGCCGACGAGACCGCGATTACCGATCAGACTGCCGTGATGCCGATAATTAGAGCACACGAACACGGCAAAAAGGAACACTGCTATAGATGGAAACGTATGCACGATCACAAGCTTGGTTCAGCCAGCAGCGGGACTGCATAGTCGAACTCACTCGCGTAGCTTTCGATCTGGTGAGCTGTCGATGTGGGAGTTTCCGAAAATTAGGGGTGCCTTTTTTTGGGTCCTTATAATAAGGGTCCAACTGTTTAGGGTACTATATTAGGGTCCCCTATCTTCGGAAACTCCCATGTGACAGGCAGAAGTGCCGACGACTCGGAAGTTGCAGCCTGAGCTCCTAAGCCAAGTCCGGGTCGGAAAGACTGCACCATGCCCTGAGGCAATGACTCGGATATTCCAGCAGATAGACAAGGCAAAGCAGCCAGTTCAGATGCGGTTCACCGGGTTGATCTGCCATTTTGCGGTTTCTGGCGTTTTTGACCAGCTGGCAGGCGCAGCATCTCATCGACGGCGTGCTGCCAAGTGCCGGAAGCAGCCCACTCGCAGGGGCCAGATCCCCTGGTCGGGCCAGCTGATACTTGCGTTGATGCAGAGGTTCAAAGGTGCCGATCGAAGTGAAGATTGAAGCTGCCTATGAATTTGTCCAGCACGCCCCCGTAGTTAGAGGCACACTCGTGACACTCATGGAAAGCAGTTCGTACGGGCAGCACGACTGCCGGGAAGAACACGCAAATAGCAATCTCCATCGACAGGGTCGCCACAGTTAGACTGTTTCCTGTCGAGCCGGGGGTGGGTCGGTAATTGACTGCACACCTTGCTGTCTTTTAGGCCGGCCTGCCTTCGTCGAGCACCAAGCAGCCTTCAAGCGATGGCCTTGGTTGCATTGGTTGAGAGTTCAGATAGCAACAGTCAAAGCAAGGGTAGTACCAATGGTAGTAGAAACATTTAAACAATGCTCGAACCAAGATATGCCTTAGCCAGGGGGCTGGTAGCTGATGCGCTCGCCGTGCTCTATCCGAAAAGTGTCAGCGGATGATGCATGCTTCAGCTTGGTGTCCGACTGCGGTGCTGATGCTGTCGATTTGATTATTCCGGGCCCGGCGCGACAGCCCAGCTTATGCTTGCCGCTCAGGCCCAGAGGCAGAAAGGCCGCTGCCCGAGGCGCATTTGGTGTTCGGACCTTTGGTTCACAGAGTTTGGGCCAAAGTGACGCCTTCTGTTCAGGTTCATGTGCCCACATTCTTGCTAACGAACTGTTTGTGTTCGGACGTCTCGTGACAAGAAGGAACCGTGATTGAAACCTGTGAATGCTTGAGCAGGTGGGGCCTAAGGGAAGTTTCCTGCAAGATGTCCCTGAGCATCCACCAGATCGCCTCCCCTACCGAAGGACCTGAAAAACCTGGTCCGGGGAGTCTCGACTCCAAGTTCGCTCGTGGGTGCGTTCCTCAGACTTGGGAATCCGGACTTCCGCGACTGCAGGACGACTCTAGCGGTGCGGTAGATAGGTGTAGAGTCAGTGTAGAGTGTATAGAGGGAGGGAGACATTCGCTGAAGTGTCGAGAAGGGCTGGCGCCTGCAGTCACTCCAATCTTGAGGATCCCCTCCAAGCAAAGACTCCGAGGAGGCCAGGGGGAGGGTCGGAAGGGTCCATGCCTCGAAATCGAAAGCACGCATCCCACTGCTCACGTTGCTTGTCGAGCACGGCTCACCGAAACGACGAGGGTCAGGCGCGAAAGTTGGAAGACCCTGAACTGTAGGCCTTGTTGATGAAGCTGGACATCAACGAGATCCGTGTCGCCGCCGAACTGGAAAAGCAGGCCGTTGCTTCCCCAAACCTTCCCCCGTCTCGTGACAAAGCCCCACAAGTGCTATATGTCAACAAATACAAGGGCAGGATGATGTCGAAACTGACGTGGAGCAATGGCAGCTATAGTGTGGGCCGTTACTCTCTCTCTGCCCAGAAGCTGATCACGGAGCACTGCGATGAGCTAGACGACCTCGTGCGCCGGCACGACAAGGATCGGTGGGCCCTTGGGGTTTCGACTGAAGTTCGATTGAAAGCAAGCTACAGGTACTGCAACTGCTGATAGTTCTACAGACTCGTACACTACTCCTCCCGCCGTAGGACTACTACTGCTGCTTCCCTCCTCCTCCTCCTCCTCCTCCTACTCCTGCTGCCTCCTACTGCTATTTGCGCTCCTGGTGCTGCTGCTGTCTATCAATGATGTTGCTGTTATTGTTGTCAGCATTACCGCCACCACCACCGCCGCCACGGCCAAAGGACCACGACCTCGATCACGACTATTATTGTGGTCATGTTGGTTCTGATTCTGGTGATGATGACGATGATGACGACAATGCGTCTTGTTACCAGTAGTGGGAGCAACGGCAGCAGCAGGAGCAGTAGCAGTCGTGTGTCTCATTGGGAAACGGCCAGGAGAGGCGGGAGTTGCACAGAGAGCTCTCCGAGCTGCGCTCGGATCACGCTCGTGTCCAGGAGAGGGGGAACATGGCGAGGGGCCCTTCGGGTTTACGGTAGGACGGTAGGGTCAAGGCAAGGGCCCCCCTGAATGGGGTCTTAAGGGTTTCCCAAGCTCAAGTATGTCTAAGGCTTTCATGGTTTGGGATTAGGTTGTTCAGCGGCTTTTTCGGGTTGCGGGGTCGGGAGAAGGTAGCTTTGGGCGGAGGGGTTCAGGTCCCGGCTCAGAGCATGTGAGAGTTGTAAACATTCACTTCGGGGCCAGGTGCAAACAGTGTACAGTGTGTAGCCATCATCGTCGGAGCTAGAGGTCGTACAAGCTCTTGCATGGCAGCGTGCGTCTACAGTGCTTTGCCCGCCGGGTCAAGGGCCAGACTGACTTTGTGAAGCAACTGTTGGTAGCGCATGGCCGGGACAGCAATTGCCTAAAACTCACTGCACCAGCAACGACGGCAAAATCGCTTCGTGGTGAACAGCTTTCCGACAGCGAACCTCGATTCCGGATGATTCCGGTCAGTTTCAATTGAGCTTTTTGGCAGAAAGTGTACCGGCACTTGTTTCTGACTGACTCGCGAAAAGCAAAACCTGCCCGGGCCAGGCGTCTGAGACGCTTCTACAGCCTCTTCAGGTCCGAACTCTTCGGATTTGACTTTCATTGTCTGGAGCACTTGGTGAAGTCGAGAAAACTTTGGAGTCGGTCAGTTTGCTGCGAGCTTTGAAGTGCCAGGAAACGATTGATTGAAGTATGTGGAAAGCAGAGTGTTGTAGCTCACCCGGAGAGCACATCTGTCCAGGAAATTCGTGAGCATTTCGAGAGCCAGGCGGGACAGAGCAAACAGGTGCTTGTCTTTGCGTCGTTTGCAATGTTGTTGGTTCTCCCAGTGTCAGTGGAGTGGGTTGAGATACAGTCTGACGGACAGACGTCGAACTCGGATTCCTCTGCATTCAAATTCGGTCTCCATATTGAAATTGAAATGTCAACTTAGACCGGGTTCGTTGTCGGGGGGCAGAATAAGAAAGGGTCGGAGGCACTTGACCTGCAGTGAAACGACAGATGAAGACTGAAGCCTGCTTGAGCCTGTCAGTTCCCTGTCGGTGAAGTGGTAAGCCGACAACCTATGATGCCCTGACGATGCCCGAGGTCGTTGAGGTGAAGCAAGAGCTTGTGACGCAGCTGGCCGTGTTGGGCTTAGCACGGGCTTCACGACGCGACGAGTGGCAATTACTTTGCATGAGTAGATGACCTGAGCTGTGCGTTCCACTTGCAAGAACCCCAGCTGCACTTTGTCAGCTACAAAGCATGGCTGGATCTAGCAGAAGCATTGCAATGCGAAGCAAGGATATCCAGGAGCGAAATCGTATGCAGAGTGGCCAGCACCTTACCTCAGATCGCCTGGATGCCCTCAGGCCTTCGAACTTTCACCTACTTGTAGGGATGCTTCGGAATCTGTGGCAGTTATGTGCACCGCAAAGATTCAAGGAGAGGTGCAACTGGAGATGCGTCAGCTCAGAGATGAGCTGAAGAGGCCATGGTGTGAAGCGAAGCTAAAGCTGCAGTGTTGTATCAATACCTCAAGCAAGAAGTATCGAAAGATGACGACACGAGGTGCCAGGACGAGCTCTCCAGTAGCCAGGCCGAGTTTCGGACGCTCTCGATGCTCTACGACAAGGTCTCACCGGTAGATGATCTGTGGCCCTGTACATACTCCCTAAATCCATACTGACATGTACGGTCCTTCTTGCGATTCAGGAGCAGCGCGAGAACTACCGCCTGCGGCAGACTGCCTGGCTTCTTGATGTCCTGGTGTTTGCCAAGTCGCCGACTTTCAATGTATGTCTCTCACGACAGGGAAAGCCAACAACAAAGTGAAATGGCTTCCGGTCGGCACGAGGCCGTGGAACGAAAGATGCTGGAGTTTAGCAAGAACGGGCTGCTGCAATGCTTTGCTCAACTCGGCCAGGCCATTGGATCGGAACCTGTTGCCAGCGACGTGGCATCTGTGCTTGATTGGTTGAGATTCGGCAGACAAAGACAATCTTCAGCTGTGTTTTCGACCCAGGCAAATCAGCATCCCACTCTCACCTCAGCAGACTACTCCATGGTACAAGCCTCAGTTCACGGCTGCGATTCACAGCCTCACTCTGGGTTGCCATGCTTGCATGATTCTCTCCACGGAAGCTCTCGGTCGACACGCCGAGCTCTTGAGGACACCACGGTGGCAACCGACATCCTGCCAGTGTCCGTGGCTTCTCCGGAGCGCGCCCACGAGGCGAGCTCCGCTGCTGTTGGGAAGTTAGCAACACCGGAGTGTTTCCGGAGGCTGCGACAGCGAGCAACAGCAACTCTGTCACGATGGTGGTCGAAGAGAACCAGCGGAAGCCCTACTACGCCGTCTTAGGTCAAAAATGTGCTGCACCCCACCGAAGCACTTAGATTCTTAGATTCATCACGGAGGGAGCAGTGTTGAATGCGTTCACCTATTTATGCTGCTGGTGCACTCAGGGCAGCAGCTGCAGCACAGCTGCAGGAGCCGCATGTGTCTGCGTAAAGTTGAAATTTACAGGGGACATTTTTGCATCTTTGGCGGGGTGTTGTGTTGTCGCAAGTTGCTGTGCTCAGCCGATGGCCTGCAAGACGAAGCTGTCGGAGAGGTCGCCGGCATTCCAGCACCGCTGCCGGCACCCTCAGCCGCAGTGAAGCACGTGGGCATGAAGATCAAGTCAGCCAGGTCCCAAGACCTTGAGACCTTGAACCGTGCACGTCCCAAGCGGTACTCGTAGCATTCGGGAGCTTGACATCTGAACGGCTGGAAGAGTGACCTCTGCAGAGATCCCAAAGGTCCAGGATGAGGGCCGAGAAGCGCCAGCAGCACCACCACTTGTGCCAACCCCAACGCAGGCACGGAACGAACTTTCAGCGAGTCCACGGAATTTCCATATCAGCAGTGGAAGGCTCGGCCGAGCATTCCGGCAGTGTCGGGCTCCCTGGTGCCGTCTTCCAGCAGGGCGTATGCCGTCTGTACCTTGTATTCGAGGTCGGTGCTGCGCACTGCACTGCCGATTGCTGCGGTCCAAAGTCGCACGCTGCCAGCAGCGGCATTTCATCAAGCCCATGACAGGCAGCAAAAGACTCGTCAGACATTTCCTGCCTTTTGCGTATTTTGCGTAGCCTACGGCCTTTTCTTCTTCCAGGCTTGGCGCCACGATGGCTGCCGCTCCCCAGACCCCCACGGTGTGCTCCGTACCTTGACTCTGAACCTAATTCTGCTTTGCGATGGCTGGCGGGAGCTCAGAGCTGCAGGTGGTGACCACCGGCCCAACCTCACACCGAAGGCGGCTCACGTCAACAGTCGAAGATCGGAGCACACAGAGAGCCTGGCTCGCGCATGCTCGTGCTCGCCACAGGGTTGCAACCACGACCACCACAAGGCCCTTCATCTCGCTGAAGCCTCAGAGCCGAGATGCACGCGGCCTTGGCGGATCGGGTGTATCAACTTCGGACCCGGTGACTGTCTCCATAGCTGGAGACAAGGCACCATCGCAGTGCGTCTACCGCCTCGTCATGATTCGGGAAGCAAGCTGCACTGTCGTGGCCTGAGCATCGGGACCCCGAGTCATCGGAGAGAGCTGCAGTTGAGGCAGAAGCTGTGATGTCTCCTAGCGCCATGCCTGTGCATCACATCGAGGTATGATCAGCTGAGCTGACCTGCAGTTGTTCGCCCTCTTGTGGGGGACGGCCTGCGCCTTCCAGCAGGGGTGCAGACCTCTCCCATTGCCGCTCGTCGGCGCAACGGCTAATGTAGTCCCCACAAAAAGAAGATGGATTAAACGGAAGACATCATGGCACAATAGCACAACAGGCACAAGGTATCCAGCAGACTTAATCCGTCTTCGACCACCACTCACCGTTACATATTCCAAAAAAGTGGACATGCTCCCTCAGCATCCCGTAGATAATCGGACAAGCAGGTTTCCAGCGTGGATGGAGCTAGCGGGATTTGACAAATTCACGAGATGTCAGGAGTGTCCACGGCTCTGGTACGATAGGGGTGCGAGGCATGTTTGCGGTAAGCACCTCACTGGGCAAATGCCACAGCTGGTGCTCAAGCGGCCGTTGTATGACTCCGGATGGTGATGCTCAGCATGGGAGTCCTGATGCAAAGTTCAACAGTGTTGCTATTTGTGTTCTGCCTCCTGGCAGTGTGCATCGTCCGATAGACTTCTACAATGTGTCGTCTGTTATAGACGTGGAGCAGGAAGAGAGCCGCAGCCAAGCCATCTCTATGCTTCACCACACCGAAACAGAAGCCCAGTGACAAGTCGTTCCTGAGCAGCTTCTTTTCTGTGGCATTCACAGCTCGTGGCCAGGGCTGTCAATTCCTGCCCCCCGTTCAACGGCTGTGCGTTTGGTAGCTGCTGCAACAGAGCTTCCCCTGACGAGCGGGCCCCATCATATTGAGACCTCTAAACAGGAACATCATTGGGTCTCCCGTGACGAAGGAGAAGCATTGCTGGCAATTGCCACTTCCGCAGGCTGAGGCAAAAAGCTAGAGACATTTTTCTTTGAGTCATGACGTTCACGGATTGCATATGTCGCAAGCTACGGCCCCGCAGCTCGAGGACTGCTGACTGGCTGATGCGTGCCCATTGCTTTGCGGCATGCTTGCGATGAGCTAACACATAGACACTGACACATTGACGCGAAGTCGAGTACAAAGATGTGGACCATGTGACAATCAGGTCTGGCTCGCTTGACCATGACACCCCCTCAACCAAGCTGACTTGCACTTCAGCCAACAAAACCAGCCTTGACTAGTGGCAGTTCTCCACCACGAACGCACGATGACTCCTCGGTCTCGCTGGGTTTGAAGTGATTCGAAGGTTTGTGCCAGGTCCACCAAAAAATGTGCTGAAACAGCTCTTGACCGTACCTACTGCAGAGTTGCATCATTGCACCCATTCATGCAAAAAGCCATGGTCGAGGAATTGGTGCAACACCAGGCCTGCTCAGACCAGGTTTGTGCGTCTAGCATTGCCTGTGAGAGAGTAGTGCAAGTACATAACGATTGTTTGGAATTCTTCCAATCAGGTTGGGATGTTTGAACATGTTGTTGCATGATGAACGCGATTCCGGATCCACTAGTCGTGCTACCGTGACCTGAAAAGTTTGACGTGTAGATGTGCTCACAGCGGGACAGCAGTTTGGGCAGGCAGGTCCACCCCGTAAAGATTCCTTGAATCACAGCCCCTCTGGCCAACTCCAACCAGGTTCCACGGGTTTCATCCCCAAGCGCCATCTCTCAAATGTTGGTGTGTGTCAGAGGTGACTTCCAGCGGCGCGCCCCGAGGCCTGGAGCGTTTCATTACTCTCCGGCAACAGCTTTCAGCTCGCATCATTTGGAGAAGATGCGTCCGTGATCGTCCGTGTTCATGGAAGCTCGCGATGCATAGCCTCCGAACTCTCCTCCACCGCACGTGTTTTTCGCAGTACATCTAAGCTCAAGAAAGCTTCGGTCCTGAACAGTAAAAGGAAGACGGACAAATGGGCGGCGGAGGCAGCAAGGAGACTCATCATTACCATGAGGATACGGCGTCCAAAGAGCTCGCTCGACAAGCCCAAGAGCAGATGGAAGCTCTTCGCCGGCAACAAGAGGAGGTGCAACGGAGGATTGAAGAAGAGAACCAGCGGCGACGGCAAGAAGAATTGCGGCAAGCTGAGCTACGTCGGCAAGAAGCCGAGCGGAAGCGAGTACAAGAGCAGGAAAATGAGCGGCGGCGTCAGGAAGAGCTTCGCCAAGCTGAACTACGTCGTCAAGAGGCAGCTGAACGTGAGCGGCAGCGCCTCCAGCAAGAGCAGGAGAACCGAAAGAGAGAAGCCGAAAGAGCTCGTGCAGAAAAGGAACGACAAGATCGGGAAGCCAAAGAACGCCAGGCTCGTGAACTTCAGAGAGAGCGTGACAACGTGCACAAGGCCAAGCTTGAGAAGTGGCAAAGGTTGAAGCGAGACTATCCCATCCCAGACTTCCTCAAGAACTATGTCAATGAGGTGAATCCTGACGCAGAGGTAGAGGCTCGTCGAGGTCGTTTCGCCAATGTGGGCTTCGTTGGAGATTCGGGAAATGGCAAGAGTTCCCTGATCAAAGCCATCCTCAAGCATTTCGGTGTCGACTTGCCAGCAGACCAGATGCCCCGAATCTCTATGGAAGGAGACGGCACGCTGGAGCCCAGTCGATTTCCACTTGCCATCCTGGGCCAAGTCTCTCTCTGGGATCTACCTGGTCAAGGAACTGCGAAGATTCCATCCATGACCTACCTCTGCAACATGGGCCTGAAGTACTTCGATGCCATCTGCATCGTGACTGATGGTCGTTGGTCTGAAGGTGATGACAACCTGCTGGTAGCCATTCACTATGCAGGGATTCGTTGCTTTGTGGTTCGCAGCAAGGTGGACCTTGCTGTGGATGCTGGCGTTGAGGACAAAGGATGGAGCCAAACCGAGACACTGTCCCATGTCCATCAGCAATTGCAGAGGCAAACCCGCCTGAAATCACATCGCATCCATCTCGTGACATGCAGGGAGCGCTTTTGGAAGGACTTCGGTTCTGTGGACGACTTCTGCAAGCACCTCAAGCAAGAGGTGGAAGCCTGTCTACAAGATGAGCCTGCAAGAAAGTCTTTGAAGCGTAGTGCAACCAATTCGTTTGGCTGATGAGCTGCAAGTTGTGGCTTAGATCAGCTCCGTTGGTTGACTCTGCAGAGAATACCAGTGACTGGACATATTGCCATTGCTGCTGTGAGGATGGGTCATGTGGAGTGATGTTTATGTAATTCCTCACTATGTGCAGAGTCGTCCTTGTGAAACTTCCCTGCCATGCTGCAAGCATCATTTCAGAGTAGCTTGCGAGATGCGTAGGCTTACGCCCACAGAACGTCAGCTAGCATCATGTGTTGGTGCTTGCGCCACTTTATTCTGCCTTTGGGGTTGTACGGTTTCACCTTGATGCGGGCAACAGCTGCTTGAAGCCTGTTGTGAAGCGTCCGCGTGAGGCTGGTGCTTGATCAGTTGGAGCCATGTCGAGCGACGTGTTCCCTATTTGGCTCGATTTTGCTGGTTTGCTGCCAGTGACTGCAGCACAGATCAGTTCCGAAGCTCGTCTCGCCAGCTTCACTCTGCCCAAGCCAATCGGCATGAATTTCTGCAAAATTTAGTAATGAGCGGTTGTCGCCATCATCGTGAAAGTTGTCTTTTCTTTCATGGGCAGAGTCTTGCTTCCCTGCCATGCTGTTCGCATCATTTTAGAGTAGCTGGTAGGGCACAACGACAAAGTGGCAGGTGAGCATGTTTGTGCCAAGGTTTGCTAGAGAGCCAGGGTCTCCAGACATGAAGTGCCTTCGCCATGCTGAATTTGGTGTGAGTCTTGGGAAGCTTGTGATTTTGCAGGCCGGCTGCTTCTACCTCTGCGTCTTGCAGTTGGAGGTTGGATGGGTTCTCAAGGGTGGGATGCCTACCCAAATGAAGGATCAGACTGAATTGATCCTCCACCAGTTATCCATTCGCCATTGATCAACGCGTCATCATTTCGGTAATTGTTCTTTCTTGCTGGTTGGAGATGTCTGACAGTATCTTGCCTGTCACCAACCAGCATGAGCCTCAATTTGGACTTGCTGGTTAGATTCGGTTACAGTGCATGTTGTTCCACTCGAGACAATGCGCGTCTGGATGTAGCGGGCTCGTCCGGAAAGAGATTGAGACACTTCAACATGGCATCATGAGCTTTTCACATTTATCCTCGCATGTCCATTCTCCGAGAAACAGCTGACATGCGTTTGGGAAGCCCTTCGTTTGTCAGCATGGCTCTCTTTGAGCTGAGCCACAACCTGGTTTTAGGTGCCGTGTTGCTTGTCGGATTCCTGTCCGAGTGCAAGTACAGTTCGATTGTTTGGTAGTTGGGATGTTTGAACATGTTGTTGCATGATGAACGCGATTCCGGATCCACTAGTCGTGCTACCGTGACCTGAAAAGTTTGACGTGTAGATGTGCTCACAGTGGGACAGCAGTTTGGGCAGGCAGGTCCACCCTGTAAAGATTCCTTGAATCACAGCCCCTCTGACCAACTCGTAATCAGGTTCAACGGGTTTCATCCCAAAGTGCCATCTCTCAGATGTTGGTGTGTGTCAGAGGTGACTTCCAGCGGCGCGCCCTGAGGCCTGGAGCGCTTCATTACTCTCCGGCAACAGCTTTCAGCTGGCATCATTTGGAGAAGATGCGTCCGTGTTCATGGAAGCTCGCAACGCATAGCCTCCGAACTCTGCTCCACTGCGCGTGTTTTTCGCAGTACATCTCAGCCCAAGCAAGCTTGAGGCTTAGGTCCTGAACAGCAAGAGGAAGACGGGACAAATGGGCGGCAAAGAGAGCAGGGAGATTCATCACTACCATGAGGATAAGGAGTCCAAAGAGCTCGCTCGACAAACCCAAGAGCAGATGAAAGCTCTGCGCGGGCAAATGGAACAGCAGCAGAGGATGAGTGAGGAAAACCATCGAAAACATCAAGAAGCTTTGCTCAAACTTGAAGAAGAGAAAGCAGCGGAGTTGCGGCGTTTCGAGCAAGAACAGGCCCAAAATCAGCAAAGGCATCAAGAAGCCTTGCGCAGAGTTGAGGAACTTCGTGCGGATGAAAAAGCAGCTGCCTTGCAGCGCCTCCAGCAGGAGCAGGAGAACCGAAAGAGGGACGAAGAAAGAGCTCGTGCGGAGTCGGAAAAACAAGCTCGCGAAGCTGAAGAGCACTTGGCCCAAGAACTTCAGAGAGAGCGCGACAACGCACACAAGGCCAAGCTTGAGAAGTGGCAAAGGCTGAAGCGAGACTATCCCATCCCAGACTTCCTCAAGAACTATGTCAATGAGGTGAGTGAGAATTCAGCAGCTGATGCTGATCGCGAACTTCATGTAAATGTGGCCCTGCTTGGGGATTCAGGAACCGGCAAGAGTTCCCTGATCAAAGCCATCCTGAAGCATTTCGGTGTCGACTTGCCCGCGGACCAGATGCCCCGAATCTCTATGGAAGGAGACGGCACGCTGGAGCCCAGTCGATTTCCACTTGCCATCCTGGGCCAAGTCTCTCTCTGGGATCTACCTGGTCAAGGAACTGCGAAGATTCCATCCATGACCTACCTCTGCAACATGGGCCTGAAGTACTTCGATGCCATCTGCATCGTGACTGATGGTCGTTGGTCTGAAGGTGATGACAACCTGCTGGTAGCCATTCACTATGCAGGGATTCGTTGCTTTGTGGTTCGCAGCAAGGTGGACATTGCTGTGGATGCTGGCGTTGAGGACAAAGGATGGAGCCAAACCGAGACATTGTCCCATGTCCATCAGCAGTTGCAGACGCAAACCCGCCTGAAATCACATCGCATCCATCTCGTGACATGCAGGGAGCGCTTTTGGAAGGACTTCGGTTCTGTGGACGACTTCTGCAAGCACCTCAAGCAAGAGGTGCAAGCCTCTCTGCGGGATGAGCCGGTAGAGCAGCATTTCGATTTAGAGCCACAGGAGGATGTCAACATGGACGAGTTCGACGACTGGGTGATGGCCCCCCCTGGTCCTGTTGGGGTTGAACATCCTCGCCTTGATGCGGGCAACAGCTGCTTGAAGCCTGTTGTGAAGCGTCCGCGTGAGGCTGGTGCTTGATCAGTTGGAGCCATGTCGAGCGACGTGTTCCCTATGTGGCTCGATTTTGCTGGTTTGCTGCCAGTGTTGCAGCGCAGATCAGTTCCGAAGCTCGTCTCGCAAGCTTCACTCTGCCCAAGCCAATCGGCATGAATTTCTGCAACAGTTAGTACAATTAGTAATCAGCAGTTGTCGCCATCACAGTGAAAGTTCCCTTTTCTATCATAGGCAGAGTCGGCAGAGTCTTGCTTCCCTGCTATGCTGTTCGCATCATGTTAGAGTAGCTGGTAGGGCACAACGACAAAGTGGCAGGTGAACATGTGGTTGCCAAGGTTTGCTGGAGAGCCAGGGTCTCCCGACATGAAGTGCCTTCGCCATGCTGAATTTAGTCTTGGGGAGCTTGTGATGTTGCAGGCCGGCTGCTTCTACCTCTGCGTGACGACTTGCAGTTGGAGGTTGGATGGGTTCTGGCCAGGGATCAACAAAAAAATAAGGATCAGAAGTCAAAAACTTAATTCGACAGAAATCAAAGGTAACACGACACCAGAAGGCAAGCAAGTCCCGTCAACTTCGTCATTTTCCAATATTTTCGCCATTTCTCATCAGATATCATGAGCTTGTATTGTTTTCGGCAGACCCAGTGGGCGGACATTGGATTGTCAAGCAAAGTGGGTCGCCACGGCACCGTACATTTACGCACTGCTGCGGGGGTGCAGAGGTCAGTGGGCCGGCTGCTGGCAGGGCTGCAAGCGGATCGGTAATGTCGGTGCTCCGATGAGCAAGCCCCATCCAGAGCTGCATTGACGTCGTCAGGGTGGAGCTCCGCCGCCGAGCAGGCCAGCGCCGCAGGCACTCCGAAAGTCCCTAGGAGCTGGGCCATGTGTGCATCCCGCCGGTCATAGACGGTGCTGAGGCGGGCTGCTGAGTCTGAGGCTTTCACAGCCATGTTGCAGTGGCCAAGTCCGCAGGTTGCCAAGACGCAAAAAGCTGGAGATATTTTCTCTGAGTCATGACGTTCACGGATTGCATATGTTGAAAGTTACGGCCCTGCAGCTCGAGGACTGCTGACTGGCTGATGCGTGCCCATTGCTTCGTAGCGTTTTTGCGATGAGCTAACGCATTGGCAAAAAGTCGAGTCGAAAAGATGTGGACCACATTGTCACATTATCTTGGTCGCTTGAAAATGAGACCCCTCAACCAAGCTGACTTGCACTTCAGCCTACAAAGCCAGCCTTACAGAATGGCAATTCTCAACCACGAACGTAGCATGACTTCTCGGTCCCGCTGAGCTGCCATGGAAGCCTGCGCCCCCAGGACATTGACATGGATAAGCTTTGGACAAGGGAGAGATATCATCTGGATTTCGTCCATAAGTCAGCGCTTTGCAGGAATGGGGAAAACTCCAATGGATGCAGCGACACTGCGGCTCCGGTGCTCAGTGAGAGCAAGCTGCCGACAGAGGCTGAATGTGTTCTTAGCCCACAGTCCTCTATCCCCCTCCAGGTCGCGAGGATTAAGTGACAGATGGCCCTTGTCCCCCGGAAACGGTGTCTGCACTATCCCCCTCCAGGTCGCGAGGATTAAGTGATAGATGGCCCTTGTCCCCCGGAAACGGTGTCTGCACTATCCCCCTCCAGGTCGCGAGGATTAAGTGACAGATGGCCCTTGTCCCCCAGGAACAATCTCTCTACAGTACAAGATGGGGGAGCATGCATGCCTCACGAGCTCCTTCTAGTACACTCGGACTTTGTCTCTGTTGAGCTGTTTCGAAAAAACCCGCTGCTGTTCTGAGGCATCGGCTCGGGCACGGGCTTCGAAGGCGGGCGGATGGGAGTGACTAAGGCACTGGTGACGGCAGCAATAGCAACGATAGCAAAACACTCATGGCCAGAACCATGCAAACCCTTCCTACGGCAGCAACACCCTCGTCGACGAATGCGAGAAGCAGCCGCGGCAACTGCAAGGACGAGCGAAGTCTTCTCCTGCTACTGGTACCAGTGGTACTGCTGCTGATGCTGATGCTGGTGCTGCTGCTTCTGCCGCTGCCGCCGTTGCTGCTACAGCTACTACCCCCACCACCACAACTGCTGCTGCTACTGCTACTGCTACTGCTACTGCTACTGCTACTGCTACTGCTACTGCTACTCCTCCTCCTCCTGCTGTTGCTGCTGCTAGTACAAGTACGACGATGGCTTCTTCCGACTACCACGACTGATCCAACTGGTTTGTCTGAGTCTTCGAGAAGTACTGCAAGCATCGGAGGCACAAGTACTGCGACTAGTAGTGCTTGCTACTGTGCACCCCAAGAACATGAGTCCGGCACAAACAAGATGAAGCTTCGCCCCCCGACAGCTGAGTTGGTTACAGCTTCAGTTGGTTTTAGCATCCTCCATTCTACATACATCCTGATCCCCCTCGTAGGGTCCATACCACGAAACGGGTTGTTTGTAGAGGTAGCTTAAATCCGACGCCCCAATCCCTTGAACAACCAAGAACTGTGCACATCACCAGGCCCAGCGCACGGACAAAGCGAAGGAAGTGCAGTCTCCAGAGGCCTGGAACCAGAGGCGTGAGACGCAGGCATGTGGGAGTTTCCGGAAATGGGGGACCCTAATATAGTACCCTAGACAGTAGGATCCCTATTATAAGGACCCCCCCAAAATGAGGTACCCCTCATTTTCGGAAACTCCCATGTGAATGTGGCCTTCACCTTCTGAGGTAGACAACATGACGAGACACTCGTAGAAAAGATCCGGGTATGTCAGCAGCTGGTCTCCAACCGGATGCCCAGACTCTGGTTATTAGGGAATGGAGGAATGGGGTACAATCAAACCACTATTACTACCATTCTTCCATTCTCTACTAACCAAAAGTAAGCCAGAACAGTGACAAGCAAAAGCCCTTCTCGTCCAGAGGATCGGGCATGGGAGCTCCTGCTGGCCATAGCTGGGGACTGGTGCTCAGAGATCTGGGAGTTTCCGGAAACAGGGGACCCTAAATAGTACCCTGAATTGGGGTATCCTTCTTAGAAGGACCCCGAAATAAGGTACCCCTATTTTGTAAACTCCTATATGGATGGGGTCAAGTCGGGGGTTGGCTGCTTTTGGGGGTTTGGATTGCGACTGGTTTCGAGAGCGGAGACTGGAGTCCAGAACACCGGAGGAATCAAGGCACAGCATGGGATGTGGAACGCGCTTGCCCTGTCTTATCCCTTGCAAACGAAATTTTGTTCAGCAAGGCTGGCTGCAGGAAGGGTATCGATCAAAGCGGCATGTTCATCGGCACGGACATGGCTAGTTTGCGCTGGGCGATGACATTGTCTATCAGTTCTGCAGCCACGGCAGCTCAATCCTTATATTTCTTTGTTTAGAGCTTGCCCCTGCTGTCGCCAGCTTGAGTATGCGGGCTGCGAGAGCACTTGCTGCCGATGATATCCCTGCTGTGGCAGTTCTGGCAGATGCCCGTCTTTTCATCGAGACGTGTGATAAGCAAAGCTGTGACAATTTCCGGGCCGCGAGCGCTGCAAGCTTGTCCACCATGGCCACGAGAACAGGAACTGCCGAAACTAGTAACAACTCTAGTAGGCTTAGCTGGTCGAGGTTCCGTCTACCGCCATTGCAGCCCCAACTGCCAGAAGTTGAAGCAAGAAAGGAAGACAAGGCCAGCAAATCTGTTCGCAGACACAAGCGGAGGCATCGGGACAAGGACGCGGCTAAGACGGAGACCCCTCAGCAGCCCAGGACGGCTGAAAAGAGCGCAAAGCTGTCTAGCAAGCCTGCGAATGCGTGCGGACTTGAACGCGATGAGATCGTGAAGGGTGCTACCTACACGTGGGTGCGGAGCGGTCTTCTGGGCCGTGGCTCCATGGGCACAGTTTGGAAGGCGAGGATTGCCAGCACAGAGGAGATCGTGGCCGTGAAGGAGGTCGATTTGGACAGGGATTTGCAAGTGCCCAGTGAAATCGCAAACGAAGTGGCCACCCACCGCCAGCTCAACCACCCCAATATCGTCAAGCTGCTTGGCACAGACGCCGTGCTGGCTAGATACTACATCTACTTGGAGTTCATGCCCGGAGGGTCACTGCGACAGATGTTGAAGCGGGATGGGCCCCTGAGAGAGGTCCAGATCTGTAACTATGCCTCCCAGATCGTGAGTGCTCTGAGCTACATGCATCGGCAGGCTGTACTACACAGAGACGTGAAGACTGGAAACATCCTGCTTACAGAAGACATGAAGTGTGTAAAGCTCGCAGACTTTGGGTGCTCAAAGAAGTCCAAAGTTAGCGCCAAACACACGTTTCGAGGTTCTGTTCTATGGATGGCACCTGAGATTATTAATGGTGAGAAGTATGGTTGCAGAGCCGATATTTGGAGCTTCGGATGCACATTGATTGAGATGATTACAGCCCAGCCCCCCTGGGGCAAGTTTCAATCGCAAATGGCGGCCATGATGCATATTGCTTGCTGCGAAAAGTCGCCACCACTCGAAGAAGAGGTCAGTCCCCACCTGCGGGACCTCGTGAGCGTTTGCACGCGACGGGCTCCAAAGGAGCGCCCTCGAGCTTGCAAGCTTATGAAACATGACTTCCTGAATTCGACTGGCCGTGAGTTGCCGATGGAACTTACTTGACACTGGGAGACTCGAAGACCGGGAATCTTCATGTCAGGTCAGTTATTATGCACTCAACTCCGAAGTTCTCTTCCAGGTTCTTTGGGGCATGCTTGAGAAGCTGAAAACTCACTCTCAGATACAAACTATTGGTGAGCGTCATGCAAGAAGATTGTCTAGAGCAGAGATTCACTGCAGATGCGCAGTGAGCTTGCGGCAGTGCAATCGAACACTTGGTTCATGCTTCTCGAAGCTATGCACAAGACATGTAACAGTACTTTGATTTACTGTGCTCGGAGCATTTGAAGACTCCGATGTTGCAGCTGTCATGGGCCTTTTTGCTTCCTCTCGCACCACGTTTCGACTGCTTTCCAAAACGAAGGGCTGTGCAGGAACTTGTTTCGCCTGGTAACAGAGCAGAGATCGCCGGAGCCACGAAGTTCTGCAAGAAAGCGGCCCAGGGAGCCTAAACAGTCACAGAGAAAGCACATTTGCCATGCTTTCATTTTCAAAACCTGTAACAGCCAAACTTATATAGAACCATGATATAGAATCTCTACATAACTGTCTCTTCCAGCCGCTTCTGCCCGTGTAAGGCCCACGCTGAAGGCCCCAAGGGCTCCCCCGAGCTCCGCCGCTTGGCCATGGAGGCCGAAAAGCTGCTGAACGGAAGAGACAGAAGAGCAATCGTCATAACAGCAGCAGCGCACATTGCAGTTGTCGTCGTAGAACGACAACAGCCAAACAAAATAGAAGAAGATGCAGAAGATAGCGCGACATGAAGACTCCATTGATGGGATACAAGCGCAATGCTATATTGCAAACACAGGCTTACCAGCAGTTCATTGCCGCAAAAGAATCGGTGTCTGTGTCGGATTGGGAGGCCCGGCAGCTGCTTCTAGACTTCCCGGTGAAGGCCCGCAGAGTACCTGGCTGCAGTTCTTGAGCGGTAGGTATATGTATCGACTTGGACTGAGTGCTTGGAAGCTTGGGCCATTAATCTGTTACTGCAGATGGCGGTTGATACGAGCAGGTCCGGCCGCCCGGGTGGAGGACCTGGGTGCGCCCCTTCCAGAAACAATTTCCGGGCGTTCAGCTGTGATGTCGCTAGCACAAAGACATACTGCGCACGTTACAGATACCATGTCCGTGACTACATTCCGTACCGCCGCTGTACGTCCGTGCTGAAAATACAGCGACTTGCGCCGTTATCCCCAACACGCCCCAATAAGTTTCCGCATCGACCAGACTTAGCTAAGTTGCTCCACCGGAAACACTACCCGAATTGCAAGCACTTAGCATAGCTGCTGCAGTCTTTTGCAGCGGGTCTGTACAGCGTTTGTTCCAGAAAGCAGGGGACGCAGAACTCGCTTGGAGCAGGTGGACAAAGGAAAAGAAGCAACGAATCGTTCTTCAAAGGGCCTCCGAAGTAAGGAAGCTACATCCCTGTAGGAGCCCTCACAACACCTCTAGTCTGCCTCTGATTATTATCAGATAACCCTATTATGTATCCGTTCAGAGGTGCCCCTTAAGGATCCCCAGAAGAACCCTCGTTTCCTGCAGGTCGGCAACTCATGGTCGGGGCTGAAGGTAGCGCTCGGGACGGTCTGGGGCGTCCTGACGCTCGCCGCTCGCCGGAACGTCTCAGAAGATAAGGGTTGCTATCAAGATCTGTAAATGGTGACACGTACTACTTGTACCCAGAATCATTTTGTGGGTTAATAAACTATACATAAGGGGTTGTTGAAATGGGCGCGTGAGGTCGGCTCTGCCCCTTTTAGCCTGATGACGCACCCGCTAAGGTGGCGTCGATGTGCCATGATGCGGTGAGCATCTTGGTGCTTGTCTCAGCTGCGTCGGATGGCAGAATCCCGGCATATGATGGGGCCATACAGCATATTATGTTAAGCTGCATCGTATTCTATCATATCCAACTGCATTTATATGATATATTACATAGTATGCAGGTCTAACTGCACTTTTATGATATATTACGTATTTTGCAGGTGATATGATATATTATACAGAATATCTGCAGCATATGCCGTAAATCGTATATTGCGTCACTGAAGCGAAGGTCTTGGCGGCCACGGGAAAGGCAGAGGAAGCGGAGGCAGCAACCGAGGCCGGCCCGACGGTGCCCCGGTGCCGATGGCTGGATGTCGGCATTCTCCCGGATGACTTCTATTACATTCCATTACTATACATTAAATATATATATATATATATAGATATAGATATTACGGTGCTAATATTATTCTGTTACTATGCATTACTACATATTAATATTCTACTACTATTCTAACACCATTCTGTTACTATTATGCTATTACTGTTCCAATACAGTTCTATTACAACTCTATTACTTCTTCTATGTTCAGGTTGCATGGCTCATGCCTATGACCGTGGTTATGAGGATGCACCGTGAGACAGCCAAATGGATAGTTGCCAAGCAAAGGGTAGGACTGCTGGTCAGGATTCGGCAGCTGAACCTCGAGCCCCCAGCCAGCCAAAGGCAGACTGGAGCAGAGAGGGCTTCAGAGTTCAGGGAGGTCCAGTCATAGTCGTACATGAACAGGTTCAGCAGGTTTGCAGGGTGATTGCTCGGCTCAGTTCGTACATGCTGTGATCAGGCACGCAGTCGCACTGCCAAAATGCGAAAACAGCCGAGAGGCCAGGCACAAGTGTCAGTGATCTTTGTTATGCTGCCGCTGATAAGAGACAAAGACCCACATCACTGCAGCGGGACTGGGCCGACAGAAGTCTCTGCCAGGGCCTTCAGCAGCCAAGGCGCGATCCGAGTGCATTGATTGGACCGGCACTTGTATAGTGAGTGGTGACACGATCGCTGCACAGCAGAGATTGACAAAGCCAGGAAAGTGCCGCAGAGGACGAGCAGGAAGAGGAGGAAGAGGAGGATGCCCGAGGTTGCTGTCTTTCATGACGGTGGGTGACCAGTCCTTTTCCTTGGGAGATGCTTGAAAGACGTGTTTCACCCCAAGCGTCCACACAACAGCGCATGAGGCGTAGGAAGGCTATCGCGCGATAGCCGGAACCTGGAAGCCGAAACGGTTTGTGGCGAAAACGGAAGCGAGAAGAGTCCGCTGTGCTCATCTCTGCTCTTGACGTGGAAGGAACGTCGGATGAGCTACGAGAGCCAAAAGGGCCCCTCCTCATCCGACAGCTTCTGGGCTCACAGATAAGCGGAATGGTAAAAGTGCAGAACTCGAGAGCCGCGGAAGTCACCTACACAAGACTGCAAGAAAGCCCTTACAACGATTCCAGCTTTTCAAGTCGTCTGATCAGAAATAATGAGCCTCGGGAGGAAGACAACATCAGACGACTGTAGGTAGGAAGGCCGCTCACAGACCATGCTTCGCAGACGCGCTGTCTCTCATGGCTGTGCAGAAGGCACGAGATGGCAGGATTCCAATGAGTCAGGCCAAGTTTCGGTATCCGGACGAAGCTGCAATCGCCAGGCCGTTTCACTTGCGCGCACAAAACATCGTGCAGCAGAGATTGCTGATGGCAAGGCCGGGGTAGGCAGCCTAAGGTCGCAAAGGAACTTCGTCTTTTTCGGCTTCTTCAGCGGTCCCTAGGAACGATGCTTGCCCTTTTGCGCAAGCACATTTGTCGGCTGCGTGCATTCTTGTGCCAGGGACGATGGACCGGAAGGCCACAGGACGATCCAGGTCCGGAGTGCAACGTGCAGTCGCTCACAGCCACAAGCGCCTGACCTCAGGCTCCCTTACGGATGAAGGACACGACACCCCAGAGCACGGGGTGCCAGACACCCCCGACCGCCAGCCCCAAGAGATCCAAGAGGTGGGGCGTATGCCTGGGGCAGAGTTCTTTGCTTGAATTGAAGTTGCATGCATGGCTTGACGAGGAGTCGGAGAAGATCCGCGTCCCTCCCGGTCAGGCGTGATCTTGGCATTACCGTACCGTTCATGGCTGCCGGATTCGTTGAAAACCAAGACGAAGAATACATATCCCTGTAGATCCTGTGCCGCCACGCTGCAGTGGAACCTACCCCGTGCCAGTCCCTGAAGCCGTCGACCACTGACGTGTTCGAGCGGCTTCACGCCTACCATGCAGATCCTTGGCTGCAGACGGGGAATTCTCGGAGCGAAGCATAGCACCTGAAGCGTCTCTTGTCGCAATTTAATTTCCTGGAGGAGTGCACCGTGTGTGTATAGTTGCAGCTCGTGAATCCTAGGACGGTCAGGTAGCAGTACTCTTTCATTTGAGCCCGCACCGCCCCAATCGCCTCCAGGAAGTTTGTAGACCCTTGCCAGGCTCAGCGGATCCTACGAATACAAGCAGCGTGTGTGCAGATGCAACTTTGAGTGTCACGTTATCTCTACGCTGGAGGGTAGGTAGAATTGGGCCTTGTAATGGGGGAGAAGCGTGCAGGGCATTGTCAAGCTACGCGGCTGCCATATGCACCCGTCTGGCATAGTTTGAGTCGTAGCTTTAGACTCGTGACGATGCTCAGGCAAGTCTGGAGAAGAAGGCACTTCTGCAGGTTCGTCGTCTCTTTGAGTCTTCGAAGACTTTTCATTTTTGGCCCTGGGAGCCACATAGAGCCACGTGGTGTGGTGCAGGTTTCAAGATCACGGAAGCGCCCTGCTTCAGAAGTGTTTTTAAGAAGAGACCCCACCACTTGACGGAACCCCAGAGCATGCTCTGATCGCAGAAGCTGGCGGCTCAGCAAGTAGATGCCCAGACCGAGTCGCTGTCCAGCCGGCATGTGGCACGCCTTTCGTGGCCTACCGTAGAAGGGGCTTCAGGCATGTTCACCCGTTGCAAGCAGTTTCGGTCGCTCAGAGCTCAGAGGGAAAGCCCACTGATTGCAGAGCAACAGGCCCAGAAGCCGACGCTTAGATCCAACACGAAACACGACAGGAAGCGCTGCACGGTGCGCACCTGTTCCTCAGAAGAGGAGGCACGACAATTGCTGACGTGGTGCAGGCTATCGCATGGAGAAGCTGTCTTTTGAACGACATGATCTGTTTTTGTGCTCGCGGCGATGAAGTGCTGTAGTTCGTTGCAGGCCTTGCAGATCTACGGGCGCCTGTATCAGGAGGCAGCTCACCGGCGGAGGACGGTGCACAAAAGTGAAAAGTGGTTTGTGTCTTTCCCAGACAAGCCCCAAAGAACTCGCAGATACCCACAGCCCTCCCAGGAGGCAGGTGGAGCGCGAGCAGGAGGCCGGGGCGGATTGCGAAAGTGATGTGGGGCTCAGGCTTTGCAGCTGCGGCTACTCGTACCTACTCTTGTCAATGCTGCATCTATGGCAGGAGACTCTCAGCTCACAGTGCTCCACCTCCTTACGGAGTCAGGCGGGTTGCTGGTTCATGCCGGCTTCAGGATCCTGACTGAATGCCATCCTTGTGCACTTGGGCAAACTGGGGAGCCAGGTGGAGGGACCTCCGCGCTGGGAGCAGCTGTACCACAGTGCGCCTCTCAAAGAGGCAGGGAGGGTGCTTCTAGTCTCTACCTGCCCTTCGGGTGATTCCTTGAACCCCCCCCAAAAGCATCGCTGCTCTAAGCCCGCCAGAAGCGTCTTGGGGATGAACGGAAGCGAGCTGCAGAAGCGGAGGAGCGCTGGCTGGCCAGGAGCCCAAGGATCGCATCGGATCGGACCTTCGCAAAGCCGCACATCACTTAAGAGCACTGCTAGGCATCGTGGTGTGTCTGTGCATTCAGAATGCCCTCACCAGAAAAGGCGCAGCACTGCATCCATCGCAGCAGCGACAAGGCAGAAGCAGCAGAGGCCAGTCGCATGTGTCATGTACCCGAGACAGCCCGAGACAGTAGCAGCAGGTTGAGGCTGAACTGGCGGCACCAAGCGTAGTCCTCGTCGTGGTGATGATTGCCTGCGTATAAAAGAAGCAAGTATGGGTCAACAAATCATCAAGAGTTCTTCTCTACTACCAACCATTAACGACGGCCGGCTACGACTACGACGACGACTACTATCAACATGACTCCTCCTCCTCCTCCTCCTCCTCCTCCTCCTCCTCCTCCTCCGCCTGCAGTGGCTGCTGCTGCCGCTGGCTGAAACTACACCTACCACAACTAACTACCACAACGACGACGACGACGACTACTACTACTACGACTACTGCCACTGCCATTCCTCCTACTCCTACTACTCCTACGACTACCCTGCTACCTTCTCCACGTCCGTGGCTCTCGGTTGTACGTTCAGACAGCAAATGTTCTCCTGGCTGTGAAGCATTGAACAGATCTTCGACCGACTTTACGGCGAGAGCGAAAGCCGTGAGCGCCGCCGGGAACAGCGCAAAGCTGCAGAGGCTTGCTGTTCTGACATGCCATACTAGTAGCAGTAGCAAGTCTTCACAAGCGGTCGCAATGAGCCGTCAAGTTTGGATTTGCAGCTACTGGGCCTTGCAGGGCTGAAGCGTTGGAAGGTTGGCATCGTATGCCTAAGCAGATACAAAATTTGTTGCTAGTAAACCTTGCTACAGTTGTTAGCGTGACCATGATGCTTTATCGGTATGACTTCCAGTGCTACACTGTTTACTGCTAAATTATGTGGTGATTCATGATCACCATCACTTGTAAGGTTGCCTCCCAAGTGCGCGAGCTCGCTGAGAGTGGCTCGCTCAGGGGCCGCACAGAGTCCTTTGGTTTCAAGTATCGCCGTAGAAATGAGTGCGACTCTAAGTGCCTCACTTTGTGCATCTTGGCTCCGTCCTGTGCTGGACGCGGCGAATCGGCCTCAGAGCTTCAGGCTCTGTCCACAGCCGCACTCTTTCGGTAGCGGACTTGGAGCTGAGAACAAGGCGCACTCGGTCCGGTTACATGTTCAGCGCTCTATTCCATTGTGACAATCCCTCATGAGTTGTCAAAGTGGTTTGCACAGTTTGTTGGCACTTGCCGGGCAGATATGTATCTGACGCTCTGGCGTCGGAGCTGCCCCTGAGTTTCTAATTATTTCAAGGTCCAAAGGTCCAACTCATGAAGGCAAAGGTAGGTGTCACTTTCAATACAATGTAAACAGGCAAATTGAAAAAAATGAAGGTGAAGCTGTAAAGTAGCTGAAGGTACGGCAAAGGCTCTTCAAAAAAACCCAGAGCCAGGTGACACAAAAAGGTACCGGAAAGGAAAACATCAAGCTGGAGACAAAACAAAGTGAAGACCAGGCGCAGGCCAGGTGATGCCGGGGATGTCTTGCACTCCCATGCCAACCTGCCAGCGCCGGCGGGCTGGAGGACGTCCCTTATAATTTTCCTTTGTTAAAAGGCAAAAATAATGCGAAACAATGATGCAACAAATGCCAAAATGAGGTTGAGGCCATGACCCGCAAGTTCCCCACACCTGTCCTTTGCCTGGCACTTACCTCGTTTTCGCCTTATGTTTACCTCTTTTTTGTCTTGTTTTCACCGTTGGCTCCTGTTCTTCACCTTGTTTTCTTTGTTTTCTTCTTTTCCGTAAATGATGAGCGGCCTGTGCCGGGTCTTCACCTTTCTCCCTACTTTTGGTTTACCTTTTGTGCACGTTTTAGATGTTCAGCTTCAGCGAAGCTTCACCTATTTATCAACTCTATTTTCCGGGTCTGTTCAAAAGAGCTGCGCGTACCCGCTCCATAGGAATGGTCCTCTGAAGCTTCTGCCTCGCCAGGCGCCTCTATGAAGACGGCCTGCAACGACTGCAGAGACTGGAGGACAGTAAGTATTGCCATGCCATACCGAGTTTTTGAACTAGGCGTGACAGAAGGGTTGCTCATGGTTTGCATGAGGTTTGCGAGAATTCCACATGGGTTCTGAAAACGAGTGATACCTCATCCCGAGTTCGTCGTGGTATGCCCGATTATATGTCTTTTGTAGGATGTCGGCACCTGGACGGCTAAGTTGTGACACTCCAGGCATATAGTTAAGGTCTTCTGCCTCGGTAAGACGTGATCTCCTGTGCCAGCTGTCAATAAAACGATCACATTGGCCGTCGGTGAGTCTGGCTCCACGTAGCTGTGGGCCGCCGAAAGCCAAAGTGCTTTTCTCGCCTTCCTGCAGGAACCCAAGATTACATGCACTCTCGAAACAGAATCAAGCAGGCGGTTACCACGAAGCATGTCCATGTGCTGTGGCATGAGCTGGTGCTGTACTACACCCAAGCTGCGACGGCTCACCAAGGATGCGGGAACGGGCTTCCGAGCAATGAAGGTTCTGTTCTTTGCCGCTCTCGCGGCACCTATTGTAGACTCGGCAGTGCTACTCAGATCGCCCGGATCTCAGAGTTCCACAGATTCGCAGCGAAGGGGCTCGTCCGCCGCTTCCCCAAGGCAGGATCGCGCATGGTACGCAGGTCTGGAGCCCGGTAGGCCGGAACAGAGCTTGAAATCAAGTTGAGGCGTAGCCAGCTGCGCTTCCGCTTCGCCCCCCAATCTCTCGACTGAGGCTCTGCAAAAGCCGAACCTGCCGATTGCAACGCTCCTTGCGTCCTTGGCTCAAGATGCTCCTGTAGACAGTCGACACGTGACGACCTGCGCTCGTTTAACATGTTGGCAGCAAGAACTGCATCCTCAGTGTTGCTAATTAAGATCAGGATGCTGATCAGGATTGCGATGATGAGGAAGAAGATCATCACCAGCAGCAGCATCATCATCCTTGCCGGTACCGCTTTAAGACCTGCTCTGTTGCAGCCGTCTGCTTGACATGCGTCTTTGGGTCAAGGCATACATGTTTTTTCTGCTTACACCTGGCGTATTGTGTACAAGTAGAAGAGGGAGGCGGAGGAGTCGGAGTGGCAGTAGTATCAGTGGTAGCAGTAGCAGCAGTACGAGCAAGAGGAGCAGACGGAGCAGGAGGAGGCATGGGTGGCAGGTAGCAGCAGTGGAAGTGTAGAAGTGGCTGTGATTCATACCGGGACTAGTACAAGTGCACCAGCAGTCTTGGCTGTCACAACAGTCGTCGCTGTACGGGTTGACCGCTGCGGCATTGGTGACAATCAGGAATGTCAATCACAACAATTCGAAGACTTCGGCTGTCGCGAAGCCAAGGCCTGGGACTGCGGCACTCCGGAGTGCAGTCAGTCTTGCAAAGCGGAGCGGCCCTCGGAGCAATAATCGAACCAGTCTCATGGCTCAGACAAGGCCTTGCAAGTCCAAGTTGCTATTGCTACAAGTAACCTGATGAATTCTGTGACGATTCTGGGTAGAAATCCTGCTTGCACTAACGTCCATCTCCTCGGAAACCTCCAGCAGATCAGAAGCTGGGAACAGAAGAAGCATATCTTGCCAGCACATAGTGGTGACGTCAGGATTGTTTGTCGCAGTCGCATGTACAAGCCCACATGTCACAGTGTCCGCGACGACATTGCAATTCAAGACACTGTGAATTATCGATCGTGCTTGGTGGCCGTCAAGTCCTGTACCAACCGATCGGCTTTGCAGATTGGACATGTTTTGCCGGATCTATGCGCTGCTGCGGTGGCTGAAACTTCTTGGAGCCCGCACGGCTGAAGGTCTGCCAGCCGCCCCGATGCTTCACAGCCTGTAAGAAGCCACAAGAGCAGGACGAAGCCGGTGACTGCAGAATTTTCTGTTGACTGTCTCATATTGACATGGCGCCGCTAGGATTGCCGGCACGTCTGCAAGGTTCCGGCCTCGGTCTGGGACCAGCGGAAACCAAGCATGCCTTGGTCTTTGCACTCTTGCGCCAGGATCCCAAGTGCACGGTGGTATGTCCACCGCAGACTTGCCATTCAGAGAATTGCCCGGTCCCTACAGTGAGCTGCAGTTCCAATATCTGCGAAGCTACCTGTTTACAGCTGTTGACATGTCAACCTGTGGCTGCATTGCACGGCAGTCAAACCGATGCTTCTGTGAAGTATGTCAAAGACTCGGAAGTATTGGCCACTGCAGACAGCACGGCTGCAGGCCCGCCGCCGGCATGCAGTACTGTTTGCGGCGAAGCAGAGTGCCACATGGAGTGCCCTGGAAGCGGGTGGGTGCCTCATTTCTTGCCGGCTTGAGATGCTGAAAGGTTGGCATGACCTGTACTGCTGGCACGCAGCTCTGAACAAGCCCACGAAGTGCCAGGTGTGAGACCCGCTGCGAAGATCCCGTGTGCCACTTCGACTGCCCCATGCCACAAGTATGCCTTGCTTTGCGTCTCAGTCACAGGCACAACTTTTACTTCAGAAAAGTGTTCGGTATGCTCGTGGTGTGGTCGTGATCTTCTGGAGATTTGCAGCTTCCCAGGTAAGGTTGACATGAAGACTTGCGTGAAGCCGGATTGCAAACTTACTTGCCAAGCCCTCAGACAACGAGACGTGCACGGCAGGGCACATCCGCTGGCTGTCCCGCCTTTCTCCGAGGCCCCAAGGGGTTGGGAGCCCGGCAGAGTGCGCTTGCTCTTACGTTTCGCATACACGTCATCTTGAGCAGTTTCTGTCTGCCAGAGCCTTAGCTCCGATGCACTGAGGGGCTGCCACAACAAGACTATAGGCGCGAGAGTGTCTGGAGCCTCATCGGGCCCAACTTCAGAATTCAGAAGCCTCCTTTACAGGGATGTCGGACAGAGAAGGAGGGGAGTCGCTATGTTGCTTTTGTTGGTTTGGTGCGCGGTTGGCACGGCAGACCTGGCACCTGAGTGAGAGTGTTTGCACTTGCCCCCGACAAGCATTGGCCAAATGAGCTCGCACGGCTCCATCAAACTTATGCAAACTCGCAGCACCTGCAGTTCAGCTTGAGGGTAATATAGTCAAGAGTAACGTTTGCAGCTTGAGCTGCGTTGCTGTGGCCAGACCTGCCGTTCGCTTACCGGCTGGAGACGAATGCGCAGACAAGTGCCCGAGCTCAGTCTTCCGCACACCAAATTAACAAGATCTAAAAAGTCTTTTACAAGTCCTGGAGAAGGGCCTTTCGGATCTGTGCAGAAAAGGTGAGGCTCCAGCGTGTGCCCCTTCCCAGGCGCCGCAGCCGAAGCCTCTCCGACCGCCAAGCCTGGTCCCAAAGCACCTTGCAATTGGGGTCTTCGGAGCTGCGGCTCTTGTTCCGGAGCCTGGTGGGGAGGGACCCTTAATAAGGACAGCCATTATATACCCATTATATGGGAGCCTTCTTCCACATTCCACGGAGGCCCGGGAGGTGGTTTTCGTCTCATCGTCATTGACTTGCTTGTGCCCGGCCTTTTTTAGGCGAGGCCATGTTAAGACACAAGTTTCGCGGAAAGCACGTCCGCATACTCTCCGGCAGCAAGTTTCATAGCTGGAATGTCACGTGGAACGAGGTCTATCTCGGCAGCTGCAGAGGAGGGAGAAGTGGCGTGGAAGGGGCTCGCCAAGGCCTAGTCCACGTGGGCTCATTATTGTTATTATTGCTACTCATTACTACTGTTGATCCAGCCGTATTTTAGTATTAACTGCTATTGTTGCTATTACTATTCTTTGCTTCTTCCCAGTGTGCGAATAGTGAGTGTGAAGGGGTTGTTGTTGATGCAACTCGGCCGGTCTCGACACCCAAGCATTCCATGCGGAAGCTCTGTGGCCCCGGAGGCAACTTGTGCTACTTCAGTCACTTTGGTTTCATCTCAGATATGATAGGGACCTATATCAAATAATATGATATTGTTTCTTTATCATGGTAACTAGAACCCAGTATTCATCTATTTTATATATCTAGAAGTCCAACCTTTCGGCGTGCGCTCCGGTCCGGGGGAGTCGGCTTCGTGACTCGCGCTTGCTGGCTGCCAATGTTGGGTGCTAGAGGTCAGTTTGCTCGCAAGCGAATTTGCTTGCTACTCTAGTGACTTGCTAGTGTGCAGAGGCGAGTTCATGGTACAACACTTTCGCAAGCAACGTCGCAGGACAACGAAGACTCATAAGTCACTCATACGTATTGCAGTGGGACGTCAACGCCTTGGCCGTGAAGGTCCCGGAAGCTTTTGGTGCGACCGGAGCTCAGCCCGTGTAACATGGAAATTTCGCTTGGCAGTAGGGAGTGCTGCAAAGCATTCTGTGGAGCATGTACTGTAGCTTCGCTTCGACATTGAGCCGTGACTGTATACAATCAGCGCTATCATGGAATTAGCACATCGGCTTTCAAGGCATGGTTCACGTACCTTCACCAGCATCTTGAAATACAGGGTACTCAAGCTGCATTGGGTATTCGTCTGCGCATCAGCATGTGGTGCCTGAGGATTGACCACAGGGAGTACATGGCGGCGGCCCAGGCTGCTCCGTATAAAGATACGTTGCATCCAGGGTGACACCTTCTACACCTCCGCAGCGCCTTGCTGTGAAGAGAAGAGCGTGCAAGACTGTTGCTCGTATGCTTCTCTGGTGTGGGCCAGGCTCCTGCACCCGCGCCCAGCCCTGCTGCAGAGCAGCAAGGGCCTTCGAGCGCAGGCCTTCGTGCAGAAAGCATGGAATCAGGGTAGAGAGATGCCACTATCATGTAATTCGGAACTGCCGTGTTTTCAGGACTTTCCAAGCGAGCGGTGGCCGGAACCGGTTGAGGAACCGAGCAGCTTTGAGCTCCTTGGCTTCAGGGACTTTTCTGGGGGCTTCCGCTTTGCAAAGCTATATCTATCTTCGGCCCTTGCTTGTGTTTGGAGTCTTAGAGGTTGTCAGGGTCGTGGAAGTCATGTAGACTTCGGTGACAGGACGATTCTGTTGCCGGCCGTCCCACTGCGATCAACAGCGTCCAGTCATGCAAGCTTTTTAGCGGGGCTACAGTGGCTGAGAGTCTGAGAAGGGCTGGACATCTCGAACCAACTCGTCTGCACAAGAAGCGCTCTGCCTTGCTGAAACCACATCCCACAAAAACTGCCGTCGGAAGATGCAGTTGACATGTTACTGCGCGACACCAGGCCGGCCCTCAGAAGACGAGCAGTGAAATTGCGCGCCTGGGCGCGAGAAAAGCTTGGCCTGTCGCTCCGTGCACAAGACGGGCATGTCTTGCCTTAGTCTCACATAGGTTTCGAGTTGGAGCATCTTCTGTGCATCACCGACACATTTGCATGATCAAGATCGCTACTGAGTGACACGCAGGAGAAGAGGCTGCAAGAGTCCCAGCCGACGGAGGCGTGGTCCGTCCATTCTACTTGTACGATGACGTTCAGTCACTTCTTGCAATGTCTTGGACGATGACAATAGCGTCCAATACCGGTAGTTGTCCCAGCACTTGCAGGCTGCTGCAGACGTTGAAAGTCTGGTTTCAACATGTTGAGTTGGAACGTAGAAGGTGGTAATCCTGGAGATCAGGATCCGCACAATGATGATTGCACCTATGGTTACTTAGAGGCTCGGAAGCGAGTTATCCGTAGAATGAGTACTATACCTTTGGCCTATGGTTACTTAGAGCCTCTCAAAAGCCAAGAAGATCTCCACAGCCAGGCACCTCGTCGCTCGGCCTCGGCGGGGCCTTCGAGGTTCAAAATCTTACTTATTACTTGTTTTGAGGGAGCTTTTGTGGGCATCCTTAGTGGTGGGTCATAGTTCTCTTAGTTTGCGTCTGTCTGGTGCATGTCGGTGATCTACTGATGCCGATGATGGGCCCTCAATGGTAGTTAAGCTGTCGGTAGGTTGGGTCCACATCTGATGTTTACAGCGACGACTCACCCTGACGGAGGTTCGAGATGTTGTACAGCGATGCCACCCGTCGAGACGAAGATCGCAAATTCTGGCAGGACCCGGGGCAGTGTGCAGCCAGAAGCAGGAGCGCGTGCTGAAGACACTCGTAGTGCTGGCCGAGCCATCGAAAATGGCTGCAACTACCGTTAAAGTGTGGCAGCATGATGCAGCGTGTCAGCATCGGGACTGCAAAAATAAAGGAGCACATGTGCACGTGTATGCATCACAGACCGTCGCCAGAAATGCCACGAGAAGGAGGAGTTGGAGATGCAGGGGCCCAAGCATGCATGAAAACTGCAGGTGTGAAAGTGTTGGCGTGGGTAGGCGAAGGCGGAACTTAAGTCTGTAATTCCACGCTGACACTGTATCAGGTCTCAGCGTCAGTTGGCCGTGAAAGCACCACAATGCAAGCGCCAGGTGCCCTCAGATGCTTTCACGTTCAGACACACAGAGGATCAAACACCGGCCCAGCCGGGGTTCCACTCGTCAAGCAAGCCGATCACGAGAGGTAGCACATATCCGAAAGCCGAAACGTAGCTGCAGCAGGAGCTCAAAGCTGCAATCACTCCTGGCAATCCCTCTTTCGACTTTGGAATGTTGACCTTTTCATACAAACGTAGTTAGTTTCCGCACCTGGTTGCCTTGAGCGCTGCTGTACGAGCCGTAAGCCGTTAGCAGGAAGTGGCCAGCCGCTCGTACTGGAAGCTGAAATTCTGGGGCAATGCATATGCAGGTGTCGGCCCAAAGAACGCCTACTCCGCAGAAGGCTCCCAACAGCGCCAGGCGCTGACGGTCGTGCTGATGTCCATAACTGTCATGGTGATCATGAAAACAATGAGGTCAATGAGGATGAGGATGTTGGAGGGGTGATGTTCTCATGGTGAGTCATGCGGAATGAAGGCATAAGGGTGCAGATCGAAAGTCGTATATTCGGGGGAACATGGTCTCATGATGAGCCATAGAAGAAATGAGGGCACAGTCGAGCTCTTTTGCAACTTCCAAACGAAAGGCTTATGCGTAAGCTGGCAGGATTTCGAGAAACCCACAAATGCAATGTCAAGTCAGTTTTGCTTGTGATACGAAGCAGCAGGAATCATCAAAGAGGGGCAGCTACGGCAGACGTGGACGAGCTGCAGATGGCGCAGGAAGCAGGGCCCTGAACACCTCCTGGAAGCCAAAGTAGGTACTCTTGTGCAGGAGCTACAAGCCGTCACAATTCCCGGGACGAAAAGATTTATGACGAGCAGTTCGCACACACAGCCCTAGCTCTGTCCCATCATGCGAGTAAAGTGAATGCTGCAGCCACCAAGTTCCGTGAGTTTCACGAAGAAGCTGCTGGGAGCAGACTGAGTGTGCTTTTGCTTCGACCTCCTTTCATGGCTGCAGACAGTCCAAGCCGCTTGACATGGGCTTCCAAGGCTCCATTGCCAGCTCATTCTTCCTTGGTGCTGCTTGGGCCCCGGGCATCGTTCGGCAGTTGTGGTTCGTGACTGCTCCCATTATTCGCTTAGGGAATCTTGTAGACTACGATGCAAGTCCCGGAGGCAGTAGCAGTAGCAGTAGCAGTAGTAGTAGTAATAATAATACTACTACTACTCCTACTCCTACTCCTACTCCTACTCCCACTACTACTACTACTACTACTACTACTACTACTACTACTACTACTACTACTACTCCTACTCCTACTCCCACTCCAACTCCCACTCCCACTACTACTACTACTACTACTACTACTACTACTACTACTACTACTACTACTACTACTACTACTACTACTACTAGTAATAATAACAAACAGTGTAGCTTCTGCAGCTTCGGTTCTTGCTCTGAGGCCTGGCCAGTGCTTGGAGAGAGAGCTCCTACCAGGACCTTTTGGGCGCGCGAATCGCGTGGTACTGCTGATGCACAAAATCCGGCACGAGCCTAAGGACTCTAAACTATGGGAATTATGGTATATTCCTCATAATGGGTAATGCAGGATATTGTCCATCAACAGTAACACCCTGTGAGGGCCAGTGTGAGACTCGGGACGGTCTTTGTGGCGAGGTGCGGTAGGTACTCTGACGTCCCGGATCCTGTGAGCTTCGTTCTGCTGCGATGTGAGCAGTTCTTGGTTTCGTGATGTTTGGTGAGGAGGTGGATCAGGCAGACATCAGCCCAAGATTCCGACGGTTGCCCTCAACCGCACTAGTAGTGCAGGCCTCAGGCACTCGATCACGCCTTTTCTGGGAGCTCATAGGGTGCAGAGTGTAGGATTGTCGTGACACGAACAAGACTGGCGAAGAGACCACGTGACGACGACCTGCCTGTTCAGGCAATGTCAGCACGAGATAGCACGAGGATCTAGTTGTCATCATGGGTCGTAGACTGGCGGGACCCATGCGCAGAATCTGCTCGCTGTGGCTCAGGCAAGGAAGGACTGGCTCAGGGACACCCATCCGGCACTGCTGCTATTCTGAAGTGGATACAACCGCATGTGACCGACCCTCAAAATCATCTGCCCGCCTGTATGCAAAGGCCCTGCGGCGCGCGCAAAGCCCTGTGCCTGTGCCAAGAGCCGGCACCCCACTCTCAGCAGGCTGGGCCCGTCACCCAGAGCATGGATGATGCGAAGGATGCAGCCTGCCATCCTGCCAGGGAGCAAGCTCCAATCGGAGCCATCCGCGGCGTCTTGGCTGTAGCCTACATTGTCCGTGGGTGCAATAACTTTTCGGCCGGTCGCTTACACAAGCGCTGAGACGTGTGTGAAGGCAGCTTCGCCGTCACGAAGCCAGACGCCAAGACAGCGTTGTCAGACGCGCGCCGGGAACGGCAATGGAGGCATCAGCAAGCAAGTCGTGTTCTGCTGCATACTTGTGCAACTTCAAGCTGTGACATTCATCGGAATCACAACACCCAAGCTGAGCAAATGCCAGGCAAAGAGCGTGCATCTTCGGCACCGAGGTCTTCAGCCGCTCGGCTCTAATGTGGCTGGCGCAAGCCACGAGCTTTTGGAAGTTGGCCCGGTTGCCGTTTCCACGAGGGTGCTGTTGTGACTAGCGTCACAGCATTCATACCGCCAGGCCGCCTGCACTCCTGTAGCGGAGCCTACTTCCAGTAGACCAGGCCCAGGCAGGGCCGAGAGGCGTTTGCTGCAATCTCTAGTCCCAGGTTGTTGAACGGCTGTTGCAGCGAATGCTATGCACGATTGCAGCAGCAGAAACAACGATAGTGATTGGTAATAATATCACCACCAACACCAGTGGCAGAAGGACAATGTGTAAGACTGACATATAGGCAAAAACTGTCAATGATGCCAGGTGTTGCAGCGAAGGACGGTCTCCGTGCTCCACGTACTGAAGATTTGGCCGCAGCTGGTGCAGCTTGCCTTCCCGTTTATCTCGTAGAAAGTTGTTGCTTTGTGCAACACACGGCATTCTTCTGCCTTGCTGGTTGCTTCTGAGGTCAAGCGCGTGCAGAGCCCCATGCCGCACACGCCACGAGCCGTCGCCAGTCCGGTGGATGGCACCAAAGCCAGATGCACACGCGCAAGCCGGGGACTCAGACTGCGCACGAAATCTGCCTGTGATGTCGGGCTTCGGCCTTCGCAGGTGATCGACTTTCGCCCACGCATGCAACAGAAGAGGTCTCTTGGCTTCGCACATCGTCACCGGCTATGCTGTACTCCATGTATTCCTTTGTGCTGTCTCCGCTCCACAGTTTTGTCCAGATCCTGGCTGCCAGCTACCAGTCAACATGCCAGCCGTGTCCCGCGATGCCCAAGGCTGATACACGCTCGCAAAGTCGCGCAGCAAGAGCCACGGCCGTTTGCTCGCCGAAAGTAGGCCGGATTGTTCTGCTCGGCTTGGATATTGATGGCATTTGAGACGATTGTCCTGATGGCAGTGCATGACCTACAGGTCCCACCAGGGACGCCACGCCTCCGCCGCGGTCGAAAACGCCTCCGCCAAATGCACAGGCCGACACCTTGGAAAACACCTCAGCCCATGAAAGCCCTGCCCGGCTTTGTCTACATGCCGCCTGGTTACGCATCACGAGGCAGGCTTGCGCCCAAGCGGGACGATGCCGAGCGAGCGAGGAGCATCAGAGCCTTCCTTCCTTCAGCTAAGCCCTGCCAGCCTGCCACTGGCATCGCCAAATTGGCTCCCTCGGCGGAAGTTTCGGCGTAATTAAATTAATGTAGGTTAGAAGAACGGGTTCGGTGTCACCATTGAGCCCAGTACCGCAAGAATCATGGAAACCAATTCCCTTCTGGAGGAGCCAATACTCCACGGACGAAAGCATCTCCGCCGGAACGAGACAAGACGCCGAAGGCCAGATGTGCTGATACACTTGGAAGGAACACCAGATCATCCTTTGTTGGTTGAGCGTAGTTTGAGACTTGTAAAGTTCCTACATTGATGCAGAGAGAGCTCGAAGCTCTTGGGCTCGAGTTTATACTGCAAAAGGCATTCTTTCTGGAAGCACGCGGCATAAACAGCAGACGGGATCACCGAGTGGATTTGATATGTACAGACACAAAGATCTACCAGTACCTATGTAATGAGCTTGTTTGTAATGAGCTTTTTAGACATAACTATACATGCGTTTCCCACCGTTCTTGTCGGCGGGCCCATCACCCATCTGCAATTCGCAGGCAACACCTCGGACGGCGGCAAAGGCTTCAACCCCGAGGGCGGCTTTCTCGAAAGCAGAACGAGGTCCCCTTCTCAACTGGGTTCTTGTTGAGGGGTTTAAATTCAGGCTTAACCGGAAAGTTATACAAAAAGGAGGAAGCCAGATAATTTGCTATAGATCCCTATTATGGTAACTTAAGCTACGTTCCTTGACAGGAACCCAGACGTCCTTGTGTCATATGCATATGGAAGGCAGAGGCGGCATTGCCGATTTTTGCTGCGCAGGCACCACTCCGCCCGCAAGGGCAAGAGACGCCAAGACCCCTCCCAAGGCTCGAGGGCAGGAAACGGAGCCTCGAAGGGCTCAGGTCAGCACTAGCACTTCGATTCCAGTTTTCGAGGACTCGCCGTTCAAGCAGCAGCCGATTCAAGCACTGGAGTCGAAGGCGGGGTTTCGGCCTGTGGGGCGTCGCGTCCTTACGGTTTTCGGGTTCAGGGCTTCAGGGTTTAGTCTGTCCATGCTTGAAACGAATCCAGCAGTTACCGGTAGGTGCATGCGAGTCCTGCGAGCGAGGGCACGACTTCGGGGCCCCGCTGCACGAATCCAATCGGTCTTCCCAGTTCGCGATTCGGCTTCCTACCCTTGGCGTGCAGCGCGATTCGAGCACAGCCCCCGATTCGCGCCTACTTGGCTGTGTTTCCTTGTTCAGCCGCCGCACGAAAAGATATCGTAAATTGCACTCAGGGAAAGTGGGGAGCTCGCCTAGGCTTTTCCAACAGCTCGCAGAAAGATGCCAGGCCGCGCAGCGCAACGACACCGTGCAGAGGTCCCGGAGCTACGGGGGCCATCTGCTAAACCGCAAGCTCCCGCCCTCCCCTGGGAGGCCCGTGGAGGCGCCGCGGGCGGCTTCCCGAAGTGCCGCGATCCGGACAGGTGCGTGGCCGCGCTGAGCACTGGGCTCACCGGCTGAATGGCTGAATACTCTGCGGAGGATTAGCACTGTAGGCCTGGCACACGAGTTTACAGCGAGGAAACGAATCCCGAATCATCCTCCGCAGCTGTGATCGAACTTTTTGTCGGCCGGCTAAGTCGGCCCTGTCCAAGCCCAAGCCCTGCCGCCCTTCGAACTGGGTCAGACTCGGGTTTTCGGGATATAGTCACTCTCAAAATGCTTGGCCAACGTTCAACCAGGTGAAGGCCGGTGTGGCCTGGCTGGGCTCAGATGTTAATGTCCTCTGATAACCGGTTGATGCAGTCTAGAATGCCTCGCATTGTCGAAAAGGTGACCGTGAAGTTTGTTTTGGATAATGACAGCATCACCCCCAAGGCGAAGGTGGATCCGATGGCTCCGCCTACACCTTCTGAGCAGTTGATCTTGATTTAGATCAGTGCACACATGTCATGTAGACTCCTGCATTTCGAGCTGAGACACATGCTGATTCCCTGGCACCTCCAAGTTTCAGAGGGTGTGGCAGAGCCACCGTGATCCTGTGTCCTTGTGCGCTTCGAGCCGCCTGCAGTGGCAACTTGAATCTCTGTTGAATTCCAGACCCGTGTGGTCGCTTGAAAAAGAGGCTATCCTGCATACAAAGATGTGCGAATGCGGCGGTCAGGGTCTCAATAGCCGTAGCGTGGCATCGCCACTAGTGAGACTCAACAGCCGTCGCGCTTCTGCTGACTTGCCATCCTGCTCGTCGGCTGTCAAGCTGGAACTTGGAGGTAGGCCCACGGCCCTACCCGCCATTCGCGGAAACGCGACTGGCATGCATTGCCCACAGCCCAGTTCGTGAGGGACGCTTGAGGGATAAGAACTGCCGGACAGCGATGGGGGAGATTTTCGGCCCTGTTGGGCTCCGTGTTGTCCTCCGCCTCACATGAGAGAATACGAGACCCGATCGTTTGCCGGGCACAATGTGGCCCAACAATCCTTGTCGAGTTTCAGAGAAGCATAGTAAAATAAGCCATCGCTCGGGTACTTCGGTGGCTTCCTCTTTGGAGAACACTAAACTCCTAAACTGTCCAAAGTTCAGCGAGGCCATGTCCGACCTACAAAGCTCGGCCCGCAGCGGGAGGGGGGGCGTGCTTTGCAGGGCCTGTAGGGGTTTAGGGTTTCGGGCCTGTTCAGCGTGTGGCTTCGGGATGTTGGACGGAGAGTTACAGATGGCAATGAGCAGCTCCGGGATTCAGGCGCTTTCGCAACGCATCCGAGGTGCCAAAGAGAAAGGTTCTGTTTCGCTCAGCACCATAACGAGCTATGCAGGATGGTGTCTTGTAGGGAGCAGAAAGACTTTCTGGTGGCTTGGTCCCCTGCCTCCATGGTAGAGAGTTGGAACTTATCGTATACATGAGAGAATTCAGCTTGCTGTTTGCGTGTTGTTTGGTGCGGCTCCCATACCACAGAGGTCCGGCATCAGAGGAGGGTCCATCGCAAGAGGACCTTTGTGCAGATCAAATTCATGACAGCTGGGATGTTCTCTGCGTTTGATCCTCGGTCCCGATTTGAAGCCATTCTGGTGGGACCTGCTCGCAGCCGGTCTCCTTGGCAGGACTGTCTGGACGAAAGTGTCGACAATGCAGGCAGAGCTTTCGCAGGCGAACTCTTCTGCAGCTGATGTCTCCTCTTGTTGCAAATGCGAAGAGACTCCAAATCAAGGTGATATGGCGGCGGTGCCAACCAGCGATACATTGGCCAGAGACCTAGTTAACCCAGCCAACAAGCATCATGAAGACAAAGACCGGATGGTAGTGTCCCGTCTGAGGTTGGTGCGAGCGAGGATGTTGAACCTTTGCCTTGCGAACCTTGGTCTGGGAGGTACCGGGAAGCGCCCGAGGCATTTGCCAGCCTCCTCGACGCTCCAATCGCAAAGCTGGACGCACGGGAGCCGACCCCCAAGCACAAGGTCATCGTCTTACCCCCGAGCCGCAGAAATGCACTGCGCAGCCCCTCCCCGGAGAACAACTCTCCATTACTGCGCCTCACCCGGCTGCGATCACCAGAGATTTCACCACGCCTCCTTCGTCCCATGCCACTCTTTGCGCAAACGGCGCCGACACGCAGGAGTGTGGGCACTAGGAACCACGGCACGCTGTCTGAATTGGGCATCTTACACCCGCGCACAGGCAGCCCTGTGCGTTACGAAGCCCCGGGCGTTGCGTATCCTAGAACGAGCTCGCGACTGGGAAGCGACACGAGAAGTGACAGACTTGGAGGCCGCACTCCCGTGACTCCCACGGTCCCGGCTTGCCCCAGTCGAATCCCAAGCTCATGGATGAATAAGCCGTCGGTGACCCCTCTCTCCGGGCCAGCGACAGGGCCAGTAGCTGGGCCAGGCAGACCTTCAAGGCACAGCGTGGGTTCTTGTGTGGGGAGACCCCGATCTGCCACGCCTCCCTTCGGCCGATCCTCCAGCCAGGACCGTCAGCGGCGAGGAAGTGAGAATCGTCAGCCCTTGAACTCCAACCGAAGTGCTTCCAAAGGACTGAAGAAGTCGCGAGGGGGCAGGGCACAGTCTCCCGATCTCGAAGTGGCAGAGCCCCTGGCAGTCCCCGTTCGAAGGGTGGAATTTACCACAGACGAGGCGGGCCGCACAGACTTGATGCATGCAGCCCGGGATGGCGACCTGGTCCGGTCCTCCACCTTGATTTGTGCGGGCCTTCCGGTGGATGCCACGGACTCCTGCAAATGCACTGCTTTGATGTATGCCACCACATACGGCCATGTAGCACTTGCCCGTTTGCTCATCGAGCACGGCGCTAATGTCAATGCACTCAGCCACGACAGATGGACACCACTGATCGCTGCGGTGTACAACGGCCACCTACCGGTGGCGAAGTATTTGTTGTCAAAGGGAGCTAACATTGAATGTTCAGATGATAGGGGATGGACAGCTCTGATGCACGTGGCCTTCAACGGCAAGGTTGACATTCTGCAGTGTCTCCTCGAACACCACGCAGACACGGAGCGAAAGGACAACGAGGGGAGGACAGCACTCGTCTACGCGGCCTTCAGCGGTCATCTTCAGAGCGTGAAGCTTCTGCTGGCTGCAACGAAGCGCTCTGAGGGCGCAGACGGCGCATGCTCTCTGGCTCTCATGTTTGCTGCCGACAAGGGTCACATGGAAGTGGCTCGCACCATCCTAGATGCCACCTTCGTCTCAGTGCGAGCGAGGGCGTCGGCACTGGAGCTTGCAACCCTCCACGGTCATCATGAAGTGGCACTGCCCTCAGAATGCAAAAACTGGAATTGGTTCCGTGAGTTTAGAGATGCCGATTGACAAACCTAACTTCCAGCTAGTTATCAGATCCCATCTTGGGTTGCTTTCTTCTTTGCCGGTTTGGAATTCTGACATGCAAGGAAAGCGCAAACATGGCATGCAGATGATCTGAGGCCAAGCTCCTGCTGCAGAGCGCACATGCAATTGGAACAATACCGGCAGAATCTTGGTTGGCATAAGGGTCAAGGGCAAGTGTCTGCCAGCATGACGGACGGTCAGTCTCCTGATCTTTCAAGAAACACGAGCTGCACGCATGCTGAGGCTTGAGCGACCACACAGACTGAGCCTTCTGCCGCGTGTTGACCGCTGAAACTTCTGCTAAGGTGCACGCAAGGCAAGTCCATACACTTACACAGATCTGTTGTGTAAGCCATGGAGTGCAGAAGGAAGAAGCCAAAGTCAAGCAATCGAGATAACGTTAGTTACGACACAGAGGTGTCGTGCTTGTGCACGGAGCATCTCCTCAAGATGCTCTTGCAGGGTAAGTCACGTCTGTAGGGGTATACCAGGCTGGGACAAAAATCTAATATTTGCTACCAAGGTCGAAATTATAGTTATATTAACTCTCAGATATCAATTTACTGTACTTAGTTTCGTAGGTACGATATTCTTTATTGAAATATTACATTCTATTCGGTTCAATGATGAGAATTGAAAAGAAATTAGACTATTCTTGAAAGAATACTAAATTGATTTTTGAATTCCGTATTTTATATTGATATTTCTATTATTGAAACTGGTAGAATGAAATCATTTGATGTTTTAAAAAGAAAGTACATTTAGGATATTCTATTAGAAGTTAGTTTGGTTTCAGAATTTGGGCCTGTAAATTGGGCCGAAAGTCTTCCCAAAAATTGTTTAATAATTAATATTGGTTGTGCTCGATCTCTTTTTAATAATTGTATGTATTGTTTGGATGCGTATTTGGATTATACTACTAAATTCGTTGAAAATAGATTTCATGGAGTTTCTTCTCGTTTTAATTAGTATTGTAGAATGCAGATGGCGTGGAGGGTCTTATATAGAGAAGAGATTACTGGATCTTATTGCGTTCTATGGATTTCGATTTGGATCCTATATCGAGAAGTATTGAGATTCGTCGGATCTTATTGAATTTGATTTGAATCTCGCTTACGCCTTGTTTTTTTTTTTTTTTTTTTTTTTTTTTTGTTATACGGGCAGAGAGGCGAGGGCTCTTTTTCTCTGAGGATTTATCGGGTCTCATTACTTAGATCGTGATTGACTCGTGCGTCGGATACGCGTAATATTGGAATTTTGAAGGGTAGTGAATTTGATCTAGAGAACAATTGATCTATTTTCGAATTCATTAAGCGTGCTCTTCTCTTCCCTTTCTCCCCTTGAAAATAGATTTGATGTCATAGAATTTAAAATTATTCTAGATTTAGCGGGAGAGTAGGCGCGATATTGTATTTGAGTGCTTTTTTATTATAGTTGTAGTTTTTATTTTTTAATTTATATTATTTTTTTACGTTATTTTGTATTTTATATTTTTATATTATGTATAGGTCATATTATTTTGTATTGTTTTTTCTTTTATTTATTTTTATTTATTTGTTTTTGTTTTTAGTTTTTTATATTATATATGTTATATAATATATTTTAATCTTTATTACGATAATAATAGAAATGACCCAACCTACCCCTAATTTTTCAATTTATTTTAATTTCTTGAGTTGGAAGGAAGACTGATATCTTATGATTTCATCGATCGAATAAAATATATTAATAATGTTTTTTTTCTTTATCGGACGAATTCAAATTATAGTTCGATAATAGGGCGAACTAGTTAGTTTAGTAATTAGAGAGAGGATTTACGAAAATTCAAAATAATATTGAATTTTATGTATTAGAAGGAGGAGGCCCTCTATTTATTTGTATTGAATTCTGAACGATCTGAATTTTTGATTTTTTCTATTTTAGTTCAGAATCTATTCTAATATTCTAATTTTTTTCTCGATTATTTTCTCTACATTGAATTGATTTTGATCGAATTTTTCGGATTCGCTTTTTTTCGGAAAATTATATTTAGAAATAATTTTTCATGTTTCGGTCTGATAGATAGGTCGTAAAGGGATGTGTTTTCCGTTATTATTCCCTTTTCATTTTCGTTTTTTCATCTATATTCAAGTTTTGAGGTAGCAGGGTTAATTAGGAAAATACTTTGGATTGGGATACTTTTTTTTTTTTTTTTCCCGCCCCCACCCCAACCAACCATCCAAATTGAGAAAGAAAAATTTGACGATCGGAATTATATATTCTTTTGATTTTCTTTATTGAGATTCTGGGATCCGGTCGCTTTTTTTTCATTTATAGAACACTTATAATAATTACGATGATGAAGATATTTGGTTTTATACCCCCCAAATAGATCTTATATATAAAGAGTCTTATATCAAAGATAAGATATGCCCATGCAGACACCTATATCAGCAGAAAAGAAAAAGGGCCCCAGATCGATTTTTTATTATAGATCAATAGATTTTATGAAATTTAATAAATAGATATAACAAATATACCCGGGGAATACTAGATATTCGTTTCTATAAGTGATATCTTCAACGGAGATTACGATATTCATTCCTTAGGTTTATTATATGATATTATTAGCGTTTGTCCTCTATAGAGGGACACTATACGATATTCCATATTGATCGATACGAAGAAACGTAAAAAGCAAAATATCATTATATCTTTAGATCTAGAAAATAGAATGTTATGGGAACCGAATTGATCTATATTCCAAAGATAATTATTAGTAATTTTAAAATATAATAATAATTTCCGAATCAAATGATTTTTAAAAAAGTAATTTCATAGAATAGGACTACATAATATTTAATTAATTTAAAGCGAAGATTACATAATTAGAATAATTTCTATATAATTTCGTGAATTCTAGCCACCCCAATCTTACCAATCTTATTAATACAAAAAATATTCTGTTTTCGATTTCTATATTTTAAATCTTAATCGATTCATCAGAACATATCAAGAAAGCTAAAATATAATTTTCATTTCACACAAAATGATAAAAAAAATGAAAAGAAATCTAATATGAATAGATTTCGAGATTATTCCGGATATTGAATTCTTAAATTTTCATCGTGGAATTGACTAAGAATTTTTTAAGTAGAATCCTTTTTGTTTCCCCCCAACCCCCCCCCCCCCACCCCCCCCCCCCCCCCCCCCCCAACCCCCCCCTCCCCCCCCCCCCCCCCTTGCCCCCCCCCCGCCCCCTCAATTTGAATTATAAAATAGAAAGAAAAGAAAAAAAAAACTACGTATGAGGGTATGTAGATATATGATTGTTATTATGAGTTCCGTCGGGGGGAATTTATCGATTATATGAAGAATGAGTAAGTTATGTAGTAAACGTTATATTAGAGGTATGAAATTATGTATGAATATCGATTATATATTATTGTCAGCACACTGTGTCTGTGTGTATGTGGTATAAACTTATAAGAAATCTGCAGATTGATTAATATGTGTAATATATATGTGCCTGCTACTGTAAACTGTGCTGTGCCTCTGACTGGTCTGTGGCTGTCTTCTCCCTTCCCTCCCTCGTTGTGCTCTGCTGTGCTACTGTGTCTCCGCCTGTGTGTCTGGGACTTTTTATTTTGTCTTTTTTTATTTTTTTTTATCTTTGTTAGTTTTATTTTTATATATTTTTAGTTATATACCGTGCTCCGCCTTTGATATTTAAGATATGTGTGTAAAATTATTTTATGATTATGACGTGTGTTGCGAGAGTGGGTTAAGTGCGTTTTGTGGCGCTTGGTGTGGTGTATGGGAATATGTAATGTGTGGGGTATTATGTGTTCGTGTGGGTGTGATATGAGTTTATATATTTAGTGTGTGTTGTGTGTGTGATGTGCTAGGTGTGGTAGTCGGGTGTGTGCGAGTGTGTAATATGTGTGTGAGTGTAAGTGTGTTGTGTGTGTTGTGTGGTGTGTTGTGTGGTGTGTTGTGTGTGTGTTGTGTGTGTGTGTTGTGTGTGTGCGTGCTGTCTGAGTTGGCTGTGTGTTGATATGCGTGTTACGTGTGTTTTGTGTTGTAGTGTGTTGTGTAATGTGTGGGTGTGTGTGTGTGATTTATGTGTGTGTTGTGTGTGTTTGTGTTTGTCTGTTGTGCGTTCCGTGTGTGTGATGGTGTGAGTGTGTGTATTTTGTGTGTGTTGTGTGTGTTGGTTGTTAGTGTTGTGTGTTCTGTGGGTGTGGTCCGTTGTTGAGTGTGTGTGTGTGTGGGGTGCGTTTGTGTGTGTCTGTGTTGTTGTGTGATGTGTAGTTGTGGGTGGTGTGTGTTGTGTGTGGTGTGGTGTGGGTTGTGTGTTGTTGGGTGTGTGTGTGTGTGTGTTGTATGTTGTGTGTGCGTTGAGTGTGTCTGTTGCGTGTTGTGTTTTCTGTTGATTATTGGTTTGGGTGTGTGTGTGTGTGTGTGTGTGGGTGGGGTGGGTGTGTGTTGTTGGTGAATTGTGTGTTGTGTATGTGTGTGTGTATGTGTGTGTCTGTCTTGTGAGTGGGGGGGGTGTGTGGGGGGGCGGGGTGATGGGGTGTGTGTAGGGGGAGTGTGTTGGGTGTGTGGTGGGTGTATGGGTATGTGGGTGATAGGTGTCAGGGGGGTGTGGGTATTATCTAGTGTGGTGGGGGTGGTGGGTATTGGTGGATAGGGTGGGGGGGGGGGGTGGATTTAAATAAGGGAGGGCGTTACTTAATAAAAGTCTCGTAATTTCTGAATATCTGAATTAATTCGTTTGGGTTCCGTCGATGAGGATTAATTGACGGGATTATGGTTTCTTTCGTTTTATTTATTACTTGATTTGCAGTATAAAGTTCTCTATTTGATTTCAGCGGGACAAGGATCCTTATTATAGGAAGATATATTTATTTTCATTTAGATATCTAAATTTTATGGGACGCTTTTAAATTTAACGTATTCGTATTTTCTAGGACCTTTTTCTTCGAAGAGAAGAATGGTGAGTATGTAATAATTGATCTACAAAACGTTTTTTTAGGAAATCTGAATGCGTGCTATATTACTTTATTTTTTTTTTTTATTTTTTTATTTCCCCGCAGCCCTTGAGAAAAGCATAGAAGCTTCATAAATTATAATTCTTCGTTTTTTTCGGGGGGGGGGTTTCATTTATTTTTAAATGTGCCGCAGCATCTCGTAGGCCCTCTCGAGTCAGTGCGTAAACGATTAATTTCATAATTTTCTAAGTCGGGGTTCTAAATTACGATCCGGAACGCGTCCAATCGGCCGAACGGTTTGTTAGACTTTTATATTATAATATAGATAATTCTTCAGCAGAAGAATCTCTTTAAAACGCGAACGTACCCGCCAGAGTCATCCAGAATCAATATGTCAATAATATTATTTAAGAATCTTCAGAATGGGACGCAACCACATAAATATCCCGTAGGGTTTTAGCAAAATTAATGATTCATAGCAAATATTTAAATAAACAAAATTACGTTTAATTAATCCCAATAAAAAAAAAAAAAAAGATAGTCTTCTAGAGTTGCAATATTATTATCGTATATTATAGATATGATTATGGAGTATATATTATAAAATTCTGTCGTCCTTGGAATGGATATTATATCTTATATATGATCTGTTGCGAAGTATTTATGATTAATAGATTATATAGATATATATAGATATATAAAAGATATATATAGATATATAAGATATATATAGATATAATATTAGATGTATATAGATTATATATAGATATATATAGATTATATATTTTATATAATATTAGATATTATAATAGTATATATAGATATTATATTTATATAGATTATATATAGATTTATATATATATATAAATGGTATATTTGTATATCGTTTAGTATATGTCTAACGTATATCGTCTGTAGTCGGTCTTGTTGACGTATGTGTGTGTTGCGAGTCGTATGCACCCCGGGCCGTGTTCAGTGTCCGGAGTGTCGCGTGTGCCGCATATAGTGGCCTCCTCCCTGCCCACCTAATCGGTAGTGTTGTTATAGTGAAGAGTGTGTGGTGCGTGTGTGTGTAGTGGGTCGTTATATCGTATATAGTAGTAATGTGTGATGTGGTAGTATTTTTTAACGCTATATAATATCGTATGTAAGTGTGCGGGGGTAATATATAATATTAGTCTGAAGTTATTAAGTGCGTAGGGTGCGGTGTGTGGGTGGGCAGTGTTGTGTATTGCAGGGTGTGATGTCTATAGTGAGTGATATTTGGGGGTGTGTAGTGTCTGTGTGGTGTGTAGTGTGTGGGTGTAAAAGTGGGGATTGGATGATTAGGATTATATATTAGGTCTTTGAATAGTATTATGATATTATGTTATGTGAGTATGTTTTTGTTTGCATATATGTTGAATATTTCAGTGGTTAGATTATATGATTACATATATATTATATATATATGATTTTTTACCGACGTGCGTTGTATTGGAGAATGTGCGGGATTATATATTATATATTATGTGCAAGAAAAGAACCTGAGAATTTATTACGTCTTATAATGGAATTAAAGTGTTAAATATTATGAAAATTTATGCATGATATCTTATATATATTGATTGTGTGTGTATCTATTATGGACCATAGAATCTATATGTTTAGTATTGTATATGGGGTATTGAAATATTGTAGATGCGGTAGTGTGTAGTGTGGGTATGTGATATATAACGTTGCAGTGTTCGTTATAGTTGATTGCTGCACAGACGGAGAGATAAAAGAGGAGGGAAGGAGGAATTAGCGAAGTTGCCAAGCAGTTTGCCGACACGAGAGCAGATTAGCGAGCGGGGGGGCTTTTTTTTTTTTTTTTTGTTTAACTAGTCAGCGAAACAGGAGGAGATAGTAAAAAAAATCTAATAAAAAGATATTTGTGCATATGAAGAAAGATCGATGATTTATGTACATTTATCAAAAACTAATAATTGAATTTAAAAAGAATTTTACGATTGAGAAAAATATGGAGGAACACATACAAGAAATAGATATGTATATTATCCCAATTTTATTCCATATCTCATATATGAAATATATATAGATATTAGAGATAGATCATATATATATTATTATAATATATAGCAAAAAAAAAAAAAAAAAAAATTATATCATGAAATACCCACATATTAAACGTTAGCCAATATCAGCAAAAAAATACTTCATTATTCTTATAATTATTATTCTTGGCCAAATTCGTATTAATAAATTCACCGGAAAAGATGTTTCAGGATGAAATGTTGTGAGAATTATAGATTCGAAATATCTCTTGACGGCCCCCCCTGTAAATGTAAAAAAATCCACCCCAACCCGGTTGTGTCTCACTGAGAGTCACTGCATTTTGTGGATGATCGTATCTGGGTGTCGCTTTTCGAGTTCATCGTAGTGTTTTGCATCCCGGGTAAAGACATGAACACATGATTTCATGCGCAGTGATGTTTGCCGCACGATCGACAGCATTGACAAACTTGCTGGTTTTGGTGAAAACGCTCGTCTGGGCCTGCATTTCGGCGATGCGCTCCTTGTTCCATTCGGCGATCATCCCCTTTCTCTCCTGCATCAGACATGGAACAAAATGTCACACCATGCAGTGCCCCAGCATCGCCCACTGCAAATCAGAAAGCACTGGACAGGCCTCCATCGTACGCTTCGTATTCGAGGACACCTTCGATTTGGGGGCTCCCATTCCCGAACTTCTGAAGAAAACTGCTAGCCACGTATGGTTGTGCTAGAGACCGTGGCGTACATCTCATTTACTCACAGAGTTGGGACAGGCCGGCCGTTTAGCCACCGGGTAGGTAGCTCAACGACAAGGGATCGGAATAGTTCCCTGAGCTTAAAGGCCTGAAGCCAAAGATGCGAACTTTTAAAACCCCCACCTTTCGCTTCTTCTTTGCCGGCTGCCCAGCGAGCGCTGCTTTGGCACCTGAGGCGACTGCTCCAAGAAAGTGGATCGATGCCAGTGGGGCAGAGACCGGGGGGTCGAGAAAGCAGTGTCGAGCCGGGCATTTTGACGCATGTTGACGTGAATTGACCATGAGCAGATTGAGGCAAAGAGTCGCAGCACGGACGAATCATCTCGCCTGCATAATCAGGATGTGCTTCGTACATCTGCCGGACGATGCTCCGCTTCACCGCCTGCAAGATACTCACTTCTCTATACAGCCCTGGGTCTGGCAAAGCCAACGACATTTTGCTTCCGTGAGCGGCTTCAGCCTTGGGGATATGCTTGATGTGCATGAAGTTGCACATTCCACCGCGCGCGCACCGCGTCCTGAGGCCGTCTCAGCTCTTTCCTGCGAGAACCGGCTCTACTTTGGCCTACGGCTGCCGCTTAGGTGCTCGTGGAAGGCCCTACACCGAGCTTCTCGAAAGTCGGCCACTGGGCTGAACCTGGCGAGGCATGCAAACTGCAGCTCTTCTTGCGACGAATAAAATTATGCAGTAAAACAACGCAGAAGGCGAACGACTCCAAACAGGGCGTGGAGTCTCTGCTTGGACGAGGCGGCTGCCATAGAAGCGGTTGGACATCTGTTGCTGCGCCTCAATGTTCAGCCCCTCCGGACTTTGCAACAGGCGTTGCAACATGCGTGCGCAGTCTCTTGCCGCGCTGCTATGCCCTGTCAATCAGCCCAGCAGCCCTCCTGGGCCCTTGCTAGGCACGCAGTCAGGCCCTGCATGGATCCAGACCTAGGCTTGTGGTGCCCCGTGCCAGCCTTGGCAGCATCGTCATCATTGAAGTACCTGTGGGCTCGAAAAACGATGAGGCAAAGCTCCGCTTCACGTCGGCTGTCGTGGGGGAGCGCACTTGCAGTAGACGTGCCCGAGCATGTGCTCTGACACGTTGTCCAGCACAACCATGTCTTCGATCTCAGGGGCGCATTCCGGGAAAGCTTGCACTCCCTGCAGTAATGTGCAGGCCCTGGACATGGCGAGCAGGCTGCAAGATTTTCGAGAGACCGATGTTCCCATCCGCTGTCTGGTCTGAGACATCGAGGGTACGATCCTATGAACCTGCACATGCACCAGAGATCAGAAGATCATCTCCTCAACAAAGGAAATTTCGATGTTCGTATTCCAGACTTCCACGTTGGGCGATGCCACGGTAGAGACGACGTACATTCTGACCCGGCCCTGCTGTGAAACGGAACCGGTGACGACACCGACAGCGCAGCGATTCTGCACTACGTGAAACTTACTTATGACAAGAGGTGTCGTGCTGGATGCATCCATGAAGCTGACCAAGAGCCCACGAACCATGTGGCAAAGATGCCCATACAGCGAAGACAAACAGGTGATCGTCAAAGCCATGGAGGCATCCAGATTGAAAATCTACGATCGGATGTCTGAGACTCCTGGCAGCAAGGCTGAGCACTGTTCCCCAATCGTAGCACAGTGCGTGTTCGCTGCCCACGAACCAGACTATCAGGAAGACAACAAAGACCGATCCGGGCAGACACAAGGCCCTGGATGAAGTGAGGCAAACTCCTTCAATCGCTGGGGAAATTTTGGAAATTTTGGTTGAAAAGACTGGACGGAGCAGGCGTCTGGAGAGAAGGAAAGCGGCCATGCGATCTGTGCTCACGTTGTGGGAAATCCACCGTCAAGATGCAGCGACGCAGCCGGCTCCTACTTCTTGAGGCCAAGTGGGTCATCATCATCCTGGCATTTGAGACAGAAAACACTGCCCTGCTCATCCCTCCTGAGTGGTGAAAGTGCTCTGTCGTGACCGCGCGAAGTCATTTCCGAGCTAAGCTCAGTCTGTGCCCACCTCGTCCTCCGCATCAGAGAACTCCAAGCTGTCCAGGCGTTCCTGGCGTTTCGGGCCATGGTTCTTGGTGCTCCGGTTTTGCAAGATCTTCGCGATCCAACAGCTCTCACTGACATCGCGCTGGCCCAAACGATCAAACTGCTGTGCCCTGTATCGAAGCCAGAACCCAAATCTTAGCCTCAACCGCGCAGAGACAGAGCAAGAGGAGCCGCCTTCATGGACATGCCCTCGTGCCGGTCGCCATAGGTCCCAGAGGGACGTCGTGCAGCCTCGGATGGTCCAAGGCCCATCCCAAAGCCATGGGGCCGCGAAGTTATGGCTGCCGGGTCACATGAGCTGGCGATGGGGGCGCATCAGCAGCAAGCACGGCACCTTTCAGTTGGCCCCTTATCTTGCATGGGGTCTAGAGCTCTGACAGCATACCGTCACACTTCCAGAAACATGATCTCTGCTCGGTGCACCGGTGTCCCGAGGTGTGGAAGCACCGGAGGAGGCACTGGCGGAATCCTGCGCTGCTTCGCGGTTTCGGACTGCGGACCGGGGAGATTCGGGCTTCTGCTCCGCGGATGAACCCTTTCGGGATACCTCCCAAAGGCTTTTGACAAATCATCCCGGAGACCATCCCAGCCCGATTCAGGGCTACCAGTGGCCGGAAGAAACTCGCGCACCTCCTCCTCTGCGAAGCCGAAATCTGCGGCCTGGCAGAGGTTCGCATACACCGTAGACAGATGCTGAGACCCCGTTTCAAATCGACACAGGGCTTCTCAACGCACGTACGACGTAGGCCGTGATACACTCGGATGCCTGCAGCACCACCGGTCCAGCTGCCTCAGCATTCCGGGAAACATACAAGAGATTAGACCTTCGGCCTCCCTTCAGCGGCAGCAGTAAGCAACAGCTAACAGCTGGCCTGTGGAATGGCACTACTGGACATGTAGCCTCACGTGCAGAAGGCCTCGACAACAGTGCCACCATCTGCCAGGGCATCACCTGATGGCACGCCGGCTTGCATGTTCATCACTCGTGATCACCATCTCCGTTTTAACCGGACATCGTTTGCAAAGCTTCTAGTTCCGGATCGCTAATCACTGCTTGAGGGTGTCACGGTCTCTTCCCATTCTCAGACAGCTTCTACAGTTCTCCTCTTCGAAGCCTCATGACTATGAAACCCTGTGTCTTGGTTTCCACGGGACCGGCGCCCCGGCCTTGCTGAGGTGGCGCCACTGGCTCAGAAGGGGCCTAGCAAAAACACAACTTCTGCGAAGCAGTTGGCCCTGCAGAGGGGCCGGGGGAGGCAACGAAACCAGGGCTAGGGCCACTCTTTCTTTCGCTAACTTGCCAAACTTCCCACCATGTATGTTGATACCATTGTGGCTGTTTCACCAGCTCCATATCACGTGACTTACGAGCCAGCTTGAGCAAGTCATCAGTATCTTCACTGACGGCTGCTTGAGCATGCTTCACGTGTCCCATCTAAAAGTTGCAGCTGGGGCAACTTGGACAGCCCTGCCAGCCTCCACGCTGAGGTCAAGAAATGTCCTGACTGACTTGGGCGAGCAGCTGACGAAATTCGGCAGACCAAGCATCCAAAAAGCTTGTGGCCCATGGCCCATGGCCGATGGCCCTACGGCCCTGCTCAAAGTCGGTTACAAGGACGTTGACATGACGTCCTATACTTGTATACATATACATATACATATACATATATGTATATGTACGTATATACAGGTGTAGTGTTGCCCACCTTCCCGCCGATGGTTATCCCCCCTTACAACCCCACATGCTGATTCTCCTGGCCCCTCGTGGCGTGGTGCGCACGTTGTTTAACCCCCCTCGTCCCCCTGTGGTGTGGTGGTGGGTTTGGGGTTATTTTACGCCCCCCCTCTGCCCCCTGTTGTGTGGTGTGGTGTGCTGTGGTGGGTTGTTTAACCTCTTCCGCCTGTGATGTGGTGGTGGGTGTTGGGTTTAGGATTTAGGGTTTGCACCCGCACTCCCCCTGTGGGTGGTGGGGTTGTTTAAGGTTTACGTGTATAGATATGAAAGAGGGTTCATATATTTGTGTGTGTTTGCATATCTATATATATATATATTTATGGTGTGGTGTCGCGTGTTAGCAGCCCCCCCATGGTATGGTCCCCCATCGTATGTATGCATGTATATCTATATATATATATATACATGCATAATGATACATACAATATAAAACCATGATGTAGTATAATCTCTGCCTTGATTCGGGGAGGGGGGATTCTCGGGCTCGGACCCTCGAGCCGGCGGCGGGGAGATTTCCCCAACCTCTTCTGGCTCGGGCTCGTCCTTTGCACCTCATAGTCATATTGTAGTAATATGATAGTAATATGGTAGTAATATGACAGTAATATGATAGTAATATGGTAAATATGGTAGTAAGGTAAGTTCGTTGAGTCTACAACGCTGCTGACGCCCGGGTTCCGGGTTCCGGGGTTCGGGTCAACTGGTCCTAGAATTGCTCCTGACTCTTGGACAAAACCACGACGAAGCAGTCCACCAGGACCTAGCTGAGCAATCCTGCAGTCGAACTTCTGGGTCCGCAGCCAACGCTGGGTGCTTCAGGCACACCTGCACCAGCAAGTTTCACGGCTGTCCAACATACCGAACTGAGCGACTCCTGGGACTGCTACACTTCAAATTGCCGCACACTCAGATTACAGTGTTGGAGTCCGCACGCGCTGCGTTTTTGATCAGCGGCTGTCACGTGTAGACTGGGTTTGACTCGCCGTCGGTGGGGGTATCGTTCCGAATCGCTGCAAAGAAGATGCATCTGTATCCTTGGTGCAAGCTGGGCATGACCACGGCACACTGCTGCAACAGAGTACAGCATCGCATGACCGGAAAATAGAACCACAAAAAAGTTTTGAAGCTAGTGAGAAGCTTGTGCCCTGCTATGCCCTGCTCTTCAGTACCAAGCAGCGAGTTCGGTACAGCCCTTCCTTGTTGGTGGTGTAGAAGCCTTCCCTCATGTCCTGTCAGGCGAAATAACCAGCAGTTGTAGGAAACCTGCAGCACCAAGCACAGAATCATCCGTCTGAACCTCGAACCCCTAGTTTCCACTTGTGTGAAAAACATCTTGCACGGCGCAGCACCCAAAACCTCTCTGCCTTCGATTCACGGTGTGTAGTTCCGATAGACATTCACAGGGCATAGGATAGCTTCGGGCAACTGATGAGAAGCAACATACGCTTCAGGTCTGACTGAGACCAGGCTCCGAATGCGGGTCCTCTTCTTTGAAATCGAAATACTTCCGGATCGCGGGTCTGATCTCTTCCCAGCTCAGCTCGATGGAGATCTTGGCAGGAAGGGGATTTCGCAACACCAAACAACCGTCACGTGGATTGTCGCACGGCGTACTGTCGCCTGTCTCTGTGCTTGCAAGAAGGTTGGACACGCAGATGCTGCTGCACTTAACAGAGCACGTGCCCAACCTCCCACTGTCATTGCCAACAGTTGTAGCGAATGCCAAAAGGCCAGTTCCATCCCCCTCTCATGTGGATTCCTACTACAACGTCAACTGACCACGAACATGCCATTGTCTAGCAGTCGAGAAACGGCCTTTTTTTATTTCAGTTGCATCCGGACACGCCGGCAAAAACATCTGCAGCGCAAATGTTGCCGAACAGATGCCGACAGACTGCAAACTTGCCCTGCTTCTGCAGATCAGTGACAGGACACTTTCGCAGCAATGTCATGTTACAGATACCCTCTACTCAACAGTGACTCAAAAGGATATCTTTAGAACCCGTGCATGCGTGGGTTTCCCTGTGCATACAGACACGCGCACAAAAAGCGAGATGTCTAAGAAGCCAGCATTGTCTGGCTGCTCCGCAAAGTGGTACAGCAGCCTGGGCAAACTTAGTAGGGCATGGCATTGTCAGAACTCGCGCGGATGCTTCCCCGACAATGAGCCTACAAGTAGATAGGGCTCGCAAAATGCGAGGTCCAGAACAGAAACACCAGCCCTTAGCCCTCAGGCCCGGGAGGACAAGCGGCGGCCCTATGTTCGCCCATAGACCGCCAGGCCTGCAAACTGTTGACTTCCACATGAAAGGAAGTCCAACTTGCAATTGGTCTCGCATGCGACAGAGTGCTGCCGGTCCAGGCCTGATGATGTCGGCAATTGTGCGAATGTAAAGGAAAACGTTCTTCGCCGTATCCAGGAAGAAACAAGTGAGCACCGCCTGCACGGGGACGAACATCAGTTCAAAACTTACAGGGTCTATAGGGAAAGCCGGGTCACGTCCCAAGCGCCGTACTGCTCTTCGTAAACGTTCACAAACTCACCCGCACACATGGAGAAGTCCTACAGAGCCACAGAGGACAGACCTTAAGGCTTGGATCTACAGGGACCTGAGCCTGGGGGCCCATTTCAGGGGTTTTCGGAGCCGAGAGTTGCTTCACCTAATTAAACAGACGCTCCTCGGGACCCGTCTCCACCCCCCCGGGAGGGCAGAGGATGGCCGAAGGGCAGACATCTGGGATGCAGACACCCCGCATATGATCACTCATGTTCTTCCGGTTCTCCATGTTCAAGATAAACGGATAAATTGTATGCGTGTGGTCGGCACTGGTCTCGTTCAATACCCACTTGCTACCCTGCAACATGTGGTAGGAGAACTCGTTGCCTTGAGCTGCATAGCCTCGTCTCGCACACTCAAAGGGCAGTCGGGCAAGCCCACTGCCAGGCGCCAAGACTCTTGGCTTCTTGAAGGGCTGGCCACCCGCTTGCTTTGGCAGGGGAATATACTTTTCCAGCGCATCGAGCAAGCAGCCGTATTGAGACCGGCGCTCTTCCGCACCTTCGTCTGCCCAGTCACGCACAAATTGCCTGAGCACGGTCCGGACCTTCACGCTGTTCCTTTCCTGCACCTGATGGTTCGGTGGCAACTCCCAGAACTCTGGAATGCATTCATCGGACCGCACCAGCATTGTCAGAAATTGCGCGTTGATGCTGGCACACCGTCGCATCTGTTCAACCATCTTGATACCTGGGGCCTTCATGAGTGCAAGGTCATGTGGATCCAGAACGTTCCTGAAAAATTCTTCGATACTCTCGATGTCAGACTCCGCATCTTCGGCGTATGCTAACAGCGAGTAGCAGACATCCGCGTAGTGCTGCTGGTCAGTCGCCTCAGACTCGCTGTCAGAGTCACTTCCAACTTCTGCAGCGTACGCACATCGTGGATCTTGGCAGCACGTAGCGGCAGCGGCTGCAGTGTAGCCTTCCCTGGGAGGTACAACACGGGGCGGCACCACTGGCTGGTGGCCAGACTCCGCAACACCCGGCACAGCCGCAGGGGCTGCATAGCCCCCATGCAGCTGGGGAGCTTGCGACATGGACTCGTCCAGTGAAGGAGGCATAAACAAAGCGTCATGGCTCGGCTTCATGTTTCTGTGTCGGCGAAATACGCTTGCAACTTCCATAGTCTGTCCGGCACCTAGCACGGCGCCCACATTGACAGGCAATTCGGTTGATTCAGGACCTGCAATCAAAGCAATTGATATCTGAAAGGCTCCTTCGTGTTGCATCTATCATGGTATCTGAAGCTGCTGCGATGTGAAAGGCGGACGCACACCCTGCACCACAGCTCACTCATGTTCGAAATGGCGGGCTTCACACAAGAGTGTCCTCATATATGAACATGCGTGACAAGCCGGGTATCACGACTTGTTCCCTCGGGTGACTGATCGATAACTCCACGAAACTCATGGTGCACGATATCCGCACAAACTGCCAGACTTCGCAGTGCTTGCCTGTGCCCTGCAGACACTGAGTGCAAAACCACGCTGTCCAGCTACTCGGGCAGGCCTTGTGCTGGCATGGCAACACACGAGAGACTTTTACCCTTTCGCATCTGGGGCGGTCAGCAATCTTTCAATCTGCGATGCTTCACCTTGGTAACCGATCAGAATGCCAGAATGTGATCGACTACAGCATTTGGGTCCTAGTACGCGAGTCGTGGCCTCAACATCCTGGATATGCTCGCGACAGAAACGCTGCCAATCTCCACACGGATAAAAAATTCCGCAGACTGGTTTACGCGGAAGCACGCTCGAAGAGCCGGCCGAAGGAGCGCAGGTGCCGCAAAGCTGGCAAGGCTCCGATACCTCGGCCCGTGAGCCGGACGGAGAAACCGACAGATGCGCTCAAATATAACTTTTCGGATCTCTTGCAGCCGACGCTTGCGGCTGCCCTGCCCCTGTCTGAGCAGTCTGCTGTTGGCTCCCGCCGCAATCAATCGTTGGCACCTCGGTTCAAGGGTGTTGAATATCGTGAAAGCAACGTGTTTTTCGGTCCAGGATCGGCACACTGCCACGTGGCCGTTCTCAGCCGCAATCCGCAGGGCCGTTCGATCGGACAGCTGCATCTGGGCGGCCAGTGAACTGCAGCACCAAACCGGTGCCCACGACTCACCCGGTCCCGCCTCCACCCGGCCGTTCCGGACCCGCAAAGCGCGAGACTCTGGATCACCTCTCCTCGAAGACATTAAGCATCAATCGGAAATTAGCTGGACATGGACATCCCTGGAACCCTCGTTGCACTCCGTTGCAATTTGCAAACGACTCGAAGACTGCAACTGAGCGAAGCAATCGGCGGTGTTTGACAGACGATCCAAGAGTTCCGAGTCTTTCTACGAGTCCGACAATCGGACAGTCTGAGCGACAGTGACTGAGACTTTGAGAGCTCAGACCCCGAGACTTTCGGACTGGGCACAGTATGTTTCGAATGGAGTCACTGAAAACTAAGTCGGCTCCGGGGACCGGACAGCTGAAGCAGATGGCGCACACAGTCCTGCAAAAGAGACCCTCCAACAGATCCCGACGGAAGGTTGACTGAGGCATTCCAAAATGACCACCAAAAAGCGGGGGCGAGGCTACAGCGGAGGCCGGGTTCGCGTCTGCGAGTCCAGGAATGGCAGGTTTCTTCAACCGGACAACTTCTCCCAAAGAGCAGGAAAGCCAAGGAAGTGAGAACTCCTCGAGACCGCGGCCGGCACAGTGTGCCAAGGAGGGTCCCAAGACCTGAGATCCAGCGGCAACTTGCTGTTTCTGCCTGCCTGCAAATGAACTTGAACTGCAAAACTAAATCTACCGCTGAGTCCTGTTTGCATCTTTGGGAACGAGTGGTTGGAAAGGGAACCGACAATGAACATCGATCTTCTACAACATGGCCAGGTCAGCTGCTGCAGGCGCCGGTGGCGCTGCTGCTAGGGCGCGTATGCGGGCCTGCGTGCATCAGCCGTTTTGGAATCCTTCGGTCGAAGGCCCAGCAGCAAAACCCCCAGACGTCGCAAAATGACCACCGACAATACCACAGACTGCAGGCCTCGCAGCGCGCTTGGCCCGCCAACATGAGCTCCAGAAGCAGACTTCGGGCGGCCGCCTCCTGAATAGGAACGGCTCACGGCTAAGGGTTTGCGGCGGCACCTCAGCAGCTCTCAAGTGTTGTTGCTTGCAGGTTTCTTCGATCTTCCAGGTCCCATACAACACATTCGTGATCCGGAATCACATCATGCTTTCTTGTCTGCGGACCCACCATCCGAAAGACTGCAGATTAATTCCTGTTTAGTATCACATGTCGGGATCGGCCCAAGGTTTTATCGATGCCCATTTCTTGCATGCCGACAAGCCAGCTCTACCAAGCTCGAGATCGGATGCCTGGAAGCCTCGAAACCAACCCCCCAAGTAGGGACATTCCTCGAACACTAAAGGAGAAGCAGGACAATCGCACTTCGTCGAGGATGGAGAGTTTGCAGGTCAAACCTGAAAGCAGGCTCCGCCAAATAAGTCCTCGTGTTCAGGAACATGTGCAGCGGCAGGTGGCAGTCCAGGCTGGACGCTTCCAGATTCTGGGGCTGTCGGTGCCCGCTTCCCCGATGCTGCAGCTGAAGCCCTTGAGCGGGGGCTCACTTTCGGCCTCTTTCCTGCAAGAGTTGCAAATCTGTGCCCAAGACTCTGAATCAAATCAGTCTCGCACGCCCTCACTCATACCGAGTCTTATCAGACTCTAGCATTACCCCATGCATTTGCCAATTGGTTTGGCAAAAACCGTAATGCATACTCATACACACATATACATACATATATCTGTATATATATATATATATATATATACAGTTACACACATATATATATATATACGTATATTATATATGTATATATACGGCATATATGTACATAGATATAATATGCATCTGCCAACCCCGCTTCGTCGGCGCTACGAGGGGCTCCTCGCTAGCTGGTTGCTTCTTGGGGAATGCACTAGAGATTGCTGCCCCAGCACGACCACCTGCTCCACACCCCAAGCCGCCCACACCGGTCACACTGCCCACGCCGCTGTTTTGCTGCCCGCCCCTGCCTTTGCCTTGGTAGGGAATGTGCTATAGAATATGTGTTCCTTTCCTGCCCCGACAACCACCCGGCCATGCAATATATATATATATATATATATATGTACACACACATACACTTACATATGTATGTATAACATATGCCTGTACATGCACATATGCATACACCCAGCATGTACCCAAGCACTTATGCACGATACAGCAATGCAGCTATACGTATATGACGGGTACATACACAAGCACATACACATACCAATGGACGTATTGTGCAAATGCAACTTTAAGTTGCTTATGCAAATACATACACTTATACATCAACCTGTGCGTACACACATACACATACAAACATACAGGCACAGACATAAAAACAGGCAGACAGACAGGCTGACAGAAAGGCAGGCATGTAGATCTACATGCCTACATACCTGCATACACATATGCATGCATGTATGCATGTATGCTTGCAGGCATACATGCACACATGCACACATGCGAAGCTACAAACGTTCATACATACATACAAACACGCATGCATGCAGACATACACACACAAATGCACGAATTCACGCATACCTCACACCTACGTGCCTCACACCTACACCCCCTACACAACATACCTAGCCCACATGCCTACTACCTGCGTACCTGCATACATACCACACGCAAATACATAAGCACGTACGTACACATGTCAGGCATACACACATACACACAAAACCTCCTCTTCACATGTACAATAACTACAGGAAAGTGTGGGAGATAGACAGAAACCGACAGACCAACGAACGCACGTACAAACTTCATGATCATCCTCACAACACCCGGACCGGAACGACCTCGCTCGGACGACCATTCGCTTGTTGCAAGGGGGATGGGTGGGGAGGGGTTGGTCGGGCGCGAGGGTTCTTAGATTCATGGGCGGAGGGTGGTCACCCGCCCCCACCTTTGTTTGCAGAAACCCGCTCCGCGCAACCACGACCATAACGACGACGATGAGGAGGACAACAAGGATGTCGAAGACGAGCAAAAACCAGGACATAAAGTGGTAAGCAACTAAACGCAATGTATAGGGTGCGAAAAACCCATGGGGCATCGGAAAGTTTACCACATCACAGGCCCCGCCTGCTTTTCGAGCTCTGGCGGTTGACTTCTTTGGGCTCCTTTCTGCTGCGGGGCCCACGCTGCCAGGGTCCTGCTGGGATCCCTACTGGCAAGAGGTGGACGGAGCCCTTAAGCCTTAAGCCTTTATGTTCCAACGAGGATGGACCCTAAGGAGCTGCATACGGCAGCCTCCTGAGGAAGCACTGCGGTCGGCGCAGCCGCCGCTCGCGCGGAGGATGCTGCTGTTGCAGGCTCCTGCCCGAGGCGTAGCGGCTTTCGTAGCGTAGGTGTGCAAAGGGGACTCTCGGAGATGAGAACTCTGAGGCCCTGCCTGCTTTCGCCTCCGGAGCGTCCGAGGCACCTCTATGAGGCGAAGCAGAGCATTCGCCGCAGGGAAACGAGAGTTCGGAACTGGCGGATATGAACACTGTGCACTGTGCCTTCAACTTCTTGACCGGCTGAGCAACGGCCTTGTGGCCTGGGCGGCTGGAGGAACAACACATGCACAGCCCCCTGCCCACCCTGAAGCGAGGTTGAGGGGAGCTGTGTCTCTGCCAGGCCGCCGTTTGCCGGTGGCGGCGTTGAGGGCTGAGAAACGCTTCTCCGACCTTCGGCTGGGTGAAAAAGGCTTCACCAAGGTGTGCCATGACGGATGAGTGAACAGAAGCAGTGAAAATAGAGTCCAAAACAGAATCGTGTGCCCACAACCACGCCCACGAACACCAAAGACGGCACGATCACCATCCCCAATATCACGCCCGGCACCTCCAAAAACCCGAAGCATGAAGCTTGTTGAGCCCCCGGCGCCGCTTCTTCATGAGGCCATGGCGAAGACCACGGATGCTTTCACGGGGTGGTTTGGATGCTTCTCAACTCCAGTCATCAGTCATCTACACTGTGTACGGCTGCAGCTGGGGAGTTGTGTAGCTGTGTCGTGACTTCTGCAACAGTGCTGGAAGATTGACCACCAAACACCATCTGCAAACTTCGGCTGGCTCAGGACTGCAGAAGGCGTGTTATTTGCAGCGCCCCTCCGTCTTAATGTCCTGGAGCTGTACAGCTGCAGAGCAAGTTGACATGCAAGTGCTGCGATCTGCTGAAATAAAGCACACTGCAGGCCTCGGCTGGGAACGGGGGCTGGAGCCGGAGTCGGGTACCCGCCACGTAGGGGCGGAGCTGCCAGCAGTGGTGCAATGTGTCGAATCAGAAAGACATTTGGAGTTTCGTGGCGTGCCCCGCTCCGACATGAACTCTCTGGAACTGCCTCTGTTATTCTGGATGATTGAATATTGATTGAATATTGAGGCAAACAATGTTGCGAAGAACTCCCAACATGGGCTTCCAGCCCCTCATTTCCGCAACAGGTTAAATGTCTCATACCGGACCCATAAATGCCGAATTTGAGGATGTGATGGGTTGGGTTCCGGTGTTCGGTTCGACGAAGCCTACAAAGGATCGCACTCCGGTGTGCCCAGCCTGGCGGCTTCTCATCGCTCTCAGAGGCACTGGCCGTGGTGTGCCCGGCCTTCGGAACTGTCCGTGGATGGACATGGGCTTCTTCCGAGTTCAGCCGTGTTAAAAGGATTCACAGCGATTGCCACGTGGCCACTGGACTGTGAGAAGATGCAAACAACAGCCACAGCCACAGATACCCCCGCCAGGGTGACAGCAGCGAAGGTGCCTGCCTGCTAACAGCGCTTCAAATCTAAGATTCCGGAAGCCTCTGTCGCCTGCTCCCTGTCCATCGCAATGGCCGTCTTCAGTGCCTCAAAGCATACTGTTCCTAAAAAAAATCTGCGCTTCCTGATACTTGCCTGGAGGCCATGCCACCCACAATCCAGAACCAAATGGAACATGAGCAAAGCTCAGCCCCTCCGACTGCCAATACAGAAACCAGCACGCTCGGTATAACCCTTCCTGAGCGCCGCCTCGAACCAGGTCGAAGCCTCCGTCGCGGAAGAGCACCTGACAGCAGGAAGCTTCTTCAAGATTGAAGAAACCAGAAGCTCTTCTTTCAAACAACACCGGCCCCGGCCCTGGAATCATTGAAGGTCCCGGGGCAGCCGAGCTCAAAGCATTAGCTCCATGGTTTTCGCCGGACGAGTCATGACCGTGAGCACGTGCTGCTCCTCCGGGTGCTGCTTTGAACAGAAGAGCTGACCGTCTGACTGACAGTTAAGGAACTCGACTGCCACGGATGCACACATATGCACACTAGCTACGATTACACTTCAACTTTGCCCTCAAGCTACCCAAATCAACATGCAGCCAGGCCTCAATCGCAACCAGCAGCATGATTTCACAAAAGGTTAGAGCAAGTAAGTCTGAAATCCGATGCTGCGACTGCAGCCGGTTGCGAAACGGAAAAAGATTCTGCTTCCGGGAAGGTGCAAGCGCACCGCAAGCACAAAGAAAGGTTTTTCGTCAGAGTCGCGTCGGTCGACTGAACATACGCGACCTCACAACCCAACTTTACAGCTTGCATCCATTTGTACTCTTCCGACCCTGTTGAACCCCTGCTGTCCTCGGCCTCCTTCGCGGTTTTGAGGAAGCTCGTCGTGCGCTGAAGGAAAGAGCCTGAACCCTAAACCCTGCGGCCTGGAGCGCCAAAGCGCCAGCATCCCCGCAGCTGAGGGCGCCGCGCTTGCTGCCCTTGCTGAACTCGGAGATGTTGTCTCCTTTGAGGTCGGCCTCGCTCCGCGACGCCCCCCCCCCCCCCCCAAGCTTAAGGCTTAATGCCTTTCATCTCCCTGATCCTAAGCACTGGCACTAGCCGTCCGAAGCACGTATACCACTGTACGATCTTGGTGCGAAGCCTCGGGCATCCTCACATCGACGATGTCAGCAAACGGCGTCACAGCCGACACCTGCAAACACACCACTGCCAAGTGCATGATGACGATAATGACGACGACGAGGGTGATGACAATGACGATCATGAGCATGGAGATGATGACGACAATCACAACGATGGAGATGATGATGATGATGACCAAAGCGACGAAGGAACCTCTGTACAGTCGCAGGCCAGTCAATGCCAGCCGAGGCTGGTCAGCTAACTCTCATGCAAGTTGGCAGCTGCTGGCAAAGCCTCACAACCTGAGGCGGGCCTTGCTGCTGCCTTCAGAGTGGGCATAGAAGAAGGTGTGCCTAGCTGAACACCGATGCCACACCCTTTTTCTGGTGACACTGGCAGTGGCATCCCAAGCCAACATCATTGCAGGCAGACGGCGTGTCGAAATCCAGGGTGAAGTACCGCTTGTTGTACCTTGGGCATTATGAAGCAACTGGGCAACTGCGGCTTAGTGATGCGAGAAAACACGGCTGGCAGAGGAAGCTGCAAACGCCTCCTCTGAGCGCCTGGCTCTCGCATCCTGAATGCTGATGTTCCACTTTTCTTCTTTTGCAGCCTGCTCCACTCATTTTCATATGCTACAACGATACAGTGAGGGTGCAACACCTCCGTCAGTGATAGCACAACGCATCATACAAGTTGCAGCATCCGTTGCTTGCAGAAGTTCATGCAGCATATCCGCAGCAAAGCTGGCAGCCGAACGACAAACCCTCATGCCCCCGCACTCCCACGAGCCAGAGTGTAGCCGACACAAAGCTATGAAACCGTGACTCGGATGCAAGGCGTGCCAGGCACTGAGCTGCCCTCTGTACTCGGCATCTTCGCACAAAGCAACCATCGCCTGGGCTGGGTTCAGGAGGCCCAATTTCCGCATTGCATCTGTGTCTCTGAGCTGCAGACCGGCTCTCACTTTTTCGAATGTCGCCACTCCCGCAGAGAGCCAAAAAGGCGAGGAGCAGAGCTGAAGCATTGCCCTCTCTTTCAAGGGTCTTTTGGCTGCTCTTGTCCAAAAGCCGAACGTCCCTAAGATCTGACAAGACCTTTCCAGTGAGTCAAAGGACTGCCGCCGTGGAAACGACTAGGTGTCCAACAACCACACAAACGCAGCACAATCTGAAGTCGACAGGCTATCGGTGGCCCCTTCAAGATCGTGCAGCAGGCACGCGGACCTCGCCAAACTTTGCCAACTCCAGGAAGACTTCCTCATAGAAGTGTTCCAGGTGCTCCTGCAATAGTTCAACTCTTGCCAGGCCTCCGGCCACAACAGCTGCAAGCTACAAAACGGCTGGAGAATTCCATCGGAGCGGTTCGGAAGCTGTAGACGCACATTCCCTACACACACGGGCTGTCAGGCAAGCGCTAATGATGGGTGCCCAGCTTATCCCACATACTCAGAAGGAAAAATCACCAAGCAAAAGCAGCGACCACAGCCTGTTGTCGAGCGTAGGTCTCATCGTCCCACTCGTCATCGTTTGCCACAGCCATAGCCTCTGGGATGCAGGGATACCTCGGAACATGGAAAGCTCGCTCTGAGATGTTTGCAAACCCACATAGATAAGCCGAGCCAGAACCTCTGCGACGAGACCAGTCTACTGTCAGATACTGTCAGAGAGCCGTGCCACCACTCAAAACACCGCAACACGCAACCTGCCAACGCTGAATCACATCGGAACCTCAAGAAAAGGAAGCCAGCTCCTGTGCGAATCTGGGACTCAACGCAGACTCTGGAAGACTAGGCAGCTGCAATCAAAGGGGCTGTGGGACTTAGCCCCGGGTCCACAGATCGATTTCTCGAAGAGCCCTGCACCGAATTGCTCACCCCAGGCTCAGCTGAGGCAACGGCAGATGAGGAATCAGAATTGTGTTTCCACTGGTCGGCTTGCTGTGAGCCTTGTGGGTTCTTTCACCATAAGCTCAAATAAGACCAAGCACAACCGCCTGAAAATCGTCAGCAGAACCAACCCCTGTAGCCTGCGATAGCCTGTGCCACGCCCTACAAAGTAAACCTCTTAAAGAAATCTCGAAAGGCGGATCACGGTACCCCTCGGCATGTTAGGACCCGGACACGATTGCAGCGGTCACCGTTCCGGCATGCCCCAATCTTGAAGTAAAAAGGGCAGTTGACCCGGTCCTCTCGAGAAGCACAGTTGCTGATATTGAAATTACTCACTACCGACATGTTTACACTTTCGACTGCCTGACTGCCCCAATCAAACAGGGGCTGCACGATCGGCACAAGCCACCAGCAAACCAATCCGAGCTAGTCCTCTTCAGCGATAAATCCCTGACCTGAGATGACTCGGGCACAGCCGATGCTGAATCTCCTCGCGAGGCTCCCCGAGGGACGAGCTGTCATCCCTGTTGGTCAGGAAGCTGAAGTCGAAGCCATCCCGCCCTCCGCTTCGCGGCATCCTTGCAGACATCCGGCTCAACCCGTCACTGCAGTTGACGCTGGAGCATTCCACAGCAAAGCCTCCGCGAGGAGCGCGCGGCCCCGATGTGTTCACTATCGCAACAGGGACCGAAAGGAGCGAGCGGTGCATCTCAGAAGGGCGGGGTCATGCTACAGGCTCCGGATCGCTCACGAAAGCCACAGAGTGCAGGAACTCGCTTCTTTGCTGCTCTGGACTGCTAGCACCACATGTTGTGAAGCGCACAGCAGCACTCGGCACAGCCGCGCTCATTCAGCAGCTTACCTGAATTGGAAACTTCTGTGATTGAAAAAGCCAGCTCACAAATGCTCAGCATCAGAGCGAGATTATGCTGTAGCAAGCTTCTTTTCCACCCGCGGTCTCGCAAACACCCGCTTGTTGGCCGGAGCCAAGCTCCGTTGCAAAATTGGAAATTCGCAAATGGCACGCAGAAGGCTCCATAGCCGGCACTCCATTTCGATGCCCACTGTGAGCCTTGAACAAAAGTTGAACAGTCGCTGTAGGCGGGGCTAGCTGTGGCATGCTTTGGCTTCGCAGCACCCACCGTCCATCGCTGACTGACAGACGAAGAGGTCCTGAGAGCTACGCGGCCAGGCAAGCTGATGCCGCTGCATAGCTCGGGGGACCCTGACAAAACACAAAAATGTTGGTTGCTCCACGATGCTCCCAGGCTCTGCTCCCACGTGCGATGGAGCATCGTGTTAGGGAACCCGTGGCCTGTAAGCCAAGACCTGAGCAACCCGATCCGAGGCGAAGGTGACGGCAAATCCGGCCCTGTTGCTGTGGGCTTGCAGATTCACGGCGATGGTCTTTTCGTTGATGGGCGTGGCGGCCTCGAGCTGGCGCTTCTTTCCGGTCACGTCCTTCACGGGAAGCTCGAAGTTGCCCGAAGCATCCTTCCGAAGCAATCCGGAGAGGTCGAAGGCACCGGAGAACTCGTGGGAGCCCGCACCGCCATTCACGCCAGCAACAGAGCTGACACCAGCCAGCTCGCGAGTGTTCGCACGACCTCCGCTTTGCGCCACGAAGTAATACTTCATCGGGATACCCACCTTGGCCAGGAACTTGCGCTCGCCATACCAATTGCCGCCATCTTCGTGGATGATGAAATAGTCCTGTCCGTTTGCCGCGGCGATCCACTCCATGCCATCAACATCCTCAGCAGGGAGCATGTCGCTACAAAGAAGAGCACTCGCAACATGCAATGGTCGACAAACCACGCCTCGGTCTTCTACTACGATTCGTCTTGTGACTGCCATGTGAGTCTCTGAAATGTAGGAACTGTGTTCATTTCGCGGGTGACAAATAAAATCTTCCTCGGGCCAGAACTTCCGGGCGCAAAGGGGCTTGGGTCATAATCACAAAAGATGGCAATCAACACATTCGGGGCGGAAAAAGTCTCCAAAAACATAGGGACCTGTCTAGTAAAAAGCTAACCTCAGAAAAGACGAAGACAGAAGACCCTAAACCCAGCTAGCCCTTCTACGACTGACCTCAGACCCGGCCACGAACCCCCCGCTGCAAAAACCCAGCGCCCAGACCTGAGAAATAATTCAAAAGGGTGTTATTCAGTCAACACCAACATTACTCCGACCACTTGGGGAATATTAGCTTAGTCTATCTACCCTGCTCTTGTGCGGTGCTTGTCGGTGCAGGTGTGTAGGAGAAGGACCGAAGAAGCTCGCAGCCGGCTCCGACTCCGATTGACAAAAGTTTGTCCCCAAGTCCTCGAAGGTGCTCTTGTCCCTGCTGGTGTCCCTCATCCTGGGCAGGTGTTGTTGGGTGGCAGGAAAGTCAACCAGAAACTTCATCGATATCAGCAACGGGACATAACGGGACCAATGAGCTAGCTCCGGGTTCAATGACCTGAAAGAAGTAGCCCTTGCACACGTCTTTGGCTCGAGATGCCCTGAAGGGATTCGGTTGCACAGACAGGATTTCGGGTTCAGAGCAGGACTCCATATACACAATGCTGCTCAATAGCAGCACAGCCTCATTTTCTGGTTGTTCCCGTCCGCTCGGATGCCGGCACCGCCCAGCTCGATCAAGTTGCGAACATCCGACTCAGGTTGATACACTGTGTATGTAGCAGGAATGGAGTCGGGGAAGCTGCTGCCCAGTAGGGAGGGCAGGCTCGAGAAGTCGTAGACTCCGAAGTAGCCGGCCGTGGAACCTTGCAGGACGCGGTGACCTCCCCGAGGATCCGGGGACACGTGCTCTGTCTTGGCGCCGCGACTGTTCTTGCCGTTGGAGTTCCAAAAGCACCAGCCGGCCGGGGCACCTTTCGGAGCATCCTGAAACTCCCAGCTTCCATCGTGCTCGAAGCCCTCCACCACACCCCTCTGCGCCTGCCAGCGGAGCTTGTAGAAAGCGCCTCTCACCGTGTCACCTGCAGAGGCAGTCTTGTGCCAGGCATCTCGAGAAGCCGTCACCATGCAGTCGACCGCGAAGCCGTACAGGGCTCCGTGCTCGAAGCCGTTCCTTGCCAGGAAATCTACGGAGTCCGGATTACCTTCTTTGTCCGTGTTCTTCTTGCCGATGTAGAGCTTGGTGGGCACGATGTCCTGCGGCCACACGTACGGATTGCCGTCCGTTCTGGAGTAGAGACGGTTGCGAGCATCCAACACGGCACCTCGGCTAATGCCGAAGGCTCCGTTGTAGCCGGAAGGTACGAAAGCCACATAGTCCTGATGGCCGCTGCTCACTTCCACGACCTTCTCGTGGCCGCCGAGGGTGAAGGCAGCAGTGGCCCAAAGCTCGCCGGTGCCCAAGTTCAGGACATGCACGGGCAGGCCAATGGGCAAGGAGCTTTCGGGGTAAGAGATCCATTCTTCGTTGGTGATGAAAAGGTCGTCCTCCACTCCCTTGCCGTTTCCCCACTGGTGCCTCACCTCCAGATGTGCGGAGCAAAGGGATTGCATAAGCCAGTCTGCCTTACTGGGAGCCTTTGCAGTGCTTCCGACGATGTAGTTGCCATACACGTCGACGTTGCTCTCATGCACGTTCGATCTGGTGGCCTGCAGACCGTCCCCTAAGCGATTTCGGGGCCCAACGAGCTCCCGCTTCAAGTTGTAAGCCGTGGCCACGGCGTTGCCCGCCCCCTTCACCATCCCCTGAGCCTTGGCTGGTGCCCCATCGTCCATGAAGGTGGCAAGCCTGCTTCTGTCGTAATCGATGAAGTGGATGTGGGAGCCAGTGAAGCTGGCAGTGTTGGAGTTCACCGTCCACGGAAAAGACTCTGGGTTGGAGCTGACCAGCTGGCCGTATGCCTCGCTCTGGTAGATCAACCGCACCGTGTCGGCATCCTTCAAGTAGGCGCCCAATCCGTCTGGCACACCTCACCAGGCTAGAAATCGATGACCTATCTACCCAAATTGAAAACCCTGCGCAAACGGATCCTACCTGCCTGTGAGCATGGATCCTGTCAGTGGGTCCACCTCGCCCGCCGTGGCCAGCACCTTGATGTTTCCATGGGGGAAGTTGGTGTTGCCAGCCCTGCCATCCACGAGGAATTCCGCGTTGTTCCCCGCATCGGAAGCTTCGCAGATGGGCTGATCGTGAAAGCCCACCGGCTTCACGTCAGCCATGTGCGCACAGAACTCTGCTGGAAACTGCACGCCAGGCACCTGCGAAAGCAGCTGCATTGCTCTGGCGCAATGGCAGACTCCCACTGGGCTACTCGCCCCGCAGACGGAGCTGCTAAAGCTGCTGCCCTCGCTGGTGCTTAAATCCACCCACCGAGGTTCCTCACCCTCGGAACAACAGTCCTGGGCTTGATAGAAAGTTCGAATTTGGCCGCAGGACATGGATGATGAGCCGCCCGAATAAGCATCTGCACCTATCACGGTTGCCACTGCCATCACCACTAGGCCAGTGGAAAAGGACGGTCGAGCAGTCATCAAAGGCAGCACCAGCGCCACCCTGGCCGAGTTTCGAGCCCCATGGTTGACATCAATCCCCTTCGCTCTTTTCCTGCGCGTTTCCTTGTTCGGCTTCGCGGAGCACAAATCCAGATGTGGATGGTTCGAGCACTGGGCGACCACCGAGTGGGCAAGAGCAGCACACGCTGCCGATGCTGCAAGCCCGGAGAGACAGGATGGCATGGCGACAACCGAGCTCTATGTGCAACCACTGGCAATTCCTCGGGTTCGACTCGTTGAATCGGAGCACCACCGAAATGCAATCCCGATCACCGGATGTGCGAAACTATAGAGACTGGACTCGCAGCTTTGGCCCTGGCATGCCAACGAGACCTTGCGTTAACACCATGGTCAGGTCCTGGCCCGAGTTCGCGAGATTTTGTTATGCGAGATCCATTGCAAGCTGATGCGAAGGACAGAAAGTGCCAACACCTGTCCTCTCCGCGAGGGTTCTGCCCAGGACCGTAGCCTGAGTGCAAGCTTCCGTGCTCTCACTCTGTCCTGCTTTGCCCCCATGCGAATCTCAAATCCATCAAGATGCAGGCTTGCAACGTGCCATTTGTGGCGTGAACCCCAGTGTTCGGATTCGAGGCCCCCGGCGCGCCTGCAGTATAGAACCATGCACACAACTTGCATTGAAGTCCTACTATACCTCGAAGTCGCGCAGTCGTTCAGCACACTGCCAAGAATCATCTTGAAGATTGGCGTACGTCTGCTACACACCCAAATGCCCTCCCCTTTGAATTTAGCCCCTGCCTCCTCTGGCACGGACGGGCGTACGATGCTCCACGGGTCGTACCTGCACCAGAACGAAACCTTCCACAGCATCAGTGCACGTTCCAAACGCAAACACCACTGTCCTAGCAGTCGTTTTGCCAGAGGTGCTGGAGATTAGCGAGCCAAGAGAAAATCCTAAACCAAGGGCGCCATGCATTCCGCAGCCCAGTTCCCAGCGTCCAGGGCAGCGTCCAGAGCCCAAGAGCAAAAGCACGAAGCCCTTAATGTCGCGGGGTCTATGGTCTGATCTCGGTATGTCGGGAAATTGGGCAAGGTTTTCAAACAGGCATGAAGACCGATGCGAGTTTTTGCACAAACGAATCAGAGGAAGCTGGGAACAACTGTGAATCGCAGAGCTGTGGGAACATAGTCAGGCTGGACACATCAGGGAACAGCCTGGCCAAGTTCCAATGTCCATCGTTTTCGATTGCTGTAAAATCGACCGCCTGTTGGATGCTTGCGGTTTGTGTTGCCTTCACATGCTGTGCTCAGTAAAGTAGATATATTCCAAATGTGGCCTTCGCAGCAGGATTGTAATCAAGTCTCCCGGACAGTGGGCCACAAGTCAACTGGGCCCCACGCCACTGAGGAGCCATACCACACGAAGCCAAAGGCACTGGAGGCATGTGGCCGGTACCTCTGAAGATCTCTGAAGCATCTCGCGGCACTACGTCGGTATGACGAAGCACAACTCAGAGTTAAGCATGTCGGGTGGGCCCCAAAACGACGCCAGAATCGTTGTTGATTCATGTGAAGTCAAAAGCACCAAATATGCCGAGCACCCTCACCCCTTCGGCTTCAGCTTTACTGGTCATCCTCAGACCTCCATTAGGGACCGCTCCAAACCCGTGCCCAAACCCTGTCAATAAAGAAAGGCTTCCTGAGAGCTGCACCCGTGGCGCCACGACGACGATGGTATCGCCCTCCTCAAAGCCCTGATCCTCCAGTGTCCCCTGGGCACGGCAACTGGAAGCACTTCGGAGTGACCTCTCGGAAGCTTCCCACCTCTGAGCTCAGGAGTTGGCCCGCAAAAACGAAGCTGCAGCGGCCTGTGCGAGATGCTTTCACTGCGGCGCCTCGTGCCGCTTTCAGCTGGGTCCGCGGCCGCCCGCTGAGAAATCTTCGCCCAAAGAAGCGAGCACCTGCAGACGGGCGGAGCTGGGGCGGAGGCAAAGCGGGTCGAGCTGTGCCGGGCCGATGCCCTTGGTCCGCTGACTCCTGGCCCGGCCTTCTGCTTGAAGTCACTGGCTGCCAGTTGGGACTTGACCTCCACGGTCCTGTCTTCTTGGCGCCCGTCGCTCCAAACAGCTCGGATCAAGAGCTTCATCTCCGCCCCCTCCGGCGCAGGAACCGATCCAGCAGCATCCTGGGAGGAGTTTGCTGCGTCGGATGTCTGGGCAAGGAAGATGCGACCGGTCAACGACTCCACACGGGCATCTTCCTGCAGGAGCCGTCCACCGGCGACGAGGCGCTGGGCTGAGACTTGGATGCCAGTTCTTGCCTGAAGACCCTCCTTCAGATCGGCCACAGTCGATCCGGGAAGCGTTTCGATCTCCAGTGGCTCGGAGGCATTGATGGGATGCACTCGAGTCACCGGCATGTGAGGGCCAGCACGGCCGACATTGAATTGCAAAGTTCGTGGATCCCTTGACCGATCGATGTGCTGTTTGGCTTCGCTTCCCTTTTGCCAAACTACAATACAAGACAGTCGAAGAAAATGACATACCAAGCCACGTCAGCGTAGCTTTTGGAACTGTCCAGCGCTTTTCAGTTGCTGACATCTAAAATCTACGGGACTTTGTGGGCGGGCAGGCTCGGAGATGTGGAAATGGCAACAAACGGGTTGCATGTTTCGTGGCAAGCACTTTGCCGCTTGGGTTGCTGTGAAGAATCGGGCTGGAAGGGTCAGTGCTGGCTGACGGCGTACAACAGCACACATAACGTTTTTTCTCACAAGCAATCCGGGACGAGCTGGTCCTTTGCAACTGGCCCGGTAGATGCTCCAAGCAGCGACAACTGGCAGCATACGCACATGGATGGGCCTAGGCTTCACTCAGGAGACCAACGCGGAGCGAGGCTTCCCGGATGGCAAGGGCGGACTTGGAAGGCAAAGGCTGGCACGGGGTTCGTCTTCACTCACAAGCACTCTCCCTGCAAGTCCCGTCTTGGCAAAAATCCAGGCCCTCTGCGGAAGTTCACTGCCCCGTCGAAGCCCGGGTACCTCTGCAAAACAGGCTCCATCAGAGACAGACAACCTCAGGCAGCGAACGCTGTATCACCGATTCACAGACTTAACGCGGTAATCCGTAGAATGGTTTGTCTGGTAGGCACGAGGTGCCCACTGTGTTCCCCAAGAGTGGCGCACTGAGGGGGCCATGGAGAAGTAGCCAGGGGGTCCCGGCCTTTCGTTCAACACTGCGGGAGGCCAGGCAAGTCAGGCAAGGACTCGATAGCCTTTGGCGCCGAGCTCTGCTGCTTGGAGCTCGGGATCTGTTTCCGGTGCTTCCACCACCTGGGCAGGGCTCTTCTCGAGAGTTCTGCACACAATTTTGCACTTCTTTGCCTTGCCATCTCTGGCTCTCTTGCAGAGCTCCGCCACCTGATCATGACCATTGCCCGTGACAAGTGCGATGTGCAATTGCAGAATATTGCTCGCCGACCTGTTGATGCCGCAGCCGCTCTTTGTGTAGGCGTCCATGTTTTGTGCACCATTGGATTGCATCCTTCGGGCAGCAAAGGATGCCACAAGATCTTTGAATCACCGAACTGAAACTCTAGTTCAGATCCGGTGGATCCATCAGCTGCACCGATGCCGACATTCTTCAGGAAGGCTTGGCGCCTGCGCAACATCCAGCGCTGTGCGTCCTGAGAGCTGCACGGAGCTGCATGTCTGACAAGGCTCCAGGTCTCAAAGCTGATCCTAGGCACTCTGTGCTTGCTAATGCCAGTCACAAGGTTGTAAGCCCTCAACCTTTTGAGGTTTCCACTTTCCAACTTTCCGGGTCCATCGCCAAGACCTGGCGAACCGTACTGGCCACCCTTTGGTTGCTTCGCTAGTTCGTCCTTCTGGCGTGCAGCCATGCTGAGACTCAACACATTCCAACTTTGTCAGTCCACCAACAGACGCGATTAAAGTGATGACCCCCACTACAAAAGCCGAACACGTTGCAAAACCCCTGCACCACTCAAGTCTTCTGGGTCTCAGACTGCCGCGGCCTGAAGGCTGTGAATGAACAGATACTTCTACAAGATCGAGTCTGGTGGGCTTCTTCGCTTTCATAGCACAGTTACACGGGCAAACTTCGTCCAGTTCTATCTGACAACTGCACCACATTCTGCAGATTTGAATCAAGGCTGCTTGTTTCTAAGAACCGCAGGATGCGCGGGCCTGAGTGGGACGGCCAAACGCAGCAGCTTCGTGCAGAGTCGTTTGTCCAACCTTCCAGCATAGTTTCACTTCGCCATGTGTGTTCAACGTAGCCACACCCGACATTATTTGTTGGAACATTTTGGCGAGGAACGGTTGGCAGTGAAACACTGTTGCTCAACGACATTGACGAATGGTTGAAAGACACCCCGCCTCGTCAGGCCAAGAGAAGGATATGTGGCGCTGGCCGAATCCGTCGTAATGCTCAGCGGATGCAACAACAGTGTCACAACGCTGACAAAAAGCAATTAACAAGGCTGGACACACTCACTTTGTCCGTAGAGCCCGGCTCTCCAGAAATCGTCGGCTGGCGTTTTGGATTTGCCTTTCTTCGCCTGCACTTCTTGATTCCACGTGGGACAAATCTTCAAACGTTCCGACACAGCTTCGACAATGGCACAAAGCTTTGTACATGCATGCAACGTGCATACCGCAATGTCTTGGGGTGCGGCAAACCATGCTTCGGCAACGGCGAAGCTTCCGTCCGGCAGGGTCGGCATTGCCAACGTACCGACGAAAGGAACAATATGCTGCAAAACTATATCAGTCAGCACATGACTTTTTGACTTCTATGCAGCTCACATTTTCGATCATTACATGCCTTCTTTCCAAATGAGACATGAATGCAAGCAAACGGTACACTGCGCAGCGTTTCAATATTGTTGGCAAGGGCAAACTTACTCAATCAAGGCTGTAGACAAGCGAATTGGAAAATTTTGATGTTGGCGGTGTGCCTTTGATCTCCTGCATGCAATGCATAACATAACTTGCACCAATGCTAATCTTTATCAAAAAATTCAATTCAACATGCCACTTGTGCAAAACATCACATGGGCAAACCTTAAAAACGTCGTGTGCAAAGCCTTGTTATTCGATCCCAATCAAACAGCGATGAAACATGCTCAAAAAACTGCGAAAACGCTGCAATTCCTAATTGTTCCGTTGATTTGTTGCCCTTGTGCCGCAAAGGTCCTGTGAT